GGTCCGTTGCCGAGCGCCTGTTGCTGGGTCCCAGAGCTGTACTGTCCCATTGTCGGAGCTGGATGCCAGTAGCCGGCTATCGGGCGAGAAGGCCATTGCCAAAAGCCTGCCTCTATGGCCCTTAAAGGTCTGTTGCAGAGCACCCGTCGCTGGGTCCCAGAGCCGTACTGTCCTATCCTCGGAGCCGGATGCCAGGAGCCGGCCATCGGGCGAGAAGGCTACTGACAAAACCCCGCCTCTATGGCCCTCGAGGGTCTGCAATTCTGCACTCCAGGTTTCCTGAACCTGTGGAAACTGGCAGATCCAATTAGGAAGCTCTGAATGGAACTCTCTACGGATAATTGCCGTTCGAGGTGCAAATACCAACCCTGCACAATAAATCTGAAGTGGCGCTGCATCCGCTATCTGGAGATTTTTCAGAACAAAACGCTTTGCATCGTGTAGAAAATCAGCTAGCCAAGGTGACTTTATCTGCCAGTTAGTACTCAATCTTCTGATTCATGATGATCAACATCACTGACCTTTTCCAGTGACTTCAAAGCTGTGATATTGTGGATTGTTTCTGAAACCCATCCAAAAAGGCTTATCACTTCTAACCAATGCAAGAAATGCGACTTCAAAAAATTTTCTATCAGTGTCCAGTTTAAAGCAGACAGTTCACTATTCTCTAGATGGCGTATCCAGTATCAACATGCGTATCGAAGCTCAGGTATCACATATCTCTTAAGTACCGCCTTGTCAATCTCATTTCTTTTCACCCCTGGATGTGAAAGACGGCATATATCTCTCTGTAGTTCTTGATCCATACACCAAAGACAATCCTTGGCAAGCTGTGTGTGACCTGCCGGTTCATTAATCCAGAACTTATCAGATGCTGAACGGTCAACCAGAAACTCGCGAAACGAAAGATGAAGAAGCTGGATAGGAGCATCACTATCTTTTGGCACTGATACCACAGATTGGAGAGAACTCAGTCGGCCTTGGACTTTCGTCTTGTCAAAACAGATGAGCTTGGCCAGGGAGACAGATAAGAGTGGGCTGAAGAGAAGAACAACAGCACCCACAATTCGGCGAAAGTCATCCATCCAGAATCTTAGTTCAGTGGGCTCTTTCTGCGATACGGCATGCTCTAAAACTGGGGAATAGATACTGGTCAATTTTGAGTATTCGCTGTCAATCTTCTCTATCCTGTCACTCGAGTGTGAGGATAATATGGCTTGAAGTCGGTCGCCTAGTAGTTCTCTATTACAATTAAGGAACCGATATATTGTTGCGGCGTAAATAAATAGAGGAACAGCCACATCGACTAGAGCCTTGAAATTCTTATCCCCAGGCCAGTCTTGTGGTAGCTTATAATCATCTCTTATCCTGTTAAGCTTTTGCCGGAGAAAGATTAAGATATCATGCTCGATAGTCAATCTCTCAATCTGATGAAGAATGATCCCATCCTTGTCAATTGATCGAAAACCCTTGATGACGGGTGGTTCTGGCCTACTGGTGATAAACATTCGTAGTTGGATATCTTTCAAATTGTTCAACTTGGGCAACGTTGAGAGAAAGGCCGCGACATCAGCTGGTACTTGACACTCATCTAGAGCATCGATGACAACCACCAGGATCAACGGAGCCCTTAAGCCAAGATTGAGGCTCATGAGAGGTTTCAAAAGCAGTTTATTGAACTGTTCTTGTGGATTACTGCTTCCAATATCACGTGAGTCCCCAATGGCCTTCTTGACAGGCAGCTGGAGATGAGGTACTCTCTCCATTATTTGTTTGGTAAGAGTGGTAAAAAGTCGCTTGGCATCTTCACGATCTGTTCCGCCCTTCTTAAAGAAGAAGCTGCCACCTAGCAAGCCCTCATTATCCAACTACTGAGCCACTGTCCGTGACACAGTGGACTTTCCTGTTCCTGCCATACCCTGCAGCCAAAACACGGCTTGCCTATCTGGATCAGTAACCCAGCTCTTGATATCCCTAAGAAGTTCAGTTTGAGTCTCTTGCAGATATTCTTGATACTCTTCTCCGTTATACGCGTTATAATAAGCCTCTTCTGTAACTTTGAGCTCCGCAAGGACCATCTTGTCGCGGACTTCCTTGACTGAGTCCAACATATGGTCAATTTTGGTCAGGATTTCCTCCGCCTGTTCAAGAAGCCGATTTCCTGTCTCTTTCTGTTCACGCCGGTCAACTATGTGGAGCCATCGGCCCAGATGCGACTCCGCTTCAACAATAGATTTCTGGAGTTCGGAGAGGGAATCCCCAGACATGCTTTTCCAGATCCAGACAGCACGGCCGCGGTTATAAAGTGACTGGATTAGGGCAGCGAACGTTAAAACTGCGATGTATACCTGGACAAGAGCTGTCTTGATGTGTTTGTCGGTGTTTGGGTCCTTTTGATATTCGTCCTCCACAAAGCTATACTGGGTAAGAATGTCTGCGAGAAAGGTGCAAGATTCCAACCAAGCCACTTTCTGACTTTGATAGTTTTGTGTCATCTTGAGTCGCGCCTGTTAGTTACGTAATCTTTGATGTTTTTAAGGGAAAAATATAAGCATACGGTTAACCCTAGGGATATAACTGCCCAGACGCTAGTTGCGTGTCCTGTTGGGTCAAATGCAACAGCTGCCTTGATAAAGTCCTGGAAGCTAAGAACAGCCTTAACGATCTTTTGGGCTGGCTCTCTAATCTTGGACTTTTCTTGGTCGATTTCATATTGGATCTTCACAGTTTCGACTACTCCACTGAGTGCCTTTAAACGGCGTATGGTATTGGGATTCATATTCGCATCACTGTACCCGATCGTTTTATTGTATTTTGGCACCTGTATAGACTTAATAAGTTGTTGCTTTTCTGGCTCGAGCTCATCAAAAGCGCGTTGCCACAGGTCTGGTTTCGTAGGAGGGGCAGATCCTGCTTGGTTCGAATAAGTATCCAGGGATTGATCCTGTTGCCTGGACTGGTCACTTTGTTCCTTGTTTGGTTTGTTGTGTGAGACACCATCATGTCGCTCATCATTTAGCTTGCTGTGTGTGAATTGAGGTTTATCATTGTGATGCTTGCTATCTGACTTGCTGTGCGGGTCTTGACCTTTGACATCACGTTGCCTGTCATTCGACTCGTGTGTTTCTTGACAGCGGGTGAGCGGAGCTTCCAGGCTCGTTGAAGAGCCTTAGCTGATTTGATCGGCACCTACAGTCCCGTGGTCTTGATGGCACAATCTTTTTAATTTGCCCTTGACGTCCTTCAGTTTGTCCTTGACACCGTGTCTGGTATTTTGGGCGCTCATGATGGGCCAGTTCAGAATTGATAGTCAAAATGAAGTAAAGTGACGCCTTTGTCAATGCTAAGGCTATTAGGGGATCTATTTTCCCGACTGCTGAGTTGGCACGGTACGGCTGAAAAGCGGGGCATGTTCGGTGCATCCGATCTATTACATCCATAGCTGAGATACAGGCGATCCAATTGACTCAACAACGCAGGAGCTAGCTCTTAGTGCTAGACGATAAGTTTTAGCATGGATAAAAGAGTCGTAGAGATGAATATTTCGTGGAAAATAACGGGTCCTGGATAAACAATAGTACATACTAGGTGATTAATTTCATCTCCATTGTATGGCCGTCCATACGTTGTGATATACTCTTTGCTAATTATGGGTATTTGTTATCAATTACCAGAACACAATCATTAGCTCACCTCTGTAAGCCCCCGCATTCTCGCCTCTTGCTGGTCAAAAGTAGACCGTCACAAGATCATGTAGTAGCGTGGCACAAAGTCAATATGACTAATTATGCTTGCCAGTGGCAGAAGCTATGACTGGTCGATCGAGTACTGTTTGTTGGTACGACTGTCGGCCCGAACCGACCCCACCACTTCGCCTGTTCCTGGCCACCTCATCAACTTGATTAGCAGCTTGATGCAACCACCATGGCGCCACGGCTTGCACCCTCCCAGCTAGTGATGATCCGAGATATGATCAGCAGCAAATCGCTCACCACCTCTCAGATAGCGGAGGCGGCCAGCTGCAGCAAACGTTCGATCATAACCATCAGTGCCAACCTCCGGATGTTTGGCGATGTCCGAGCGCCCCTAATCCCTGCGGCCGTCCTTGTACAATCACGCCCATCATGCTCGAAGCGCTATGCGACCACCTACTAGAGAAGCCGGATTTATACTTGGATGAGATGGCAGAGTACTTATATGATGAATTTGACGGGTTCATATCTACATATACTATCAGCCGGGCCCTTCGATCGCATGGTTGGTCTAAAAAAGTGGCTCGACGGATAGCACAAGAAAGAAACATGGATCTAAGAGATTACTATTTATATTAACTATCTGATTTCCGCTCGTACCACCTGGACTTTATAGATGAATCAGGCTGTGACAAACGGGCCGGCTTCAGAAGAACAGGCTGGTCCCTCCGCGGTGTGGCACTTGTCCAGGTTTCCCGTTTCTAGCAAGGTCAGCGATATCAGATTCTCCCAGTATACTGCCAGTATGGTGTTTTGATGTCGCGAGTCTTCCAAGGATCGACTGATGCAAACATATTCGAGGATTTTGTTGAACAGCTTCTTCACCATTGTGGTAAATGGCCAGATCCCAAGTCTGTTCTTATTATGGATAACGCATCTTTTCATCATACTGACTGAATAATGGAGTTATGCTCCAATGCTGGTGTAAAGTTGTTGTACCTACCGTTGTATTCTCCTGATATTAGCCGGATCGAAGAATTCTTTGCAGAGCTCAAAGCGTTTGTAAGACGAAATTGGCAGAAACATACAGGTCAAGATTTTAAAGATTTTCTTGAATAGAACTTGGACGTTGTAGGGTCTAGAGGGGAAAGCGCGCAAGGCCATTTTCGCCATGCGAACATTGGGGTTGAAACAGAAAAAATATAGATGTATCGTATATCGTGCAGTAAATACTTTTAAGCCGATGGCTTCATATCAAGGTTGGCTCTGATGATTGTCTTCATTATAAGATTACCGATAAGCCGAGGGATCGGTGCTTAGCCATAGGCTTAGGTTGAAATGTCAATTATTATCAGCTGCTAGAGGAGAAAGGTTAGATATGTGTAGTGTTTATTCTTTGCCTCCCTATTTGGGCGATCAATTAACTAAGGCATAATCGTGACAAACAGCGCATATGACATAATACACCAAGGTCAATTAACGTAATCGGTAAACGAGCTGCGCACGCAAACGGGCTGCGCACCAACCGCCATATTGAAAATTAAAATAGTCAAAACACCATGAATTCAGACCTCTATATAGAAATGAGTAGTTCTATCGATTTGGGCAGTGCGTGATTTTATGGCCCCGTACACCACAGCCAGAACATTTAGATGGGGCGCGCCTAGGAGCTGATTCAGTAGGCAGAGCCCTATCTGCCTGTATAGCTTCATCTACCTGATTTCGGCGCTCTATAAGAATTCGGGCTTCAGATACTGATGTGCCTTCTTTAAAAGTAATCTGTTTGGTAGAGCGCTTTCGCTTTTTAATCTGTCTTTTATTTTCAGCCTGATGTTGCTTAAGTTGATGCTTTAATATTGCTGCATTATACAAAGCTTGTTCAGCGCCTTTTATTATTTGATTTAGGCGAGCTTTAATAGGCGAATCAGAACTGCAATACCGATTTTTAAGCAGCTTTTTAAAGCTAGATTCTAACTTATTTAGCTGCTTGACTGTATAAGGTGTTTTAGGCGCTGAGCTGCCCTGGCTGCTAGGTCTACTACCTGGAGGTGTAGAGGTCTTAAGCTGAACTGTTAGCTGAGATAGAACATGCTCAGGAGACAGAGGAACTAGGCCAGTAGCTCTAAAAACACTATAAATATTACTGCTGGTAAAGGCCTCTGTATGGGCCTTGGGATATGCGGCCAAGAAATTAAGTTTATTGATATGATTAAGCCCACAGCGCATCTTAGATTTAACTAGGCCGCCGTACGCGCGTTTTAGAGGCGAGAAAACAGTAACATCAAGCGGTTAAAGCTTATGAGAAGCGTGTGCAGGCATATAGATTAGTATAATATCATTTTCTGCGCAGACCTGATCAAATTGAGGTGTTAGATAACTATTATGGCCATCTAGAATAAGTAAACAGTATTTCTCCATAGATCAGCCGGTAGTATAAGGTATAAAAAGATTCTGCAGTCAATATAGGCTAATCTCATTGCTTGTCCAGCCATTAGGACTAACCTCAATCCTCCAATTAGAAGGAACCTTATTATCCTCATACCAGGCCTCCATATACACCTTGCCTTTAAAAATAATGCAGGAAGGTAGAGCCCATCCATTAGAACATATATATTCTATAGTAGTAATCCATTCCCGGTTCCCTGGCTGCAATAAAAATGGCTTGCCTGGTATATTAGATCTAGTAATAACTTTGGCTGCAGCAATTAGGCCCATTACAAAGCCTATTTTATCAAAATTATATATATCACTAGAAGCTATACCGTACTTCTGAATAGTCTCATTTACCTGCTCAAACCAAGCACCTAGAACCTTTAGATCCTCTACTTTAGCACGTTAATAGTTGTAGCGACGTGCAAAGCAGGCTTTAAGCTCAGGTGTATACCTGGTAAAGTTATATACCTATTTCTTCCCTACAGTAGCAGGGGGAGATGTTGTATCATGCTTTAAGAGTAGGATATGGCCATTTCTTGAACATATGCAGGCCGAGGAGGTGCTCCACGTCTATCTAGTGACAGAATCCATTCTTTAAGCGATTCCTCTTCACTACTAGTCAATTTATGACCATTGGTGCGTTGCTCACCTCTAAAAGAGGTTCCTTTTAGGCGACTGCGTAGGGTAGATTCAGGTAGATTAAATATATCAGCTGCCTTTCCAAGGCTACTGTCATTCTTTTTTAGGGCCGATATGGCCAGTAGGATTCGGCCTTCCTGTTCAACGCGTGATTTTGATGATTTAGGCATTTTTGGTGGCATGGCTGGTGTTTAAATCACCTAAGAAATTGAGGCGCGTTGAAAACGCGTGGAGTGCGCAGCCCGTTTGCGTGCGCAGCTCGTGTACTGATTACGTTAACTAATATGCACCTATTAATAACGCTGGTGCCTTGGCAGTGGGGCCTAAAATAATGGAAGGAGTGTGGATTGGTGAAGCTAGTTTTGCACCACCCTGTACTCTTTTCTCAGTTTAGCATCTTTGCGGGTGGGTCAAGAATGAAGAGAAGAGTATGAAACGGTGAAGCTGGTTTTGCACTTCCCTGTACAAGGATGATCGACGTGATCTTCCGGGAGGGATCCTTGGACCACGTTCATCGGGGGGATATCCACATGTTCTGATGGATACGTTCGTACGTGGGGATACAGACTATGTAAAATATTTTCGCGTCATGGAACGGACAGTACGATGCAATACAAAAAATCGTAATAAGGACTTTAACAGGCCTTTACAAAAGTGGCTTAGCGTGTTTCATGTGAGGGTACTTGGAAGTATTCAAGTATGTGAACATTTGCACCGGTATTGCAACCAGCTGTATAGCCATTGTAATAAATTACATGGATTATAGCTGTTCCGTAGCTTATCTTAAATACAGCTGAGACTTAGGCCTCCGGAGAGGAGGGGGGCAGTAAACACCAGTTTTGCAATCAGCTGTATCCAATATTTCTCGACAATTCGATGTGTATAACCGTCGCGGGCGTAGTGGGATAGACCTTCTTCTCCAAGCGGGCGGTATACCGGCCAGATTGATGAAAAAGGGATGTTCGCGTCAATCGGGGGTAGTGTAAGCCCGATGACACTGTGTGGCAAGGCATGCGCAAGCACAGGGGCCCTGCCACGGAGACCAAAAATAAGATTAATCAATGTTGTGTTCCTATGGAACACTTTCAGAGATTAAACTGAAAAGAACAGATACTACACTTGATCTAAGCCAAAAGGCAAAGAGAGCTGGAAAAGAAAAGAAAAAAACCTTCAAAAGAGGGCGGGCGAGCGCAGTATTTATGTTGGGACCTTGATGGCACGTGCACTCGCTAGTGTTAAGCGACCCCATTTCCGCCAATCATATGCAAGCAGACATTGTTACTGAGTCGGGAAATGTACAGTACTTGGGTTGTAAGTTTGATAACAGACTTAAACTCTATAGTGTGAGCTAACGGAGATACAAGGATAACTTTACGCCTTTCTTCCATACGCCCATCTTCCCTTTACATCGCCTTCTGCTCTGGGTTCCTGGGCCGATATTACTTATATTTCCCTTGCAGCCATGCTCCGAGACAAATGACAAGCCTTGCGAATTCGGTCTCCAAAAATGATAATTGTCAATACCACTCGACCAAAAAATACCAGTTGATACCTTGTCGTGCCTTGGACTCTATATATATGCCCATTCTGTGAATATCCAGAGAAACATTAATTAGGAAGGTGATCCAAGTTACCAGAGGGGTAGAACCGAAATTGCCCTCAAAAATAAGTGTTACGCATCAAAGAACAAATAAAATATGCCATAATCGAAAGCCATATAGATGCATGAAAGGAGGATGATGAGCTCCCTGAACAACATGATCTAAGGGGTCATCAGGGGACTTCGCTAATGATACGTGCTAGACGAGGGTTGGAAAACGTACAGGTCTCATTAAGATCATTGTTCGTGCTGGCCTTGGTGGTCTTGGTCTGGCTGTACCACTTGTAACTGTACCATGATCTAATTGTTTATTATTGCGTTCTCGCGAGCTCAGGACGGACCCATAGGTCTATATAGAATGCGGACTTCGAGTAGCGACGTTTCGCAGACGAATACATGGGAATTAAAAAGCAATCAAAGGAAGAGAAAGAATAAAAAATAGGAATTAAACGTAGTCTAAACTGGGAGTATCAGGGATGGAACGGGAGACTTTCCTCCGAAGCATAATGCAATCCAGAAGACCCATCAGAAGGAGAGCTAGGATGCATAGCCTGAGGTCAGGGGGCCTAGATAAGGCTCAATTGTGGTAGTCTATACGCAGGGAAGGATAAATTCCCTCTGTCAGTCAAAGGCCATGTCTAAAGCTCGGTAGAACGAAAGGAAATAATGCATACCCCAACTAGAACCGCAATAGCATGGCCCCTTGTCACAAGATTGTTGAACACATCAGCATACAAACCGCCCACAATGGATAAGGTGGCTGAGGCGGAAATGCCATCTAGAAGACGGAAGATAAGTAGTGCCGTCCAGTTTGGCGCGACGGCACAGCCCAGTGTGAACAGTAAGTAGCCGGTAAACGGGCTGAATAAAACAGGCTTTCGACCATACAGCTCACTCATCGGTCCGAACAGGAGAGGGCCGAAAATATAGCCAATTAAATAGACAGAGTTGGGAAGCACAAGCTGCAGCTTGTTGTCGACATGAAACGCGTCTGAGAATGCCATGTTGCACCACTGGGTAATGATGAGCCAAGGATGCTGTTAGGGGCTAGTAGGGCACCTAGAATCAGAACGAGAATTTTCTTGCCCTGTTAGCGTAGTGTATTATTCAAATTAGCAATTGTATTCGGATAATATTGTCATCGTTTGGACATACTTTGGGCCAGTCCTCGGGTAGAGCTCTAGCATCATCCAGAGCCATGATAACAGAAGCTGGCTCGAGAGTAACTTGATATCAGTGTGAGTTGATGGGGGAGGGGACATGTTGCTCTAGGACCATCTCATGTTTATGGCATCAAATCGCACATAAATTTAACCCAGATTTAGCAACACCCCTCCGTTCACAACGGTGAATAGGCTTTCTTGGCTTTTGTATCCCCCCTGCAGGGACTGTAGTCGGGGTTGTTAATAATTTGGCCTACTAGTAATATGGCTTACGGAGTTGACAGCCTTGAAAGTTGTTTTAGCTGTCTAATTAGGCTTCGACACCAAAAGGCTGAACTTGAGTATTTGAAGGGAGATCAGAAATCGTAGTCTCTATTTTTATGAGAATCCTTTTATTGCCGTAAGTAACTGTCTCAGTCCTTGTCTCTGTGTGTTCTCTCCAGACCAGAGAACCACTAGGGACACCTACCAGTCTGTCTAGGCAAAAAGCTTCCCACGGTTCTTGTCCGGAATCAAGGAGGAAAAGAAGTCATTCAAGGAAGGAAAGTTCAAAAAGTTTGGATTTATGAAGCTAATCAATATGCAGGAAATTTTTGAATTGGCATGTCTGGTCTTCTTTGGCTTATCAACGGGCTTTCTCAGAAGTTTCATAATCACTGATTCTTCACACTTCCTTTGGAGGTAAATATAAAAGCAGCGCATCCTCTTCAGCCCAATCCCCATCGCGGTTATTCCTCCGTGGGACAGAAGAAGCTGTCCATGGCAATGGATCATGAGAAAGGTCATCTGGATGAGAGCAAAGAGGTCCTGGATATTAAGGTATGTTTCTGGCTAGTATCACATAAAATCTAACATATTTCGCTGTATTCCATGATGAACACAGGCTGAGTTATTTCCATTTAAGGAGCATTTGACCAGGTGCCAAAGTAGTTGGGGTGCATGACCAGCCTCGAATCCCGGCTGTTGTATGTTTTCCTTGTTTTTTCGAAACTTTTGAGGTTGAATCTCTAGTTGCATTCTACTTGCAGTCTTCGAAGCTGATGCGTGATAGAATGAAGGCCCTAAATGCTTCTAACAGCGGACACATATCACTTTACAGCTGCAGTGTCAGGACGCCGGGCCTCCAAGGTAGGAGATTGTAGTCACCATTGGAGCTGGGGTCTCGTCCCTGGTAGAGTAACTGCAGGTTGCATGGATCAATGGTCATTGTCTGATCAGGGTTGCTGCGAAGCAGGTCACCATGGCTGATGTCGTTGGTCCAGGTGGCGCCACTGTTAGCCTTGCCAGCGAAGGGCTGGCTCTCACTTGCAGCCTGCGGCGTCCACGAACCACCCAAACTGTCGGCCGTGAAGGAGCGGAAATAGCGTCCGTTCGCCCCAATGGCTTCCACAATCATCAAGTACTTCTTCTGCCCCTTAACGGTATAGACCTGAACTGCTTCAAACAGGTTATTCCTTGTGTCACTCATGATCACCTCTGACTTTGTGCCGAAATCACCCGGGAAGTTTCCAATAGGCATGCTGGCGCGATAGATCTTGCCATTGTCGCCTGCAAAGAAAAGATACATGGTTGTATCATCACCGATAACTGTCTGGTCAATGACACCAGTATCTGACCCGGAGATGCTTCCGGAGAACAACGGTTGCGGCGATGACCAGCCATTGGCATCGGTGGGATCACTCGAGGTTCGGTAGGAGAATGCGGTCGGGCCCCATTGATAGGCCAGAATCCAAATATCCTTGGGCTTAAAGTGGAAGAGTGTGGGGGCAACAGCTCCTTGGTTCATTGCGTTCTGACTCGCCGACGCCATGCCTGGCCAGTCTGAAAAGAGGCCGAAATTCATCGAACCGTAACTCCCTTTCGAGTCGGTGAAGGAAGCATACACGAGATGCTGGCCGTTGTATACGACATTGGTGAAATCCTTCACTGCAGTCCATCCTGAACGGGGCTCTGCTAGCTGACCAGTAGATGTCCATTTGTAGCTCGACGGAAGATCGCACTGCGCCGCAACCCCTGGCACAGCCGCAAGCAACGCAGCGCCAAACAGCAACTTACCAATCTCATTCCCAGAAAGCCTCATTGGGGCGAATTGTCCTTATATGGCCAAGGGAAGGTTGAAGTTCAATAGTAGTCTTAGATATTCTGAACTATGTTGCAGAAGATAAGTCAAAGAACGGCAAGCCAGGTTCATATACCCTATGTGGGCTTGGCATTGGCAGTTGACAAGTGAAGAAGATCAAGCACTCGCTTTTATCCGCGGGTAAAAGCCATGGTGAATCAGCCGCAATGGGTATTCGGCATATTGAGCTTCCCCATATTCGCTACAGGTGTTCAATCGCTCAATTTTGCGGGGGTAATTTGCGGGGAACAACACCCCGTGAAACGCGTGCCGTCGGGCTGTTGCCTTTTCCGTCACGGATGATGCATCTCACACACAGACCTATAGACACAAGATCTACTCTAATTTAGGCTCTTTGTTCAAAACTTCATCAGCCTAGCCCTGCGTACTAGAGAGGGGGTGCTGGGAGATATGAAACATTCGTCTTCCGCGCTCGTACCAAACTACCCAACAGGCCCAGTCATCGGCATCCGCGCCACTCCTAACAGCTTCAGGATAAAACGTAGTAATTTCTGTGGAACATCGACCACGGAGGGCCTCAGGACAGTGTTGGCCGTTCATGCCGCAGGATACAGAACTTTGCCTGATATAACCCTTCCAGAATACGGTCAACGGCCCGGAACTGCCCAGTTTGAGTTGGTCAGCACAGCGGGGTGTGGTACTAGGCCTATATAACATTGCAAGTTGTAGTATTGCATCGGTCTGATGTTCCACTTTAAGTGAAAATACTGTACTGTAGCCAAATATAGTCGACATAAAATAGATAGCCCTCCGCTCTGGGAAGAATATAAGCAAGTAGTATTTGATCATTATGTTATTGAGATATTAGTGTCAACCCCGACACTCTTTTCAATTATTTTTCAGACCTTAATCCCACAACGCGCTGCCATCCGCTGGTAAAGCACAGCCCTAATTTTACCATCAAATCTATACGTTAACCCATGTCCTTGGATGAACTGCTCTAGCCAAGGGAAGCCATACTAAATCTACAGTCAAACTAGAACAGAAAGACTTCAACACATGCGTGACTGTCATGCCAGATTCTACGGTTGTGACTACAAAGACCATGTTTTCGTCAGCAAGTATACTCTTTCTAACGGATTGGCATATTCACAGTAGAGTCTAGCTCTTAGGAATAGAAAGACTCTTCGAAACCATATCCGATCCCGACAACCTTCAGACCCTCCTTAATACAAAGCGGAGCAAGCAGTCAATATTAATATACTGAAAGCGTAGAGCTTCTAACTACGTTTTCCAGGGCTGAAATACTACACCGAGGATAATATGCATTTGCGTAAGCTTCTTGTTTCGATCTTTTGCAAATCTTAGCCAGCCTGTCCACCATGTTTAGATAGACCTATAAGTTACGATAAACCACAGACGGTAGACCTGTTTGGTTTTGCTAGGCTTTCCGGCAGAATCTATCTCTCCTATCACATACTGCCCATCCCAGAGCATTCACTCACGTACCCTACGCGAGGCTACTTGCCGCGGTTATCATACTACCATTAAGAACGGAGAGGCTATGCAGAAATTTGCTCAACCCCATTAGGGATACCGAGAGACGAAGCTCTGGTGAGACGCTTTGTGCTTCCGTAAAAGAATTACGCACTAGGAATTATCGTCTAAGGATTATGAAACCTCATACTAAAACAGAAAGGATGTAATCGAGGCTTTCGGGTTGTGCATTCCGAGGGTTGCCGTAACTGCGACATGGATTTAATTTGAGGCAAAAATATAAGCCTGTGGATCATCAGGAGTAAGTCTATAATATACAAAGCTCGCATTTCAATTTTAGACGGATCGGTTTCCATCGGGGGCTCCTTCTATTCCGTTGTTCGTTCTAGACGGAGACCATTATATTAACAGAAATGACATGCATCTGTAAAATTCTACCGACAGGTCCATGCAGTCCAAACAGGTCCGATACTATTTCTAATAGCCAAATATTGTGAGACCATTTGTACGTCTTTCCCATTAGCGCTCACTATATCCTCCAAGCCTCAATCCGCATCTTGGCAAAAATAGAAAAACGTCTGATCCCTATATGTAACATCCTTCCCGTGATAATCAACGGACGAGGACGATCTTAGCCGACTCTACCCGCAATTCCAGAACTTTTCAAGGATCGGAATGCCTCCGTGCACTATTGGCAGAAGGGTCATAATACATGCAGGGACATGCACCCGCCGCCACCTGCAGTGTTACTGTGTTATCATAACATAACAGCAATGCATGAATTGCCCACAGACCAATCCATCTATAATCCATCCTGTTGTGCCTTTCTTAGCTGGTATTAGTTCCCTGTCAAGTATTAATGCAAGCCATAACGACTTATTTATTTCACTATGCAAAGCCTAGAACAACGTCACTCGTTGAGAAAACTCTGATATAGTGCTTTGGAAACCCTTACACAAGGATCAGTCTGCAAGAATCAACGCACAAAATCCTCGGTTATAGCCCCCTGTGAGCACGCCCATCGATGCTCCAGCTTCTCTGGCCGTCGCTTCCGGATTTTATGTAATTGTCACCCGAGCTCCAAACCACCCCATGCAGAACAACCTATCCTGCCTGCACCCACCGCCCTCAAAGATTCCATCTCGTAAACCTATACTACTCTCGCTGCAAGAGAGGTATCAAAAAGATGCAAGTATAGCAACACGCCACTACATCTCCGCCTTGGCCACATCGCTCTAGGCCCCCCTGCATGCCACTCTACAGAAGGAGCATTCCACAGGGGCGGTATCATCTATCGCCACCTAATCTAATACTCTTCAAGAATTTGCGGACTTCATGTCCTCACGCTGATGCGTTCCTCTGTGCTATTGATTATTGACCAGAGATCAGTCGATCCTGTAGCCATATGTCCCTGTTAGCCTTGAGCAATAGGCGCTGAGTGCTATCGAAGCCGAGCACGGCCTAGTCAAACGCTGAAACCATAATGATCATCCCCAGCGGCCTTTAGCGTGCGTGGTTTAGGTCTCTTTTTCAGGGATAATGAGTCGCCGTTTCTAGATTTCCGGAGTGGATACGACCAGGATGAAAGCCGGAGAGCAAGGGATAGTCGGATCATCTAGGCACCTGCGGACTGCTGGAATCCCGAGCTTCTGGGGTATAAGTACTTAGACAGTTCACTTCAGAGTCAGTAGCATTCCATTCCATCGACAACATTCTTCCCTTTGACATTCGAAACACTGATCAGCAACTCTCCCAGCTCTTCACTTAAACACATCTTCGTTTCATAAACCCACCACAATGCTTCGTGTCACTGCTTGCTTCATGGCCTTCCTCGTTCTGGCTACTGCAGCCCCCGCGGCTCAGAGTGAAATGTGTGCCTCTGTATGTCTGAAGGAGAAGCCTGCCTGTGCTTCTGACGAAGTAAGTCATGGTACATTCCTTCTAAAAAGATTTACGTTACTAATACCATTTATAGAGAGCAGCTGGCTTTGAGGTACGTCTCTCTTATTCAATATTGGATAGGGTCAGTAATAACGATAGATAATTATTTAGGGCTGCTGGGGTTGCTGCGAAAAAGTCGAAACCGCAGTCCAGAATAACATGTGCGTCTCTGTATGTCTGAAGGAGAAGCCTGCCTGTGCTTCTGATGAAGTAAGTCATTATACATTCCTTCTATAAGGATTTACGTTACTAATACCATTTATAGAGAGCAGCTGGCTTTGAGGTACGTCTCTTAAACAGTATGGCTAGGGTTTATAATAACAGCAGGTGCTTGTCTAGGGCTGCTGGGGTTGCTGCGAGAAGATCGAACCCGTAGCTCAGGATATGTGCGTCTCCTTGTGTCAGCAGGAGAAGCCTGTCTGTGCTTCCGACGAGGTAAGTCATTGTATGGTCCCTCCTTTGAAGTCTTGCATTGCTGATACGGTTTATAGAAAGCAGCTGGCTTTGAGGTATGTCTCTCTTATTCGGTATGGCGAGGGTTGATAATAACTGCGGGTGTTTGTTTAGGGCTGCTGGGGTTGCTGCGAGAAGGTCTGAACAGCGAACGTCTAAGACCGGGTCCTGGACCCGTCATCTCAAAAGTTTTGGCTATGTTTCTCGGTATTTTAAAGGGTATATCAAAAAAGGAAAATAATGCGTCTCCCTTTTTTTGTCTTTTCGTCGTTTGCGATATGCTGTACACTTCAACGTGAGCAGTATGCTGCGGCATATGTATGATGAGTCGCTCTTTTACGCACGGATAGAAATATAATGAGGATAATCCACTATCTCCGATATTAACTTATGGGGTCTCCATGTAGTGTTTTTCCAATCTACCATTTGAAGTTGCTATCTCATATGTGCATTGCCCTCCGGTTGGAGGGCTCGGAAGCGAGTCCTATCCAACTATTTGCTCATCCCCAAAGCCAATACAAGGCTATGAAATATATAATAGAGACTAGCCATTTTTATGTTTGTCATTGGGTGTCTTTTCGTCCTAAATCTGTTCGCCATGCAAGGCTGGCGCTTGGGATGTGTTCACTGCGGCGTCTTGGCGTTCGCGCGTTAGATCAATACCTATCAACTCGTAGAAGTCAACAACCCCACGACAGTGTCGGAAAGGCTGTACAATGAGCTGATGAACTGAGCCAATAAAATGCCTCGGAAATTATTTATCAGAAAGTACGAGGCTTATCGCCAGCGAGGTATTTGTTAATCCCACCCCTGTGTACAAGAGCAAGTGAATTTCTACTACATGCCACATATATATAGGCCACCAACCTAACCATCTTTACTTCAAGTCAATACCAACCCATAAACCACCTCTAGAAATTCCCTGCTTTTCTCACACCAACTTAGTTGCAAGCTCAATAAACCATACAAAGCGGCTTGAGGAAACAGTCGGCACAACCAGCTGGACCGAAGCGCTAGCCAAAGCCATCCTCCACGGCCTCGAGAATGCCATCAACGCCGGCACCCACATGGCCGAAACAGCGGCTAACGCACTTGCTCGAGCTAAGGCCGAAGCCTTTGAGTTCGCACATGACCATCCTATCTTCGTTACGATCCTTGCTCTGGGTGTCTTGGCTGTCTTGACGCCGTGGGTGATTGAGATACTTGGGTTTGGAGAGTTGGGACCTATTGAGGGTTCATTTGCAGCCTCTTGGCAGAGAATTTATGCTGGATACGTGCCGAAGGGGTCGCTGTTCTCTTCCTTCCAGCGGTTAGGCATGATTTGGAAGCATTAGAGCCTGCAGGGTTAGGATAAGAGGCTGTGTGTATGTGGCTAGATAGCGTGGAGAACGAATGTCCGTATATTTTGGGATAATGATGCTAAAATGAATTCCGGGCATCAGCAAATAGGTCCCGTAACTCAGTCGGTTAGAGTGCTGAGCTAATAACTCAGAAGTCGAGAGTTCGAGCCTCTCCGGGACCATCTTTTTGCGGTTCTATGCGCTTTGTATATTTTTGCCTCTTGATGATTGTTTGGCTCATCGCTGTTGCTATGCAAGTCTAGGTTAATGTTTTAATCCCTACAGACACCTGATTAACCGATCCGGCTGTGGTCTATCATCGTCCGGACACCACCGTATATCTGCAAGACACAAACACTTTTCTATGTCTATGTTGAGAAACATGTACTCATCAAGAATGGTTTGCTCTGTGCCTATAAGGCATAATTATTATATCTAGTGTGTGGGCAGAGCTAGAACGGTGACCAACAAGGAAATGAAATAGTTCAGCTACCCTGCAGATCTCAAGGAACGTTCAAACCGGGTCCAACCTTAAACCAACCACATCTCTCGCATATCCTGCTTCTATAGCTGTTCTAGAACAGCAGTCGAATATTTAGGAGCCCGGTTACTGCATTCAGGCTCATACCCGAACCTCGGTACTCTGTCGAACGGAATCATGCATTCGGCTTGCCGAAAATACAAGCCGGGCCTACGGGGCGGTGGAACGATGTGGACATCAGGATCGACCAAGTGGAGCATCACCCAATATCTACAGCTCTCATGGCCAACGATATTGCAAATTGCCATCATGTTGCGAGACACTGTTTTTTCCTCTCCTAACACCTGATCTATGGATGCTATCTTGATATCATTGTGTCAGATGTAAGGTTTAATATATAACTCTCGCCTTTTCTTTTTCATTTCCTCTGTTTACACCATACAGTATGCGCAAGAGCATACCCTTATCCACATCGGTCCCCTGGAATGGCTTCTAAAGACAATATCCATGAAGCCCCTCGCTCCCAGGGAATCCCTTACTGGCGGTTACTCCTCGACCAAGGCGTCGTCACACCCGAAATAATCGAATACCCATACAAGGGTTCTGGAACCGATGATGACCCATACATCGTAGAATGGATCCCTAATGACCCACGCAACCCGATGCTTTTTAGCAATACCGTGAAGTGGGCCTACACTATCACCGTCGCGTTTGCTACATTCGGCGTGTCGCTTTCGTCCTCCGCCTATGCGGGTGGCATCCAGGAGGTCATTAAGCATTTCGGCATCAGCCAAGAAGTAGCCACACTCGGCGTATCACTGTTCGTTTTGGGCTTCGCAGTCGGCCCGTTATTGTGGGCACCTTTGAGTGAACTGATCGGTCGCCAGGTTGTCTTCTTCGTCTCATATGGCGCTCTTGCGTTCTTCTGTGCCGGTGCCGCCGGCGCCCAGAATAGCTGGACATTGATCATCCTGCGCTTCTTCGCAGGTTCATTTGGATCCTCACCCTTAACTAACGCCGGAGGCGTCATCGCTGATATCTTCACTGCGGAGCATCGAGGCTTAGCCACAAGTCTATTCGCCGGCGCACCGTTCCTAGGTATGCACATACAAACGCCAACATCCCAAGCTCAAGGAACGAACCCACACTAACAACCCCCCAGGTCCCACCCTAGGGCCCATAATCGGCGGCTTCCTGGGAGAAAACGCCGGCTGGCGCTGGGTCCAAGGATTCCTGGCAACCTTCACCGGCCTAATCTGGATCATCGAAACGCTCCTCGTACCAGAAACCTACGCGCCCGTCCTCCTCCGCAAACGCGCCGCCCGCCTCACAACCCTAACCGGCCAAGTATACCGCAGCAAACTCGACCTCGAGCGCGGCAAAGTAACAATGACCAGCACCTTTGCCGCCGCCCTCCTCCGCCCCTGGATCCTCCTCTTCGCCGAACCCATCGTCCTCCTTCTCTCAACCTACATGGCCATCGTCTACGGCACCCTTTACATGCTCTTTGACGCCTTCCCAATCGTCTTCCAATCGCTCCGCGGCTGGCCCGAAGGCCTAGGCTCCCTCCCTTTCCTAGGCGTAATGATAGGCATGATGGCCGCTGTCGCCGCAAACATGCACGACAACAAACGCTACATCCACCTCCACAAAAAACACAACGGCTTCGCGCCCCCCGAATCCCGTCTGCCCCCCACCATGATCGGCGCCATTGCTATCCCCATCGGCCTCTTCTGGTTCGCCTGGACCAACGCCCCCCCAGTCCACTGGATAGTAAGCATCATCGCTGCTGCCCCCTTCGGCTTCGGCATGGTCCTCGTCTTCCTGAATATCATGACCTACCTCATAGACGCGTATACCATCTACGCGGCGAGCGTCCTCGCCGCTAACTCGATCATTAGATCTTGTTTCGGCGCTGGGTTCCCCCTTTTCACTTCTTATATGTATCGGGACTTGGGCGTCCATTGGGCTTCCTGTGTCCCTGGTTTCTTGGCGCTCGCTTGTTTGCCTTTTCCGTTTGTTTTTTATCGCTATGGGGCGAGGATTCGCCGGAAGTGTAAGTATGCGGCTGAGGCGGACGATTTTGTGAGAAAGTTGGCGGAGAAGGCGCTTGTTTCGGGGAAGGAGAAGGTTGGTGGTGGTGGTGGTGATGTTGGGGAGGTGGAAGTAGGGCAGTCGGGGTCTAGGAGGAGCTCGGTGTCCAATGTGCCGGATACGGCTTATGACGGAAATCCGTTCGATGTTGATCGCGTTAATACGAGGAATTCGGCGATTTCGAGACGGTCGAGGTCCTGGTCGGGTAGGGCGAGGAGGAGAGTTTTGGGGGTGTTGGGGCTTTGAGTGGGGTTTTTGTCACTGTGTATGTACTGGAGGTGGCTGTAATGGTTGGGGTGTAGGCATTTATATTGATTCTTGGATATAGTGGTTTATAGTATGAGAGTTGGAAGAGAGCGATAGGATTTGTGATGTGATTACTATATATTTACAGGGCTCGAGTACCATAATTGGAAATAATAATTCGTATCTGTTTCGGCTGTCCTTAGTCTGCGTAAGTGCATTCAACCAAGGTTAATACACAAATACATGAACAAAAGAGCGGAATGCCCAGGAGAATAAAACAGGGATAGAAGCCCGAAGATCAACTTCTCTTAGCAGTGGTGGTCCTGTTACCCATGAAGAATATTCAAGGAACGTAAACCACAACTTGCAACCTTACCGTACACTAGTATACAGGGACCTTGAAAGCGGGGAATTCATAAGTCCAGCTGTCAATCGACTTCTCGTCGTTGACACAGTCGAAGGTGGAGTTGGAGTTCCAGAGAGGACGCTTGGGCCACTGGCAAAGCATCTGAGTCTCGCCGGAGTAGGTACCCGAGGAGACAGTGGCGTTGAGGCGCGTGGGCTTGTTGCCGTTCTCGACCCAGTCGATCATGATCTCCATGTTGTTCTGGGGGTAGGGGCCAGGCTGGAGAGAGTTGGTTCCGCAGTGGGCGGCACCGGGGATCAGGTAGAACTGGTACCAGTCCTCGAGGGCCTGCAGGGCCTCCTCTTCTGTCTTACCGCCATACATAACGGAACGGACCGCCTGCCAGTAGTGGATCGAGGAGGCAGCGGGGATACTGGGGTCGGATTCACCGTGGTAGTGCAGCAGCTTGCCACCGGACGATTGGAAGGGAGTCAGATCGGGGAGGGTCGTCTGAAGGCTGTCCAGGTAGCGCACCATACCGGTGTTCATCCAGTCCACCAGGGTGTCGTAGGTGACGTTGTTGAGGTCGGAGAGGTTGTCGATGTTTAGGAGCTGAACAAACTTGGTGACGTACTCACCACCGGTTGACGGGATGCTGAGCTCCCACTTGCCAGTGTCGGAGTTGTACTCGGTCGTGGCATCGCTGAGCTCGGAGGATATCTGCCAGGAGAGGTAGGCGCGCTCGTCCTTGCTGTTGTGGAGACCGTCGTAGATGGCCTGAGCAACAGCGACACCGCGGGCAGTAACGGTGCCGTTTTGCGCGGGCTGGTAGCTAGTGGTGCTGCCCTGGGCCTGACGCTTGACATTGCTGCGCTTGCCATTGCTGAAGCCGAATCCGAGCGATGTGCTCGTCTCAGCAGCGCAGTAGTAAGACTCGCCGATGATAGAGGTCAGGTTGAAGTTGAGCTTGCAAAGGTCGGTCCGAGACACAACACCGTCGGTTCTTCCGTCAAGAGGATCGCAAGCAGCAATCGTGGCGTTCACGATCTTCTTCAGTTCACATGGAGGGGGGTAGTAGTCCATGGTATGCTCCACTGCGGACGAGTACACATGGTGAACCTGTTGCTGAGCGAAACGGAAGGCGGGAGCACCAGCGATGACACCGTCGTACTCCTCTCCCCAGCGCTGGACTTGGCTCATACCCTCACGTCCTCCATCAGAGCAACCTTCGTAGTAGGTGTAGATCTTGTCGCTAGTCGAGCCATAGAAACCGTTTGATATGTACTTTCCGATTTGGGTCATCTCTCCCAGGGCCTGGTATGCGAACATATATGTGGCGTCCCAGTTGATGGTTCCGTTTCCGTAGAGGACTACCTCGTTGTAACTGTTGTCGAAGGCGTCATAGCCAGCATCGGTGGCACCTCCAGCAGCGCCATAGGCAAGACCTCCGGTCGCATCGCTGGAAAGGGAGAAACCACCACCACCGGCGACGTAGAAACGGTTCTTGTAGTCTGAGGGCTTAGGGAATGCATACTTGACGACCACCTCATCACCCTTGCCGGTATGCGTGTAGGCGACGGTGACATTGCAGTAGTCGTATGTGGTGGTGCTGCCCATGCCAGCCGATTGGTAGTACAGAGGGCTCGCCGTGACCGCTGACGGGATCATACTGATTCCGAGCAAAGTTCCGTTAGCAGGCAAGGCAGCCTGCACATTGGAGACGGTGCACACATCGGTGAAAGAGGCTGCATCCGCTCCTGCTGCCAAAGCAACAACGGCCATGCGCGAGTGCTGGCGCATCTTTCGAATCAAATGAGCGACAGAGATCAACGAGGGTCCGAATGATGTTAGAATAAAGAGTGAATGAAGAAGTCTGATCTAAGAATGTCTATAAGGAAGTATCATCCTATTTAAAGGGCTTCTGGGGCTGGAGTAACTACCATCATCGGCGTCGTAAGGTTCGGCATTCGTATCAAGCTTGTGGACCAACTGGCAGATCAACACTCTGCCATCCTTAATTCTATCCAGGCTGTCGTCACCCGGTTGCGTGGCGATATGCCAAGACAGAAGGACTTCCCACAAGGCTCAGCGGGGGGAGAGCGCGTGGTTCTCGTCGTGAGTCCAGTGTTATCTGATATTCCTCGGCTGAACTTCGGCCTTAGCTGATTCCCCCCCGTTCGTCCCTCCCGAGCTCCCCGAGCATAAAAGTATACAGATAGTAAAGACATGTCAGCAACATTCGAGAGAGTAAAATGACAGAAAAATTGGCTCTCTCTTGGCATTTTCTGGTCTGACGCGGAATTCTGAAAGTGATTCCGATGTTGAATTCAATCGGCTAGGTAGTAACGGGTAGTTATCGCCGAGGACTCGGAGTTAACGAGTGAAAGATAAGATGCTGAAGAATTTGGATGTCCGGTCACGTCGTTGATCCGGAGCACATAAGGGTTACCAAAGTTCAAACGTGTTGCGTTTATTTCTTATCGCCGAGCATCAGGTCCCAAATGGCCTCACATCTCACCATCTTCTACATCGAACAACAGGACATGTTGCCAGGAGGAAAACTGAGCGACACTAATCTACGCTTATAGGGCAGGACAGCCCATTATAGACTAGAAGAGCGAGGCCTTTCCATTCAAAAAGCAGGCAATTTGACCAGACCATGAACTTCAAACCATGGATATTCTGAATTGCGGAAGTGTATATATCCGGCTCCCCCCTGACTCCCCCTGACTAGACCGCAAGGCTGTGGAGGCTGAGCCCAATTTCATGAGACAAATTGAAGTAATAGCTCCTTGGGTAGGAACTGATTTACTTTCGCAAGGCCAAACTCTTTATGGTTGCCTGCATTCATTTAATTGAAACGGTAATTGTTATAGCTATATCGTCATCATGGTCATTTACTCTCTAGATTTCGAGCCTAGACTGTACAGTGTTCATCTCTAGAAATCGGCGGGCTCCGGTAGTTTCTCCGGAGTATCACCACGGAAGGTGTTGGTGATCAGACCTCGGAAGCTGGGAGACCAGTCGACGCGAGGAGTGAGGATATCGAGATTCCAGAGCTCTGCCACATACTTCAGGATGGAAGTGTGGGTGAACTCGTTGGGCTGGTCGGTCGGGCTGTTCTGAATCAACCCCTTGCCCACCCAGGGAGACATCAAAACAGTAGGCACCCGGATACCCAGACGGTCGAAGTGGAAGGTGGCCTCCTGACCGTCCTTTGCCTTTTCGGTGTACGTCAGGTTGTCACCGGCAGGCACGTTCTCCGGCGGAGACACATGGTCGGCAAAACCACCGTGCTCGTCGAAAGTAAGGATGAACAGCGTCTCGTTCCACTGCGGGGATGAGCGTACTGCCTCGTAGATGCTCTTGATGAAGCCCTCGCCCATGTTAATTGGAGAGGGTGGGTGGAAGGACATATAGGAACAGCACTCCGGGTTAATCCAGGTAAACTGGGGCAGTGTACCATCCTTGGCATCCTTGAAGAACTGGTCGATCGGCTTGACGTTAGTGTCACCCTTGCCACTCTTGGCCGTCCACTGGTAGAATAAGGAATCTGGGAGGAAACCGGTGGTGTTGGAGTAATTGATCCAGCTAATGCCGGCGGCCGACAGCTGCTCAAATATAGACACCTGAGGCAGGGCCGACACGTCAAAGTCATGGTCATTTTGGCCGTGACCGTGAGAAGTACCAGAAGTCAGATAGGCACGATTAGGATTTGTCGGGCCCGGAACAGCTGCAAACCAGCGGTCAAAAAGCACAAAGTTTTCGGCCATGGCGTTGAAAACGGGCACATGGTCCGGAGTGTAGTAGTTAATGACCTCCGCCGCACGACTCAAGTCGGAGCCCAGGCCGTAAGAGACGATCTGTTCCGTTACAAAGCCTTGCATGCCAGGCATGTCATTCTTCGCGTTCGGATGGTAGGTGCTGTACACCTGTTGGTTTCCACCCGTAATGCTGTGGTCTGGATCATCGGGAGCCACATTCTTCGCGATCGGCTTGGCGCACACCTTGTCCGAGTAGGGGTCCGAGGCGTTTGAGGGGTTGCAATACTCCCGGTTGACCAACCCATCAATCTTGGAGTTGTATGTCAAGCCACCGGCAAACACGTCAAAGCTCAGATTCTCCTCGACTAAAACCACCTGTATGGTTCCTTAGTACCAGGTGATGGAGTGAAATGGTTATTCAGCCAATGGAAGCAAAGGAAGCAAAGCAGACATACCACATTTTTAATCGGGCTGTCCTTGATGGGGTTTACCGGCTTGCCGTATGAGGGACTTGACGGACGGGCATGGGGAAGGCCATGGATACCCAGGCCCAGGGTGAAAAAAGTGAGCAGCGAGAGAATGCTCATAATGGACAGTAAGACTGTAATGATCGTCGTGCGCACCCAGGGACGACGCGGTTCTTCTGGTGACCACGTCGCCGCCTTTATATGAGACGGCCCATCCTGCTGTTGGACTCGATTCGCAGCAAGGATCGGCTGCTTTTCGAGACTTGATGGGCCACGTGGGGCCGAAGGTAGTTGCCATTGCATGATGGAATGCGCGATATGCGTCTACTAGTTTCCCTTACCGAAGTGTAGAGGACTAGATTTTGGGTAATGAGTTTGTATCACCAACAGGTTGTCACCATATACTGAAGACTTGCGGTGGGGTGTGGACAATCGATAAGGATGTTTGACAGTGGGGCAGGGCTTGGCTAGAAGGGCCCCATTGGCGCTCGGCATGCGGTCTCATGGCATGACCTCAGGGGAGGATTGGTTGGGGAGCACGGCTACTCCATACTGCAAGGGGTTTAACTCCGGAGACTATGAGGGGCTTCATTGGGTCTCCCTCTTCAAGCCCTAATTTCAAGTCCATCCAATGACTCCGAAATATCAAGCATGTGCCATGCAAGGCATCAGGTTCCCGTGTCGATCCCCTTGAAGACTATCCATTTTTCGGTTTTGTGATCGGAATGAATGACTTCGCTTAGGGGCGGTCTGGTCCCTAGTACTAATTACTAAATGCTAATCTTCCGACGGGCTCCATCCGTGCAGAGTACCTCCGTCCCCCACCGATTGATTGCATCTTGAAGAAAATCGCCGGCCACGGAGAAGAAAATGGTATCATGGTATCATTTGACCTCCTCAGGTGCTTCAAGGCTACACCCGATACTCGTGGGATTGCCTACGGCTACCAATTCGCATCGCATACCCGTGTGAGAATGAATGTTCAAGGCGGGTGACCTGTCATTCCCAAATGTAATAACCCTTCCAATATAAGCATGGATGCGATGCATACATACCTCTTTGAAATCCCAAAATGGAATGGGTCTTGAACTCTGAATTCCTGGATCCACTCCACTGAATATGGGAGTAGTTCCAGGATGAGTCTGTTACACTTCCCTTCCCACCTACAGGTAATCAATTCCTTTCGTCGTCTGGCTTTGAGGATATGGTAAAAAGAGCTGCCCAAGTGTCACCACTGCGTAACAGGCGTGACATTCGGAACCACTTGGGTATGACCATGATCACACCATTCTTGACATGTATTTAGAATCGTACTGCTTGAAAACATACTGAGCAAGCTGGTTACGTCGGCCTAAGGCGATCATTAGACGGCACGTGGTTGAAATGCAGTTTTTGTTTCGCTCGACAAACATCGGACAGACTACAAAGAATCACCACGGGCCGCCCACATCGCGAAAGTAAACTATTTACATTTCAGAGCCCTTCTAAGCCAGGTCGAGTATAAATCCAGAGAACCCGACTTCCTGGTCCCGATAAATGCATACATACATCAACTGCTGCCCGAGGGGTATATGATAAGCTAAATAAAGACGCCATGCAAGGAGATTCGATAAGAGAAAAGGAGGCAGCCACCGTGTTGAGGCAACTGCGCGATCTTACGGATACTTCCCATGTAAAATTTTTGAAGTCAAGCCACATTGACCGTCGGCTAGACCATAAAAACGAAGCGACCCACGCCAGTCGCGAGCTTAATTACTACTTCAGTTGATCCGGTCCTTTTGCTCCAGCTTCCCCACCAGTCGCTTAACACCGGCCCATTCCTCGGCAGGCACATCTTCGGGGGTGCCACTAAGGCCCTTTCCTACCTCAAAGACGGTGATGACTCCGTCGAGCCCACCAGTCGCAATACGTCTTCCTTCACGCTCCTCCCAGGCCACCTTGTTGAGGCTTCGGGTCAAGATGCCTCCGCGCCCCTTGGACGGCGTGGTCCGCACAACTGGTACTTCCGTGTCCGTGTAGAGGTCCCAAACTTCGAGGTTTCCAGTACCATCGACGAGGGAGAAAACTCCAGGCCGGTGGGGAGACCACCGTGCATCGTAGACAACGTCCTCACGGTTGATGTCGAGAATCGGCGTTACAACCTGCGTTGCAGCGATGGCAGAGGTGGCCGGCGCAGTCGTTGCTGGTGGTCGCACGCGCCATAGTTTCACGCTCCAATCTAGACTAGAACTCAGCATCAAATCGCCCAGATCGACTGGGCCTCGTGCCGGGTGGAACGCAGTAGACATAATGGGGGCTGCGTGACCACGGTACGCGAGACGGTGGTCAGTACCGGCCTTAGCACCAGCTCGGTCATAACGATGGCAGGGATAAATCCCTCCTTCTTCAGTGCCGACGATGAAGAACGTCGGGTCGGACTGTGGGAACGACATGGTCGTGGGAGCGAGATCCTCGGTTTTAGATGGCGGCGGAGTAGACAGTTCGAGATATTCTTGAGGCTGAGAAAGCATGTCAACCGTCCAGCCGCAAACCACGCCATCCGTAGACGCAGTAAGAATATTATGGGCATTCTGCGTGCCGATGATCGAAATGCTATAGACGGGATGGGTATGCCCAGAGCCAGTCAAGGGTGTTTTCTGCACTGGTGCACCGCCGCCTGCGCGCGATGACCGGGTATCCCAAAGTAGAACCTGACCAGAATATGAACCGCCGACGATAAGATTGGGGTGGAATGGAGAGAACTTGGCCGCCAGAATATCGGATGTGGAATGGAATACATATTCGGGGCGAGATTGAAGGTGTTGGTTCCAGACCTGAACCAGGCCATCCGGTTCATGGGGGGCAGACGGGTTTTTAGTGTATGCAGCCAAAACAAGCTCTGGGAACTATAGATGTCTAGTCAGTGATGTATAACAATCGAACGAATGAAATGTCGACAGACCTTTGGAGAAAAGCTGACGTCGCTGATCATGCGCTTCTTGCTCCATCGCTCATCCCAGAATTGGCAAACCTCTCTAATGCCTCTCCTTTTCTTTCCATGTTCGTCGTCGTCCTCTACATCGCCATCAACCCCCCCAAGTTCATAATCCGCTAGTACGTCGTACTCCTCATCAAGAGCCCGCTCAATTACTTTTGCGGAACGTTCCACGAAATCCAGGAAATCCTCGGAAGAAGTCACGGCCTTCAATTCATCGGCGTCAAGTGTGCGCAATGGATACCGTAGTTTCGAAACTTCAGCCTCGGCATCGTTCTCTGCCTTCTGATGGGTGGCTTGCAACTCCTCCTCGATTTCTTTGCGAAGCTTCTTCCGGATCTCCTCGTCGCGTTCGCGTTCTTTCTTGCTCAACCGTATGCCTGTACCCGTAGGATCCTGCCCATCTTCCTCTTCCGATTCGACCGATGATGTATCTGGAGGTTGATTTAAGTCGTCTGTCTGTACTCCTTTGCTGTAGGTGACAATTTCTGGTTTTGGTTCAGGGGGTGGTGCTGTAGGATACGGTTCTGCACCGACGGTTTGAACGGCGATCGAATGTGAAAGTGGTCGCGCGGTTGGACTAAACGCCTCATTATTGTCCCCGCTGACTTGACTAGCGCTGATCACTGAATTGGGTCTGCTCCCTTTGCGCGAGGGGCCATCTGCGTGGCTGATAGACGCCGACCCAGGGCGGTCCACAAGACGTGAGATCAAGTCATCAAGCTCTGCTCTACTATCGGCACGACTGGGGACCGGCGACACAACCTATAATGGGTCGGGGAGGTTTAAAAAGGATTCCAAGATGGGTGGAGTGGAATAATGTCCCATACCTCGGAAGCATCACCGCTGTTGGCCCGACTTTGCGAGAACTCCTTCTGGCGCAACTCCCTCTGCCGTTTTAATTCGGCAAGTTTTGCTCTTTTGGCGAGGATCTCCGCCTTTCGCTGATGCATTGCCGATGACATGGTGAATCGAGGCAGCCGATGGGCTGACGTTCCATCCAAACCAAGTCAAGTCAGTTGGGGAAATCTAAGTGTACTTTATTTACTCTGTTATGCGCGTTAGTTCGCTGACTTCCCCGTCCCGCGCCCAGAGTCCGGGTCGGCGGATGACATAAGCACAGGCCCCGACGGTCCGGAAAAACTCGCGAAAGGAACTTCGCCTTGAACAAGCTTCTGAGTATCCTGTCCGATTGCCAGCCATTGAAAGTTGATACCCTCCAAACGGTCGTTCGGAATTCGGCCTTGCTACCTAGCGTTTATTGTTCTTTTTTGAATTCCGCTCCGGAGGCCAGGATCTTAAAGATGGCTACTGCACAAGGTGTCAACGTGAGTATCCGCAAGGGCTCCCGTTCCTGATAATACTCCCTCGGCCAACTGACCAGGTGGTATCCGCACCACAGGTCCTTCGCTACTCGGCTCTCGTTGCCGGTCTTTTCTACGGTGTCTACCGCCAATCCTCGATCACCGCCAGCGCGCAGCGTGCAGATGCCGAGCGTGAATATGCCCGCCAGGAGCGCCTGATCCAGCAGGCTAAGGCCGAATGGAAGAAGAAGACCGCACCCAAGGACACACAAAACAGCGGAAGTATGTTTGCCAGCCCAATGAAACCTAAATGAGATGCGACGCCTTCGATATATCTCCCACAGACAATGCCATATTTTCTCCGATACTAACGGTTCTCTGCAGTCATCACGGATCCCGAGGACAGCCGGTTCGACCTTGAGGCTTACCTGAAGTTCAAGGCTGGAGAGAACTAGAGGAGTCGGAAGGTATAGAGCGAAAGGATGAGTGACAGCTATTCTGGTACAACGGTCGTACCTCCTAGGGTACACGAAAGGTTGTTCGGGCAACCCCCGATTATGTATTATTGTTTGGTCTAATTTCCCAGAGTCGTGTCATTGCGAGCGAAAGGAATGATTTTTCTTTTACGTTACTAGAGATCCTCTCCGAGACTTGTACATACCCTGGGCAGTTGTGCGTATGTACACTACACTTGGACCAGAAGAGCAAGAGATTCTGTTCGCTTTGGTGTCATTGCTGATCCCTTGTACTGCATGCGGCCTTGGGACGGGTTGCTGCTCTATCATTGCTCATCAGACCATCAAGCCATTAAGCGGATCGGAGAAGTCTATTGCTGCGTAGCCATCTCAACTCCTCTCCGTTCGATCCGTCGGATCATTCGGTTTCCTGAGGGACGTTGACCCCGAATCATCGTACGCTTTTACCCTCCATATTTCCCAACCAGCGCCATAATTTTACTCACGTCATCGTATAAGCGAGCATCTTTTTCTGGGGTTACGTGAATGGGTTTCGGATGTAGTAATTTTGTACTTTCATCCCACGTCCATCCAACTGCAGTGAGTTTCTGTATAATGGCGGGGTCACCCTGCTCTGCCGCAGCAGCATCAAGACCGAGATAATTTGCAGCCGCTGCGGGTCGTATCGCTTCGTAGGCATGGCTAACTTCTTTCAATGTCTTCTCTTGAAAATATGCTAGGCAAATAGTCAGAGTAAGTCCAGTCGCGACAGAAATAAGGTCGATAGCTTTTTTCATACTCTTATAGCTTTCAACTGCCGGACGCAGCAGCTCTGGCCAGGGCAGCTCTCTCAGGATCTTATAAACCGACTCGTATTTCCTCTGCCAAACAGCCCGTAGAAGGGTCAAGCAATTTTGTAGTGACGGATCAGTTTGTGCCAGCTCTTGCGGCATTCTTTGGGTCATTGCGCGAGCTTCGTATCTATTGAATAGAACGTTATTACTTTCGCTGTCTGACCATGAGCCTCCTCTGGTGGTTGATTGGGGAAAGACTTACATTTGGTCTGTGAGAAGATGCGAAAAGAAAAAAGTCGAGTAGAAAAGGCTGAGAAGTTCTGATTCGTTGCTAGGCTTTAAACAGGCCTCGCTCTCATACTCTAACAATGTGTTATAGAGTTCTGTTGGTGAACGGCTAGATGTAAGCACCGCGGAGAGTTGGTCCTTGGAGAGTGGAGGTAAACCCATGTTGTTTTTTAAATGGTCACAAGGAAAGTGAAGTAGTCACAGGAATACTAAACAGGGGGAGAGAAAGAGGTACGTAGAGGGCAAGAGTTATCGTCAGTAGTAGGTATTGACTAACAGTGACGGTTGATCAATATCAAAGGGAGGCGGTGTGGGGGCGTGGAGAGTTCAATTGTGACGGTATTGTAAAGTTATGGATGAACGTGCCTGATGCCAAGCCTCGGAAGTGACCACCTTGCGAAGCTGTCTCCATTCAACCAACGAAACATCCAACTACTCCTCTCTTCAGCTCCAGGGCAGGACGAGGGCCAACTCTCTTTTCCTTTACCCATTGATTTTTCTTTTTCCTTTTCTTCTCTGGCCGTTATGGCCGAAACACCTGTTGATGCCTTGTTAAAAGGCAGCACCGGCAGGAACACGCGCGGCCTGCTGCGCATTATCATTCTATTTACAATCGCCGCCGCTGCGGTTTCTAGTCGACTGTTTAGTGTGATTCGTATGTCTCCTAACATATAATACACCTGGAAGTGCTCATTGAGTCAATTGGGGCTGACTTGTCATGCGTTAGGTTTTGAAAGCATTATCCATGAATGTACGTTCAGCGTCGACAACCTATACTCCGAGACGTTTACCTCTAGTTCCGGCCCTCGACCGATCTAGAAAACCCATGTTCCTCTCTTTTACTTCAGAACTCCTGCATCCACTAACTCCTTATCGTACAGTCGACCCTTGGTTTAACTTTCGCGCAACGAAATATTTGGTGCAAAATGGCTTCTATAGCTTCTGGGACTGGTTTGATGACCGTAAGTGATTTTACGACAAGCGATCCCAACTATAATGAATAGCTGGCCGTGGTAGTCTTCTGTTTGTGATACTTGTGATGCTCATCAGGCAATTCTATACAGGAACATGGCACCCTCTGGGCCGTGTTACTGGTGGCACGCTATACCCAGGTCTCATGGTGACCAGCGGCGTGATCTACCACATACTTCGATTCCTTACCATTCCCGTCGACATTCGCAATATTTGTGTCTTGCTTGCGCCAGCATTCTCCGGCCTTACGGCATTTGCTATGTATCTCCTGACTTGCGAGATGTCTATCTCGCCGTCCGCCGGTCTCCTCGCTGCCGCTTTCATGGGCATTACCCCGGGATACATCTCTCGTTCTGTGGCGGGTAGTTATGACAACGAAGCCATTGCAATCTTTCTCCTTGTGTTCACCTTCTTCTTGTGGATCAAGGCTGTCAAGAATGGTTCGATCATGTGGGGAGCGATGACTGCTCTCTTTTACGGGTATATGGTGTCCGCTTGGGGTGGTTATGTTTTCATCACCAACTTGATCCCCCTACACGTCTTTGTGCTCCTCTGTATGGGAAGATATAGCTCCCGTCTGTACATCAGCTACACCACCTGGTATGCATTGGGAACATTGGCCAGCATGCAGATTCCTTTCGTCGGCTTTCTGCCCATTCGCAACAGTGACCATATGGCTGCCTTAGGTAAGCGTACGCTCCGTTGGTCAGGAGGAGGTATACTAATGTTCACCTAGGTGTCTTTGGCCTGATTCAACTTGTGGCATTTGCTGACTTTGTCCGCGGCTTCATTCCGGGAAAGCAGTTCCAAAGACTTCTCACGGCCATGGTTATCACCATCTTTGGCATTGCCTTCGTCGGACTTGTTGTCTTGACTATGTCTGGAGTAATTGCTCCATGGAGCGGTCGCTTTTACTCTCTGTGGGATACCGGCTACGCTAAGATCCACATTCCCATCATTGCGTCAGTTTCGGAGCATCAGCCGACTGCTTGGCCAGCCTTTTTCTTCGACTTAAACATGCTTATCTGGCTTTTCCCCGCCGGAGTCTACATGTGTTTCCGCGATCTCAAGGATGAGCATGTTTTCGTCATTATCTATGCAGTGCTGGCAAGCTACTTCGCAGGTGTCATGGTTCGTCTGATGCTGACACTGACCCCTATTGTCTGCGTGGCGGCTGCGCTGGCGTTGTCCACCATCATTGATACGTATGTGTTTGCATCTTCTGGACCAACTCCCCAAGCCAAGCTCAACGAAGAATCTTCCACCGATGGACTCCGTTCCACGAGGAACCCTATTGTTGGAGTTTCCTCTTATATCTCCAAGGCTGTTGTGACCACCTCTACAGTCATCTATCTGCTCCTGTTCGTCGCGCACTGCACTTGGGTCACGTCCAATGCGTACTCTTCCCCTTCGGTCGTCCTGGCCAGTCGGATGCCGGACGGCAGCCAATATATCATCGACGACTACCGTGAAGCGTACTACTGGCTTCGCCAGAACACCCCCGATAACGCCAAGATCATGTCCTGGTGGGATTACGGTTATCAGATCGGTGGCATGGCCGATCGCCCCACTCTTGTCGATAACAATACCTGGAATAACACCCACATCGCCACGGTTGGAAAGGCGATGAGCTCCCGCGAAGAGGTCAGCTACCCTATCCTCCGCCAGCACGATGTCGATTATGTGTTGGTGGTATTCGGCGGACTATTGGGCTACTCCGGAGACGACATCAATAAGTTCCTCTGGATGGTCAGAATTGCCGAAGGCATCTGGCCGGATGAGGTCAAGGAACGGGACTACTTCACTGCACGGGGCGAATACCGTGTGGATGATGAGGCGACACCCGCGATGCGCAACAGTTTGATGTAAGGGTTCCTCCTAGTCTTGCGAACTATGTTTCTTATGTGCTAACGATACCCACCAGGTACAAAATGTCCTACCACAACTTCAACTCCCTCTTCCAGCAAGGCCAGGCCGTAGACCGTGTCCGAGGCTCCCGACTGCCCGCCGAAGGGCCCCAGCTCTCCACCCTCGAGGAGGCGTACACCAGCGAGAACTGGATCATCCGTATCTACAAGGTCAAGGACCTCGACAACTTTGGCCGTGATCACAATAACGCCGCAGCCTTTGAGCGAGGCCACAAGCGGAAGCGCGCTACCAAGAGGAGAGGACCCCGTGTCCTGAGGACCGAGTAAAGGTGGAGTCCGTGATTCCGCCAATCCTAGCCTCTTAAGGGATAAGAGAATCCCTTCTCCCTGTTTATCATGTACTTCAATTCCACGTTCTTTGTATTTTGAACACCGATTCAAGCGGCCATGTAGACGATTCTAAAAAAATACACGTGATTCAAACATAAAGCCAACCTCTTCAATCGGGTTTACGTGGTATATAGTCAATTTCGGTATAATGATACTGCATCAAAATTTCACGGTCAATAAGAGGGTGGTATCTTCACTGAGTCGAACTGATAATATACAGACGTAAATGCTAATAAGGAAAGAACAAATAACAAATCAAAAATGAGCTGAGAGATATTTATCAACCGGGCATCCAACCGACCGACCTGCGTGGCACCACCCAAACTGCGCAGGGATACGGGGCGGCAGCTCCTCGCCCACTATCACTTCACCCCCAGTAAGCTCATAGTAGGATCCTGACTTTTTAACAACGAAGCCATTTCCTAATCAAGCCTCCCGAGCATGAAATGCTGAGAAAACAAAACAGACTTCGCCACATTACTCCGGTACCCGCTACCCATACTGAGTCAACAACTGAATCGAACCATTTTTGCTGCCCATCGATGTCCAATTCCTACCACGATCGACCGATGACCTAGGCTGATCCGAACGGCAGTGGCATTCAAGTATCGACGAATTAAATCGAACGGTCAATTCGTGTTCATTGCTTCTGCTGCGGCTTGGCGGGTGTCTCGGGAACCTTGACATCGGAGAATTCGTCCTGGCCGACTGCGCGGATGGTATAGGCATCTTTGAAGAACCAATTGGTAAGTATATAATCCCTTCCGTTTGATACTTATTTCTGGGTCGATGGATGAGTTCGGAGTACTTACAGACGGCGATGGTAAACCCGACGAGGCCAAGTCCGGTCAGGGCATTCTTGACGAGGTAGGGGCGACGGGCGCGCAGGAGGGCAGCTCCGGCGCGGTAGTCTTTGCCGTAGTAAGTGGAGTTGAAGCTGAGGCTCTAGGGTTAGTATAGGCTCTCTGGTACTGAGGGTATGAAGAGGGGGTGGTTGTCGTATGCGTTGCGAGAGAGACGTACATTCCGGAGGCCATTTTTCTGGATCTTGATATGGGTGTTGGGAAGCTAGAATGGTTTCGTAAGGTTCTGAGGGGATTGAGACGGTAGTGAGGGGGTATGGCGAGGCAGTGAGTACTAAGTGGACGCTGTGGAAGATTATCGCCAGTCTTTTGATCAAATGTCTTGGCGGGTTTGAATGTCGGAGTTAAGGTTGATTGGCGGATTTATGCCGGTTGCTGATGCTAAACATGCTAAACTGATACTCAGGTAATATGTACATGTCCTCGTACTTTGAGATTAGTTTATAGCCTTCATATACTAAAATAACAAGATTAGATGTGATTAACGAAAGAGCTTGTGTGACAATGCACGACAGGCTATAAATAGCCAGCCACGCTGAAGTGCATTCGTTGTCATTCTAAGCAACATATCTAGTACCCTTTGAAAGGCGCTTTGAGACAATTAATTCAGTAACTTTTGCTTAGTTTTTCGTTATCATTCAATACTAGTATTAAATTTTTTTTTCGGGGTGAGCTTCTCAGACCCTTTTTCGGCGTGTAGCTGGGCTACTGAACTACAAAAGCATTGTAGCTACACAAGCCATGTCAAAACTATTCTACGAAGCAGGCGACCGAGGCATCTGGTCACAGGACTCCAACTTGATTCTAAAAGATCGAGGTGCTAATCTTCCGACCTTTGAAGCGCTAAACATTCAGTTTGTGGAGGAGAACTCACGGACCGATAGTCATTGAGTCTTGGGAAGGCGGCCATGCCTTGATCTTCATGAAGCGCATTCCCGGGGAGTCCGTCAGCGATGCCTGGCCAAAGCTCTCTACCGATGAAACGGAAAATGTAGCAAGGCAGACCGCGGAGTATTTGCCGCAGCTTCGCAAATCTAGTCAGACCACATGCAAGCTCTCGGGGGACGTTCAATATACTCTAACTTTCTATTTGTGAATAAGAGGTCCCGGGTTCCCTTGGTCCTCTGGCTTCTGAGGACAAATTCCGGGCGGATATGAAGCATGGTTTAAGTGAAGCCGTTCCAGAGGCTGCGCGCATATGACTTCGCAATCATATGCCTCTCGCTAGGCCTTATACCTTTCCACACGGAGATCTCACGAATATCAATATCATGGTTGTGGAAGTATCCGTCTCACAGGTATTCATGATTGGGAAGCGTCTGGCTATTTTCCCTGTCTGGTGGGAGTATGTCTGTACCTCAGGGACTGACTCGAGGAGGATCGGGAGTGGAAGAGTTTTTTGCGGAAATATATGCCAGATTATAGTGCTGCGCGCAAAGTTCTAGCGAGATTACTAGTATCACTGCCGGGATCTCATGCATGAAAGCGCGATAGGATTTCTAGAGACGAACAGTGAGACCGCATAGAATCTCTTCACGAATGTTTCTTACTTATTGTTAGTGTATCTTGCAAAAGGCCTCCTTGCGTTCTCCTTGACATATGATATGATAGAGTAGTCAATTGTAGTAGCTTAGCGCACTGCATGAAGGGAACCGCTATATAAATAAGCCGAAGGGCCAGGGAGCATAACTAGTACTACAGTATAGCGGTATGTAGTACCTGTAGGTATGCACGTATATGTAGCTTGTCAATTAGAAAACGATCGACGAAATGCAATCAATTCGGTGTATATACATATTTTCAAAGTGTATTTATATCATTATCATATTACTTCTCCTGTGTGTAATTGAACATCTTGTGTTGTTGATGTTGTTTGAAACAAATAGAATAAATGATCGGCCGAATTGCCGGCCCGCAGCAGGTGACTTCCAATCTCCAATCCAATCTCCAACCAATCTCCATCGGCGTCATCTTGGAATCTCCCGGTCCATCTTTCTTTTTCCCAACTTTTACTATCTACTATCATATCCTTGTCTGTCGCTCCTCGCCCCGGATACAATTCCTTTCGTCACCGGTATTGGCGCGTCCTATATCCCACTGGTGACCTTCTGGCAGTTTCGTGGCCAGCCCGCTTGTCGCGTCCTTTATAACCCGAAGCCGCTACTCTATTTTCATGCTTCCCATAGATTCTATTGATCGTAGATTATTCGTCTAGTTGTCGAAATCCTTCTTTAACCTACCTTCCGGGCCGGTTGAACAGAGCCGTCATGGCTCAGCCGGCAGGTAACCTTGTCGACCAGATCGCCCAGCTCAACGCTGCCCGCAATCTAGTGCTGGGCGATTCCGCATTTTACCCACAGATTGTGAACGGCATTCTTCCTATAATTGGTGCGAGCTCGCGATTGGAATTGCGACGATGGGGTGCAGAATTCTTAGCGGAGACCTTCTCTAGCCCAGCGCTGGCCTCGGCTCAGAAGGAACAGCTGGCTGCGCCGGCTTTGCAGACACTGCGAGAGACGTTGGAGTTGCCGGAGAAGGATACAGTGACTTTGAGACATATAGTGGAAGCTGCGGCCAGTTTGTATCCCCTGGTGTTTAGGCATATGTAGGTGACCAATGCTCTCCCTTCTCTTTCACCCCGGGTGAGAGATCTCGTAGAAGTGCGCAGGAAACGGAATTAAATCGGTCAATGGGAAATCGCGGGAACTGACATTTTTGACAATCGCAGCATCAACCATCCCGAAGATTCCGCAGTTTGGGAGAATATGACCGCCATCAAGGACGATTTACTGCGGAAATGGGACACATTCCCATTTCCGGTGAAATTAGGCTGTATCAAGTTCGTGCAGCGCGTTGTTCAAGTTCAGACACACGGCTTAACGGACCCTAGAGTATGTACAGAGACTAAAAGGAAAGATTTTTGATATTGACAGCCTCTTAGCGGCCGGAGCAAAATGAAACTTCACTGGCCATTGTTCCTAAAAACCATTCCCTCCTCGCCCTGCCGAATCTCGAGGCCGAAGCGTCGGGTCTACTGGACAGGCTTCTAGCCGTCTTTCAGGAAGATGAAAGGTATAGAGCTGATCGTCGCCGAGTCAATTATGCCGTGTCCTGCTAACTGAACTGTCTTCATCAGCGACCCCCTTCTAGTGAACGCGACATTGAACTGTCTAGCAGTCCTGATTCGAACCCGCCAGTCCATCGGTAACAAAATTATCAATGCGATCCTAAGCTTCGTTCCTGCAAGACAAGCACGGACCCCGGTGACACCTGCAGTTCGCGTTGGCGTCAAGTCGATGGAACGGACAGCCAGAGCTTTCATGATCCACATAATGAAGAGGTGAGCAGGGATGCTGTTTTTGGCAAAGGTGAAACGCTGACGGGTGGTCTAGAAACCCTAGTCATCCTCTCGCGAGCAAAATGCAGCAGCATATCGAGCGTTTAATGCAATCGCGTTTGGAAGCCGTTGATGATAGCTCCAAGAAGCGTGGCCTGCCGGCCGAGCCAACTGATGGTTTAGACAATATGAAACGGGCAAAATTGGATGTCGAATCCCCTCCGCTAATCAAGGTGCCTCCACTTCCTCCGGGCCCAATCAGTTACTCGCAGCTCTATACCTTAACCGAAGACACTGGACTCTCCTCTTTTGACGTGAAGCAATTACCCGTTGACCTTCTTGTCAAGATTGTGGTCCCTGTGCTAGCTCGAGTAGACCAATCTGCTATGCACCAAGCCCTTGACGTATGTTTCAAACCCTAAACCCGAGAAAACGAGTTCTAATTTATCATAGGCTGTACGAATGCGGTATCAGACACTCCAGAAGCAGCAAGCTGCGCAGCCCCCTCCGCCGGCAGCGGCTGAGGAAGAGGATGATGACTATGAGCCCGAATACCAGCCCATGGACGTTTCCGAGCCGGTGGCAGAGCAGGTAGATGCGTTATTGGCTGAAACGGCTGATCTTCAGCCCGATCTGGTGTCACTCGGTCCATTTGTGCTCCCGCAGCCTCCCCCGTTGGCGGAAAATGAGGCTGCAGAGATTGGCAGAAGTGCAGTAGGAAGAGTGTTTGACATGCTGGCATCAAGCGGTGTGGCGGCAAACACCGGAAAAGGAAAGAGCCAGCAACATCTAGGCTTTTCGAGGTTGGCCGGAAGCACGTTTGATCGGGATGCTTGGGTAACGCTACTCACCCGACTCGCGACACGGGCGCCCTCTGGTTTAGAGGGGTACAAGAAGACCGATCAAGACCCATCGTCAAAGAAGCTGACAATATCCAATTCTATACGCGAAACATTGTATCGATATATACTCGAGGATTTCAGGGGCCGGGTGAATGTAGGAATCATGTGGTTGAACGAGGAATGGTATAATGACCGGATTCAAATGAAATTTACTGCTTCGCAGCGAGCCGAGGAAGATGAGGAATCTTCGGTACCGTTGCACTACGACCACTGGTCACTGCGGCTTCTGGACGGATTCCTGCCATACTTGGATTCTCGGGATACGAAGATTTTTATCCGGTTTCTCAGTGAGATTCCGGAAGTAACCATTCCTATCACGAAACGGGTAGCAAGTCTCGCAAAAGATCCGGAGAGAGTGAACCTCTGTGTCCAATCTCTGCTGTACGTACCCTATGTCCCATGAGACCCGATGGCCACATTGAACTGACATAAGATTAGTTACTTGATTATGTTCCGGCCCCCTGCGCGGGAGATGTGTCTCAATGCCCTGGAGGATGTTTACCAAACATGTAAGCTACCGAACAACAAGTCTCTCTGATTAGCCCCCGCTAACTAGTCTTTCACCATCAGACGAGGAATCCCGACCCGTCGCTGGTAAAGTCCTAGCCAAATGGCGACCCCAGAGTGCAGCCGTACAACAACCTCAACCCGACCAACAATCTACTTTGGTGACCCGCACAGTTGGGTCAGAGAACAACCAAACACTTGCAAATGGCGCCTAAACACCAGGCTCCAACTAACAAGCACAGCCAGCAACCGCACCGCTCTACGGCCGTAAACACAATCCGAGACCTCAACCCCTCGTCACCGGCTTTCCCACGCTTCAATACCCGTCGGATTGCCATCGAAATGAATGGGAGCGAAGCGAATCGGAACTCTGACATAATCAGCCTTTTATCCGGGGAGAATAGACAATATCATGTTTTGACAGAGACCTGATTCTGTTTTCCATTTACCGTTACAGACAGCTATTACCCCATGGCTTTACCGTATGTTCGGGCGGATTTACAGCGGAAATGAAATGCATATCGCATGCAATGATACATTCGTGTATGGAATATCAGTCTAGTCTAGATTGTCTAGTGCTGTTCTTTCTTCTTGATCATTTAGAAATACCACTTATTCGAGATAGGATTTTTACAAATATATGATATTAAACATGTTATTGGAACCATCGACTTCCATGATATATACGTGATAGTGATGTAGAGTCGGGTGGTAAGGAAAAATATACATGATTATGAAATATGTGCAAATTAAGTCTATTCTAATTCTTGTATCTCTATTGCATAATCTAAGGAAAGAGCACCCAGCTGAGATAGAATAAATAAGGCTTCATAGCCAATATATGTATCAGAGCATGTATAGATAGGTAGGTAGATAGGTATTGTGCTATACAAAGGTAGCAACACAAAAGCAAGCCCAGCAATGCATCCATTTGAATCCCATATTCACAATTCGCCGAGACCAAGATATAAGGAAATGTCGAGAAGACTTGAAAATGAGAAAATGAAGGGGTACTGTAAGTGAGATTGAAGTTCATCCCTGTTTCGATTCCAGTCGTACATGCCAACCCGTACATACATTATAAAAGAGAAAGAAAAAGAATATGATAGAAGAGCAACTCTACAACACCGCGTGAGGCCCAATGCACTATCCAAACCGGTATGGAGACAATATGTGAAAACGTTATGAGGTGTGATAGAGAAAGGAGGATGGAAGGGTTACGACGGTGGAAATCTTTCGGTTCTATCGGGCTGTCATTCGATTCGAGCCGGAGCCGCCTAAGACTCCGGTTGATCCATGATGATGAATGGAATTTACTGGCTTGGAGGATAGGGGTGGTGATGAGTCGCGTTTCGATTGGAAGAGCCCTAATCGGGCGGGAGGCGGTGAGTAACCGGCATTCCGGTGCGGTGGTGATCGGTTGTCAAGGGTGTTATACGAGGACGGATGGGATTTCCGCACATCTAGCGGGGAGGAGCTTAACGATCGGAATCCGGATCGTCGGTCTGCGTCGTATTCGGGATTCCCATACGGCCCGACACCCTGAGTGGCCTGCTCGTGATCATAGGGTGTGTTATTGGCCGAGGAGTTTTCGGCGATGGTGGATGCCGACCCGTTAGGAGCGTGAATGTCCACCACTCGTTTCTGAGCCGCTGGTGTGGTGTACGCCGGTGCCCGCGGGTTCTCAAAGACCCGGCTTTGAGGTCTTTGCGGCATATGCTGTTGATGGTGAATTGGATGCTGTGGGTTGGCCCAAGGCGTCTGTTCTAGGAACGCCTCCTCTGCAGCGGTGCGGAAAACGTTCGACGACATAGACGACATTGCGCCTCGTGGTAATGTCGAGTGATGGTGTGGGATGGGAGGTCTTGTTTCAATGGAGATCTGCGCGGGTTGAGTTAGTGATAAAGCATTACGATCAGAGGGCTTTCAGAACAAACTCACGCCCATTTTTTCCATGTCATCTTCGAGTTCAGCTGGCCGTGCAGCAGACAATGAAGGCGCAGCGGGGAAACCGACATATTTCGCAACACCAGCCAGAATGGATACTTCTTGATTGTAGGCAGTCTGATTGGCAATCTGTTGCGAACGGCGGGTGGGGAACGGGATATAATGCTGTGGGCTGATTTCATCCGTCTTGAAGCGGTCATGTTGGATAGCATAGAACTGCTTGCTGATATTACTCGATTGTTTTTCGCGAACGTCCCGAATCCGCTGGAAAAAAGTACTATGTGCCTGCGCCCGTTCGGCCAAGCTCTTGTTCACCAGAGCTTTGAATCGGTATTGATACAAGGTATGTTCGTATTGGATCTTGGCGTCACGATACCGTTGAATACACTCCAACTGACGCAAGAACTCGGGATGCGTCGGATTGGGCCCATTCAACATTTCAAGCTCGCGATTGAGTTTAGAGACTCGCTCATCATAGATCCTATTGGCTTAGTCAGTAACCAATGCATGTCTGACGAAGAGACGCAGGGATCCTTACTTGTCGCGTAGGGCGGCAAACTCCCGCTCTAATATAGCTAGTGACTCCATCGCGGATACCCGTTTCACTGCTACACCCAAACATTAGCACGAATGATGCGCGTAATAGCCTGGGACGCCATGATGACTTACATTCTTCCTCAAGTTTGGCGGCTGCTTCACCATCATCTCCTTCTTCTCCACGTTCGGCAGCCTCCTCATCTCCGAGGATATCATCCCCACCGCCTTCCGCGCCAGTTTCAAGAGCCATGTCGGCGTCCTCATCGGCATCCCTCGTTTTTCGACCTTTTCGCTTTCCCTTCTTGCTCTTTCTTCCCCTGGTAGGAGCGGCTGGCAAGTCGGACTCGGGGATGTCATCCGCTGGGGTCTCTTCTTCGTTTGACTTGGGTGGCTCTTCAATGGGCTCCTCGATGGGCTCAGGTGTTAGTACAATGTCGTCTGCGGGAGGATCACTCAGGTCACTTTTGAGGGAACCGCGGCGCTTCTGAGGAGGCTCATCCTCTTCATCCAGTTCCGTGCCCAGCTCGTCAGTCGAGCCAGACCGCTTACGTTTCTTTCCAATGCCTTCTGAAAGCGCGGAGTCCTCAGGCCCTGGCGTCTCTTCACCCAGGTCAGGGACCTGGTTATTTTTTAAACGGGGCTTGCTAGGTGAATCGTCCGGTAGATGATCTTCGTCTTCAACTTCATCGTACGTTGTGGACTGGGCCAGCTTGCTGGGGCTCGGACCGTGACTGGTTGCGCTTACAACAATGTCTCTTCGTAAGCGGATATGATTTGGAGAATCTTCGATGCGCTCTGTTTCCGCCTCCGAATCATTCTCCGCAATGATCTTCTCAGGTTTAGGCGATTCGAGGTCAAATACCATATTCTCTGAGACGTCGTCAATTTCACTTAGACTACTCGACCGTCCATCATCATCATCATCTTCCATGAGTGCGTGGTCAATAAGAAGGTGGTGTTCGCCATTGGTGACGGTGGACTCCGCCCCGGCTGGCGGGCCGACCGAAGTAGTTTCCCTGCTTTCGGCCACCTCCATTAGTTATGGAGAGTGGTGCGCAGACTTCGGTTGCTTCAAAAAAAAAGGAAAGGAAGGCGAAATGTGTGTTTCACCAAAGTTGATTTTCAGTATGCTCGTGGGGAAGGAAGCTGGCGGTCAAGAGGGTGAAGTTGGATCAAAAGCTAAATAACCCGGAGAGAAAATGTTAGAGAAGTTCAGAAAATGCATCGTAGATGTGCTAAGGCTCCGTTTCCAGTGAATTAACAAGGAAGACAAAAAAAATCGACAGGAAGGGGAAAAGGAAAAGCACGTTGGGGAGGGCAAAGCGTCTGAAGGCGGTGCGGAGATTTGATCACACACCCCAGACTCACGGACAATCATTCGTTCCCGGCTTGAGCGCTGGGAAGTGCGCCAGAGGAGCAGCGACACTCGGCTTTGGCAGGGGGCAGGAATCATGGGGGCATCGCATTAAGTCCAGATCAAGTCATCAATGAGCTTGTAGGCCAGCAAAAAACGTACCGTTTAACAATGCGCCAATCGCAAACCCGGTGGTAACTCCAGCTGCCGCGACCGAGTACGATTCCCTCAGACCGCAGTTGCAGAATGTGGCCCAAGGACGTCGGTTCTCGCAAAATTAACCCAATAGCACTTTTTATAGGACAGGAAGGATGTAGAATAATGCAAGTTCGGCGCAAATGAGGACTTGGTGGGGGGAGGGCGAAGGACGACGAAGAGGAGGGAGGTGGAGGTTGACTTCACGAAGCGGGCAATACGACAGTAAAGCGCTGCGGGAGGATGGGCGGCATAGAAGAGAGGAGGGTTGATGTCAAGGTCTATGAGAGACAAATAGTAATCCCGTAGCGAGCGATTATGGAAACGATTGAGTATGGAAGCCACCAGAGCGTCAGCGCAGATAAAAATGGCTGCTGCTGGTGGAGGGAGAAAGAATGATTGATCATGACCGAGAGCGAGGGAGCGAGGGACTGAGAGAGCGTCACGCTGCCGTATGCCGCCTGTATTGTCTGGTGCTTTTCTGCCCGTCTTTTCGCTTTTCCTTCACGCGGGTCGCTCCTCACCGCCTGTGGAGGGTATGATGATATATTGCCTGCTGGCGATCTCATGTTATCCCATGGACAACCAAATCCAAAAGTCCGAGTATGAAAGAGAAGAAGATAATGCAGTACCAAGTACTACGCGATCTTATGTTGATTGACCGACATCACACTCGGTCGATTGAGATACACGTCATGGGGGATTGAAGAATAGTAAACGCTATTTATTAGATGTCCCCACGTGATATATCAGCTTCCGTTGCCAAGATCCTAAAAGAGTAAAACAAGAAGAAAAAAAATTACGCCGAGTACGCAAAGCAACAGAGAGGAAAATACGCCTCTCCGCCATTGCAATTCCTCTTTCCATTTTTGCTTCTTTTTTTTTTCTGGTTTCTTACGCCAGGAACAAGCTTCATATCGGAGAGGCAGGTCACTCTTGAAATCAACATCACCATGGGCAAGAAATCCAAGTCCCAGCCGGAGAACATTCCGCAAGCAGAAAAATCCGAAACGTCTCTTCCTTTCCTACGTGGAAATGCTTCAGTTGACCCAGCATTGGCGTCCCTATTTGAGACGAGCGTACGTTGTTGTTTGATTTTACTTCATGATGGACCTGGCTAATGATTGTCACATGTTTTAGGCGGGCCCAGTAAAAGCGCCATCGTTTCCCAAGAATACTATCACCGCTGGAAAACCCACCGCAGATGACGACATCCGTGAAGACGTCTCGGAATCTGAAGATGGACCCGAAGATGAAGACCAGGTCATGCAAGAAGCTTCCGATGTCTCGATCGACGCCGGTGAACCTACTCAAGCAGCTTCTAAGCCTTCTAGTCGCAAACGAAAGAGAGTAGCGGGGGAAGATCTCGAAGAATCTTACATGCGTCGCATAGCCAAAGAAGAACAGAAGGAAGAAGAGAAGCGCCGTTCAGAAAAGCCAAAGCGGCAGAAAGCCGAGGATGACCAAGAAGACGAAGTAGACTCTACCGACAAATCCGAAAACGAGGATGAAGAGGATGAAAGCTCGGAGGAAGGTGGAGAAATTGTGATTCCCCAACACGAATCCAGGAGCGGCGAAGCATCGTCATCGGATATCGACAAGTCCAACCGTACGGTATTCCTGAGCAATGTCTCCAGCGAGGCCATCAAGTCTAAGTCTGCTAAGAAGGCCCTCTTAAAACATTTTGAATCGTTCCTTTCTACGCTCCCTGAATCTACGGGACCTCACAAAGTGGAGTCGATACGCTTCCGTTCTACAGCCTTCGCGAGCGGCGGAAAAGTCCCGAAGCGTGCTGCTTTTGCGAAGCGCGATGTTCTGGATGAAACCACTCCTAGCACCAATGCTTATGTCGTTCTTAGCACTGTTCAGGCCGCTCGGAAGGCCCCTGCTGCTCTGAACGGGACTATCGTTCTGGACAGACACCTGCGCGTTGACAGCGTTGCACATCCCGCCCCAGTCGATAACAAGCGCTGCGTCTTTGTCGGCAATCTCAACTTTGTGGACCACGAAAGCAACCCCGACGATGAAGAGAAACGGAAGAAGAAGAAGGCTCCGGCTGACGTCGAAGAGGGACTTTGGCGAACCTTCAATGCCCATACTAGCAAACCCAAAGATCAGACTTCCCGCCACGGCAACGTTGAGTCCGTTCGAGTCGTACGCGATAGCGTTACCCGGGTTTCGAAGGGATTTGCTTATGTCCAGTTCTACGATCAGAACTGCGTGGAGGAGGCCCTTTTGCTTGATGGAAAGCAATATCCGCCCATGCTCCCCCGAAAGCTGCGTGTCACGCGAGCCAAGAAACAGCCGAAGAAGCGCGAAGCTAGTGGTAGCAACCAAGGCCAAAACCTTCGGGAGGCGGACAAGACGCTTCAGGGCCGTGCTGGTAAGCTCTTTGGTAGAGCGGGCGCGGCCAAGGCCAAGGCGGATGCAGCGAAGTCAATCTCCAACAACTCGTTAGTGTTCGAAGGCCACCGAGCGACTGATGATGGGTCATCGCGCATCCGTGTCAAGACGAAGAGTCGTGGCAGCAAAGGCAAACCGAAGAACCGGAGTAGCCAACGAGCCGCAGCATATAAGGCTGCTGGAGGGAAGAAGAGGAAGACTGCATAGATTGAGCCATCTAAAAAATGAGGACGGTTGTATTACGAAGTGTTCTGTTCCTCATGCATGTATTTTACAAAAAAGCAAGATCTTTAACCTACTGGTATCGTACCTGCATGACCGTGGAAGTATGACCTATATCGGTCCAGTTAGTAGTAGTAGTAGTAGTAGTAGTAGTAGTGTATGTATGTATAGTACGAGTAGTGATACTACGGTAGACCATTGCACCCTTTGGAGCAGTCCAGGACTCTGACGTCATTCCCCCGAGATCCATACTTTAGTTCAAATCCCAAACCAGCCCATGATATTCAAACATTTATTCGGAGGAAATTAGCTGTGACACTCGATATCTATCGCAATCATCGTTGCGAACTGTGCCAGCTTGTGTCACGGGATAGTTGATTCATAACCGTCGATCGATCACCACTCAATCAAATCAAATTCCCCACCCAACGCGGGGTGTGAGTGAATACATTCCCTCTCTTACCAGCAATCATAGAGGGAGAAAATCGGATGAGGGAGAAAGCAAATACACGAGGCCACATTAGGTGCATACATACGCAAGAGTTGACCTATTGAACTGGTAATTGACCATTCTTCGTCGTTGTGCCCTGATCGCCGGGTTGACTTCATCGAAGGCTCATTCAGCTCGGTGCCTGAAAGGTGGAGCTTTGCCTCGTGTGAATTGATCAAACCAGCCGTCCGCTCGTTTTCTCTGATAGCGAGACAATATTTATTTATAACGTTCTTTCCCGGTTACTTCAAATCCGACCTTCTTTCCAATATATATCTAATTGTTGCCATCGACCATTCCCGATACGAGGTCTAGACCCACTTCTCTTCTAGATGATGCTTCCTATGGTTCCACGATTCGGTGCACCTAGACGCAGACAGTCGGATTCTACCAACAACGAACCCGAGTTCCCATCCGACATGGGCAACCAAAATAGCACCGGCGACGACGCTCAGAGACCGACTGACTCCGAGGGGTTTTACCCCGATATCTACGATGTGCTCAAGGTCCGCTATCTGCTGCGATGGAAGATAATCCCGGAGGGGCTACCTGCGGAGATCGTGGATCTCATCATAGATGCGGCAGAATATTGGCCCTCTACTGAAGCTACATTGGGCGAAAAGAGGATTATCCGCCAGGACAAAGATCAGGTGTTAGTCAGGACAGCCCCGCTGTGCTATGATGAAAAGGTATACTGTGTACTCTCCAAGCTTCCCGACTTGACGTACCCCTCTCCGGAGCCCTTTGTCGCTGACATCAAGTAGACCTTGGGAAGTGACTCGCCAAAAGTACTCCCTCACCGGACTATTCACCCATGTCGTAAGATTGTCTTCTCCATCTCTTCGCATGACCAGGGCTTTGCTAGCAGCGGGCACGGTACATTTGACGGGTCATATACATGGTTTGACGCCGAAGTTATCCGCTCCGCGAATTTGGCAACATCTACCGATGCACCCATCCCGGAACCCGATGCGAACGGGATTCGGTTTGGGCAAGGTCATCCCCTCTTATTACCCAAATCCAGCAAACTACAGTCTAACCGAGCCGCGGTGAGCGGAACTCAGCATTACGAGATCACCTGGCATCATCTCGACAACATTAGGGCTGATTCGGCGGAAGCGGAGGAAATCCAGCATAATCAAGGTCGGGGAAAAGACACGCTAGATGGGACCCAAGTCCGCACCTTGCAGGTGGGAGATGTGATCTCTGTCTTGGGCCGAGCACGGTTTGGAGGTTGGTCGAATCATGTGGAACGGCTATCAGTGCGAGTATTCTGGGCCGTGTAGAGTGGTTGAAGATACCTTTCATGGTACCCTTTAATAATTCCTCCCATAGATCAGTCACTATGCCAAGGTACACATATACGTACATACGTACGTGATATGGGCGGAGAGAAACTCGTGTAGATAGATATGAAGGCAGGACCTTCGAGATACGGTTGGAAATAGTAATTGGAGGATGGGATTACTATGACTTCTGAGGAGTATCAAGCATGTTATTCTCATTAAATTTATTTGGTATATAATTCCATACTTGAGTTCTTGAAGGCTCCGCGTGACAGCCTGGAACCCTGCTCAAATGATGTTTCCCATTCAGGCATAGGGTGGACAGCCATTCAAATCAGGCCGCCAGCTGATAACCTCATTCTCCCAGAAATCACGCAATTTCGCCAAGGCCACTACGGTCCACTAAACCATCCGAATATAAGGGCCCCGATTCCTCCATCAAGAGACAAGGTGCCCTGTGAGGTGCTCTTCTTCTTGCGACAGGAAGGAACATCCTGAGAACATGTTCAACTGGCCCTTCAACACCTCTTCAACCCTCACCTCTTCGTCCGTCTTTGTTTCGCCAACAAGGAGCCAAGACCTGACCATGTGACAAAGTTCAAACCCTCAAGGATTCGCCTGCAAGTGGGGCTGATGCATCAGTTGGCGCAACAATTGGCTAGTTTGGGTCAAGATAAACAGGCCCTACTACTACCTCGGACTACTCGTTACGAGATATCACACGGGGGGGGGGCGCCATTGACTGAGAATGGAAAGTGTACATCTCGCCCGAGAGGGTTACCCTCTCGGCCATGAAGCCGACTTCCCGCGCCAACAACCCCAAAGGTGCCTGACACCAAGGGCGAATTCCGACTGCTGTCATTCGCTCTGGCCTGAATTCTCCATGTGCCTTTCCCCTCCTAACCGACACAAGCACAATGACGACGCTCATTAGCTTGTTTTGCCGAGAATTACACCGGTCTTCCATACATTCTACCCCTAGGGATTCTTTCCCATAAATTTCGGCGTTCTCCCAGCGATTTTCCTCCCACCATTCATATCTCTACCACCTTTATTTTAGCTCGCACGCTAAATCTGTGCCACGACACACTTGTTCCACGCTGTCATCACTTAAATTTCCTACTCAAAACGAACGATTTGGACGAACGTCGGAAATGAATCCGCCACAGAAATGCGCGGCTGTCGTTGTGGGAGCCGGCCCTGCTGGCCTGGCCGTGATGGGAAATCTCCTGGAAAAGCAACTTGGGGGGACAATCGCCTGGATTGATCCATTGTTCCAGGCTGGCCGTGTGAACCGAAAATACCGCGAAGTCCCTAGGTGAGGCTTGGCACACTAAGGCGTCGGATAAGGAGCGCTCGACTGACCTTCCTTGGCGCCGATATAGTAACACCAAAGTCGCTCTGTTCCAAGCGTATGCCACAGCAGTTCAGCCCTTTCGCTCCGTAATCAACAGCACCCGTACCCCCAGTCCATTCTCGACGATGGCCAAACTGGACCAGGAAAAGACCTGTCATCTGCATCATGCGGCAGACGTGGTCCGTGCGTTGACAGAGGGTATCGTCAAGATGGACCAGGTGTATGCGTGCCGGGGGCAAGTCACTGCTGCCAATCTGGTAGAGAATGTCAGTACAGTTCCCGTAAATGGGGCCGTTCCGGGAGATTTCGTGCCCTGTGTAGCTAATCTTTGCCCTTGTCTCCCATAGACCTCGTCTTGGACCGTTCGGATCCAACCTGCAGATCACCTTGACGAAGTTGAGGTCATAACTCCCAGACTCATCTTGTGTACAGGATCATCGCCAACGCAGGTACCGATCCCTGCGTGTGGACAGCACATCGAGAGGCTGGACCTAGATGTAGTGCTCAAACCTAGTGACCTCGTCTCGTATCTTCCCCGCGATGAGCCGCAAACTGTGGCTGTCGTGGGGGCTTCCCACAGTGCCATCCTGGCGCTCCTTAACTTGGTAGATCTGGCCCGCAGTACCCACCCCCAGCTCCGCATCAAGTGGTTCACCCGACACTCCCTGCGGTATGCGGAGTACATGGACGGCTGGATTCTGCGGGACAACACTGGTTTGAAGGGTCTCGCCGCCGACTTTGCCCGGCAGCAACTAGAGGAAGACAAACTCCCTCAGTCGGAGGCCGGCCGGTTCATCACCAAGGTGGACTGCGGAAACGGCCAGGAAGCGACGCAGTATGAACGGCATCTGCCGTCGTGCTCCCACGTGGTGCAAGCTGTAGGATTCACTCGGGACCCACTCCCGGAACTGTCAGTGAATGGCCATGCCCTCGATCCCCAGTTTGACTCGGAGTCTGGTGGCTTCCAAGATGCGGCCGGCCGTGTCGTCCCGGGTTTACATGGGGCAGGAATTGCCTTCCCAGAACGAGTGGTCGATCCATATGGCAATGTTGAACATGCGGTCGGGTTCTGGAAGTTCATGAAGTTTATCAAGAGAGTCTGTCCCCAGTGGACCGCATGATGGTGTTTCTGTTTGCCTAATGATTCCCCCTTTCGTTTGCCATGACATCCTGATATTATTAGCGTTATATCACTTTTAGACAGCCTTTCGGTCTAATATACATAGTATTTTCGACACTGACAGTTCTATTCTTTACCTTCTCGTCCATGCTAGGGCTTTTAGACTCGCAACATGACATAAAGGGACTCAATGCGATGCTTAGATTCTATCGATCAACTGCTTTGGTTGTCGCATATTCCGCATGTATTTGTAGGACTATTTATATGTTTCTACCTTATCAGATACTGACAATAACCGCACCTCCCCCCAAAATAAGAAATACATTTCCCCCCCACACTTCCTTACTGTCCATCCATCCCCATGTGCAGCTTCAACTTCACCCGATAATAGACTTTCGGACACCAGGATTCTTCAAGACAACAGCAACCAACTTACTGTCCATGTTGAAAAGCATCACATAGTGCCCCCCGAGATGATCCGTCTAGTCAAGAATCTCACTCTCGGACTATCATCGGCATGTAAAACAGCAACCCTTGTATGTATCAAACCCGAGATTTCCCTTAACATAGTGCCAGTCTGTTAAATTCTAGGCACATAGCCATGCACTATGCCAACAATCTCTTCACAGTAGGCAAAGATTCAGTAGTATATAAATCAAGAACCTCGTTATCGTCTCACTCCAATCTCGGCATTTGAGTGCGAGATTCAAGCAGACCTTGAATATCCAGGTTTAGGGCACTTCCCATCTCATCGATCATTTCATTCGGAACGTCCTAGGTCTCATAGGGAAAGGTACTCTATCGTATATTGTCATCTTCTCGTATCCCTAATGCTTAGATACCAAGCGAGGAGATCATGATGTTGTCTCCACTCCAGAACACTAGTAATCTCCACTCCCTCATAGTTCTATGCCTTATGGTAAGATACAATGTCTTGGCATTAGTATTGGTATCCTGCCTCTCAGCCCTACGGTTGGTCTTCGAAAACAATTTACAACCATTTGTGGGCTTCTAAAATGCCCATAACCTACAACAAACAGCCTAGATCTATCCTCAGCGAAGCTCTCGCTGTATAAAGCTTGTCAAACCAGGCCATATTCCGCGGCCAAACTAAGCAAGGCGGAGTACATCGGGCAACATGAAACGAGCCCGATAGAACAACAGGTAGAATAATTGAACTCAATTCAATGCTAACATTATAAAAACAACACAGCCCACCAGGAAATTATCCCTCTCCCTCTCCCATTTTCCTCACTTATTTACCCTAGTCCCATCACACCCTCCAATTCTAATTCCAATTCCAATTCCACCACCAACATGGCATCCAATCTACCCCCCCTCAAACATCCAATCGCCATCCGCCCTGACCACATCGCAACAAGCCCTACCACGCTACAGGTCAAACATCACACCTACAGTATCTCCCAAGGCGACTTTACCGTCTCCTACACGCCCGACCGCACAAACACTCATGCTACAAAACTCTTCTCAGTCAACGGCCACGCCCTATCATGGCGCCAACGCCGCGACTTCTGCGATGCCTCAGGACTACCCCTCTTCGAGCTCCACCGGAAAGGAGCCGGTGGGACCTGGTTTGTCCAGTTACCTGGTAGTATTAGTAGTTCAGATCCTATTATCACGTTAGCACCGCGGTGGAGCTGGACGAAGGATAAGGTCGACGTGTATTTTCGGAATGCGATGGGTGGGGAGGAGGTTGTTCTTGAAGTGCGTGGGCAGGATACTTGGAAGAGGAGGACAAATGTTTATCGCGATGGTGTACTGGTTATGACGATAAGGGTGGTGGATTTGCTTAGGGCTTCTTCGACTAGGAAGCCGGAGAGAGTGGTTGAGATTGCCGAGGGGATGGATCTTGCTCTGGTAGGTACTGTGCTTGGTTTGGTGTTTCATGCGTTGATGTTAATGCTGATATTGATGTTGTAGGCGTCGGTTGTTACGGTGCTTGTGGCGGAGAAGTTTGCTGGGAATGTTTGTTTGAAGTCGACGTTTTCGCCTTCTGGTGGTGGTGGTGGTGGTGATGTCGATGGTAAGGGGAAGATGGAGTTGCCTTAGGGTTATGAGACTTGGCTGTATATGCGTATGTAGTAATGAAATCTAAGATATTCGAGTGGGAAGACATATAGATAGTATAGAAGAACAGCACAACCAATCTCCATTTATCAATTGAGAGGATCAGCTTTTCTCACTTCGTAAACTAGATCCCTTGTCCAGGACTACCAATAGCATGATCGACTTCCCTTCATTCCTTCCAGCCATGGGACGCAGACACCAGCTGACCAAGTTCTAGAATCATATTCCTCAAATCTGAGCCACGGTTCACTTCATTCACATCAGCATGGCGTCCTCAACAGGAACCAATATAAGACCAAGTTCAGCCTGAATTCGCAACAATCGCGAAAATCCACTTTCCATCGAAAAGCCAACCGGGAATAGTGCCCAAGAACTCGTCCCAGGAACCTGACGCCTCGTGAAAATGGTGCCTGGAGGTGGCCACAGGCGTTGCAGATAGTATCTCAAGTTACGGTCATAGTTGTGCTACGGCAACTGCCACTTCATGATACTGGATTTATGGGTTGAACCCCACACCGGATAAGGAAACTATTGATCTGCCTAGCTGAAAATATACTCTTCGTGGAGGATTTATCGTGATGGAGGGCATCTCTTGCGTTAGGTTTATATCCAGAAAGGGAAGGTTGAGTGAGATCTCACTTCGGCATGTACACACGTATCTACGTATGCGCAACGGTCGATTTTTATGTGTAGCTAGGGCTTCTCAAGGCTTTTATTTGATCTAGGACAGGTATACATCCCCCTCGCTTTCCGTTCTCTCTTTTTCATACCTCTAGCTGACGCTAACATACAACACAGTTCTCACCCAAGAGACGAAGAACCTTGAGTACGTGCGCGATTATATCCAAAGCGAGACCCTAAAATCTAGTCTACCGAGCATGACTCTGGACCAATAGATCCGCAATCTCAGCTCCCTCCCCAAGACCCTAGAGATAGTCAATCTCTAGGTGAAAGTAATGCACGGTCTCGAGTCAACGCAGGAATCAGCCGCCTTCTTCATGGAATACTATCGTCGCAACACAGGTCTCTTAGCCGTCCAAGCCGACGAGGGAACAGGAGGCAACTATCTCCGCTTCCTAGACGGTAACATCCCCCCCGTTCCCCATCGCATCACCCAACTTAGGAAAGAAAGAAGAAACAGTCTCGCAGAAACCAACCCAGGCACCTAATCCATTACCCACGGTCTCGCTGCCTAGTCAGGCCAGCCAACATCCACCCTTTCTCCCCCATCTTCTCAATCAGACCACAAATCCCACATAACCGTAACAACATCAACAGGCCACACTTCCCACGCCAGAAAATGCATCCTCCCAATCCCAAGCACAGTGTACAAAGGATTCAGTATCTCTCCACTCTCTCTGAAACACAACCCAATCCACCCGTCGTCTCGGAACGCACAACAAAGCTATCTTCCGGCGCTCTAGACTTCAACGACTTCTTTATGAGTTACGCCGGAGGTTCCCTAACCCTAGTTCAGCTCGCCGGGATTTTGGGGTGGGGGTTTAGGAGGAGGTGTGCAGGCCTATTGCGATCTTTGTGTTGGGGGCTTTGGTGCCTAGTCTGCGGTTGGGGTATTTGGTGGGATGTCCGGGGGTTTATGGGAGGCTCATAGGGAGTTTGCATTTTGTGGGGACGGGGTATGCGGTTGTGTAGAAAGGATATAGGGAGGGAAGAGGGAGGGTGGTTGGAGGTTGCTGGGGATGGTGAGAGGGCGAGGTGTAAGTCAAGAGTACGCTTCATGAGACTCACATAATGATATGAGGGGATTGGATATAGGAGCCAAAGTCTACATACCCCGTTAAACTGGGATAGACTTGTTATTTGGAACAGTGAACTGTTAGTCACATTACGTGTACACAGTAACCGATCTCTATTATAACGGGCGTAATCTATTGTATACACTGCAAAACACATCACTACGAACCCTCCGCCAGTTCCCCTAACATCGCATCAATATACGCTCTTTCGTTCTAGAAGAAACTCCCGTGTCGCAGCAATATCAAAGTCACGATGTGTCTTCTTCTGCTGCCGGATCACCTTCAACTGGCGACGTACTCGCTCCTCCAGGTTCTCCAGCCGATACTCTGCGTACTGATAGTAGAGCGTGTTCTTATGGGTGGAGGGTAATAGAGGTTTTATGGTAGTTTCGTCGTCGTAAACAAACGGCGATTTTGGCCTCAATACTGTGCCCATGCTGGTACGTTCTCGACCGCCAAAGGCCTTGAGGGCTTGATGTTCGATATACCGCCCCTGCATGATGATAGCCGTGCCCTGGACCACGGTTAAGCTGGAGTGATCATGCACAGCCAGAAGGGGTAAAACTTACCATGGCGAGCCCACGGAATTTCAAAACTTCACCGGTGCCTGTGCGGATAGCTGTCTCGCTGCCGACCATCCCAGCACAACCTAGCAGCATGGTGACACAGACAAACGTGTAGTTGTCAGAATACCAGTCAAAAGCGAGCTTCTCGTCAGGGTTATTTTCAGGTGCACTGCCATTTGGAAGCGTCATCCTGAACCAGGATATTGACATGTCCAACGTCTACATCCATGGCAGGAACCAGGTGGATTCCGGCTACCTTGGAGAGTACTCCCAAAACTACGGGGCTATCCCAAGCATCATACACGAAAGAAGTGTTTCTAGTCGTTCGTCAGTAGAGTGGCTTTTCGGCAAAGAGAAGAGAGGCGATAGAACATCTTACTCAGGGCAGTATCCTCGAATCATATTAGTTGCCATATCTAAACCAACCTGATGCTTCTCCAGCATTTTGCGGCTGAATACCTCAGCCCTCATCTGCCTGATTGCCTCTTCAGTGAAAAGTGGGAAAGGGTCGGAGATGGCTGTGGACATGATACCCGCGGCTTCCATACTGATGTCCTTCATTGTGACTATTTTCCTAGGAAACTCGAAATTGACAGATTTTCTGCGTCAGAAGGTATCCGGTCCGAGATCTGAGTACCTTCAATGAGAAATTGTGGGAGGGCTTTTCGAGGGGCCATGGAGTTGTTCTGCTCAAGACTCGGAGCCACAGCTGGAAGGATAGTGGCAGCCATGTTCAGCTGCGTTCAGATGTGAGATATGATGGGGTACAGTAGACCGAAGGGGTGGTCTTGAGTACGAAAAGTGAACACATTATTCACGGCAGTAGAAGAGCTTCTTAATTTTCTTGGGGTGCTGAACCCCACATACGCTAAAGTACAGCTTCAACTCCGTTCCCGAAATTGTCACTTCTTCAACATCGTATCCCGTGTACTTCTTTCGATCACTGTTTTGGAAATCGTGTCCAGCTCAGCGTCGGGCCTTTCCTGCGCTGACAACCAAATCATGATGATAAGGGGAGAACATGGTGATTAACTCATAGAATGAAGGTAGGCGTACCAGATGGCATATCGCGCTCAAGGTGCCTGACAGGGTCCTCATTACCTCTTTTCGCAAACATTTCCCGAGCAAAAGTTTCACCTCTTCATATGGAGGGGACTAAGATGTTTTCTTTTTCAGTTCCTGGGTCTCATATAGTGGCGCGTGAACTCCCCAGGCTAAGTACTTTTCTCTGCCCGTAGTCCCTAGCATTATAAAGACCCTCACTCCGGGAGAGCTACATGGATGGAAGCGGGCCTATATTTTTGGAATGTGAGAGAAGTGACACATACATCCATCCTCCGTTCCAGCCCGCTAATTGATCCCATCATATGGCCTTGTGGCACCCACACGGTCATTGAAGTCTCCAATCAAGATGAGCAAAGGCCTTGCTCTCATATTTGTTTCCTCTTGTAGTTAGCGTGGGCTGAGGAGAGCCTTGGAGAGCCTTGGAGAGCCTGTCAGCTTGAGCACAGCTTAGTGGGAAAGAAACGATATCGCCGTTGCTTGCCATCCCTGGTGGACGGGTCGCAATGAAACTAAGAGGCTCTAAATTATATAGAGTGGACAGAAGCATGGTGGAAGTGAGAGGGTGAAAACGAATGCCAAGGGAGCACCCCATACTCGGTTCATAAGATCTAATTACAGTTATTTTTAATAGTCTACCCACTGCAGTCGTGGAGATGCTGCGTGGTAGTTGGGACGTTCCCTGCTCGAAGATGGCCAAACCCATTGTAGCCAAGAAGGTGTGGTGTCTCTCAATGTTCCAAATTCTCAATTAATACCGGGCAATTGCCCTTGATTAGCAATCCAAAGACTGCTTTGCGATACTGTTTGTATACATCCATTGATCGATCGTTGAGGTTGTGTAATTGCTAAGATTCTGAATGAACGCTGTTTGTCTAGAATATATTGCTACATAATGAATACCCGTGGTTCTGGAAGAAGTGCGGGCCAATTCGTATGACTGTCTCGTGCCCATATTTTCTCGAGAAGATTTAGGGCTTTCAGTAAATTGAGGAACCCATTACAGCGATACTGCTTTTCTAGGAACCGTTTGAAGAAAAGCCGATGCTCACCCTTCCGGCTCTCTGATGCGGCGATGAATGTGGGCCACACAAGGGCATGTTCGCCTAATGATCCCTCAGGAAATGAGTCCAACATTCTCTTGAAGGTCTCTATCTTGTCAGCATCTAGTGTACCACTAGGTCCCATCAGCGCGCGTTGTAGATATATGTCATACGCCTGTTGTCGAAGATCCGCAATCAGATAGAAGGTGAGCGCGTGGTCGGGGTGGAGGCCGCCATTATAGTGCAGACAGTCGAAGCTCTCTTGGGCATAAGACATGATACTCCGTACACCGTCCTCCTCGCCCAGCAGTGGTGCAGCATAGACACGCATTCTGGAAAACTTAACGATGGGGTTTTACAATCAATGGGAGTCTAGAAAACTTACTTGCGTATCTGCCGCAGCAAAAATTCGGCTATCTCACCATTTCCAAGCCCACCTTCACCCCCGACCGCATCGAGAGCGGATTGTAACATGTGAAACAGGATGGGAAAATCTGAGCACCCATTGACCATGACCCCTACTAAGAGTGTGAGGACCGCAACGAATATGGACTGTCGGGTGAGCATATCGTACTCATCCAGGGAGCTCCTCTTCTGTAGCCCTAAAATGGCCTGCGCATAGAGCTTGTCTGGTTTGACAAGGAATCTACCTTCGGACTTGTGAGAGAGATGAAAGGCTGATACAGCCAACACAGCGTTCATGACCATTTGGTCGGATAACGCAAAAGGCAGAACCATGTATCGCCATCCATTGTACCTGTCATCCATGATCACCATCTGAGGGGCAATGTTGTGGGAAACTTGAAAAGTTATTATTGTCTGTGTACTTTAGTAGCCCGCGGATAAAGCTTACAGTATGTCAATAGAAACTCATTGCTGGGATCCACTAGATCGACGCTTAGAGTAAGGGTGGTCATCGCCCCATGGCTACCAGTGGATGTCTCTGGTGAATGAGAGCCAAGTCTCTGTGGTGCATTCAGCTCTGCGGGGTTATTTGTGACATTGTTAGTCCATTCGCATTGCTCTTCGAAATAACAGCCACTGACAAGGAACGGTAAGACTTGACGCTGCGGAAGATCATCTGACCGTGCGCTGCAACCCTGATTAGCCTAATCATACTAGGAAATATAATTTTGAAAGGAGAAGCATACCCACAATGAGGTGACTTTTCCTGTTGCCAAACAATCTTTCCTTTCGTAGCCCCATCCCGGAACCGGTAGCGAACTCCGAGCCCGCTGCATGGTATGCCTCTGGACATACACTTACCACAGCGTGGCTGTGCCCGGTCGCAATGAATACGACGCTGGGAGCATTCGTAGCATCCTGTGTAACTGTCCGGTCAGACAACGCCAAGTATCTGGCTAATCGTGTTCAACTTTATGCGCACCTTTGGTTTTAGGAACATACCGACGCTTCTGACGGGGCATATTGGAATGGGCCCGCACGCTTTGATTGAGTAGTATTGATCGCAAAATATGAAAGACAGGTAAAAGCTACTAGAAGTTCTAATATTCAGCAAGGGAGACCTTATCGAAAAGGCGGGGTAAGTCTGATTTCGCCATCGATCACTCGAGCCAATCCTGGTTCAATTGTTAGATGGATGTCCGAAGTTCTCGTACGGGTGTAAGCCGCAGCGAGTGGGAGATGACTTGCCTGCGGAAATATCTGCTAGATGACATCACCTTTCTGCATATCTTGATGATTATTCAACGGTCACGGTGCTACTATAAGTATCTAGACCGAGTTGTTGGTGGAATCAAGGTCGACATGCCAAGAGAAATGCAGTGCTCTCATTTAACTTGCCCAGTCCGGTTAGTTCGAGCCCCGCATATCAAGAGATCTCGATCAAACATCAAGATACATGTAGATTAAGTAATTGGATGGTATATCAGGAGAAGGCCGTGCTTTGAGACATTCCACTCAAAATGAACTCTAATGTGTCCAGATAGCGGATCAAGATGCTTATCAACTCTACATCTTATGCACCTTCAGAAGAGGACCACATAAGATGCGTGATACATCTCAGTAATAGATAACAGTGAGCTTGGAGTATTGAGGCAACCAACTAACCTAGATTTCTTAACTTCTATATGTTTGAATAGCAATTTTATCAACATCTCGTCCCAGCCCATCCTACCATATCATCAATTCCAATACGGCTTCGGCGATCTGTCTTTTTAACATGGGCTCCAACATATCAAAACGCTCCAAGAGCAAGTCGAAAGTGCAGAATTACTTCCGACCATAGCACCGCAGGATCACCAGCATCCCGTCTCGAAAGCCTACCCATGATCACCATACACCCAAGTGACCGCATACAAAGGTGACGGCATCGAGGCGTCGCATGACATATATATCGCAGGAGAAACGTGAGATTCAGTCATAACCTCCTCACAAGGAATTGCCTCTCAGCAAAAGAGTAAGCTTTGAGGCTGCGCTGCGTGGTTGTAACCACATCACGAACAGGCTCATCTCCAAAGAGACTAATATCTCAATCATTCTATACGGCAAACGGGTTGAGAATGCCATAAGTTTGACCATGTGAATATACCACGAATCCGAGTGGATGACGCATGAGGTGTTAAAAGGGGCTCTCTTGAATACGCGTGCATTGGCTGTCAATGCACACGCCCAGCAAAGACGCCTGGAATGGCCGTTCGTCCCTTCCCACTATACGAGCGCCCGACCCCTGAGTCCCAAGCGTGAGAACGCGTACGTCAAGGTGGAACTGGGCGATTCCAATGGCGATATCCTAGCCGGGTACAAAGTAGTATCGACTGAACGAGTCTCTTGCAGTCTTGGCCTGCTGGTTATTACCTTGCCTCTTGTTGCGCTTACTCGAGGCATGATTCACGGCAGTAGTAGCTCCAAGCTCTCGGATCCGCTATGCCTTTGCAGGGCGCGGACCAATCGTAGAGCTTGGAGGAGCTGCGGTTTGTGTCGCGAGCGCCTGAACCTTAGGTAGGCCGCAGAAGGCCAAGAATGTCATTATTACGCCCTGAAAGCGTGAGAACTCGTCTCACTACAGAGCACAAGGAGAAGTTCAAGTGTATTGAAGACCTTACAAATAGGGTCACTGAGCTATTAGGCCGATTGGAAATGACACCCAGGTTCGTGTAATCATGCATCCAATACGTTGTCGGATGCACGGCAATACAAATAGTCAGACCAGACCAGTCCAGAATAACTGGCTGGATGAAAGTACATCCATGCATACTGATATCAGAAACTCGCTACCCAATAATACCACTAACACTCCCCTTTCCAGACTGCCCCAAAAAATGCATGTCAAGGCTGAATGCCACCCTTTCTTTTTCCCATTTTACTTTTTTCAGTTTTTTTTTTTTTTTTTTTTTTTTTTTTTTTTTTTTTTTCAATTAGTCACAAAACCAAAGCCACCCTTTACTTTAGCCTCACATCCTAAAATAGGCTGATCAGACCTCGGTTCCGGGGAAACATCCCCGCTACGGTGATAAAATTTTCATCCGAAGGTCTAGATTGAAAGGAGTAAGTCAACCAGGACACTATTGAAGTATATTCAGAGCCCATTCGAGACCCAAAGCTTGATCTTCTCCACTCCTCTTTTCTCCTTCGCTGGGTTATGTTTACTTTTTAGTTTCCATATTTTTTTCTTAGGGGGTGCTGAATTCAGTCCCTGTTTTGGACTATATATATATTTTTCATTTCGTATGGTTCGTGATTTCACATTGGAGATGAGAGGAGGGATTGGAAGCTTGTTTTAATTTATTTTATTGGTTATATTATGGTCGGTGTCCGATTTAATTGAACGTGTTGTCGCCGAATGAGAATATAATTGGAGGTGAGATCCCTTTCATTTCTCCATTGATAATGGTAGTGTTGCAATTGTCATATTGCACTTTTCTTTTTTGTGTGGGGCGGGGAGAGAGCAAACCTCTCATGTCATTGTCCAATGTCCACATGGGTGGCGGAACCCGCCGGATAAAGGATTACTTCCTTGCTCTGCATACGGAATATGTACATATAAAGTATAGATATAATAGAATGGATCCGTATAGCAGTCCAAAAAGGCAAGGTCAATTCAGTTCCATAATTCAGAATCAAAATCAAAACCGTCTGAGACGATCGTGAAATCTACGGACCCCTCGGAGTAAAATACCCTTCGCAGGAAAGGGCGCTGTATTTTGTCCCACGTAAGGTACGGAGTAGCCCTAACCACTATTCAATGTTTCCAGAATTTGACCGCTCAAGTGATGACACATCCAAACAGGTAGGTTGTATAAAGACGTATCTGCCAGATCGTCTTAATGCCCTCGGGAGCGGAGTACTCCGTGAGAATCAAGAAACAGCCTTAAAAGTCCAACGGCAAAGAACTATTGATCACCCCAATCGCCAGTTCATCGTAATATTAATCTGGCTCCGCTCCGTCTTGGTATCGGTCCTTATCGACCAATCTACGTGATGAGTGATAATCAAATTAAAAAGGCAGAACCCCTTGCTGTCCCGATGCCGGAGGCTGAGACTTGACTTGAAATCGGTCGCTGTCATGTCTTATGTTTTGAACTTGTTTCGTCTGACAATCGAATATCCCTCATATCCTCCCTTGAAGTCTAAAGAACACGACGCTGTCAAGGTATACGGGGGAAACGTCGTACCATTTTTTCAGTAAGGGGTAACACGGTGTCATCGGTGTTTTCACGACTGGATCCCGTGATGGTATTAATTTCCCAGGATGTGGGATTTCATTGGTGAGGGAAATCTTGCCTAGCCAGGGTGGACCCTTTTGTCCTGTTCAACGGTTGGATTTTCAGCCTGACCCACTGTGTGCCTGCCTCAGGTGGACTTGGTACTCAGCTAAATGCCCAATTTTATGGAAACCAAAAAGAAAGAAAAAAAGAATACGGAGAAGCTCCGTACCTATAAACGACGAAGTCTGGTTTCTTACCTCCTGGCGGCCGCACCAAAACACAAGTACATTCACACTGTACCAATTAAAAACGGAGGAAATCTGAATGCGATAGCTCGCATGCTGGACTAGTCATTCATTACAGGATACACATATCTACATACTAGTACATACCGTACAAGGCCCGGCGCCCAATCCATCCGGGTAATCAAGACGTAATAACAATAGTTAGGCCAAAACACTGCCCAGGTAAAAGAAGATAGAAGAACCGTGATTATACTCACGTCCGAGACAAACAACTTCAATACCCAAGGGTATATAACACGTCCGCTCAGATAACGAGAAGGGAGAATCAATAGAACAAGGAGAAAGCCCCAAATGGGAACGATAGAAGAGTAGTTAAAAAGGAACTATCTGTTTATTAAAGTTGGCCGGATCCAAAGCTCACAGGACCGCAACGGCACCCAGAACGATTGCCAGCATTCCACCGGAGACGCGGTTAGCCATACCGGCATTGACGTTGACGATGCTGGTAGTCGAGGCTGAAGCACTGGCCGAGGTAGTGCTGGAAGCCCGAGTGGTTGAGGGAGCAGCAGTAGAAGTGCCTGAGGTGCTAGATGCGCTAATGGAATCAGTGCTAGTGCCGGAGGCAGTAGCCGAAGAGCTCGAGGCAGTGCTGGTGGTCGCCTTAGTCAGAGTGGTGTTGGTCTCAGTGGCAGTCGACTTGGAGTGGGTGGCAGTCGTTTCAGTGGCGGAAGACTTTGTGGCGGAAGTCGTAGACTCAGCGGTAGAAGTAGTCGAAGCAGCAGTGGTGGACGCGGTGGCAGTAGCGCCGGCAACAGCGAACCGGGGAAGATAGTTGACTTGGCTCTTGTCATCGTCGCTCAGAATCTCAATGGTGTAGTCAGGCTGAGCGGCGAGATTGGCGGGGGGAGTCCATGTGAAGCTGCCCGAGTTGGCAATGTTGTCTGCAGATATCGTTAATATACATGCAGCGGAGATGTCTTAAGTAGCCCTCGGGGGAGACTTACTGGCAATAGTGGTACCGGTGTTGGAAGTCAGGACAGCGCCCCATTGAAGCTTCAGCGAGACGGTGCCGCTGGTGGTGGGATCCCAGGAGAGAGTAGTGGGCTGACCCGCCTCAAAAGAATAACCCTCAGAGGGGATGTTGAACGGGTTGGCACCGCTAGTAGCAGCCGCAGCGAGAGTCGCAATAGCGCTGAGAGTCAAGTAGAAGACGGAACGCATGTTGTCGAAATGGTTGCAATACGATTATTAGAGTAATCCGAAAAGAGTAACCGAAGATGTAAAACTAATGCTGGGTACGGTATAGATCGTATGCAATGCAAGTGAAAACAAACAGCGAGGAGCGTAAAGCCTCCGACGTAAGATTAATGCTTGATTAAAGAGTGAAGTCAAGTCGAGTGGTCAAAAGAAGGACGTTGCGTATATATACGCAGGAAAGGTTGAATCCGAAGGGAAGGAAAGAAGGCTGTCCGACTCGAGAAAGAAGTAAGAAAGAAGAAAGAAGGGAAGGGAAAGGAGGGAACGAGGACCAAGACGGCGTGACTACCTTATGTACTAAGTATAATACTGTGAAGGGAAGCCACGAGGTCTAGTATTGCAGGTCATAATAATACAATAATAATACCTCATGGAAGGGGGCAAATTAAACCAAGCGCTAAGACAAGACACTAAATCAGTGTCACCCCAATTGAGAGGCTAAGCCGATAAAAGGCCGGTCCGGATCACTCCATTAGTCCTGAACGAGCAATAGTGCCTTTCCAAAGGCTCAGAGAATGACCCTTCGTTCCAATTGGGGGGTTTTCCCTCGACCCTAATAGTAGTATTACTACTCTACCTAGTTAGCTGGAAAAAAAAAAATTTCCGGTCGAGGAACCACCTGCTCTCCGACCTCCCCTATCGTTATGGAGGGGAGAGTTGGACAAAAGGTGAATTCTATTAATAATAATCAGAACCAGACGAAAAAATAGCCTTTCCAGATGGTGTCTCACGATCTGTTCATTGAAGATATCTAGGGAATAATAATATTATTATTATAATAATCCATTCTCAACGGACGCTCCACCACTCAGAGTTCTGCGGATACCTCCGATTTCCCTAGCGTACTGCATTGTATTTTCCTGTATGATGATGTGCTCGGTACCTGACTAACCCAGAATGGGTAGAGCAGCAGTTGACCTGTTCGATGAATACGTCGTCTTATGGAAGCCCTCAGCTGAGAAGCGATAGAAGATCCTTCATGTATTCATGTATAATTGAGTACAGTACATACAGCGTTTTTCGTATTTCGCCGGTTGAGTCGATCTGGAGAAGAGCTATCGTCTCGGCATTTCATTGGTTCCCGCTTAGGCAAAAGTAGTATTGATAATTGATTCCAATGGAAGTATTTAAACTAAGCTCAGAAAGGTGAACTTGGCGAACCCTCGGAATTATGATTTCTCCTTTTCCCATTCCATGGGCAGAGAAGTTTTTCAACACCCCCTGGATTCTTGGAACTAGGGCTAGACTTGGGACATATACACGGTTCTATAAAGAGAACCCTTGGGGGAAAAATAAGATCCTGGAACTCGGCCGCCCCCCTTGGCATAATGTAGTTTTTAAATTTATTTGTAATGACCTCATCCTTCTTAAACCAACAGTCTAAAAGATCTTTCCCTCACCCACTCAGCAAACCGATCAGTCAATGATCTTCCGCAGCTACCACTCAATTGGGTGATAGTTCATAGACGGATGTCTCACTCTCTTGCTTTCCTTCGGATCCGTCCAATTGGGTTGGAATTTTGACACGAAAATGCGATGGCTGTGCTTTCCCCATGAAGATTTACTATTAATATATCGTGACTTAGTCTCAGGGGCTCCAGAAAAGGCACTATCAAAGAACAGAAAAGGAAAAAGAAAAGTCTTAAGCTTACCTTGACAGCTCCTTTCCGGAATGACACACCCTATTCAATCAACTTTAATATCTGCCACTGTCTCTCCCATTTGACCGATCATGGCATGGACCCCATCCGATCTATCGGGGGCGTCCTGCATGGACCCATTCGTGGTCTTCCAATCGTTCAATAACTTAGCCACGTGCTTTAGTATCTTTGGCCTCCCGGAACACACAGACGGCGAGGGTCTTACTTCTTCGCAGAAGGAAGGCTATCATCTGTCGGCGAATAGCACGTTTGGAAACCTCATCGGGGATTGTCTCAACCAGTACTGCGAGGTTCCAGATCCGGAGTTGGAAGGATGTGATACACTGGGCAGGACCCCGGACGGGTACTATCGCGTGTTCATCTACCCTAGACAGGAATTCAAGACCGTGACCTGTGATAGTGTCGATAACGACGTGAATGATGACATCGGCGGTGTGGGGGTACATCTACCTAGAGAGTGCTAGATTTCGACTTACTGACGCTTCTCTTTTCATGTAAACTCCAGGTTTTACTCTCGTTCGCGATGCAGTCAGCCATCCTTCTATACGTCAATTTCATTGTTCTCATTCTGAAATTCATTCCTGCAGTCGCCCGGTGTATCCGCCGTTGTACTAAGAGGGCACGATCCAAGACCAAACCACAGTTCGGCTACCATCACTTCTCCGTGATCAAGTCCATGATGGTGGAATTTCAAGAGGCGCAATGCTTCTTCATGTTATCGTTTCAGTGCGCTGCCCTGATTGCTCTTGCGGCTGGCCCGCAGGTTTTTGAGGCGACCAGTTTATTGCAGGTGGCATCGAATATCTCCATGGCGAAATCGGTTGCACTAATGGGTATTCTTCCTATTACCTATGGTCTATGGGTCCTACACAAGATCGGCTTACATTCATGGTATATCTCCGCGTGGTCGGCCATCACAATCGTGACGTCCAGCGTCACGCTGCATTTATGCAAAGTTGAGCCGCGAGCGGACAATCTGCAGGGGATCGCGACATCCGATCGTCTCGATAAATGCGGCTTTTTCCCGCCTCCTCTCATATATTGCCGCTCGGAAATTTATCGAGATAGCAGTTTTATGAACGCTTTCTTCTTTGGACTTACCGATGTTTTTCTGAGTTACTCATGCATTGGGATCTACGGGCTACTCCTCATGAAACGTCTCGCCCCCTATCCCAAGCGCTGGTTCAGCCGAAGACCATGGTTTCAGGGGACTTACCACCGAGTCCATCCTTGGTTGGTTTCCAAAGGGGTCAGATTCCTGTCTGGAAGCTTGACCGTGTTCATCGAGCTGTTTCTCTTGTTCTACAACTTCATCTATGTCGCCACAGTCGTAGCACGAAGCTTTCCAGCGATCTCCCTTGACTCGTGGAGTTTTGGTCAGATCATCGCCGTGACTATCTGGGCTCCCATCATCAGCAAATATCTCCATTGGGTGCTATGTATGTTCCTTCTTTTATCCTTTCACCCTCGCTTCTGGCGCTCTATACTTACAACCAAACTAGTTGGCACGGACTCCTATTCTGCCATTCGATTCCCATCCCCTTATAAGATCATCCGAGTCAAGTCCACGAACGACGAAGACCAAATAGAGGACGAAGACCGCCTCTTCATCCATCTCCCTTCTACAAGCGACCTCACTATCAACCCGAAATCGAAAAAGTTCATAGTCACCGACGTAGAACTGACGCCGGTTCCCGATTCGAAGGAATCATTGGTTAGTACGAGACATTCCTGAGTACCCATATAAACCTTTTGTTTACCTCTGTATTATTACCTTGCGGTTTGTTCCTGGCATTTTTTGGATTATTGGGGTACTGTAGAGGATACATTACCTAGCATTGGCGTTTGGGTTATGTTTATGTGAATTATGTATGTACATATTTGCTTGATAGATTGAGCGATGGGTGTACGATTAGCGCGGCTAGACAGTGGAGGGAGCTATAGATAGGTATTTTAGATGTAACATCGTGCAGATCTTGACTGTCTCAGTTCCTAGGAAGATCGATCTACGATTGCATGACCTGTCTCAGCCTTGTCGATAGATGAAGATGGCTCGTGTAGATCTTGGCCTAAGCTTATTTAGATGTTGGTCTCGCTTGGGCTAGAGATTAATTTAGTGTCGGTGCTAATTAGGGTGTCGAGATAAATTTGTTTCAGATTCTCAGGTAAGACATGGAGAGCAATGATATTGTACTACTGTGGGTTAACAAGGATATGGATCACCTCCCTTTTTGTTTCTGTACTCCGAGGTTAATATATATTCTGGTTCGAAAGTGGACGTTCGAACACGATGATGGATTATACAGAATAGTAACAATGCTCCCACACGTCTGTCTAAACGGACATACATTACAGAGCCCTAAGGCCAACCTTAAATGCGACATCTACAATACCACCATAATCATATATGACTCAATCTTCCAAAGGTGTATGCACAGCAGTAGGCACAGTGTCACTATCCCCCGAGTCCTCTGTACGAAAAGTATACGTAGTACTCGGCTCCGTGGCCGAGATAGTCGGCTTCTTGAAGCCTACACATATGCCCACGACTCTGCCTAAAAGGCTTGGAAACTAAGACGACAGTTGTGAAGGCTCAGCTACGCTTCTAGCGTAAAGTTAGTCTTCCCGTTGTTGAGGGTCATGGACGAGTGTTCGCCTGTTCCTCTGAAGTTCCCCTGGACTCGGTCCCATTCGTCGGTGATTTTGACGAGCTGGTCGTCTGAAGAATTTAAGGTTGCGGTGAACTCACAGCGGGCTCGTTCGAGGATGTGGAAGGTGTAGGAGTTTAGAGCTATTTGAGTTGATAATCCGGACCTTGAGATGAGATGGTCTTGCTTCAATGAAGTAAAATAGAAGATGGGGTTATTGTTATGGGACTGACAGACAGTCCTATATCATGGGATATATGCCTAAGGCATCAATACCCATGCCTTTACCCCACAAATATTTCGTACGACGCCGTTATTCTTGGCAATTAGCTATTTCTTCTTGTTCAATAGGCACGCTTAGGTTGGAACAACTTATTCGTCCCGTAACAGTTATAATCGGTTCAATCTAGGGTCACAGAATCAATTATTTGGGGTTTATGACATCATGACTGCAGCTGTTTGAGTTCTGGAACAATTGGAAATGTATATTCTTCATCTGGTTAATTCTTAGTCATGAATTGAATGTAAGTTTTAACTATGACTGTTTGCAGCGTTTGTATCATAAGGTCGCATATACACATGGGTGGTTCCTATGATTTCCGATAGTGATGTATTCCATCTTAACAAAGATCAGCAACTGGAACGCAGTTAAGAGGCTATAATAAAGACAACATGAGGAATGCAATGCTAATAGCAGTTATATCCTACTTACTAACCCAGCTCGAACAAATCCCAAAGTTGACCCATTCGACAGTAACAACATCGTTCCTCTACTAGTACTCCATTTTCTTCGACTTTACATATCATTCACGCGGCGTCACCTACCATCTCGTTCTTAGAGGTCTTTGGAAGAACCGTCAAAGTCTTGATATTGAATGAGGCTGACATGACCATCCTTTACCCTGTAGACAGATAATAGCTTATGGAATGACTGTTAGTGATGTCTATCCATGGGACATTAAGGGCAAAGGTCCATAATGGCCGGGAAATTAGCCTGGTTGGCTTTACCGATCTCTTCTTCTATTCTCCTACTCGGCATAAGTGTAGTTTGGACGTGGAACCCTTGTCTACAGTAAGCTACTCTTGGACGTAGTAAATAGAGCCATAAAGTTAAGGATTGTCTTTCTCGCTGACCATTGGGCATCTTGGAATACCCCATATAGATTTATTGCGACTAGAGAAACAAGAAAATATCTCCTTATCTAGCCCTATCATCTAGAAAATAGCATTCCCTTGTTCTACTCTGCATGTACAAGCTGTGCCGTCATGTTCCCATTTGATCTAACATCAAATGGCATTTGGCCTAGCCTAGAAGTGATACTATAGTAACGTTGATCTCGATGCGTAATACAGATTCTTTCGACGGAATACAGAGCTGGATGTATGAACGCATACTTTCAAAGTATCAATATACGGTGAGAATAATACCTAAAAGTACAGTGACAACGACACATCGATCCAAAAAAAAGATCGACTGATCAATCCTTTATGTCCTTGAGACTTGGACGTCTAGGGTTTATTAAAAACGATTGTTGATAAGTATATATATACATAAATACCCTCGCTGAATGAATCTTTGTTAAGCAGTGACAGAGGCGCTGTCGCCTGTCTGCGGCGGTGGCATGCTTTCTGATAACGTTTGGTCTCCTAAGAGCTCGTTGGATGGTTTTACACCATCCGTTCTAGAGCCCTTGCTCACACCTTCTTGAGCCTCTTCTTGGGCCTTCGGTGCGTCTAAAAAGCCATTATCCCCTAGCCAAACAATAGCTTCCATGACTTTCCGGTCATTATCCCCTTTCTGGCGGTCAAGAAGCTGTTGTCACATGTTAATTCAGTTGCGCCATAAATAATGAGTAGGTATAACTTACCGCTTGTAGGAGCCCTTTACGTCCTTTCTTCTCTATAGGCTTTGCCTTGGCTCCACGATCTGGCGTCTCGTGCAAGAACTTGCACTTATCTCCACGCTGGCAGCGGCCAGTTCGAGCAAAGTGTCGGCATAGCTTCTTTTTTGCTTCGCGCGGAGGCGGGGCTACTCGTTCAGGGCCTTCGCGGCGAGAGGTCGCTTGCTCAGGAGCACAATCGCTGTCGCTGTCCTCCGAGTCCGAGGAAGAGAGATCTGATCCGCTAGACGACGTCCAGTCGCTACTGTCAGAGACATCCGAAGATACCGCAACATCACCGTGGGCGATCTCCATGACATCTTCTCCGTTTGGAGTAATATCAGATGCAGATACTGGGCCAACGCCACCGGTAGGCTCGGGAATCTGATCAGGAGGATGTCCAGAAGCAGGTAAGGTCACTGAAGCCCCCGTATCCTGGTCAGGAATAATATTCGTTTTGTTTTCGGAGTTGGACTGGGATTGACCTTCCTGCACAAATGAAGTAGCAGCATCTTTTTCAACGCCCGTCGATCCGCGCTGCAGTTCCTCGACTCTTCTTCGAGCCCGTTCGGCATCTGCTTCCGCCCTTTCGACCTTTTTCTGCTCTTTCATGAGCTTGCGCCGTAGCTTGTCGGCTTTCCGTTTTGCTTTTTCAGCTGCATCTACCGGGTCGGCAGGAGCTTGTACTTGGTTCTTCGGTGCTTTCTTCATATCTTGCTTTCGAAGATCTTTCTGTCGCAGGGCTTCTTCCTTGGCTTTCTTCGCCTCCTCCATCGCCTTCTTTTTCTCATCAATTTTCGCTTGGGTTGGGAACCGCTTCTTACGCTCCTCAATCCATGCTGCAATCTCAGCCGGCGACTGCAATGTGGCAGTACGGCCCTTATATGAAAATTGCAAAGCCGCTGCGACATCAGCGCCTCCGTGTGCTAACCGCGATTCTTCGTCAACGTCATCTTCTTCTTCGCTTGATTCATGTTCCTCCGTTTTCGGTGTCAGGCCAAGTTGATTGTGCTTCCGTTTCTTCTTTTTCGGTTTTCGTGAAGCATCAACCGGAGGGGGTGGTTTAGAAGGTAAAGGATTGCCGAAGCTAGGAACTGGGGGCGGAGCAGGGACTCGGGGACTAATATTCTGTGGCTTTCCAAAGGCCGAAGTATGATCGCGCTTCATATGTGGCATAGGGTTCCCGCCCTTGGAGGCCTGATTTCCGTAAGCGTTGTACGGGCGGGGACCTCGCTGATTCCCGTGCGGAGGGCCGGTGTATGTTCCTGCAGAGCCTGCATTGTTGTATCCCCAATGCATGGGCGGGCCCATCATCGACGGTTGCACAGGCGGAGGGGTATTTTGGTGGCTTGGAGTAACAGAGTGATACGTAGGAGCCTGCTGAGCAGTAGGTGGGCCGTAAGCTGGATTGTAGCCAGGTTGATGCTGGTACGGCGGTCCACGTGTTGGCGTAGGCTGCGGGAAGGGTCGTGAAGAAGGAAATGAAGTTGTACTTTGGGGGCCTGAAAAATTGGTGGTCCGCGAAGGTGTAAATTGTGGTGTCGGAATACTTTGCTGAGGGGTGGCCATAGGCTGCTGACCGACGTAGCTAGGATAATTCATCGGAGCGTAGCCCATAGACGAAGAACTTGCCGCAGGGGGCATATACGAACCCCCTCGACCTCCTCGATTTCCATATCCCCTACCCCGACCTCTGTGGTAGCCACCGCGTCCACCTCGCTGTCCATGGTGGCCTGGCCCATACTGTGAGGGGAAAGTTGCATGTTGGTTTTGGTTATACTGCGACTGCTGAGTAGGAGGCGGGGGCGGGGGTGGAAAAGAGAAGCCCTGAGAGTTCATCGTGAGAGGATCTCAAAAGACCTCCAAGAAAAATTCGCATGAACGCCATCCTCACAACATCCTGGACACTTGGGAAGAGCCCCAATTTCATCAGATCAAACAGCTGATGCGCTGTTGTTCCGTTCCGAGCGCAAAGAGGAAAGGCGTGGATGGTCACGTGTGGTATTGATCTCTAAAAAATGATTTGCAGTCTGCGATTGGCCGGAGCCACTGGTGGTCTTCCTTTTGCAAAGGACTATTTTTTTTAACTAAGCTCTTCACTATCCAAAAAAAAGAGAAATATGGGACTGCTAGAAGCATAAGTCACAATGTCTGCGTGACAGAATATTGATGCTTGTTCTGATGATGGAATCTACCTTTCGTGCTCTATGATCTTTCCGCCGTGGGACCGGTCATATTGAAATAGAAGACTTTTTTTTATCTACCGCCAAGTACCAGTGATACCAGAATTCATCATGTTTATTCTTGTCAGTCATATAGGATACTTTTTATTTCTTGCTATAATTTTTACCTCGCAGTCAAGTCAATAACTAACTATTCATTACAGACAACCCTGTCAGATCTGATCCAGATCGCCCCAGAAGACTTCTCGAAGTACAGTTCTGTAGCTATTGAGGACAACATTAATGAGAAATATGCCAATAAAGTACGCACACCTTTCTCCGAGAGGCTTATGCTTGCTTGAAACAGCATTAGCTAACAGTAAATCCGCAGGTTATTCAAAAGGTTGGCCTCTGCATTGGATTCTATGACTTGCTAGAAACTTCGGACGGTCTCATTGGCCATGGCACTGGCCTGGTAAACGTCAACGGTATGCCCAGAGTACTTGAATGAACCTCAAGAGAGGCTCTGTACTAACTAAAGGACAGTCAAGTTCCGCCTCATTGTTTTCCGTCCATTCAAAGGAGAGATTGTATTGGGGAAGATTTCCAGTGCTACTGAACATGGCATTAAAAGTATGCAACTGTAACCCAACCCTTACGATTCCCGTACTCACCGACCATAGTTGGTGTAGAATTCTTCAACGATATCCTCGTACCTCCCAATCTTCTCTTGGATGGTGCCAGATTGTGAGCTCTCTTCTAAGTACTCGGCGTTATTAATCTCCACTAACGTGCTATAGTGACTATGCCGACCAGGTTTGGATCTGGGAAAACGAAGACGGCTCTACGTTTTACTTCGATATTGGAGAAGTTGTCCGGTTCCGTGTCGAGATGGAAGAATGGCACGACCAAATACCAAATGCGCCAGATCTCGGAGATGCCGCCGCTATTGAGCGGAAGCCACCGTATTCCATTATCGTATGTTGTTCTTTGAGTCTATTCTCTCTCTCTGTTTTACTAAAAAGTGTACAGGGATCGATGCAGATGGCAGGTTTAGGACCTATATCTTGGTGGTAATCCCTAGGAAGGGTTCCCGTGATTATGTGAGATACCTTTTTGACCGAATGGTTGGACTATGTCGAATTCCATGGTAATACGAATAATGAAACAATCTTGACCTTGAAAATAGAGTGAGTAATTGCTCATGAGTTATTGCTCACATATCAGCCAAATGACGACATTTGCCGGAAATAGAGGGAGAGCGATGAATATGGAAGGATGAGAACCATGGAAGAACGCATACTGTTCGACACGAATCTCATCTAGAAAGCATATTTCCCCGCCAATACATTGCAGATAGTACATATAACTACTATACTAAGAGGGGGGTGATCCCTATCATTATCAATCGATTTCGGCTAATGGCGGCGGAGATAAAAAAAATGCATGGACACCGCCACAAGAGGAGACAATCGACGGTTCGCGGTGGAGTTTTACTCGGCGCTACGCCGGAAATCATTCCTGCCCTGCCCTATCGTTCTTCAGCAAACGTAAAAGAAACCAAGACCAAGCAACAGAAATTTTTTCCTTGGGTTTCACTCATGGGAATGGGGGGTAAAAATTGTTCTAGAGTTATCGTTAATAAATACTAATTTATTTCTAAAACCGGCTTCACCGGGCTTACTCAGTTCGCCCTCGTATCAATTATAAATCACCTGCCTAGATACTTTCTGCTGAATGACTATTTATTACTATCTAGATCTCCCTATCTCGCAGCTTGTGACCTCATAGGCACTTCTATTGTGTTTCCAGAATCTTTTCCTTTTTTGTAAAAAGAAAAAAAGAGAAGATCTGCTCCCTACCTTGCCACTTCAATTTCTACTTTTTTTGTCTTTTCGTTTTCATATAGATATACATCGCGCCATCACGTTCGCAGTCCCGTGACAATGACCGCTGGCAACTCGACAAATGGAGCTTCGGCTCAAGACAAGCGCTTCGGCACTCTGGCTGTTCATGCCGGTTCTCCCCACGATCCTACTACCGGTGCTGTCATTGCTCCTGTGAGTTTCTACCTCCACGTGAATTATCGCGATGAATTGATTATGCTAACCGTTTTGTGTAGATCTCTCTTTCCACCACTTTCGCTCAGACCAGCGTCGGTACCCCCATAGGTCTCTATGAGTACACACGAAGCTCCAACCCCAACCGGTGAGTAACTATATGAAAACAGATATTAGGTTATTCATACTCGTTACGCTAACGACCAGTCAGTGATAATTTTGAAGAAGCCATTGCTGCTCTTGAGCACGCTAAATATGCCCTCGCTTTCTCCTCTGGTTCCGCAACCACTGCGGTGATCCTTCAGTCTCTTGCGGCCGGCTCGCACGTCGTCTCGGTCTCCGATGTTTACGGTGGAACGCACAGATACTTCACAAAGGTCGCTAGCGCTCACGGTGTACATGTCACCTTCTCTCCCACCATTGAATTGGACGTGGAGGAATTGATCCGGCCAAACGAGACCAAGCTGGTTTGGATCGAGACACCCTCAAACCCGACTTTGGGATTGGTTGATATTGAGAAGGTTGCTGCCATTGCGCACCGCCATGGAATCTTGGTCGTGGTTGACAACACATTCATGAGCCCTTATGTCCAGAATCCTCTGGAGCACGGTGCTGACATTGTCGTGCACTCCGTTACTAAGTACATCAACGGCCACTCGGTACGTGTCTAGCTCTTCTGTTTTTCGTGTTCGAACTGCAGGACTTCTAGCTAACTGTGGGATAGGATGTTCTTATGGGTGTCGCCGCATTCAACTCTGACAGCTTGAAGGAGCGCCTTTCTTTCCTCCAGAATGCCATTGGTGCCGTTCCGTCTCCCTTCGACTGCTGGCTCGCTCACCGTGGTCTCAAGACTCTCCACTTGCGTGCCCGCGAAGCCACCACTAACGCCACCACCATCGCCAAAGCCCTCGAGGCTTCTCCCCATGTTATCTCCGTTAATTACCCCGGAATCGACTCTCACCCTCACCGTAAGATTGCTATCAAGCAACACCGCCAGGGTATGGGCGGCGGTATGCTCAGCTTCCGCCTCAAGGGTGGCCAGAAGGCTGCCCATCTGTTCTGCAAGTACACCAAGGTTTTCACCTTGGCCGAGAGCTTGGGAGGTGTGGAGAGTCTCTGCGAGGTTCCTTCCAGCATGACTCACGCCGGTATCCCCAAGGACCAGCGTGAGGCTGCTGGTGTCTTCGACGACCTGGTCCGGATGAGCTGTGGTGTAGAGGACGCAGAGGATCTTAAGGCCGACGTTCTCCAGGCTCTTGAGAAGGCTGTTACTGCCAGCGAGCAGAATGGTACCTCTTAATTGAGTGAATTAATAGAGAATTAGAATCTTTCATAGATCAAGTTAATGATGACATGGGCTACTTTCGAGATACACTTGCTTTTCTACCCCATTTTAACACCCTACCTTTACCTATTCGTAGATGATTCATCTCACCTAGATTACGGGAATGTATTAGGCGAATTTCAGACAACATAAACAAATATCAGGGAAAGAAGTACTGGTCGCATAAAACGACTCGAGCCACAGCATCACCTATATATGCTTAGTCATCGATGGGGATGCCGCAAAAAAATTAGAACAAAATTGAAGGGTAAAGAAGAACCCAATACTTAAGCGACTGAGCATTCAGATTCGTAGTCCAACGGGATAGCCCTCTAGGCCATACGGCGTCTTCTGAAATTTCCGTGTCTGCGAATTCAGCTTGCACCTTAAAACCTTGATCAGCATATATCGGTTTGAAACTATCTACAAGTGGCCTACGTCTCTGCACTACTATTTTAGTTATATCGACTTAACTTTCAATAATCTTTGGTAGTATCTTAGCGGGGCTTTGGCTGTGGCCAATAATTCGGTCTTTTGCAATGGCTTCCGCATTCAGCTTTGGCTTCTCTGGGGATGATATTGACATTGATGATTCGGAGTTGAACGCAGTTGATGAGGGGCACACATCTGTTGCGCCAGAAAATAGCAGCACACTTCCTGAATTGGTTGCGGCCCGGAGACATGAGTTGAGTGAATTGGTAAGTTTTTTAATCTTCTCAATGTCTCATATGTATCCTTCCTAGCGTTCAAGAGCTAGCTATCAGAATTACTTTCTCGAGTTGTGAAGCAATTCGGCCCTTTTTCCTTTTGTTCAGGTGGAAAAACATATCACTCGTTACGCTTTTACTTCAATTGAACATTATACTAACCATGCCATAGCTCTCGAGTCTTCCATCTCAAGTGTCATTTAACAAACTCAACATAGTCACAACCCAGGATGGACAAACATCCGAAAAGACACTCACACTCGCTCGCCGCGAGGTGTTTGACATCCGTGCTCAATTAATGGCAGAGGATACAGCTGACTATGAGAACGAAGAACTGATCTCCGGACTCGAGAAGGGGGATATCACGCCTAACATCTATGAAGGCGGCTTCAAAACGTGGGAATGCTCCGTAGATCTAGCCAAATTGGTTGTTAATGAAAACAATTCTTCCGGTGCTAACGCGGATGATCGACATATTATCGAGGTTGGTGCTACATTCAGAATTGAGCTTTCATTTGTCTACCGAACCAGTCACTAATGAAGGATCTCTAGCTTGGTGCGGGGACCGGGGTACCCTCGCTTGCCTTGTTTGCGCAATTACTATCTCAACCTGAGGGCTGTCCACGGACTACTCGCTTCACGTTTGCGGATTATAATTCTGCCGTGCTTCGCCTGGTCACTTTGCCTAATTTGCTTTTGACCTGGATGTACATTGTCACGCGTCAGAAGTCGGTCTCGGTCGCCGGGGCGGAAGACCAGGTCGAAGAAGAGTTGGAATTAGATATCACTCCGGAACTTCTCGAAGCTTTTCAGAAGGATCTTGCCGAACGGAGCATAACGGTCCAATTTATCTCCGGTGCCTGGTCTCCCGCTTTCGTTGATCTGGTGTTCTCGTCGGACGAGAAAGCCAAAGGAGGGACGTTGGTCCTTGCTAGTGAGACGATATACTCGCCGGCATCTTTGAGTGCTTTCTCGGAAACACTGCTGGCTTTGCTTCGTCGCGCTGTCCAGGCAGGCGGGAAGAGTAGAGCTCTGTTGGCTGCAAAGAAAGTCTATTTTGGTGTTGGCGGTGGTGTGGATGAGTTTTTGGCAGTCTTCAATACCGTCGGTGGTGCTGGTTTGGATGTGAAGGAGCGGCTGGATGTTAAGTCAGAAGGAGTGGGTAGAATAATCCTGGAGATTGTGCCCAAGGCTCTCCAATAGTGGGGATATCAATAAAAAAAAAGGTACCGTGATTAGAGTGTCAACTTCGTCCTATAACTAGAATATGGGTTATAGATTCCGGTTGGTCCCCGATAGGATCACGAGGGCAAGAAGATCAACAATTCAAACGGTCAACGAAACCTTGAACTGTCCTGTTATATGTACATAATGTTTAACCCTGCCATGCCTACTACCGGCATCTTGAAACAAAAAGAGAAAAAATCAATTTTGTCTAATCATAGAGAGAGACAACCTTGCCATCCTGCATCCGGGCAACACGGTTCTCTTCCATCTTCTGGTTCTGACGTTCATAGTGTGCGGTGACATGGCTCAGATCCACAGCCGAACCGGCAGGGACGTTGTAAGGAGGGGCAGTGTTGAAGCTGACTCTGAAAGGAGAGAAGAAAAAACATTATATTAGCTTCTAATCTGGTGGAGGGGAGACGGTTGTGAGACATACTCGGGCTGCTTCAATTCGAACGACGCTCTCGGGCCCTGACTCTGGAACAAGTGGCGGTCATGAGCGGCCTTCTCCATAACGACGGTGCGAATGGCATTTCTCTCCTCGAAGATCTTCTCCGAAGGGGTCCACTTTTCGATGAGACCGGAAATCCACGATTGTGATCCAGACTCCTGGTTAGACTGGCTCAGTCGGTAAAGGACATAGGCAGAGGCGAAGGAGCCGACGGTGACGTAGAAACTACGCTGTATAAGCCACAAAGGTCCATGTTAGTTATGATATGATCCAAATTGACCAATTGATGGATAGCAGCCGACCACCAGCGAAGATATCCAATTGCAGAGGGGTCAAGAGAACGTACGCCGAAGCTCTCGTTCACAGGCTCAGCATGGTGGTGAGCCGCGTGGGAGTCGAATCGCCGTTGTGGTTGATTGCGCAGCAGTAGCCGCGCGGAAGCGGCCGATCGCCTAGCGAAGAACATAGTGTGGAGGAAGACAATTGATAGGGCCAAACGATTATGATGCCGTCGCCGGGGATTTGGAGGAGGAACGCAAGCTGATGAGCCGTTCGAGACGGATATCACGTGAATTATTCCATTTTTGGTTTAGTGTAGCCACTGGTCTTGGCGCCGGAGACCCGGTCACCTGCCAATGAGAAGCCTGATTATTTCCTCCTAATTCTCTATATGTTGGTGACCGTCTGACGGTCATTATGCCACCCAAACAACCCAAAACGCTGCGGACTCGGACGGATGGTGAGTCTTGCCTCGCTCGGATACTTTACAAGGATTCCCGGATCAAGGAACGAAATCTATTCGAAACCAGCGTTGGGGAGAAATGGTCTTAGCGGCATGGGTCTATACCATGTTGCCTACTTCAACAAGTCGCCAGACGTGCGGGTCGCTGCGCTGTCTCATCAGTAATGGTGGTTTTTCTTTACACCGCACTTGGAGTGATGCAGATGCACGACTAACTGCCTCATTCCGAGGTGGTGCTCTCCACTGTTCCCCAGTTGCATGGTGTCAATTGGGCTGCTTTCATGCAGGCGCCTGAACGTTTGGTTATCAGAGGCGACATGTCATCGATCTGATTTTAGCGCTGTCGACCCACTCGTTACCTGCCTCCTCCACCGACTTTGACTGAATCCTCCATCCTGTCAATGGAGGAGAGTATTATGACTGTATGCGACACTTTTATTTTTTCCCTTTGCGTCTCTACGCACTATGATTCATCCTGCCACCTTTAAAAAACCCGTGCTATTGATGCCCAATGCTTACTCATTGGGTGTTGCCCTGCTCCCATCTTGGAATGACCGGTCCACTTCTGTATCCCCTTTTCGCGCGAGAAATGAATGCTCTTGATTCCTACCCAGATGATCCTTGTTGAATGGGTATCAATTACTGTTCTAAGAGCCGGTCCGTTTTGTCCGCCTTACCAGCCTCCTTGGGGCTGGATGTAGTACCTCCAATGTTCTGCGGATTTCTTTTTTAGGGCGTGTTTTAGGAATAGGTTTTTAGCTGGGTATTTTTACTGCTTCGTCGAATGTTTCAATTAATTTCGATTCCTCAGAAATCCCAATTATTTATTTGACGAGCTGAGTCTTGCCGAAATTGTCTGCTTGCGTTCAACGCAGGTATTTGCCATCGGGCGTCTTGACTTCGTGGATTGCAACCATTTGCTCCCACTTCCAGGCTTCCCTGCTCTAGGGCGAATTTTCTTTCTCGCATTACTTTTTTCGTCCTTACATTCTTCCCTGTATCTGTCGTGTGATCGTTTGACCCTTCACCCCCTCCGAGCAAGTTGTCCTCTTTTTTCCATATCAGATCGGAATATATCTTTGGCGCCGCTGAGCGCATTTCTAAATGTACTACTTCACACCCCAACCATCACCCAATTGAGTTTCCGCTGACGGGTTTTTTAGCCTACTGGTAACACGTCTTTTTCCTTTTCTTGAACTTGGGCACGCATATTTTTACCACCATGGCCCCATCAGGCAAGAAAGGAAAGGGCAAGTCCGGTGGCAGTAAAAAGAATAAGAAGTCGAAAGCCCAAGAGGAGCCAGAGAATCAAACACCTCCACCTGCTGTTACTATCCCTGAACCACAACCAGAGGAACAACAATCACCTGAACAACAATCCCAGGAGCCACAGCTAGCTGAATCACAGCTGCAAGAACAACAACAACCTGAAGAACTATCTGACCAAACAGTGGAGCAAACAGCTGATCAACAACCCGAACAGTCAATAGAGCAACAGCCCGAGCAATCAATAGACCAACCCTCGGAGCAAACAACAGACCAACCAGACCAACAGACAGATCAACCTCTGGACCGGACCCATGACCAACAGACAGATCAACTACTAGACCAACCACTAGCAGAAGAGGCTGACCAACAGCCCCTAGACCAGCGGGCAGAGTCACTGCAAGAGCAACCCTTTGATCAACAGCTGCACGAACAACAGCAACCAGAAGGAGCGATCGACGGCGAGCCCCAACTATCAGAAGCTCCAGTAGAGCCTGAGTCAAGGTCTGCATCAGAAGTTGTGCCAGAAGTTGCATCGGAAGCCGTGCCAGAAGCCGTGCTAGAAGCCGTACCAGAAGCCGTACCAGAAGTTGTGCCAGAAGTTGTGCCGGAAGTCGCATCAGAGGCTGGACCAGAAGTCGTGCCAGAAGTCGTGCCAGAAGTCGTGCCAGAAGTCGTGCCAGAAGCCGTGCCAGAAGCCGTGCCAGAAGTTGTAGCTGAAGTTGCACCGGATTCAGTCCTAGAGACAGAGCTGGTACCAACGCAAGAAGTGGAGCAGGAACAGCCCAAACCCACTGTTGAGGAGGTTTCACCGGCTCCTGATTCTGAGCAACGACCTGAACCACCCAATCCCGAAGAGGATGGTTCTGCCCAAGTGACTAGTCCCGGCCTCTCCTCAAGTCAACAGCTAGATGCGAGTGATGTCCAGCAGGAGCCCGCAGTGCCTCAAGAACTACATCAAGAGCAACTAGGAGCACCGGAACAACCAGTTAAAGAGGTCGTTGAAACAACTCCGGAGAATATCGACGTATCCAATAAACAGATTGTCGAACCTCCAGAGCCGACTCCAGTGACAGCACCGCAGACCCCCTTGTTCTCAACGGACCCAACTACGGCTTCTGTAGAGACCCCATCTGCTACCGAGACGCAATTCGCTGAGTTTGCATCTCCAACAAAGACCGACGCTCCTGAGATTGATCCATACGCACCCTCTGCCTCTGACCCCTCCTTTGAGGGAGTTGAAGCAGCGCCTGCTTCCACTGCCCGCCAAACTACCCCACCTGTGTCCAAGCCTGCTTCTCCTGTGCCAGAGCACGCTTCACCCGCACCTAGAGCTGTTTCGCCTGTGCTAAGGGACACCGTGCCTACACTCAAGGCTGCTTCTCCTGTACCTCAGGTAGCCCCATCAATGGCTGAAACAGTCTCGACGACGCAGGAAGTTGAGCTCCCTGCGGAAGAATTCATCCCGCCTGCACCTTCGCCACCAGTCGATGCTTCTATATATCAAGAAGCTCCGCCCATGCCACAATCCTTCTCGCCAGCTCAGAAGATGGCTTCTCCCGTATCGAAGGCAGCATCTCCCTTCCAGAAAATTGCCTCCCCTGTCCAGAAATCCGCATCTCCAAAGGTCACTAGCCCCCTCGCTCGCACTGCGTATATGTCACCGATGGTTTCTCCGCACGCTACGCCCCACGCTACGCCACCAGCACCGCCACCAATGGCTCCTATGCCGCCTCCGAGCACCGCTCCTAGCGTAGCCAGCTATGCTACCGCTTACTCCCCCGTCATGACCACTGCAGGGTTTATGCCCCAGTATGCTTACTACCCTGCTGGCATGCAGCCCACACCTCAAAGTGCTATGGAGCCCAACACCGCAACAGCGTACCGGCATTTGCGCGACCTGACATATGCCAACGGCAATGCGCTCAATGGGATGAACGGGATGAACGGGATGAACGGGATGAACGGGATGAACGGTATGAACGGAATGAACGGAATGAACGGAATGAATGGATTCTACCCTACCCAGAATGGACACCCCAAAGGAGGAATGATGTCGCCCCCAGATTCCCATCATCACCCTGGGCCTGAAGAGCCAATTGAACTCCTCCAGAGAATTCAGGATGCCATTCCGGACATCAACCGCTTGTTGGGCAGTTACAGAAACACCAAAAGCAAGCTGCAAGCCCGTGAAGCTGAGTTTCAGCAGATGAAGACCCAGCATGAGCAGGATTTGATGCACAAGGACTTCTATATTGAAGCGCTTCAGACCCAGATGAGGAAAACTGCCAATGAGGCCGCGGAAGAGTCAACCAAGCTGAAGAACACTATTAATGAGCTTCGCATGGAGCTTGGAAATCTGGACGAAAAGCGGAAAGACCTCGAAGAAAAACTAGAGCACTCCGAAAAGTCAAATGCGGAGCTGACCCAGACAAAGCATGATCTTGAGGAGGATGTCAGGGCATTGAACACCAACATGAAAGAAGCCCAAGAGGCTCATGAGAACGAGCTGGTGAGGCGCGAACAAGAGAAGGAGGATGCCCTTGCGACTCAGAAGCGTGAAATGACTGAGTCCTTCGAAGAGATCAAGGCCGAAGATGAAAAGGCCGCGGCGGAAGCTTTAGCTGCTCGCGAGAAAGAGCTGCTTGACCAGCAAGAAGCAATGAAGAATGACTACGAGGATCAGAAACAACAGATGCAAGAAGCACACGACACATTACAGTCGAACTTCGATGACAAGGTGAACGAGTTAGAATCCACCAAGATCAATCTCGAGAACAAGCACAAGGAACTCGAGGAAGCTCGTGTGCAGCATGCAAATGAAATTGAATCTCTCAATACCAGTCACGCGGACAAGGTGGCTGATATGGAGAGACGCTGGGCCGATGAGAGAGGCGAATTGGAGCAGCGGATCACAGACAAGTGCGATGAACTCGCCCACTGTGAGCGCGAAAAGCAAAAGGTGGAAGAGGACAATGTCCTCAAGGAGCAACAACTCCAATCAGCAGCTGATGGCATGCGCCTCACCATTGATAATTTGGGATCAGACTGCGACAGGTTGAGAAAGACCCTTCACAGCCTTGGAGAAGCCACTGACCTCAAGAGCACGAAGGGTGATCCATTCTTGTAAGTGTGACCTAGTGCATTGAGAATGTGTTTTAGTACTTGACTGTCTTTCAAAAAATTTCCTTTGTCTTCTTAATCTTCCAGACTGTCTTCTGTGTTACCTTTTTGCCCTGTTCAGACCAGAACTGCGCCACGTTCATTTGTTTTCTTTTGTCCGTTTTGATTTTCCTTATAGAATTATGATCACGATGGTGACGAAGATTATGAGATGTCAATAATGCTATTCAATTGTACCTGCTCTGATAAGAATTCTATAATCTAGTTTGGACTGCTTCGGCCAGCTTTCTCGTCTTATTGTTTCCTTATCTAAGGAACACTTTGCGTACCTACCAATCGACCCTCCCAAGGATGTACTGGCCAAGATACCTCAGGAGCTGCCATCCTTCCTTGATAACACCCCGGCATCGCGCGAGCTGCGCTCTGCATATGTTCAACACATTATCTCGAAGACTTTGACTTACCGGATCTTCCATCCGTTCCTTTTCACCTTGGGCAAGAGGTACGGTAAAGCGGACACTTTCTTCCAGATGCTTTCGATGGATATTCGGCGCAAATCCGTACGACGCGAAGCCTTTTGGAGGCAGCAGACGCTTAAAGCTGCGTATACGACCTCGGATGCTAAACAGTCGATCAACGTCGTGGCCGCCGTGATTGTCGACGAGATCATCGACCACCTGAAGCACTTTGCTGATCCTAAACACATGGACTCCCTTCACACAAGCGTGCGGAAGATTGTCAAATTGGCCGCTGAGACCTGGAGGCTTGCCCGTGTTGAGCGGGAGCTCGTCATGGCCTCCTTCCCAGCCCCTGACTCCGAAGGCACTTCCAATGAGATCTGGGAGGAATATGGAACCCCCAAGGAAGGCCGTGTGGGTTGCAAGGAAGACCCTACCCGTCATGTCATTCTGCGGACTTTCCCTCGCATCGTCCGAGAGGCAGCGCATGAAGATTTCGCCGAAGACGAAGAGAAAGCCCTATCGTGTACTTATACTCAAGGAAGCGTCCTGTACTCTGACTCCCCGGTGGTCATGGCTCGACGCCAAGAGTTGGCCAGAAGGTCCACGGATTCCCTGATCGGTGGAGAGGAGAGGCCCCGAAGCGAGTCGAGAGGATCTGTCCGTTCTGACGGAAAGCCCGGCTCCCCCCGAAGAGGTAAAGCCAGCTTCGATAGCCTGTAGAGTGAATAGGGAACTTGTGAAGACGATCTCCTCGCGATGGCTGCTGAAGGTGTTAAGGCTAAGCATAATAGACCTGCCAGCTGTCGGCTGTGCAACAAAAGCTGGAGTTACATTTCTGGGACAGGGCTGTTTTAAATATACCAGGGGGTTAAAAGATCTGGTGTTTCTTTTTTTGGTTTGTTCGCTCCTTCACAACGATATACTTCTTCTGTTCTGAGTTCAACTTGAGAGCGGTGGATCCCTTTCCACTCCTTGATACATTTCTTTGTTTACCATTTTCTTGTACTTTTTTTTTTTGCCTTTCACTGTGGCATTCGGCATTTGATGGGAGTTTGTGAGCGTGTTTAGTTCTTGTTTGATTTTTGTACTACCTTCTTTTATTCTCTTTTATTCCCTTCCTTTCTTCACTCTCCTTCCACTCTGCACCTAGTAGTGGTACAGGTTTTCCTGATGTGTATTATTTTGTTACGTTGTTATGATCATCGAGATGATGACACTTTCTAATGCGTGTGATGTCAGTGACGAGAATGATTTTTTATTTATATTTATTTTACCTTTTTTGCAGTTCGCTTTCTTGCCTTTTTTCCTTGTATATATTTTTAGTCGAGATGCGTATATCAATGGATCTGACTGACTTCCATCTTTGCATTTAGTTCCTCGATACCTGCTACAAGGAAGGGAAAAAAGCACCGCCACCCATGACTATCCCAAGATGGCGATCAGCAAAAAAAAAAAAGAAAGAAAGAAACAAATCCGACCTGAGTCTTAAAGCTTGTTCCGACCTCAACCCGGCGTCTCCGACATTGCTCAGTCCGGACTCAGCTGGACCAGGTGCACAGCCTCGGACACGGCTGATTGCATGACTAAACCCGACCAACATAGCTAACTAAGTGACCTCAGGTAAGAAAGATTCCATTCATGACGATGGGGAATCGTGGCGCAGTCGATATTTGCGGCTAGAAAGATGTCTGCAATGAGAGACATCATCACTCTATTCAGATTAACCTTACTCACCCAACGTCGTCCTAAACAAGGGTTTCAGAATTCCGTGACCGGCTCCTGTCTGCCCCTGTTGTGGGGGAAAGGAAGTCGGAAGGAGAACAACAAGGAGTGGAGGTTTTGACGACTAGAGCATTTTTAGTGGACCACAAAACAAAAAAGATACTTTTGGAACCACAACCCGATCGGTGCGCTATCGAACACATGGATCTATCTATCTGAAGTGATATCTGGTTTGGATCTTTTTCTTTCTTTCACTCTCTTTTTCTTTTTTTTTTTTTTTTAGACCCCCCTTTTTCCCGGTATGGATGATCAAAATGATAGTGAGAATGCTTCTACCGGGGCACATAGGCCCATTACATCATGTCCGGTCTGATGAAGAATCTCCTTCTTTTCTGACCTCCGTATCATTCTCAAGGATCAGCATCCTACGGGTACTGAATATAGAACACCAATGGGGCTGGGGCCCTTGACCCTCGCATGCACCGCACGATGGCTTTTACCGTGGATGATCCATGACTGATTGCTTATAGAAACAGAAAGGGATTTTCCTTTCACTGAGAAGGAATATTTACTATTCATTAACTTTATTTCTCTCTCTCTCTCTCTCTCTCTCCGTCGGAGAATGATGAATATACTGCTGTTGCTAAAGGTGAACTAATCCGGAAGAGACGTAATCAGAAACCCCACTTCTTCTTCTCTCACTGGCTGGCGACGCGCCCACATTTTCTTAACACCGGCGTGACTCCAGACCGTAAATTAAATTTTCGAGAAATTATTGCTCCGAGTACGTTGTAAGTATCTTGATGGAGAGAAAGAGAGAAAGAGAGGATTTCACAGATAGTTTCCAGGGAGGCATAATATATTCTTTTATCTATTGCAATAATAATAATAACAACCTGAAACGATAAATAAGGGGGTAAATTCTTCCCATAGATTAATTATTATTCTTGATGCTTATGAATCTCTCAATCTCCGTCTCTTGGTGAGAAGAAGAGGCTCTTTAATAAACGATCCCCGGTAACTAATCCTAAAATAATAAAAATTAATACTACTAGTATTAAAAACACATGACGTTCTCCCTCTCTCTCTCTCTCTCTCTCACTCTCTCTCTCTTTTCCCTGATTTGTGTGGCTCAGTTTACATTTCAGCCGCAAGGCACCTTTTCCCTTCTTCTTGCGTCCCTCCATCCTCCCAACTTCCTCTCTTGATTTATTCTGCGGGAATATAGAACTTGAGATTCTTTCTTCCCCCTCCCTCTCTTCATTTTCTACTTCCACGATCGGGCTCGTGCGTACCCCTCTCTTCGTATAGTTCGATTTCATAACCTTCCCATTATTTCAAATCTTGCCCTACAAGGCGCCCCCTTTTTTTCTTGTTAATTCCTGCTCCCCACTCTCCCCATTAGCTCATCCCCAAACCTTGAATCCACGGTTACTTCTGCTGTCTCCCGTTTCATTCTTCTTGTCTCGTCGACCCCGTTACTCTCTATATAAACACTGCTTGTGAACTCAATCTGCGTCATTGATTGAGCTGAATCGCGACCAGGAAAACAACCGCAGCAGAATGATTCCTGAAGTGGCCTAATCTTAAGGTGGCTGCAGCTGACGGATCCTCTGCCCTACTACTTATATGTTACACGTAAATATATCTATCTCATTGGTTTTCTCAATCTTGCATAACCGCCGCTTTCATCCGATGATTCTCTAGACATGCGTCCTCAACTTCACCTTCTGTCTCTGTGAGCCTTACTCTACTAGCTAGACGAGCCGGGCGCGCTCCACCAGGGTCATCCTAAGACTGCGACCCGCCCTCATATTCTTTGTTCGGTGCCGGTTCAGAATATAGCAGAATTTGGACATCGGGCCTACCACGACCATGTCCACCCTGTCGCCCCAGTTTGTTCCAAATGATTCGCCCACCCACACAAAATTTCATGATGCTTCCTTTCCCGACCCTTATCTCTCAGCTCAGCTAGACCCTGAGGTAGCATCCTTCAAATCATCTGCAATCAGACTAACCCCTGTGAGCGGCGACGACCATGGCACACGCGATGTCTCCTCATCCCCTCGAGAAACCCATGTACACAGGGACTCGACCCGGGATGAATCCCACCTAGCCTCTTATTCTGAATATCTCAGCCCCGCGGATGACCTTTCTAGTGATTTGAGTGTTCACACATCACCGAGCGCCGATTACCTGACGGCAGCCTTCAGTGCCGATCTCTCTCCAGATTCCAACGGTTGGCAATATGACGGAATTTTGCATCCAGGCATGCGCAACGCAGCATCGGACCCGAACGACTTGACCTGCCCACAGACGATCATGGACCCTTCTCAGCTACTGACCCCGAATCTCACCTCCAAATCAAGCGTCTCGTCTGACACGACCAGTGTCAAGAGCCAGGCGGGTTCTACTACTCTGCCGAACCAACCGCAGGCACTCACTCTAATTACCTGTCCCCCGGACGGGAGTCTGGGTGTGCCCGCAGATCCTGGTTCCCCCAGGGTCAGAAGCCCAATTGTCAAAATAGAGAGTTATTCCCGGGGTGATTCGCCGGTCAGAGATATGCGGCGACTAAGTCATTCGTCGACACACCTTTCGCCCGGAGGCCCTTCCAGCGATTCCGAAGAGGAAGATGTAGATAGCGGATATCTTGGGTCTGTCCGGGCTGTCTCGCGAAAACCCGATGGCTCCTGGATCCCGGATGTCGCGACGGGCCAGGCTGGTGTGGACCCAATGGCCCGGGAAAATGTATACGTGCCAAGTCCGAACGAGATCGAGCTGCGGCGACAGCTGGAGGAGAAAAATGAGGATATTCGATCTTGGTCGGCCTCAGTCAGCGTGGCAAATAGCGAGGCTGGAGACGATTTACCCTCACACAGGGGCCGCAAGGGCCACACGGGTAACCGACGCAGAGCGAAGAGCACCGGTGACCCTTCACTTCGGCAGGATTACTTTAACCTGAACGCCGCTTTCATTCCGGGACCGGGCATACTTGTTACGGAAAACAGCGAGGAGGAATACAGTGACCCTGGATCGAACATCGAGGGAACCGGGTCTGACTCCCCTAGCGCCAGTGTAAACGAGGTAATGTGGTCTATAGGGAACCAGGAAACGCCGTCCAAACCGCCAAGTCCCGAAGAGGAGGAGCCGTCTCCTCGCCAGTTTCTGGGGCGGCCGCCGTGGCGGGATCTCGCACCTGACCCTTCTCCCGACATGATACGAACACAGCCCGCAAGCTCAACCGCTGCCATGGTCGAGTATGAAAGACGAGCAAGGGACCTAGACACTGCTTCGCGCGCGGCGACTTGGGGCACGCGGCGCAGAAGCGACGCCGAAGTCAATAGTCTTATTGGTGCCGGGGGATCCTTCGAAAACTTGTCGATCAGCAACGACAAGGGCAGGAAACACGAGCGGCGGAGTAGTCTCCGTAAACTGTTGCAAAGGAAATCACATAATAACCTCAAACCGTCCAACAATCTCAAGCGACATCTATCCGATCTCTCTATCTCGCTACCCGGCTCCGAGGACCCCAACAAGGGTGACGAAAACAAGCATTCCCATCAAAGAAAGAACAGCTTCCCACATCGGAAGTTGAGTCTTGGGCTTTCCCCTCGGTCTCCGCGGGCTTCCAGATCGCCTAGTTTGAGCACTGGAGGCGCCGTTATCGCGATAGCCGGTCAAATGGCCGCTATAGGGAGTAAGGATACCCTCAGGGCGGCATCACCCAGCTCAACGACCACCCCTTGGTCTTCGTTGAAGGTTCGTGGTCGAAGCAGAAGCGAAATACCTAGGCCGTCAACACCCGGGCTCATCGATCTGATGACCAGTCATGGTGGGCCACCGGTCGCCAATATCGCTTATTCGCACCTATCGCCGGAACCTCGCAGCGCCCAGCCGCTCAGAACTCGCCCAAGGCATGACGCCGGTGACGATGATGAAAATGACGATAAAATGGTTGATGAGAGAGGATTGGTGATGGATCTCTCAGTCCAGCCACGTCTCCCCGTTCCCACTCTGGAAGGCTTTAAGACCCAGATCGCTGAGCTAAATCCCCGACTTGATCTGGCCTTGCTTGACCGCTTTGCTAATGAACAAGTTCGTCGTTACAAGAAGTTGGTGGAAAATAAATTATGCCATACATGTGCGGTTAATAAGAATAGTTGTGGTTCGGATAAATTCTGCTTTGCCCAGGGCGGCGAAGCTCAACTGTTGGCACCTCGCACAGGTCCACAAGACTCGGAAGCTCCCCATACCCAGTTCCAGATCCCTGGGCATGGTGAGGCAGGCGATGATCCTCAAGCCCTCGGGGAAAGTGCTGTCACCGCGGCACAGTTTCCCGCAGGGGTCCCTTTGCCTCCAGTCAAGCGACTTCCAGCGGAGTTTGAATGCCCGATATGCTTTCAGGTGAAAAAATTCCAAAAGCCATCAGACTGGACCAAACATGTTCATGAAGATGTACAGCCGTTCACTTGTACTTTTCCTCGTTGTAATGAACCCAAATCGTTTAAGCGCAAGGCTGATTGGGTACGGCATGAGAGCGAACGGCACAGGCAACTGGAGTGGTGGACCTGCTCGGAGCCCGATTGCAGCCATACATGTTACCGAAAGGATAACTTTGTGCAGCACCTCGTTCGCGAGCATAAAATGCCAGAACCCAAGATCAAGAAAACGAAAGCCAAGGGGCTACCCAAACATCAGGGGGACCCGAATTCGCCCGAGATGCTAGCGGAGATCCAGCGTGAGCACGAGATTGAGCAACTCTGGAATCTTGTGGAGCGATGTCGACATGACAATCCGAAGGGGCCCAAGGATGAGCCGTGCCGGTTCTGCGGTAACGTCTGCAGCAGCTGGAAAAAGCTTACAGTGCATCTGGCCAAGCACATGGAGCAGATCGCGATGCCCGTGTTAGCTCTTGTCAATGAACGGGATCTGTCCTCCAACTTGGGATCCGGTCTTGCTGGTAAGGGCAATCTTGGCTCCGAATTGGAGTCAGGTGCGCGTGAAACCACCAATTTTACACCCAATCTGACTGGGGTCCAAGCTGGGGCGGACATGTCGATAGGCTACGCGCAGGGACCCTACCCAGGCAATGACGTTGGGCAATCTGATGGGCTTGAGGTCCCTTTCAGCTCCACCGGCCTTCCCCACTTTACCACCATGTCAGGCGCATTCATATCCGCCGAGCCTGAGTCGATGGACGCGTACGATGATTATAGTGTACAGGTGGGACTGCATACAGGGGGGGGCATGGACCAGTCGCGGCTCATGCCTATGCATCAGAATTCGGTGACATATCCCCCCCCTTTCAACGCCGGGCCACGCCCTCGGATCTCCAATCCAAATATGAGCGTATTACAAGAGTCGTATAATTTCTCAATGTCTCCCACGGAGATGCAGCCTACCTATGACCCCCGGTACATGTCATCCACGGGGGAGAATGGCTATGTCTGCCAAGGGTCTCTGGAACCAACTATGCCATACACTACGCCTAGGGCCTACCCAGATCAACTTTAGTAAAAACCGGTTTACATCGGACTCTGGTCTCTGCTGGACCGGGCCGTAACCGCTTACGCTAACATTTTTTTTTTTCATCTTTATGTTAATGATACCCTAGCACATTAGTTTGGCGGATCGTGGAGGAATTTTCTATAATCTGATCTGAAACGACACCCACCCATGTTTTTTTGAGTGTTTTTATTTCTTAACTTTTCTGTTCCTTTTTTTTTAAAAAATTTCTCTCCCTTCCACCCTTTCTTAACACCTCCACATATCAGTCAGATTATATTATATCAACCTTTTCTTCCCGTTTTTCGTATACTTTCGGGATGATCGATCTGCGCTTATATACCCTTAAAACAACAAGTGGTTACTCGACGGTCATGTCTTGACCTGAGGTGGTATGCGCGTCATATCCTAGTTGTTATTATGTCTATGTTTCAGCAACAGGTCTTTGTTTTTGTCGTTTTCACAAACTTAGCGAATTCAGCCTGTGGCTTTTTTCCCCTCTATTTTTTAGTGTTTAGAGATATTTTGGACCAACGAATAATAGACGTCAACCCACCCCCCCCCAGCTTTGGTCATTTGGCACATAGGCAAGAAGAACCTCCGATTAAGAACCTATGCATAATACTGCCTACTATTTAGGTACTAAGCTGGACGGGGGGTCCGAAAAGGTCAGTCGCTCTGTGGGTAGTGATTGGGCGAGGCGCCATGCGTCTCACCAGGAGAGAACAATAGCACGTAGTATCTCGCAACTGAGTCCTCAGGACGTTGGCCAACGATGTCAACATGAAAGGGGAAAAAAAGAAATGAGACATCACACAGCCGGATGCACCCCCAAGCTTCCCGGCCGGACGGCTGGCAGCGCATCCCTGCTATCCGTTATAAATAGTAAACAGTAACCGTAATATTGCAGAGCGAGAGATTCACGGACTTTAAGGCTCCGCGGAGAAAATCTGCAGATTGGTGTGGGCGAAACGAAGAGAACAATTAGGTAGAGGCTAAAAAAAACACGAGTTTTCGAGGCGATCGACATCCCAGCTGATGTTTTGGGATCGACTTTGGGGCAGGAGTTCGTCCGTTAAGGTTTCGAGCCGGTTTACGACAAACCCAACGCTTTGGGAAACGCAACGACTAGACCCAGAGTATCTTAGCCGTAGTAGATAGGCTTTGACAGAGTGGATCAGGGAGACTCTCCCCCTTCTCCTGTCGGACGGAATTTGTCAACCATATCTGCGCGGTATATAGTGGATAAACTATGTATGCGGAGTATGCATGTATTGTGAGCGCAATAATAATATAATTACCGAAACCGTTAAAGCAAGCTGTATCCATCCAACTCTGTTTCTCGCTCTAGGTTTCTCTATAGCGTTGCGAGGCCACCAATGGCAAGGAGGAACGGCTTATAAATTCCCAGAATTCAGGGTCTAGGCTGAGAACGTATGATCTCCACGAGATTGGGTGGGAAGTGATGATCCAATGAGAAAGCTTTAGGTTCATGGTAGTAGCTAAGTGATGTGCAGAAGTAATAATCATAATAATCATCAATAATCAGACGGATAAAGAGGATAAGTTTGGGTATATTAGCAATTTAGCTGTTGGCATGCTCCTTTTTTTTCTTTTCTTTTCTTTTTGCCAAAATAAAAAAGGTGAAATAAGATGAGTAATTAAAAATATTAGAAAAGAAATCATTATTAATAATTTTTGACCTTTTTCTATTTACTTATTCTTATTCTTATTCTTATTAGTGTTATTATTGTTATTATTTTCTCGCATGATGAACTAACTCTCTTTGAGGGAACTTTTGTCCTTACAGGCACAGCCACTCTGCCATCCGTGTGTTATTGGCTCTCGCACGCTAGTTGTCATGATGCCGACGGAGCCCTATCATTTGTCCTAGTTCTTATTCTGTTGCCAATCACTGACCACATACCACGCGTGCCAGAGACCCCTTGCATACCCCTCCTTCTCTGTCGCGGCGAGAGGAAAGCCTAACTAGGTAAATAGCTTACCCTTCTGCTAATTCGTTTCAGCTGACGAGTCCCGGGGAATCAATTCCCGATGTGGAGATTGTGGAGGGCCTTGAGTTTTCGGGTGAAAAGGAAGTGGGATCTAGTACATTGAAGATTAGTTCCTTTACATACCATTGGAAATATGAGGCTTTAATTGTTCTCCCTGTTTCTCCTTTCTCTATCCCTCGTTCTATCTAACTATCTATCTACCTATCTATCTATCTATCTAGGGCTATTCGGATCCGAGTATCCAGGGGTAGAGCTTTTTCTGCAATGAGTTACTACAATCTGTATGTACGCTCTTGTGTACCTGTACATAGCTCTCTCTGTGCGTGTGTACATTGGGGTCACGTCTGAAGGAGAAAGAAAGCAGGGGAATAGAAGAGATAGGAGCTGAGACGAGAACGACGAGGTAGTATTCCTCCATGCAATATGAACTCACAGCGTTTAGCAATGAGTCATAAAAATTCGACAGTTTATTTTATTTTATATTTTCTTTTCCTTTTGGGGGGGAGGGGGGGGAGGGTCATGAATAGTATGACAGATCCCACGAAGAGTTTAGGCCAGTCACGGGAATAAATCTCCCTCTCTCTTTTGTCGAAAACAGAAGTAAATCAATCAATCCATAATCTCCATCGCATCGATTATTTAGATGGTCGTTGTGCATCCCACTAAATACTCACCTTCAATGGACTCTGCAGCACAGCCCCGATCATTGGTCCCTTCGTATGCATCCACAGACAATACGTACTTTTGAATCCCTCCCCTCTCCTGTCCTGTCAAGGTGGGAAGCTTTCGTTCCTTTTTTCCCTGAACACGTTATCGCGTGGGGTTTGGCGATGGGTTTAGTCGTCCACCAGCCGTCGATCCGTCCTTCGTCTATCCTTTCCCCTTCTTCTCTCCCGCTGACATATATGCTCTCGGGTCTCCCCTTGTCGCCTCTTTTCTCTTCTTCAGCACCCTATATAGGCTCAATTAACTTTTTTCTATTTTAAAAACGGCTTTTCTTCACTGTCACACCCTGGTCTGTGTTTCATCTCCGAATTCACTCAGCCTCACAGCTCATCGGCCTCTCCTTCTGACTATGTTTGGCCTTGTCTCGACCATCATCAATCATCCAAGAAGACCATTTTGACCTGAAAAGGCGCCTAGAAGACGCTTACTTAGACTGATGGCCTGTGTCGACTTCTAACACCACCGTCCGGCTTTTGCGACCTCCGCGAGCCTACCCGACTCACGCTCTATCCAGATTCTTGATACCGAATCTCCGACTCACTGTTTGGATCTACCGATACCTACAACCGCAAAAGCAGTTGCCAACAAAGTAATACTTGAAAACGTTTTTGGCCGCTATGAGCGTATGTAGCTGTCCTTTTAGTCTCGTTCGATCTTATATTGATCTTCGACGCCAGTGACGCATTGAATTGAAAAACTAATTTTGTTTGTTGACTTGCGTTAGGGATCAGGTTCCAACAGAATGGCCTGGGATAACACGGGGGATATCCTCCAGGGCATTCTAGATCGTCATGTCGCACCAACATCGCCGCAGATAGAGATCTCATCGGATGGGTTCTTGACCTCTGAGTACGGTCCCAGCGATCCAGCTTCGTTCCTGGGTCTGCAATTTGGTCCCGATCCCGCTGTTATCCCTCACGGTCATGTGGCTCCGCTCAGCCAATGGCCAGCGCATCACCATCAGGCATCATCACCGCCACCTCACCCCAACTTGGATGTCTCGCACTACCATTATCCGCGGTTAACCAGCCACCAAGATGCCTGGAACCCACTCCAAGTGACAGGAGTGCCGGTGAACACATCGGCATGGGGGTTTCCAACTGTCAGTAAACCCCAGCAGCCTGGGGTTGGCCGCAAATATTCGACTGGACAGTACAGCGCAACCTCCGAGAGCGGCAGCCACTTTAACGGCTTTCACCCTTCGGACTCGGGATACAGCAGCCGTAGCTGTGCCACACGCTCGGTGACTACGTCCTCTTACGCAGTAGAGTCCGTCAGCAGCCCATACTTGGCACCGCATGAACACGAACAAGAGGACAGAGCGTCAACGCTAGACCTCGGCCCATCACATTGTAGCGACACAGTCATCGATGCGATGGAGGTGGTGGAGTCGCCATCTTTACTGTGCCATGATTTGATCAAATGCGAGTATCCCAACTGTCCATGGACGGGCAAGTGTCCCTCTGATAAGAGGTATGTTTTAAACGGTTTCCTGGCATGCGGAAGCCAAGCAAGCGGGTTAACGAGGAGCAGAAAACATGAGGCAAGGCATAGGAAAATGTTCAAATGCGATGAACCTGGCTGTACGCGCAAGGAAGGCTTCGGCACCATCAATGATCTTGCGCGACATAAGAAGTGCGTTCACAAACAGGAGCCGGAACGCGGGCCCAAGGTGCTGTACATGTGCTTTGGACGCAACTGTCCGCGTCGAGGCAAGGAATGGCCGCGGTTGGACAATTTCCGTCAGCATCTCTCCCGGATGCATAACGATGAGGATACCAATGAATTACTGAAAAGGTGAGTTAGAGCTCTGTGGGTAGTACATGAGAGGCGATCAATCATTGAACAAGCCCAGGTCGCATGACTGGTACGAAACTTGCGTGAAGCCACAAGTAGGAACGTCGTCCTTTACCGACCACTTCTCAGATGATGTAACTGTTGCTGCTTCTGAATCAGAATATAACAGACGGGGTTCTGGCCAAGACCTCTGCAGCTTGGGGTCTTCAAATCCACTTGTCTTAGGGTCTTCCACCCACTCCGGTCTACACCCAACCGAGGATCGCCGCACGCAGCGGAGAGATTCTGCGTTGGACTGCGCACCAAGGCTACTCACGACAAAGGCTACGCAGCGCCTTGAATTACCAGCCCTAACAACCCTCAATCTCAGCTCAACCACAGACCCAGAGTCTTCCGCTCCTTCACACCCGGGGCAGCCCCAACACAATGAGGTGGAAAATATGGTGTCTGAAATGGCTACGAACATGGTCAACGCCATGGCAAAAATGATGAGCAGCACTAGCAGCGATAGCGGAAACAGTCAACGCAGGCATAACCAACAAATGGTCGACACCATCGAGGCAAGCGAGCATGAAGTTGGATTGTCCGATCAGAAGCGCGAGATAATGCAAAAGATTTTGTCCGCGGCTCTGAACCAGGTATCAGGAAATTTGGAGCCCAGTCAGGGTAATTCGCAAGTGGTACCTGACCGGAAAGCCGACAAGAGAGGCTGGATACAATGCGAGTTCTGCACAAAACGCACGCGTCTACGCTGCGAGATGAAGTAGGTAAACGTACGTCGCTGTATCTGAAACAGAGTTCTGATACTTCGCATTTTAGAAAACACAAAAAGCGCCATGAGCGACCGTACGGTTGCACATTTGAAAAATGCAACAAGACTTTCGGCAGCAAAGCCGACTGGAAGCGACATGAGAACTCGCAGCATTTTCACTTGCAGAGTTGGCGCTGTACTCTTCCTGATGCGCAAGGGGGCTTGCCTTGCGCTCGCCTATACTACCACCAAGAATTATACGTTCAGCACCTGAAAAAGCACCATCACGTGGAAGACGATGGGGTACAAGCTTCCCTTTCCAAAAACAGTATCGGGCGGAACGGACAGTCGCAATTCTGGTGCGGTTTTTGTCGCGATATTATCCCACTCAAAAGCCAGGGCCTCGCCGCGTGGAATGAACGCTTCAATCACATAGATACGGAGCACTTCAAAAATGGAGAGCGTATTGGTGATTGGCTCCTCCCGTCAGGACATCTGACCAAGAGCCTAGAATGTGATGAAAGAAAGGAACGAGCCGAAGCGAACGCAGATGCAGATGCTGAGCCCATCGCGGACGAAATCAGCGATGATGATTCTGCGAGCAGCATCTGTAACTCCGAAAGCGAGAACCTACGGGATGAAACGACAACGGAGGTCCCAGAACAAGCCCAGGATCTCCCGGTTCGCCAAATTCACGATCATTTCAAAAACAACTCTCCTATGTTTGACTCTCTCGCCGAAGCGACGAATTTACGAAAACGCAAATTCTCCGCCCCACAACCGTCTCTGGACTATTATCTTCGCGTGGATATTCCAACTATCGACAAGAGGTATAAGACCGATGACGCACTTGAAACCCAATATGGGAACCTCGCCTACTGCGTATGTCATTCTAGATCAGCCGAACTTATGGCTGCAACTTTGCTGACTCAAAAGCAGTGCCAGTGTAAACAAGGGCCATTTTCTTTGTCTTATACAACGCAATGCTTGTATTGCCCTCATAGCTTGTGCGGCAGTTGTGGAAGTGAGCGTCAATCTCTACCGAATCGATATATTGAGTCCTCTTAAAGGGCGATGTACATACATACTGAGCCTACCAAACCGGCTCTTTTCATGAATGAAAGTAACGTCAGATCTTACATTGACATAACGGGGTATATATAATACAATTTTCACGTAGGATAAGATGAAGAAGACTTATTTCTGGGAGCCTGTCAACTCCTTAGCCTGCTTCTCCAGAGCTGCCACCTCTTCTACAAAAGATTAGCCAAGGGCCGTGTGAGAGTGGAGAAACAACAACGGGAAAAAAAGAAATTACTCTCAAAACGTACGATTCTTGGTGTACTTCGACTCATCCATCTCAAGTTTCAACCATGTCCAGTAGATAACTTGGTAGGTGAAGATGGCTCCTAGAAAGACCTTGGCAAAGGGACTCACGAAAGCCTTGTATCGGGATGCCTTGTCTGAGTGTTAGCATTCCTAATATGTATGTATATTCTCTTTCTACACAGCGAAGCGTAGTGTTCCATTTCGGAGTGACATATCCACGCCTAGTAATGAAGACATCGCCGTAACTATCATTTCTACCATGAAGGCAGTTTAGGAGTAGGAATCACTTACCCCTTCTCTGAATGAACTGGATTCATTGGCATTCAAGTTGATCCGAGTGGTGGTAAATGGTCTGCGAGACGGGAATGCAGTGAAGAGGAAACGGGAAGGAAAAACATGGGATGTGGGCAGTCGGCGAAACATTTTGAATTTAAGAATGAGCCTTTATCTGTATTTATGCATGTATTCTGATTCTTTCTCGCATGTATGTATTATAGATAGCGCCGTACTAAGTTCAGGTAAACTTGAGTAGCGGATGAAAGAAGCACGGCTGAGTCAGCGATCACATGACCTATACGTCGCTAACGCCGCATTAGGCAAGCGGCTCTGCATTAAATCATGATGGACAGGCGGGGAGGAGCCTAAGGACGATAAGCTTCGAGGACCTGGGGAAAGGTCAATGTTCCTGACCGACTTATTTCTTCCTTCTTCCATCTTTTTGGCACCTCGGATTCGCGCCCTGGACTACGTCGAGACTCGGTCGGATAGCGGCCGATATTGACCGAATTCCGTTGATCGAAGCTTTTAACTCTACCGTGAATGGGTTTATGGGTGTTTTTTAGGTGATTAAGCGGGTTGGGAAGAGGATGTGATGGTGCGGCAAAATGGAGGACCATGAAAGGGTTGAGCTGTTGTTTTGGCACGGCTAAGAAAAATTGGTGCTGCTGCCCGCCGTGGAGCAAAATGGGCAAAATGACGCGGATAATGGCACGTGCGTCGGTGACACTAGTCCTAAAGGAGCGCTAGCTGAGGCGCGGATCTGTGGCTCGTACCCCTGGGAATGGCAGGACTAGCCGGATGGCCAGCTGTGGCTGAAGCGAGGCCAGGCAAAAGGCGTGCGCGAGTCTTTCCGCCCTTCGATCTTCTTGTCCCACGCCCATTGTTAATTCGATGTTTGTCATCGTTACTCGTGTGATTTTTGGGGGGGACCGTTTGACCTGGTCATCTTTCGCTCGTTTCTAATTCTTCTTCTTCCTCCTTTTTTAGTCACTGGATGCGACTGATCGTTTTCTTCCCGTCCCCGGCTTTGGTCGTGAGATTCACTACGATTTCTCTCTCCCGGGGCCCTGCGCTTTGCGCTTCGCCGTAGCCCCGTGGTATATATAACCACTTCTCCATCACGGGCTTCACGTCATTCCCAGGTATTGATGCGTGCGTCTTTGCTAGGGAGCTTAGAAATCTGTCGGATTTTATGAAAAACAATACCAGTCTCGTACTGAATGGCAGTGTCTGTTTGGGTCTGTTTACTTCTTGTTTAATTGACCATTGACGATACGTTCTACCCTTTTCTATTCACTTTGACTACCGGTGAGTTCCATCGATATCCCTACTTTCCTATCATCCTTTTCAAGCGCGAATCTCTCGTGTCTTCCATGCCTTCTCATTTCGTACTCTATCTCCAATCACCATGCTACTACCCGTCAATGTCACTTTGCTCACATAGCGATCAATAAAGGAGTACCACGCCCCAAGCCTTTTTGGCGCGACACCATGGCCCGTGTGAAGCGCTCAATTGAAGAGATCGCCAACAAGTCCGACTCGGACGATGACGACTACAGCGATCACCCTCGCCGCTCTGTCTCGAGGTCGAAATCGAGAAAAAAGTCCAAACCGTCGAGCAAGAGGCCTCGTCGCCGCTCCAACGATGACATTGTAACCGACGATGATTTTTTCAGTGAAGATGACGAGCTCTCATTCCAAGAGTCAGAAGAGGAAATCGATACCAACGCTCAGAGGAATGCGAGAGGCCTGGTCGCGCGAAGGGCGGCCACGAACCGGCCACTTTACAACGAGCCTGATTCGAGCAGCGTAGACGACGAAAACGATGAAGAATCCGAACTCCCTTCACCGAAGAAACGCAAAAGCGCCGTGGTTACGCTGAAGTTGGGAGATGCTCTGAAACGACAGCCGCAGCAAGACCAAGCGAATCGCCGAGTCACCCGACGTACACGAGGTGCGTCAGAAGATATCTACGCGCTCACTAATTCGGGTCGCCATGTAGAAACTGTCGAACGTGGTACGCATAGCCCGGAGGCTGAGATAATACGTCCGAATCGCCGCGGATCTCGCTCCTTGAAGCAGGTTCCCGTGGTTGTGGAAGAAGAGGAAGAGACTCAGGAGAAACAAGAAGAGTATATCGAAGAGACAACCACGGAGATCAAGGGCTCTCAAGTTGAGATCATGGAGAGTGCACAGGGAAGCTTCGCCGAAGAGGCCATACCGGCCGGGGACGGCCAGCAAGGAGCGGCAGAAGCTGAGGAGGGATTTGTTCCCGAGTCTGAGAATGAAGATGCGAACAACGAAGATGATGACGACGAAGATGAAGGCCCAATAACTAGGAGGAGAACGCGACCGAATAGAGGTCAGCAAACCGAGGAGCCAGAGCAGCCGGATGAGGAGGAACCCCAAGGACCCCGTCGCTCTAGCCGGAAAAAACCAAGAAGTTCTCAACGCAAGCGACAAGACGAAGAGAGCGACTTCGAACCCGAAGAGGGAGACTCAAACGATGATGATGAGGCATCCCAATCTGGAAAATCCAACGGCTCCCCCCGCAAAGCCAGTCAAGCACGCGATGATGAAGAGGACAGCACCGTCGGGCGGCGTCCTGGTCTTCGAAAGAGGGCGTCCCGATCTCGTGGACAATCCGAAGCAGCGGCTGATATTGCAGAGGAGCTCGCCGAGGAACTAGAGGATCTTAGGGGTGGCCGACCTCGCAGAAGATTGCAGACAGACATTGTGTACGAAAAACCGCGGCGCAGCCGGAAGGATGTCGACTATCGAATTATTCGGCCGGACCTCATTCTACCCATCGAGGAAGCTGAGAACGAGGTCAATGAGTCGCCTTCGCGCCGCGGTGGTCGCGGCGGCGGCGGTGGCGGCAGCTGGCAACGAACCCTATTCCCGACTTATGGGCCTTTCGGGGGTGGTGGCCCGGCTGCGATCCTAGCTCCACCAGGGGCACCTGCCGCGACCGGAGGAGTTGACAGTGATAGCAGCGATGATGAAGGGATGCAACATCCACGCGGCTCTGTTGCTGGGGTGGGGTCTACTCTTGGGCCACATGGTGCTGGTCTCCTCCCCGGCCAGACTCAGACCCATGCAGCCGACACTACGCAGGGTCTATCTGGGACACCGGCAAACCTGGGTAAAGTTAAGGATAAGCAGGCGCTTGCGGATGCAGACCCATTGGGTGTGGATATGAGTGTCAACTTCGATAGTGTTGGAGGCTTGCAGGGACATATCGATCAGTTGAAGGAGATGGTGTCTCTACCTCTGCTGTACCCAGAGATTTTCCAGCGTTTCCACATTGTGCCACCTAGAGGAGTTCTCTTCCACGGTCCTCCTGGCACGGGTAAGACCCTTTTGGCCCGGGCGTTGGCGAACAGTGTCAGCTCTGAGGGTCGTAAGGTCACATTCTACATGAGGAAAGGAGCCGATGCACTAAGTAAATGGGTGGGTGAGGCTGAAAGACAACTGCGACTGCTATTCGAAGAAGCTCGCAAAACCCAACCTAGCATTATCTTCTTCGATGAAATTGATGGTAAGTGAACTCCCCCTAGGGAACGAATCCAGGAATCATTTCTGACTTGTGCACTTCCCCAGGTCTGGCACCTGTACGATCAAGCAAGCAGGAGCAGATCCACGCATCCATCGTCTCCACATTACTAGCGTTGATGGATGGGATGGACGGCCGTGGTCAAGTGATTGTTATCGGTGCCACCAATCGACCAGATTCGATAGACCCTGCTCTCCGCCGCCCTGGTCGATTCGATCGCGAGTTCTACTTTCCCTTGCCGAATGCAGAAGGTCGACGCGCAATTCTTAACATTCATACCAAGGGTTGGGACCCACCCCTCCCGGATGGTATTAAGGATGAGTTGGCCGAGATTACCAAAGGTTATGGAGGAGCCGACCTTCGTGCACTTTGCACAGAAGCCGCCCTCAATGCAGTACAAAGAAAATACCCTCAGATCTATAAGTCTGATAAAAAACTACTCATTGATCCGAAGAAAATCGATGTTACCCCTAAGGATTTTATGCTTGCGATCAAGAAGATGGTTCCGTCGTCAGAGAGGTCCACGTCATCCGGTGCTTCGCCGCTTCCCAAGGAAGTCGAACCCTTACTCCGTCAACCTCTGGCAGACCTCAGGGCCCTGTTGTCCGAAACTCTTCCACAAAGAAAGCGGCTCACTGCTCTGGAAGAGGCACAGTTTGAGGAGCCCGAGGGTGCTGGAAGCTTCCAACGCGAACAGATGCAGCAGGACTTCGACCGGTCGCGGGTATTCAGGCCTAGGATGCTGCTTCGCGGGCTAATTGGCATGGGGCAACAGTACTTATCAGCTGCCATTTTGCATCACTTTGAAGGGATGCACGTGCAGTCGTTTGATCTGCCCACTCTCCTTAGCGACTCGACTCGGTCTCCAGAAGCAGCCGTCGTACAGCTCTTTTCAGAGGTCAAGAGGCACAGGCCAAGTGTAATATACATTCCCAACATCGGAAGTTGGACCGAGACAGTCGGCCCAGCCGTCCTCTCAACCTTCACGGGCTTGCTACGGTCAATCCCACCCACTGATCCTATTCTGCTGCTCGGAGTCCAGGAGTTGACTGGAGAAGAAACCGACAATGGGTTGCTGCGGCTGCTGTTTGGGTTCTCTAAGAGAAATTTTTATGACCTGAAAGCACCGGGTAGTGAAGCGCGGTACGAGTATTTCAGCAAGGTGGTTGAGTACATTAAGACTGCACCCGCGCATTTCCCGGATCCTGAGAACCGTAAGAAGAGGGAACTTGAGCCCTTGGAGGTTGCGCCTCCACCACCGCCCAAGCCCGCCACGCCACTCACTAAGGAGCAGCTGAAAGCTCAGAAAAAGAAAGACCACCAAATGCTGAACCTTCTGAAGATCAGGATTCAGCCTATCATGGACCAAATCAAGAAGTACAAACGGTTTAGGACCGGTGTTATCGATGAGTCTCAGATCCGCTACCTCTGGGAGGAAGAGAATCCGAACATCGTCACAAGCGACTTGCCGATAGAACAGCGAACTACCTTCCGGCCGTTTGAAAAGGCTTACGACAAACATGGTGTTCCGGGACTTTGGGAAACCGTGTCGGGTAAGTTCTTCTATAATATGGAAATCGTTACTATTGAGAAGCGCCTCTCCAATGGATACTATAAACGGCCCTGTGACTTCTTGGCGGATATCAAGCGACTAGCCAAAGATGCACGCCAACTTGGCGACCAAGAGAGAATTTTGAGAGCCAACGAGCTTCTATCCAACGTTGAAGTTGATATTTCCACCATTGAGCAGGCTGAGCCGCAGCTCGTCGCGGAATGCGAGAACGTCTACATCCGGGAGCTGGAGAGGGAAAAGGCTGCAGCTGAAAAGGCCAAAAGGGCCGAAGAAGCAGAACAAGGCTTCACGGCTCGTACAGCAAACCACAACGTACCGCATGGTAATACCGAGTCCGGTCCTTCGAGTGGCCCTGTAGTGCTGGGTGAGACCTTCCCCGATCTCGGACCCAAGGAACAGGCCAGACCGGTGACGCCGTCACGAAACTCAACAGTGAGCTTCTTGACCAACGGGTATCATCAAGGCGGCGGCTCAGATCTAAATGATCTGAGTGTCCAAGGACATACAAGCAACGGGTCGCATGATTCGAGGCCTGATGGGGATGGGGATGTCTACATGACTAATTCGGAAAACCATTCGGGCACGAGAGACACACAGGGCAGCTCATTTGGACCTTCTGCGCAACCAAAACCGGCCTATTCACACACAGCACCTTCTCAGCAGATAAGACGGGAGTCGGGTCTCTCGAGTTTCTCACAGAGGGGGCCGATGACTCCAATGGCACCTGGATCTCAGCCACACGATTACGCCAACGAGGCTTCTACTACGCAGACAACATCAGGCCAAAAATCATCGGACCAGTCCTCTCTCCGTCCAAACTACACTCAAAGTCCTGTCGTTGGCCCAGGGTTGAGGCACGATTTCCCGGACCTCACCCAATACCCAGACCGGCTAGGATTAGAAGAGCATCTACCAGATACCCAGCAGGGTGACAGCAGCCAGCTATCCCCAAAGCCACGCGAGTCTCTCGCTGGAAATGCGGATTCGCAGCCCGAACACCATGTGAATGGCAGTCAGTCACAGTTGAAGACACAGCCGCCGGTGCCTCTTTTCGATGGAACTGCCAAAACATCATCTCATCCGCTAGCTAACCTCCAATCCATCCTAAATAACGAGGATTCAACACCAACGCTAATCCTGGACTCCGACTACGTTCAGAACCTGCATGAGCAACTCACCCAGCGAACCAGTGGCTGTTCGGTGGAGCAGCTCGAGCAGATCAATACTAGCCTAATGGATTATTTGTGGCGCACACGTGGCGAATGGAACCGCAGCAAGGTGGCTGCTGGAATCCGTGACACGTTTAATGAGATCCTCGAAGACATGCAGGCGATGCAGGAGATTGGCCCCATCAGCCAGAGGACGAAGGAACAGTTGGGTTCATCATTCGAACACTTGTAAACTATGCTGCATTTTCGACGGCCAAGATACGTCTCTGGCACTCTCACCTCTACCCTGTCCATCCCGGTTTTGCCTTCCTCCCTTCACTCTCTCTTGTTCCTGCCCAGTATTTCCCTCCTTTTGGTATTAGGGCTGAATTGGGATGTTTGTGTACTTTTGACATTGGACTCATGTAATGAAACCAACGTTGACCCTAGCCTTTTTTTACCCTCTTTGTTCTTCTACTTTCAGACTATACCTATCTTGTTTTGCAATTCTTCTCTTATTTATCGCCGGAATGGCCATTCCTTGAAAGCCTATAGTGTTGTTTCTTTTGGTTGGTTGTTACGGCGGATTCTAAGGGCTGGGTTTTTCCTTTTGAGCGAACGTGAGCTCGTACCTGTATGCGCGAAGACATCTCTGTTACCTGAACTTTTTTATTTTTTTTTTTTTTCCTTTTTCGCGGGCAATTTTGTAGATAAATGAATGCGGAGACCAAAGCGTCACTGGCTAGAGTTGATAGAATATGGTATTAATGGTAGTGAACATGTGACGCGGCCAAGACACCAGCCTGTCCTTTCCCGAAGGAGCTCCATCATTACCGCCTCGCTATCTTGCCCTTGCGAGAGAACACGACAATTATTCTCCCTCCCTTCGCCATATAGCTCCAAGATTGTGCTACTCGGTGTCGCATGCAAATATATTTGTCAGTACTCTTCGCATTTAGCACGGTGAAGATTTTGCACTACAAATAATTACGATATTATGCCCCCGGCCTAACTACTCCCCCGCTGACATTTAAACTCCATTCAATCGCACTTTTCCTTATTCCAGGGCAATCCAAGTTGTTCTATACAACGCCATGGTAAATTGGCTTAGTCTCGCCGTGCCGTTCGCCTACCTAGGTGTCCTAATCGGTTCACTGGCAACCTTCTCCTCATTATACCGCAAGCGCAAAGCCCGTACGTTCACCTGTTCTAAGGGGAAAAAAAGCAACGTCGATCTAGTATACTAACTGCAAGCCTCGTGCATATAGAAAAGGCATACTCTCTAGAACCATGGTTCCCCGCCCACCTCCAACGAGACATTTACTTCTCCCTCCTCCATATTGACCCACCTGCGTCCTCTTCTAAGGAGAAGAAGGCACCCGCAGTACCGGAGTCGGTGCTCAAGGCTGCGCTTTTGAGACGTGCCGAGGAAGATATCAGGCGGGTTTTGGCCTTGCGCAGTCAAAAGCAGGCTCTGGGTATGCTGCTTCAACGTGGTAGTGTAGGTGATGATCTATGGCAGCGGTTTCAAAGGGCTGAGAAGGAGATGGAGGATGAGGTTCGGGATGTTGTTTCTGAAGTAGGTTTTTCTGTCTTTCTTTTCTCCCGGGCTCTCGTACGATACTTCTTTTGCTTGGGGTAGAGATGTTTGCATATATTTAGGGTACGGTAACTCACTAGGTTGATTACAGGCCAACGCATACGTACCCGGTTGGGGCCAAACGATTTTCCAGTCTGCCAATGAGATGATGAACAACACCCTCTACCGCGAGCGGATTGCAGAGCAACAGAGCAAGCTGGCTGAGGAACGTCAATGGTGGGAAAAGAAGAAAGCTAGCATCAAGGACGGATTCATGAAGGAATTAGATGCCGAAGGAGCGTCTTCGACCGCACCTCCACAGAAGGTCGAACCGGCCCCTGTTACGACCCCTACCACGACCAGCGGCTCTACTCCTACGACAAAAACCCCCGAGTCATCCGGTGCGCCATCCTCCGTGACTGGAAGCGATGATGATGCTGTTTTGGTGGAGGCTCACGAGCAGCCTGGGAGTCCGGCGTCCCTGAACAAGAAGAAGAAGAAGAAGGGCAAGAAATAATGGTGTCACGTTAGGGTGATTTTTATGCTTTTCGCTTCGCTTTCGCTCATGCATTAAAATATACTCTTCTAGCTTTTCTTCTTTCTATCACCATACGCTTTTGTACTTTCAATATAACTCGCAGTTAGATGAGAGACATTACTTGGTGATTGCTGACAGGATTATATTTGTACTATACTTTTCTCATAGTGAGAAAGAGACTGATACTCATTTCTCAGGTAGAGATGCCTTAGCCAATCATGCCATAAGCTAGTTGTGAGTCTTACTGAAGGACTATATATTTGCACCACAGAAAGGATTCTCTCAGTGTTGCTACCAACCTATATCACGGCAAAGAAATTATTAACCGGGTTTTCCAGTCTCCTAGGTTTAGAATGCCAATTTGAGCACCAGCCTCAATAGATAGCCGGTCGGCTGGCTCAATGGTAGAGCGTCACTCTCCTATTGATCAATGATCAAAGTGAAGGCTCTGGGTTCGAGTCCCAGGTCGATCGTTTTTTTTTTTTACTTATCTTCTTGATAGGACCTATCTTTCTATCTTCTGCCTTTTTTTTTGGTGATTGTGCGAGTCATGTTTAGATCTCGTGCTCCTTCATTAATACTCTGTACTGTGCTGATACTGTAGTATGCGGCCATGGCCAGGTCAGGCTTACATTCTCTAGCCTCGTATTATAATATACGCTATTGGAGCTCGAGCTTTTTAACTGCAACAACTTTAATATACGCTATTGGAGCTGGAATTACCGCGGCTGCTGGCACCAGACTTGCCCTCCAATTGTTCCTCGTTAAGGGATTTAGATTGTACCCATTCCTGCGAGAACGAAAAGAGCCCCGTATCAGTATTTATTATCACTACCTCCCCGTGTCGGGATTGGGTAAATTGCGCGCCTGCTGCCTTCCTTGGATGTGGTAGCCGTTTCTCAGGCTCCCTCTCCGGAATCGAACCCTAACTCCCCTACGGTACTAAGCAAAAGACTGTGCAGATGCACGATGCGTACATTGTGCATTGTGTTGTATTATAAACTGATTATGGATGTGGGCTATGTGTATATCTAGGCCTGTTCTCTTCGGCCTTCGAGTGGGCATTCGCGTTATGAATACAATGAATGTCCACCTTTTTCACTTCTCAGCATAGATTGGCGTTGTCCATGTTATGTTAATGGTCCAGGTTACTGGGCAGCCTCTTTAGTCAATGTGTTAGCAATACCTATTATCCATGATTCGCTCTAGGATGTACAAATATTAGTAGTGAATCTCAGAAATAGTGAATCGGAGAGTTTCACGGGGAGCAGTCTTTGTCCCCTTAACCGTAGTAGTACATATGTCCAATCCTACTATTGGGAATGCGGGATTCCGTATTACCTAGTAATCTACCGCTGAAATCTAAGGGGTGCAAATGAAGAAATGACGAGGTCTCTGATTTCTGATCTAATGATAATATGAGCATATTTATAGGCCTAAAGTGATCATTCAAACGGCACGATACACGCGATGTCATGGCAATATAGCGATATCATGGTGTAGATAATGATCAAAGGCGCTGACCTAAATGGAGTAGGGTGATGGCTGATAGCGGAGCTTTAGTGGTATTTTTGGTTGATACCTACACAGTAGGGAAGGGTAAGAGGTGCCACATGGTATTTGAATACTGCTGTCTAGGTTTGGACCCTGTTGTTGTCAAAAGGTAAGTAGGGCAATCATTGGTTTGCCCTGGAATTGTGCTATAGAAGCAATGTAGAAGCAGAACTTTGTATAATGAGCTGGCCCAGGCTTCATGTCAATCCAGACTATGGAGTACTCCGCATATGGATAGCTTTCGAAGCTTGTGTCTCACTAGGGTACGCAATCAACAGGTACATGACAGCAGACGCGAACAATACACTAGATAGACAGCTTATGGGTCACCAGTTCATGTGCTGTATGGGAGACTGCAGTTAAGAACTTGCCGGAGATGGAGACCCACACACAATTACCTCCACAGGCAAATGAGTGAACCGGGAGATTGTAGGCATGACAAAGGCGTTCAGGGCTGTAGCTCTAGTCTTACTGAAAGCTATACATTGGATACACCGTCTCGGGCGGACTGTATTTGGGTTACTCCAGTGCTAATTTTGCAGTAACGGAATCATGGACCGTGGGCGAGACCAAGACCTGCAGTGCCACAATTAAGGGAACAGTCTGTCTCAAATATGACATGGCTTATGTGAGTATTCCCCCCTTCCGATATTTTATTGCTACCTAATCTAACGCCTTGAGACAGACCGCATATACAGTACAAATTGTCAATAAATGCCTCTACAGTGCGGTGTGCTCGAACCAGCTATGGGACTGTAAGTGATTGGCTTAGTTGTAACCCCCCATCTGACTAAGTTTACTAGGAGGGCTGGAAGAGCTCCAAACAAGAACAATGCTCGCGGTGGTCATTGGTACTGTACATATGGCGACGAGTGTGGACAAAAAGGTGACGAAAAGTGGTGTCTGACAGAAGACTGCCCATTACCCTAGTGAAGGGCCCATAATTAGGAGTATAGCTAGGTACGTTCCGCATTATGTGCTTAAGTGGATAATAGCGTACAAAAAAGTCTATGTCCTTGACAAAAGTATCTGCGAAAACGCTGCTGATTGTTAAACCGACTGTAGGTAGTTTGCTGAGGAATCAAACAGTTATCGATTTTCTCTTCGACGGTATAGTCCCGATGGTGTACCCAAAATCGCCTCTGATTCTTTTACTCCTTGCGGACCGAGCGGCTCGTTGCGTGGACCTCTATAGTCCTAGTTGAACATTTGTCTCGTGATGCTTCAGCCGGCCAACGGCTTGATTCAAAAGCTTGATCATGTCATAAATGCGGGCCACAAGTATGTCCTGGTATGTCTATAGATAGTCCATCCAACAATTACCAAAAATGGAAGCAAGATATTAGTGCAAAGAGGACTTACTTCCGCAGCGGGCCAATTCCCTGCAGTCATGCTCTGTGATAGTACAGGGATTCCCGTCGCCTTTGTATAGAACGAACTCAAAGGGAGAACCATATGGCGATCAGCAAGGGTTTCCGGGTTAGGGTGGGCAAATATTCTCTCAAAAATAAGATACTGTTTATTCATGTCTTGGGCCAGTTGAAGGAGATCCGTGCTTTTTGGTTGTTGAGCGATCTTCCCAGCAAGAGAGTGAGCATACGAGTCAAATGTTAGGGTAGCTTGGTGCAAGTCTCTGATTGCTTTATGCAGCTTTCCGGTATCCATTGTCTTCAATGGCACCTGTAGTTCGATTGTATCAAGACTCTGTCGCAGAAACAGAGCATAGTCATTAAGTGTAACGGGGATGACGAGGCTATAGGCGAGTAAGCTAGTCATTATAGACCAAATTTTCGTGGTTGCAAGGTGGAGTTCCCTGTCTGGGTCTCCGAATCGATCCACCCAGTCGACTAGATCAAACTGTGAATGATACGGAAACATAGCTTCATCTAGCCCGGTATCAAAAGCAAAGTCCACCGAGGAGGCCAGGATGGAACCTTGGAACGATTGACTATCTCCGCCAGCCCCTGGAGAAATTTCACCTCCCCAGACATCTAGTATAGATGATGCAGGTTGACTCGGTGACTGGATTTTACTAGTAGCATCACGCATAACTCTGGTCAGAAGTGGGCTCCCTTGTGCACGAAATTCGGTTCCTGCGCCTGCGACAACAACATTAAGGTATGCAACAACACTGGTATTGAGCCAGGCAAAGTTTTCATCAATCCAAGCCTGGGATCCGGCAAGTTCGAGCTCCCCTCCATCCCAGCTAGCAAAGATTACAGTTCGTAGAGGTTTCCACCCCTTGGCCAACGCGACTCCGAAGCTTCTAACTACTTCATTTAGGGCACTCGAGCCACCATTTCCGTCATTGGCGCCTGGGCCCAGGGAATCTCGGTGATTACCCAGGATCACCACTTCATCTGGGAATACGCTCCCTGGAATCGTGCCTATCACGTTGTAGAGCAGCCCCTGAGTGATGCTAGGGTCATTGTTTAAATTCAAGACAATGTTGGTGGGTGAGGGGCCGACGCTATAATAAACACCTTTGTGAGTTAGTCCTCCACCATGCCAACGTTCATTAAGCTCTGTCGCAAGAGGCCCATGGTTATTGAGGGCCTGAAGAAGAGGAATGGCATCAGCATATGATATTGGAATGGCTGGGATGGCAGCTCTTGTGTCTGAGGAACAGACAAGGTCAGTCCAGCTATCATTATCTGACTGTGTGAACTAGATATAATAGTATGACAAGGGGCGGCCATACTGGGGGACGATATCGAGCCACGCTCAATTAGAGTTGGTGCACGAGCTGGGCCATCCGGATATGGTAAGTATCCATTAGCTTCAGTAAATTTCCCATCCATCTGAGGGTCTGGGTAGACGATCACACCAGAAATGCCATGATTAGCAGCAGCATTCACTTGACTGGAACGGTGTGCCGATAAATTGCGTTGCATCAAAAATGACGAGGCGAAGGTAGACTTGACTAAAGCAATCTTACCCTCAAGGTCGACATTAGCCCGAAGTAAGTCTTCATAGTCCTGCTGAAGGCCGAAATTGGCATAAACATATTGAGCAGTCATATTTCCCACCCCGGCCCCGGTAAATATTGCAGGCAAAAATTGGGGCTCGCCAAAATCCGCCTTGGCTTTGATATCCTCGACAAATGTCGCTTCATGCAGTAATGTGTCATTTGTTGAGCCTATGTCAATGAGTGCAACTCGATGGCTGCGTGGAAACTCCAGGGTGGTTTCATGGGTAGTCATGGTCATTTGAGGAATCCCGAATTCTTTCCACAGAGCTTGAGTCCATTCGGCCTGCTGGCGGCCTTGGCCGGCGAGGTGGGATCCGTTGGTGTAATAGTCACTCCATTCACGTATTCTTTCGGAGCTGGGTACCCTGAGTAACAGATCCTGAAGTAGAGAGAGGAAGAGCCCCGTTTGGTTCGAGCTGTTAGTTGCACCTAGCTCACTACAGAGGCCTAAATAAGCTCCAAGGATGAAGAGCGTCAGGTATAAAGTAATTCGATGGGTTTTTCTCATTGTGACGGGAAGGTAGAGATGATAAGAAAAGGGGATAAATCTCAACTTCTGGAGGACATACTAACAATTTACCCGATCGGTTTCTTTCCTTCCTGCTTTGTTGTTTATATCTACTCAACATGATGTAGGTATCTGTCTCCATGAGACTGATGTATGTATCTCGATTCTAGCGTTGTCCAGACCTGCATAGTTGGGACTGACGAAGACGCAAGAAGACGGTAAGGAGCTGCCGTAAACACCTTACATACAGTATACTTTGCCCTTGCTGATGATTATATACTGTAGTGACTCTAGTCACCACAGTTCTACCTTTACTAAAATGCATATTACCAGACCAATCTCAAAATATTGCGAATCTAGCTGTTCCCCCCTCACTTTGACCTCAATGAGATCGACTTACACTTATGTTACTATCAGCTTGAAACGTTTGAATCAAACAGGGACCCGGGGATAGTGATCTAGCCCTCGTAATCAACGGGTTGTTAGGGTTGGGGTTCCCTATACAGATGTGCAGATTTCTCGGGAATAGTCATTTGCTCATGAAGGATACATTCATGCGAATTACAAGTCCGTCAAAGCATATTAATCTCGAGGTTCTTGCCATAAGCAGGAATAGATATAGATAGGCATTGGACATTATAAACCTGTAGTCCAGCAGCCCGTAGTACGGTTGACCGCATATATATAAGCAGTGATTGCCTCAAGCATTATCCCTTGCTTTAAGCGGAATGTTGAACCACGTACCACGCGTGACAGCCAAGGTAAAAATACTTTCGTCAAGCGGAAGGACCCGACAAAAATTTGGTGATCGAACATATAGACTCAAGGCCCATTCCATTCCGAACCCGCAAGGAGAGGCTTCCCAGTACAACAACAACAACCACATTAGGTTTAATTATGCATGCTCCTTGAACTTCAATTGGTTATTGTAGTAGGCTGTTAATCCAAGGAGGCAATAAGTATCCGTCTTAAGCAAGGGGCGCTTTATGCTGCTAGAGCCTGGGGTGGAAGCATCAGAAAGGAATGATGGAAACAACCATTCTTGTGGATACTATCTACTTCTAGAATTGCTTCCACTCATACGCGATTGATAGATGATAGGTCCTCTCTATTCAGATGCTTTCGAATTGCATTATTAACAGGCCCCTTCTTCGTCTTGACGCAGATATATCACCCATACGTTCTCAAGGTAGACATTATTGTAAATTAAGCTATCGTAATTATTTCCCATGTGAATTACATTTCACAGGTCAAGAGAAAAATAGCCCCAACTGCTTTACCCAAGCTGGTCCCCACACTATCACCATTCCCGTCAAAGTAGCAAACAATCTTCGGATAACTCAAGAGTACGTTATTTATCTCGTCCGCTCGGGGTAGGCGTTGTAGAGTCCATCAGAGACACTAATATCGCTGAAAGACACTTCACCCACGCCATTGTGGAAGAAGCTAATTCCAGTCGAGTTGGCATACCAAGTCCTAGACATCATGTTAGAAAATTCCCGGACAACGTCAAAGATAAAGGGGAAGCCTACCGAGCCCAAGTAGCAAGTGCAAACCGTGAGTTAGCATAAACCTCGAGAACAGAGTTGTCGACAACAATAGTGAGGTCCAAGGTCTCGATCTCCTCATCGTCTGTTGTGGATTTGCTATGCTTGGCATGGTGACCGTAACTGCCAGCTTTGTGGCCATCATGCTCTTTGCCCTTACCATGCCCAACATATTCATCATCATGATCGGAACTCCCACCGTTGCAATGCTTTCTAATATCAAATAGTCGCAAGCGTCCTGATTCAGCAGAAGCGTCGAATCCAGGGTTGTTCAGTCCGGCTGCGCTCGTGTTGGTTCGATCAATGACTATAGATTCGTTCGAGAATTGATAGTAAACAGTTGTAGACTCGTGATCCGAGGAAAGGATCTTGAATCCAGCCTGCACTCCAGACTCACGGGCCGGCTTCGGGAAGGAAATCTGGGCATCGAGAACGAAGAACTTCGTGGTGGGAGAACGCTCGAAGGGGACACTACCTGCACTGCTCAACGTGCGCTTCGGCTCCTTGAAGGAGTTCGTAGATTTCATTGCCTTGTACGTCTCCCGCGCAATGTCAATGCCCATAGTCTCGAGCTTGGCGCAGCTTTCGCCGTCTTTCTCCACACGCCACGAGCCAGTATCCCACACAAGCTCGTTGTTCGCCACGTTGATAGTCTTTTTTGTCAACTCACGCGGAAGCAGAAGAGTGTTTTGCCAGCCTTGTTGCTCATCAGGAAAGCCCGTAGAGGCTCCAAAAACCTGATTCAGCCACACATATATGATAAACCGGTCGGGCGCACCGCTCTTCTCGGACGCTTGAGATGTTGCTGGCAATACCTTTCCTGATGCAGCGTATGCGGATATGCCCCAATCAATGACACCGGCCATAGTAGGCTTAAAAGTCACATTTCCGCCGTCAGGTGTCGAAATACTTCCGGACGCCCACAGCATGCCATGTTGTGAGCTAACTGTTTCGGTGATTGGGGCGTACGAGCCCTCGACACCCACGGTGATGAAGGTCTCGCCATTGACATTGTATCCCTCTCCGTCGAGACTGAACACATTTGAGGTTTCAAAGTTATAGCCCCATACCTTGGCCCAGTCACCATTGCCCCAGGTAGAGTTAGCAGGCTCACTCCACCATTCTCCAAGGTATTCCCAGTCCTCAAAATCAGAGCCCCGGCTGCGATAGAGGAAGATTCCGGGCCCGACATCGTGGACACCACCTGAGATAGTAGCATACCAGGTCCCTGGGCTGCTACCAACGGTGTTATCCAGATCCCTATTTTGGAAGACGTAGGGATCACGGAAAGCAGTAACATCGAGCCCCTCTGGTGGAACTGGGATGACTGGTGGGCGATCCAGCTTGGTAAAGTTATGCCCACCATCGTAGGTCACGGCCAAGGACTGCGACTCGCTTCCCCGAACATAAGGGAGAGTCCAGTGAATAGGGAGAGATGAGACTGAGGTGTAAAGCAAAGTTGGCTTGCCATCAATCCCGCTTGGAATAACAGTGCCGTCGAATATTGCTAGCGGATCGTTGGGGCCCCCAGCAACAATGGTGTAGTTCCCATTTTCATTGACATCCACATAGTGGACCAGGTCGTCAGTCTGAACGGCCGAAATCCCAGTTCCATTATGAAGGAAGCCAACATGGAACGATCCTGTGGCGGGATCGTTATAATGCGCGCATGGGTCACCAATCTGACCGTTTGGCGGAAGGACATGAATCTTTGGCCTCCAGGTTTCGAAGAGGGAGCCGCTAGGAAGAGTTGACAGGACTGGTGGTGGTGCGTTGTAATCAATACCCGCAGAACCAGCTGCCTGTCTAGCGACAAGAACCTCTGCTACAGATGGGAGCCTCATTGTGGTGTGATGGGCGGAGCTGCTGCGACAGAGATCTTCTCATTACAGGCTCTATAGATGAGATTAAGTATTCGTGAGTTTGTGCTTCGGTTCAAAACATTCCATTTCATGTTGTGCCCCTCGCAGGAACTAGTTAGTACCTGAACAAACATTCCATTCCATGCTCACCATCTTAGAACTTACTACGCTAATCCAATCAGATACGGGAAAATCCTGGGACTCCTCTAGTGATCATCCCGTCCGTTGACAAACAGGGGAATATCTACATCGATCTGATTATTGGAGTGGAGTATAGGTGTAAGTGATGCTGTCTAGGTATTCAGATAGAATGTTATCTCAGTACCCTAACCTCATTAACACATTCAACGACAGTGCAGATAGCAAAAATCCATAAGAACCTATCATGCGCGTTGACACCGTACAATCCATAGTAACAGTCCTCTTAGAGCTAACTCTGGCGCATATCATATCCGTTTGGGTCCAAGAGGGGATTGAAGGCAGTGTATAGGACAAATATGTGGCTTTCATTCTTCAACAACAAGCTAATGGTCCTTAATGGTCGATGGCTACTGCTCATCAATAACAACTTTCTGTGGTATGGCACTATCCCTAGATAAACCCGGAGTGTACGATAGCAAATTTAGCTATTGGACGAGAACACTTTATTCCTTGGACAGCACCTCTTTTTAGCTTCTAGAGTATTGTTCCGCATAATTCTGCTTAGAACAAGGGCGCATACCAGCCGAGTGACAGCGCCAAATAATAGTCCACAAGGAGAATCATTGGCCGAATTACTCTCATGGCTCGCTGATCATATAAGCGGCCCAAAGCAACGGTCCTTAAATCCGTTGTTCGTCTCCTGATTCATACCTACTTAGCGTTATTGTAACATCGAGCATAGCTCATATATAACTTAGCAATAGAAGAATGTGAATGTGAAAATATCCGAGACTAAAAGGTCCCTGCTTGAATAAAACAACGAATCACACAAGCAACGCACTCAATGCGCTAGAGACCGGCTTGTACGCAAAAGAAGCGCAATTGCCCAGTCGAACCCTATAAGCACGTCCCCACGAATATGCTTCTTCAAAATACTCAATCGCTTTTCCCAGAAGCAGGGGCGGGGATAGGAGCCACGGTATCCAGCGGGGATATCTCTAAGGCATGTCGGTGGATTGGGTCTGTTCATTAAGAGCTCCAGTCATGGTGCAGGGGCTTGTTCTACATTAGATGAAGGCGACAGTAACGAAGTTAGGGTTAACGCATAGTAGACGCCGACTGTGAAAGGGTGGTTTTCCCAGCCGCGCCAGGTGAACGTCTGATACAGATGAAAATAGTGCCCTGGCGAGGACCCCATTGAATCACCTACGTTGATGCCCAACTTGAACCATAGAACATGTAGCCCTTCTTCATAGTATTGCACTCAATGATTAGTTTCATGGATACCTTGAACAGGTCTCGTTTCTACTATAGGAGGTATCCAAAATAATATATGCATGCACAAATGCAAATATGGCTGTGAGCCGACTCTAGTGCCGGTGAAAAACATTAAAAGTGCTAAAGCTCTACCCAGTGGCCCAAATAAAAATTATTGTCCCGCTCAGCAAATAGCCACGCCCATGTAAACAGGCATGTCAGTAAACACAGTGGAGCGGGAGTTGGGAGTGCCATTATGCATACGCGACGTTTGGGATGAAAATTTCAAGGAACCCAACGTTGAGGATAATACATATTATCCAAATTCCTACCACGACTAGTGTCTCCGGGCGGTTCGGGATATTGCATCCTAAGAGTCAACGTTGATGATAGAACCCAAGAGTTGCAGGGACAGTCAAGTAGGCGTTCCAATAATAACCGACACCATCCCGTATCCCCTCTTTATGTATCGTGTGTTGTTTTCACTTGCGCTCAACATCTTGAGTATCACGTCCTCGACGGATATGCCACGAATAAGCCCTTATGCGACGCAGTATACTAATGAGCAAGACACTGCCCCAGTAACCCATTACACTCCAGCTCGAGCATGTTGATTCGGGAAAGCTTGACCTTTAGCTAGCTGTGATCCCCCGTAGCTAACTGTGTTAGTCAATACATGGTTCAGGTTATATGATATCTCACATAGCTGTGGAGGGAAACGAGGTAATACGAGTGTGACAGCAATATGTTAGATGTCAATAATCCTCCCTAGTTTTGACTAGGACCAATCTAGGGAAGTTCTGCCAAGTATGCACTAGTTATATTGCTTATTAACCCATCAAGGTTTAAGGAGCTTCGACACTCTACACAGTAATATTTCCACAGATTTACTCCAGCAGACAGCTCCTTGTCTGAAGAGTATAACTTTGCCGATGCATAGATTGGTGTCAATTGTACAGATGTGTCGCATGCAGTGTTTTGAGAGTAGGGTTCTGGTCATGTTAGGGATGGGAGTGATTCATAGATGGAGTAGAAACCGTATTGGTCCAGGCTGGAAGCTGAGAGACCTCCCCAAGTGTGGACAAGCCCCGCAAAGGCAAAATAGTATCAAGGCACCGATGAACATTATAATGACAGGCAAAACAGCCGCAATAGCCAGTACTTAATGAATGTCCCATATGGCATGTTTGTCGTTGTGGAATGGGACCGGACGGCTGGCGGCGCATCCCTGCTATCCGTTATAAATAGTAAACAGTAACCGTGATATTGCAGAGCAAGAGATTCACGGAGTTTAAGGCTCTGCGGAAAAAAATCTGCAGATCAGCGGGGGCGAAACGAAGAGAACAATTAGGTAGAGGCTAAAAAAGCCACGTGTTTTCGAGGCTTCCTTTAGCTTGTTTTATATGCCACACTCTGTGTTGTTCCTCCCATCGCTCCCTCCGCCCATTTTCGGGAATATGAGAAGCCCGATTAACACAAGATAGAGAAAACACATAACGCGTTGGGGGGGCAACGTCCCAACGGGAGTCGACCAGTGCTCTAGCTCTATATTTCAGTGTATGAGCGATGAATGAATGTGTAAGTGGACCTCAATATCTGCGCTGACCACCCTTCGTTGAAAGAACTTGGGTATGCTCATGGTCATCCTCCCACCCAGAGAAGCCAATTCAGAACAAACTCTCGCTGGTCACAAGCAGGTCACATGTTTCATCTTCAAGCTAAGTTCCGTATGCGCAGCAATCTGCATCAGAAGTATCAGCAATTCTGTAGCCAATCGCCTAGAACTAAGCGTATGTTCAGTTGATGAAGTGGGATATACTCAAGTACCGGAGGGATTTAACTACCGCGCCCTGGCCGCCCAACCCGCGCAAGAAAATAATCCACTTTCTATATTACAGTTTGAGTAGCACAGGCTAATATCTTAGATCTTGAAGATGAGCATATAATATGCCAGCGGTTACTCAGTGTTAACTTTATGCAATTGAGAAGTTTTCTCTTTCTACCTACTCCCCCGTCTTTTCTTTGCTTCATTTTCTTACCTTTCATATGTGATTGGATGGGTGTCAAGCCTCAAGCATCTCTACCGATCTGCCTATTATTGCAAGATGATTGACGCTTCTTGAGGCATGCCAGTCGATACAATCTGAGGAGCCATGCTTCATGAATCCTCCCGTTTCGAAGATATGTGTTATATCAGCTCACCCAACGTGTATGGGCATGAAATGAGACTAACAAAATCATGGGCGTCTTATTTCCACATCTACCCCTGCTAGATATGAGGTCTAATTTCGGGCTCTGTTTCTCAATGAAGTGTTGAAGAGCCCTGCGTTAAAATATATTGGAGTACAATAAGGGATCGAGAGTTTGGGTTTCGAAGATCAGCTGTGGAATATAGGTGACGAGTTTTGCGCTGCATTTCAACCGGGTCTCCATAGTCTAGTGGTTAGGACGGCGGTCTCATATTCTATGACGACCCCTATCTAAAGGGGTTGCAATCCGCAAGCACGAGTTCGATTCTCGTTGGAGGCATGATTTTTTTGCTCTTTCCAGTCCCTTCCTTCTCTCTCGCCTTAGCTATCTACCCTTTTTCCCACTCCTATTATATTGCCAAAAAAACCCTTGTCTGATGTCATTAGCTACGGCAGTCAGGTTCGTTGCCCATACTCTTCTGCGTCTACCACTCTTCTGCCTATCTAGCAGTATTTCCATATGTACATATGTGCCAGGACAGATGTGTTCAGAATGCGTAGTTGCTCAGCTGTTCTTCTATACAGTCTTAGATAGGTTTGTCATTTTTTGAGATATCTTTGTAGGGAATGGCCCTGTCGATCAGTCTTATCATATAATTTACAAATGTAGTAGAAACGAGTCAATGCTAGGAATTGCAGCCCGCTGGTACCACATTCATGATTTAGAAGGGAGTAATTTCCTTAGTTACCGATAGCCTGTATGTAGCAATTAATGTATCCAATCCAATGCTGTTCATTTCTGAAGCCGCAAGCGGGCAAGTCAAAAAGAAATCGTTTTTAAAAAGATATGCCTCCAACGAGAATCGAACTCGTGCTTGCGGATTGCAACCCCTTTAGATAGGGGTCGTCATAGAATATGAGACCGCCGTCCTAACCACTAGACTATGGAGACTTCACATGGTAGCCATCTTTTTTTTATGCTAAATGAGGATAAACTTAACAAAGCTTCAACAATGTAAGAGTGCGCTATTTTTCTCGACTAGGCTGCGTCTACTTCATTACAGTGAAACATATTTATGTACACTAAAGCTACTAAAAAAAAGCTGTGTGTGTTTATTTTATTATTTTGATACTTCGTGGATAGTATGTTGCAATGCTTTTTGAGATGCATCGGTGCTATATATATTTTACGGCGCAGTGGATGCGGTGGAATACTTCTAATGTCCACCACCAAATCTATACCGTCACCACCTACCGTATCCCGTTGAATATGCCCATGAAATTACCTGGTATCACAGGTACCTGACATATGCCTGGTGGATAGGCAGCCTGCATGATCGTGTGGATCGTTAAATACCATAGTAATATAGGTACATGTACAAGGCCTGATGATTCCCACCTAGATAAGCCTTCTTGACAGTTCGATACGATCATATACCTGTCGTTTTGACACTGTATCCTACGATATTTTACCAGATACTCCACATATCCCTCACTACACTGCCCGTCAATAGCATTATACACAAGGTATCGCACCAGAACAATCCGCCATGTAAACCCGTCGCTCCTAGAAGAGATACACCCAAAAACGAGATCAGCCCAACAGCGACGATAACTCACAGCGGAACTAAATACCTTAAAACTTGGCCACCCGTTGCCAGAGAACGATACGTAACATATATCCTATGCACCAGGGTGCTCATACCCAAACCTATCTTCGGATAAAGTCGAGTTTTGACAAGAACCGACAACAGATCGTACCCTCCAATTAGGTATAAATCACTACAGCCACTAAAATCGCAGTGCGGTTCCAATTAATCAATAACGACAGACAATGTCATAGCACGGGGACGGGCAATATTTCGCGGGGACTACAATTGCTGTGTCATTGAGGCAATGTTTCTATCAATACGGAGCATAACCCGCAAAACCTAATCGGTATATTAATAGTAGCGCCAAGGTCGAACGACTGCCGTATCTTTGGTTGCTCTGGACTCGGCCTTGATATATATGTTGTAATGTAGACCGTGCATCGACGATGGACCCACCAATGTTGGACTGTTGACGATTCTTGAATAGAAAGAAATAAATAAAGAGAGATTTTTGCAGGATACACTAGTTTTTGATTGGGCATGTAGCCAGCTATCTTGGCCGTTCCTAGACACAAAGATTGTTCAGACTGTGCCTAGTTCGCGTGTCTACGGTGAATAGTCTGTAGGACAAAGCGCGGCAAAATATATAAGGTAGGAGAGAAGATGACTCGGAATACTTCTTCATGGAGAAATCACCCCTGAGCTACTATCTCTTCAGAAGTCCCATCACGGTACTACCATTTAAGCTTCGTTTAATCTGCTCTTTATTAACGAAATCAGACCCCCTCCGGATTCGATAATCAAACATCATATCCACAACGGAAAAGCCAACAACAACCCGGACACAGACGCCGACATCTTCAAGAATGTCAGAAGAACCTATACATCCGTAGAAGAAATGCACGGCCACGGACTGGAATCGAAGGACTGGTGCTCATATTACATCCGTGATCAACTAAACTAGCTACTCGAGCCCTCTAAACCTGCTGCGCACCAAACATCATCCAAAAATACAACCAGCACCAATATTGGTGTGAAGTCCCGGAGAGCTACTTTCCTCCTACACCCTATCTCAATGCTCCTAATATGACAATTAAACGCTAGGTCGGCGGCAATTTGCCCCAGTGTATGGAAAGTACTCATCCGAGTCATTACGTTGGCTCGGGCTCCTGTAGTCTTGCACGGTAGAGGTGCAGCAATGAAGCCACTGCCTTCGGGGTCGCATCGGTACCGTTGTATCTTGTGCTTCTGGGTGGCTTGTGGTTTTGCAGGTTCCTGTTGCGGTAGATGATATGTAAGATTGGTCTATAGATCTGGCCATTGTGGGTGGTGTTTATCCCTCGGGAACATATAGTTTTCGGGAATCTATATTGTCCTATGGGGGATTGATTATATCTATGCTGTATTTCCTTACTGGCGGTTGATCCTTAGTTTATGCTATGTAATAGTCTGCTCATGTAGACAACTAATTGTACGAATATGCTATGGTTTCTTGGCGAGCTGAATGAATGTGACGAATTTCCATGAAGCAGATCAAGTCTACGGAGACTAATGAATACGCCTATGATCCCCACCTCCATAGATAGGCCCTTCTTGATAGTTCTATAAGATCATCAAGCTGATCATTTTCTGATCGTTTTGCGATCGTATTAAGTTGATATCTTACCAGATCTTCTACAGAAACGAAAGGTACATTTGGACAAGTAACTTGGAGGAATATTATATCATTAGCTATTGGATTTAGTGATATGAGACTATCCTAGCGTTTCAGGTAGCTCGAGAGAGGAACATATCTATTATAGTACATATGAGCCATGGTTATATACATAGCACCACCTAAACGCCGACCCGAATGCTGCGTGACACTGTTATACTCCCAATACAATGCCGCTAAACAATGTGGGATGCTTTTCCTAATTACCAAAAGACATTGCTGGTGTAGAACTATAGTGAAAGGTCGGAATCATCTAACGAAGACCCAAGATCGACCCCTAATACGCTCATCTCTTCTGCAACGGACGCAATCTGATCTTCCACTTTGGTCGACCCAGTGGCAGCCCGCCCCATTATGATACGTAAAAGGTCAGCCATTATATCAAGCTGATACTGCTCTCGCTCCTCTGGCTCGAGAGTCTCGAGAGTGAGCCCTCGCGCTTGGAGAGCGGAGACTTTGCGCTCACTTAGAATATCTACCAGCCTGTTGACATGGGCGATGTTATCCTTGCTCTTAGGGGTGGTTGAAAGGCGACGGAGACGACGTTTGGGTGTGTCTGGCGGGACGCCGGCCATTCGTGCAACTTGTAGGACTATGAGACGAGCGGTGACGTCGTCTGGAGAGAACCCGAATGTTGATCTTAGCGAGTAGAGCGCAATAAGGGTGCCAGGAAGATCTTTAGAGAGACAGAAGCAGCGGATTATTTGATCATAGAGTTCTTTGGAGAACTCTTCCTGCGCGGCGGTTCGGCGGCGGGCAGGAAGGCGAAAATACCATTGCATCATTTCCGCATAAAGGCCGCGAGCAGACGGAAAGTCTGCAACGAACGCTGTGCGACCGCGGTCATACTGAAGTTTACCGCAGTCCCATAGACAAGCAAAGGTCTCCAAATCTGGTTGGATCGATGCAGACATTGTTTGGAATTTGTTCCACAGGGATTTTATATCCTGTTTTCGGAGCTCGGCGTATAGGAGGTGGTTCATGAAATAGGAATTTGGCTTGATGTGGGCATCTCCGAGGCATTTGACTAGATACTTGATCATGCCTTCATCGCTTCTTCGGGTATAATGAAGGAGTAGAATAGAAAAGGTTTCGATGTTTGCCGGGGGAATCTCTCTTTGCATCCACTTTGGTATGCGAGGGTTACCTGTGTCTAGACTGACAGTCAATCTAGGAGTGTTTCCTGTCGAATCGGTCCGCGCCCAAGTATTGTCGATTCGTTGCTGAACCATAGACCACCCTAGTCGCTCGCCTTTCTCTCGCGCATCGGGATCGCCATCACGGAGCCAAGCAGCAATTATCCCGTTGAGGTGTTTTGAGTCCGGCTTAACACCCCGCTCGTACATCAACTCAATCACTAATGCAGCGGAATCAACTTCACCCATTCCAATGAGCTTCTTCATCCAGCTGGCGTAAAAGAATCGATTCTGGAACTTCCTAGGTAAAACCGTCAAGGTTGAAAGCGATACTTTGTTCACATCTCGCTCCGAAATACTCGACGCTTGGAGATTACCAACCAGGCCGACAGCTGCTTTATAGAGAGAGGTCGAATCGTGGGCTGGGTCTTGCCCTGTCACCATCATATCTTTGAACACTGCAATAGCGAGATTCGGCCTCCCGGCCTTTAGCAAACCGATACTGACATTATCGTAATCCTCCATGGTCAGAGTATTTCCTAGGAAAGTTTTGAGTTGTAAATATAAGGCCCACGCTTTGACCTCTGCCTCTTTGTCAGGCTGCCGCCCCCAGGCAGTGATGATCGGGAGGAGGATGCGAGGTTCGCGTGACTTGTCATTTGCCAGAAATGCGAGAGCAATGTCTTGGGCCCGTTGAGGATCACCTTCAGCAGCAAAGAGCCGTACGCCCAATTTCCAATATGCTTCGAGATCCTTCTTGTGTTGCGAGAGGCCCGTCTGATGAGCTTCCCACTGGTCTAACGCTTCCTTCGTTTTACCAGACTTTCGGAGAGACTCAATGTAAGTGAGGAGGTGTGGTGTCGAGAGCGATTTACCGACTGACATCGCATCTTCAGCGAGTATCTGTATATGAGTTGCTCGAGAAGATCTTCCACAGGTGCCTGTCTGAGAATACCATAACAGCGCCATGGCTTCTTCGGGTATTGACTCCAGAAACTCCGGAACAACCTGTTTGCAACGACGGTACCACTTCCAAAGCTCAGGACCTAGTCGCTCATTTGCTTTATCGTTCGTAATCCGTTTCAGACATTCGTTAAATTTTCCAACATAAGAGTGGTATTCTGGATCCACGACCTCAACTTCGTAGGAACGCCGTGCAGCTTTTTTCATTGAAGCATCATCTTCCCCTGTTGAATTCCAGTTCTCCTCTTCCATTGCCAAACTCTGAAATTCCTCCTTTAACATCTCCTCCAGCTCATCGTCAAAAACCTGTTCAAGGCCAATTTCGGGCTCTTGCTTGCCGTGCTCCGCATCATAATTTCGCAAGGCCTCTAGTGCAATAGCTCTCTCCTTCTCGGGTAGCTCCCTTATGAACTGGCTGTTAGGACCGTAAGGACCTTCTTTCAGATCCTCCAGTTCACTATCAAGCCTGGCCAGTTCCCCCTCCATATCTTTCCGATCGGCGGTGTCTTCGGCTTCCGGATCGACCCGCCTTCTATTTTTGCTCCCGCGAGTATCCTGCTCGTAAAAGCGAACTTTGTCATTGGGGCCGCCATAATGGAGGGAGCGTGTCGCTACGACGGAGAATGTACGGCGCAAAGGAAGTGACGGAGCCGACGGTGTTCTGGGCGCCACATGCTGATACCACCGAGCTCCTCGAACGGCTTGGCGGAGCATGAAGTATAAGCGGTTAGAGCATCTGATAGAAAGAAAGTATTGAATAGAAGTTGCAGGTATAAAAGCAAAGTAGAAGTTTGCGCAGAGTTATCGCAGAGATGCTCCGCGGCGGAAAACCAATACCACCCGATCTGGTCTAGCGTCAACGCGAGCTCCGCCCTGGGTTCAATAAATCATTGAGACAGACTCGATCTTCCCCCCAGATGACAAAGGATAGGGTCGCCTCGAAGTTTACTTATGGATCTGGAGACAGAGGCGCATGGTGTAGCCAAGGATGGCTCAAACACCCAGGTATATTGCCTGCACTAATGGCTCAATTCCATCTAGAAACCGCTAATGTTACCTAAGGGTGTGTACATCTACCGACCTGCAACTTCCGCAAAAGCTCCCGGAGAGCGACCTTCGAAGCGACGAAAGGTGCAACCCCAGACTAAGGAGCAGAAGAGCGAGTCGCACCCTTTTGTCCCCCTTCTAAACGGCGAAGAAGATGAGAAATCAGTCGAATTGAGGTACAATGCCTACCGACGATTATGGTCAGATCAGGAAACCAAGATTCAGGTTCGCGAAGGCTAGCAGTCTGCAGGTTTCTCGGTATATGACGCATCTCTAATGGCAAGCAGGAGATTCTAAGTGATGTTGATTCCGAAGTCCTCGAGAATGTTTCGTCCTTCGTCAGGTCGACTTCGCCTCAGACGTAAGTAGTTCGCTATTTGGTTAACAAGGTGCCTCGAAATCCCTAACTGACGATAGATACGATGGCTGCATCCCCACGGCATTAATCACGGTTGGATCCAATGTTTCATCTCTTGGAAGACTGCTATCCAAGCTTAATGACCAGTTGACCATAGCAGAAGAAGGCGGAGTGGTCACACTAGAATCTGGCGATGCTCCCAATCTCAAGACAACGCTGAAGAATATTATCCGAGCTGCTGTCGCAAACACGGAAGGAAATGATGGGTATCAAAACTTCTTGACAGACCGAGAGGTGGGATTTCCCAAATTTATATCTATAATGGCAAGGTGCTAAGAAGGGCGCAGGGGCCCAGACTTCTTGGGTACGATCTCGACTTGCTTGGTGACTATGTGAAAAGGAAAGGAATCAAAAGGCTAGTTCTGGCTTTCCGTGACAGCGAGGCTTTTGATCCAAACATTTTAACAGATCTTTTGTCTCTCTTAAGGTAAGATTCAAGGCTCTTAGCAGATCTTAAGCTAATTTTTCTTAGCTCCTGGCTTGACCGGATTCCCTTTACCCTATTGTTTGGAATCTCAACATCCGTTGAACTCTTTGAAGGAAGGCTTCCTCGGTCAAGTGTTGCCCTTCTCAGAGGAAGATACTTTGAGATTCATGGAGCAAGTAACTGTGTGGATCGTATATATGAGCGGTTACAAGGAGACCGAAACGGACGATTTTGGCTGGGGCGCAATATTACAGGAGTTTTATTTGAAAAGTCGAACGACTACTTTCAAACACCAGAGGCCTTCAGCCGAACAGTCAAGGTAGTTGCCGTACTCCGTTTTCCCTGTTCGCTCAATTCTAATGGTGATAGTATGCGTACATGACACACTTCTTTGCAAATCCTCTAGCAATGCTCCTCTCTGACGATGTTTCTGTCAATATGCAAAATGGAAAACTTTGCGAAGCAATCAGAAACCTCCCGTCTTTTCGAAGGTGAGATACTCCCCCTACTTGGTTTTCTCTTGGCTAACTCCACTAGATTTTGCGAACATTTGCTTGATGACGAGTCTTCTGAAAAAGTGCGCAAACTTCTGGAAAGTGACGACTTTCTGTTCCAGCAAAGCTTGGAGTACTTGAAAACTGGACAGCAACGGATGAGAGATATCTTCGAAGCTGTCAAGGCAATCCACCTAGGTCTAAATAACTTGAAAATCAGTAGGAAATCAACAATGCTGGATCTGTCAATTCGTGCACTATCGGGAGATTTGCAAGATTCAACTTACATGGATGACCTTCTCAGGGGCCTGAAATCGCTAGATTCTTATAACCTGAAGGATTTTCTTGCGGTTATGCCACAGGCTTTGACTGACCGTCTGGAAGATCAAGAAATCCAGAAAGATTTTGAGACTCTTGTGCAGACATACCATGGCACGGTGCCGCTCCGGAGTGAGTATGACAGCCATAATTCCATATTGGCCACTGCAACCGTTGTCCAACAGCGAGTGAAACTCAGTAAGAGCAGAGCCAAATTGTCCCAGCATAATATTGAGTATACCAAAATTATCGATCGCATCCATGCTCTGTCAGAACGGTTCTTCACGGAAACATTGGTGAAACCGCAAGACCTGTTCTTACACGAAGCTTTTCTTCTTGACATGAAAAACCCTTTGAAGGAGATATTCTCGCCGCGGCCACGTTTCGCAATTGAACGTGCCTTGGCCAATCCTTTTGATTACCTGATATCAACGTCCGAGAATTCTGAGGCTAAGATTTCCGCACAGCAGCCAGCCACGGCTATTTTGTATCAGCTGTATCTCGAGTCTGGGGCACTGGTGAATGTTCATGACCTTTGGCAGGCTTTCTATGCGGTGTTTGAGAGTGAACAAGGTGACGCTTGCGATGAACGTATGGCGATGACACTCTTCTACAGAGCGGTGTCGGAACTCAAGGCACTGGGTATGTTTAAAAGCAGCCGGAAGAAGGTGGACCACGCTGCCAAAACAGCATGGATTGGACTATAAATATCATCAATTATACATTAAGAAGCGTTAACGAAACATGCTATTTTGTTTCCGATAGAGGGTATCATAATATACAAATAATAAATCGCTGTTATAAACACGCGATGCGACCACCGAGTCGGCGAGGCTCTGTCCTCCCAAAACGCAGATAACATTATAGAAAGTCCATCATCAATCATTCGGAGACAGGTAGTTGAATAATATCGTCATGACCGAGGGGCCGTGCTCCATCACTCAACACCATCGCTTCTCTCCTGCGTCTTCTCACAGCCTGTTCCTCAGCGCTCCGTTCTCGGAGACGCCTCCCTGGCATTCGACTCGAGCCGGCTGTATCATCCCCATCTACCATCCATATGTCACTGTCATCGTCATCTTGGTCGTTTTCCTCAATCATGCTTCCCATCAAGCCATACTTTCGTAATTGCTTCGTGCCCTCCGGATGGGAAGAGAGAGTGCTGAATATTGAACTCATAAGAGTATCATCGGACCACCAGGTCTTCATAAGTATCACCACATCTTGCCGCCGCGATGGCTCTGAAAGTGCGCAGGGAAACGGATATTTTGAGAGCCAACGACTAACGATGCCAGCTTCAAGCGCCGCAGGTACATTTTCTGGAAGGACTATATTTAGTGTACCAAGTGCCTTCTTCTCCCCTAGAGGCCTTGTTTTGGGCAAGATAGGCGATACGGTGGTGGAGGTTTCTTCAGAATGTTCGTCGAGGAAGTTACAGAGACAGTCGACAAGAGCGTTGTAGGTGGGAAGGTCTTTGAGTCGTGTACACACGGAGGTTCGGGAAACTAGATTATAATGATCAGCATCATTCACATGTGCCATTAACTCGAATATGAAATATCCGTACGTGAGCGATTCGAGACTAAAAAATACATTGCACCAAGAGCCTTGCTTCGTCTTTCTCTGTTCTTGCTCGCAAGGTCTCTCAAAAGCAAGTCCCGAGTCTCTCCCTTTGTAGATCTTTCCGCAATAATACGTAGAGCACTGTGTCGTACGTTAGCATCTTTCAAGTGGAATGTGTACATCGAAGTTGCCATACGCTGCACGGAGATCATAACTCGTGCTTTCAGAGAGCTTAAGTAATGTATCTAGCTTGAGGGCTGCCAATCAATCAGCCGCTGAACGGATGGTTTCATGAAGATATAACTAGCCTTCCTCTGTGCCCTCGCTGATCATCTTGTCTTCCTTCTCGACATTCTTAATCTCCGTCAAGTCGTGCACCTGGCGAAGGTCCGTGACTATCCCGCGAACGGCGAAGAACAGAGAAATACCTGTCCAGTTAGCGTTTCGCCCAGTTTATATACTTCTGTTACAAAGAGCATACCTAGACATAGCCACAGTAACCTATCGTTCAATTGAGAGGGCATGGCTCAGTTTGAAGACCAGAAAAGATCTATATTCATGTTATCATAGAAAGCGGAGAGTCGTGGATCTAAAAGACGAACCGGCAGAATGCTCCACCTTAAGGCGGTGAATATAACTTTTTTCGGACATATTGCCGCCGCTCCAAAAATTTCGGTGGAGGAAGAGAACGCTTTTGCGTCAATTTCAGCACGCAAATATGCCGCCGTCGCAGTTGAAGCAGCTCAAGGCCTCTCTCCGTGAGAGCGGGGTGCTGAGGCCGCAGCAGTCTAAAAAGCAAAAGCAACAGGATGCGAAGAGTGGCGCTGCCGCGCACAATCGAAATCAGCGCAACGCCGCTTTGCAGTCCATTCGAGACCGTTTCAATCCGTTCGAAATCAAAGCGGGAGGCACGCGCACAAAATTTGATGTGACCACTCGAGAAGGAAATTCAGGCACAGCTGCTTCGCGTGCGCGACCCGGTGTCACCAAGTCACTGGGAGAAGAAAAAGTAAGTCTCGCCGCAGCTTGATGTTCCCGTATATTAACTTACGGTCTTACTTTGGACAGAGACGTCAAACGCTGTTAAAGGAAATGGAGAAGAGGAACAAAGTCGGTGGTATTGTAGATCGTCGTTTTGGTGAAGATGATCCGACTATGACGCCCGAGGAGAGAGCCGCCGAACGTTACGCTAGAGCTAGTCAGCGCAAGATGCGCAAGGATTCGATGTTCAATTTGGAGGGAGATGATGATGATGAAGAATTCACGCTCACACACAAAGGCCAATCTCTGAATGATGTAGAGCAAGACGATTTTCAAGAAGGCGACTTGGGCGAGTTAGATGACGGTGCGTCGGATTCCGAGGCAGCCCGGAAAAGAAAACGCGTTTTCACCGATGATGGCAACTTTGATGGCATGGAGGATCTAGAAGATGGGGAGGAGGAGCCTGAACGAAAGAAATCGAAGCAAGAGGTTATGAAGGAAGTTATTGCTAAGTCAAAATTCCACAAATATGAGCGGCAAAAAGCTAAGGAGGACGATGACGATCTCCGTGAAGAGCTCGACAAAGGGCTCCCCGATCTCTTCGAAATGTTGAGAGGAGTGAAACCGCCACCAAAGCCAGAACCTCCGAAGAGTGATCTGGCATCTATGAACCCGGATCGTGCTGCACTCCTGGAGGGTACGGCCAAGGGAGATACCGAGAAGGAGTACGACCAGCGCCTGAAGCAATTGACGTTCGATAAAAGATCCAGACCAACAGACCGCACAAAGACAGAAGAAGAGAAGGCTGAGGAAGAAGCAGAACGGCTGAAGATCCTCGAAGAGGAGCGTGTCAGAAGAATGCGCGGCGAGGAATTAAGTGAGTCTGAAGACGAAGAGGCGGGGGCAGATGAAGACGAAGACAAAGGAAGTGAGATGTCTGAAGACGAATCTATTCCAGATGATGCGAAGGCTTTTGGATTGCATCATCTTTCGGATCAGACAAGTGCTCGTCCCGAGCTCGGCGTCGAAGATGAGGATGACTTTATAATCGATGATGACCTTGTTGAGATGAGATCCGATGTTAGCTTATCTATTGGTGACAGTGATGAGGAAGTATCATCTGCGGATGAGTCAGGAGAGGAGGACGAAGATGAGGATGAACTTATCAACGGCTTTACCCTTCCCGGTGGCAAATCTGGAGAAACTCCCCCTGGAGCTGATGCACAAGAAGCCAATGAAGGATTGGCATACACATATCCCTGCCCGAAGGATCATGAAGAGTTCCTCCAGATCATCAAAGATGTGCCCATGCAGGACCTTCCGGTGGTTGTTCAGAGAATTCGAGCTTTGTACCATCATCGTCTGCATCCGGACAACAAGATGAAGCTTGGCCGATTTTCCCGTATCCTCATTCAACATGTCGCTTATATGGCCGCACAGCCCGAACATCCCCCCTTTGCTATCTTAGAAAACATCTTCCGTCACGTCCACTCCCTGGCAAAGAGCCACCCCGAGAGCGTCTCCCAAGAGTTCAGGGCTCGTCTACGTGAAATCGCAACAGATCGGCCCCTTAACCTTCGGCCAAGTGATCTGGTCATTCTAACTGGTATTGCCACAACCTTCCCAACGTCTGATCACTTCCATGCCGTTGCAACGCCGGCACACCTGTGCATTTCTCGGTACCTGGGACAAGGTTCTGTAGACACTCTCGCTGATATCGCAACGGGCGCTTACGCCGCAAGCCTGGTTCTTCAATACCAAGCAGCTTCCAAACGCTACATGCCCGAATTTATTAATTACATCTTGAACGCACTGTGCAACCTTGCCCCGGAGGAACCCAAGAGCAGTCTAGGACTCTTCCCATCGCGGAGTCCCGAGGAATCTCTACGATTGAAGACCTCAAAATCGGTGAAGTCAAGGAAACTCCAGTTCTGGGACGTTACCTGTCCGGAATCAAGCCCAAAGGCCCAAGAAGAACTCAAGCTCTCTCTCATAAACACCTTTGCCTCTCTTCTCAACACCGTCTCCGATATGTGGTCAGACAAACCCGCCTTCCGCGAGATCTTCGAGCAAGCCCGGAGCGTTCTCCGCTTCGTGAGCCGATCGTGCAAGGACAAGATTCCCTCCTCCGTCCAAGATACCCTGCAATCGACCCTCGATAAAATCGACGACCACATCTCCAAATCCCGTCTCACTCGTCGCCCGCTTTTACTCCACGACCACCGCCCACTGGCTATCAAAGCCGCCATTCCCAAGTTCGAAGAAACCTTCAACCCGGACAAGCACTACGATCCCAATCGCGAGCGTGCGGAAGCCAACCGGCTCAAGGCCGAGTACAAGCGCGAGCGCAAGGGAGCTATGCGGGAACTGCGGAAGGATGCCAATTTCGTTGCGCGTGAGAAGCTGCGCGAGAAGAAGGAGCGCGATGCTGAGTACGAGAGGAAGTACAGACGGCTTGTGGCCGAGGTGCAGAACGAGGAAGGCAGAGAGGCCAATGCTTACGAAAAGGAGAGGAGACTCCGCCAGGGGAAGCGGTAATCGTGTCGTTACTGATGTCTTTCTTACTGGTTCTGGTTGGGTTCCTGGTATTATCCTTATCATGTTGCTGCTTAGACTTTGCATGCCAAACATGTGTATATACTCTTTATCATCATTCCTATCTGCCGAGGTTACTAGACAAAAGAAAATTCTTCCTTTATGTTGAATAACTCTCCGAGTTGCGTATGTACATCTTGAGAATTATATATAGGCGTCCTAAATCAGCTTTCCAGGCGAACAATTGTGAAAAAATTTTTGACATACTAGAACGATTGAATTCAACTAAACAAGTGATCAACCAGAACTATCTGTGGGGTTACCCAGGTGGGGCCCATACAAAGGTCCTCAAGGTTCTACCAACTCCCCTTTCACTGAGCAACATGGTAAAACGCTGAAAAGGCCTGAATATCACGAACATATTCAACAACAATGACTGTTGTCACTGTTGAATCTCTACTCCAATGCTTGCCAAGTATTCACAAAGTTCTCTATAGTGGTAGTTCCAACCGTTAATACCGGCCACGGCGTAGGTAGATGATAGGTCTACCCAGGGGCAAATATAGCGGATCTCACCGCGTGCATTGCTCGCAGGTCTCCAATAGGGGTTAGAGTCCGGAAATTGGTGTGTCTGGTTCTCTTGAAGATACCAAGCATTAATTCTAGCAAGCTGTTCTAACTTGAAACCTGGGAATTGGTTCTGGACGAACGTATCCGTTTCCCAACACTGGAAACTTTGGGATAAAATGTAGTGCCTTCGTTCGTGTCGTCGCCAAAAATAACAGGGGCCTTGATAAACCGGCCCTAGCAGAACAGACGGTACGTATAATCAGGAACGAGATCATCATCAATGACTGGTCCGTATAAGTAAAGCGGTGCCTCTTGCGCGTCAGGGAAGGGGTGCTAATATTTTCACGCAGAAGGGACTCCGTGTCCAGACCGCGCAAACATGCAAATGTATTGGCATCCCCTGCACAGCCACTGCAGATAACTAGATTGCTGTAGGTAAACTGGCTCTGGTTCAGAGTGAGCATGGTAGCAAAACTCTGCGATTCCGCAGCAGTGGTGTGGAAGAGGCCATCATCCCTTCAGCCATATGCTGAGAGAAGAAGGGTAATGGAAGCGGCTCCTGCGCTGGCACCACCACCTACGACCACAAGTTTAGGGTTACCACTAAACTTAGAAAATAGTTAGCATTATCAAGCGGTTGTCGTTGTCTCGGCTCTCTTACCTTGTTGATGTGTTTCTGAACCCACCTCAACACTTTAATCTGATCCTTTAGGCCATTGTTCACACTTCCATCTTGTAGGCTCTCTCCCCCAGATAGGAATCTGTACGGAACAACACGATAATTGAAGGTGACCACGACGATTCCCATTTCGGACGCTTGAATCAAGCCAGTGCCGTTATAATTGGAGTTAGAATTCTCATTGAAGCCCCCACCCTGGATCCAGATAAACACCGGTAGTAATCTCGAAGAGTTACTTGCCTGGGGAGGAGTATACACATCTAAGAAGAGGCAATCTTCAGACGTGTCATTAGGAATCGGATACTTGCTCATGGGGATACACTTAGAGCCATGCTTATAATTAAGCATCATCGTTAGTGTAGTCTGCAAAGTCGGACGAGTAACTATACCTCATATGCATTCCGCATCCCAGATATTACGCTTGAACCCTGTACGGTTGATAAACGCAGTGACCCTGTAGGTGGGGCAGCATAACGTATCCCCAACTATTGTACAAGGTCATCTGAGAGCGCTTTACCCTTATACTGAGCGTAGTCAAGGTTTACCACCACTTCCTGGGCAGCGGCTAAGGAGAAGAATAGGAGACACAAAGCAAACATATTGAGTCGTGCCATTTCACCCGTGAAGATAAGAGTATCCGGGCTTCCACTTCGTGCTCCCTTCCGGCATGACAATCAGGGGGCAAAGTTTTAGCAAGGCACTGCGTGTAGACTCGTCCTTCTTATAGCACCGCCGGTGTGGTCTCGAAGTCTCGAATACGGCTCTCAATCTGACTCGCATTCTCAGGCCAATGCTTTAGCCTACAGTTCCATCGATGGGGAAGTGAGCACCATCCTACGCCATGCATGTGGGCATATGTTTGGTCCATTTGAGGGAGAAAAAGGGTAGATCGATGTGGAGAGTTCTCATGGCCAGATTCGACAAAAGAAGGTTCAACTGAAGGCTTGGGTCATGAATAAGTAGATAGAACAAATACATATTAATGGCGTTATTACTTATACCGACTTCCGAAAAGGAGGGGTGGGACTCCCGGGGAGGCGTTTGAAGTAAGCGGAAGCCGGAAACAGTGAAACTGAGCCGGGCATCTATATGTAAGTATACTCCACATAACCCCGTGATTGAGTAGACAGATTTTGACTCAACTTGGAAGTAGTATCAACCTCACTTCTAGGTTCTACCTAGAAATTCTCTGATCTGTTAATGAATGTTAAGACATTTCACTTCACCTCCGTAAACCCCCCTGCCCCCTACATGGATATTAAATGGTGGATGTCCAAACCAAAACCAACTCCTTGGCAGAAGAAGCTGAGTCTGTAAGACCAGTGGATGAATTATGCATGTGTCAGATTCTATGAGATGTATAACAAGATCTGATTGTGTTGGCAAAGTAAACTCTACTTACTAGTGGTAAGTATATTTATTTGCAGAGGTGGAGCTGGCCAATCATATCAGAGACCGCCTTCCTCTCCGCAATAAATCGATCGAACAAATTCATCGTATTTTCTTTTTCTTCCCCGCAATCGCATAGGGTTTATTCAACCAAGAAAACAACTTAATTCGGACAATCTCCGCTTAGAGACATTATCGCCGATCAACCTCAACGGTCGAACTGAACCTCCAATCAATTCCCGCAAAGTCATAAAATCACACACACTTTTCTTGGATTTGTGTCTGTTTCCTGCATCTTCACCCAGAAATGGCACCTCACCAGAACCCCACACACGTGGTAGAGGACGAAGAAGAGGATGATTACATGTCTATGGTGATTGAGGAGCCACAGCAGAAGGAAACATTTGCCCAGAAAAAGCGTCGACAACAGAGGGAGGTAGGTAGCGATCGTACAAATTTTGCCATTTCTCTTACCCTTACAATGAATCTGACACACCATGTCTCTCTCCTGTCTAGGCCGAAGCTCGAGCCAGAGTTCCATCCAAAGCCGAACTCGCTGCTCAGGAAGCTGAACGTCGCGATGCCGCCTTAGCTACCAGCACGCTAAATCCCTCCAACAAAGGGTTCCAAATGATGGCCAAACTTGGATTCAAGCCGGGACAGGCATTAGGTAAATCTCAAAGTGAGAATAAAGAATCGAATAATACATCCCGCGCACGAGCAGAGCCGCTCGATTTGGTGTTCAAGGAGGACCGAGGCGGTATCGGTCTGGATAGTGAAAAGAAACGCAAGTTCCGGGAAGAGGTCGAAGAGGCAACGAAGAAAGTCAAACTGGAAGAGGGTGATTATCGAGATCGCGTCCGCCTTGAACGGGAGACACGACGTGCGGAGGCTCAATTTCACGCTGCGCAGAAGGTTGCGGAACGATTAGATGCGGAAGTGGACGCAGGAGCCGACCAAACGGCGAAGGGCCTGGATGGGAATGAAAAGGAACAGACGTTATTTGAAGAAGGAATGAGTGGCTCAAAGCCTTCGCTGCCAAAGGCCACGGCTAAACCGACCTCACAAATCAACATCCTATATCGCGGGTTAGTCCGTGAGCGAGAGGAGAAAGAACGTTCTATTCAAGCTCGGCACCTGTTACAATCGTCCCTACCGTCCTCATTTTTCCCCAACCCGCAGCTACCAGGGTATGATGATCCGACGCTGGAGCGAGAAGATAAAGTTGCGCTCGACAACAAACTTGACACCTCAACTATTCTTGAGCAAGAGCTTGATGAAGAAGACCCAGAGCTGGATGAGTTCAATGCACTCGAGCCGGGTGAGCGGCTGATTCGGGTAGTGCAGTATCTGCGTGAGAAGCATCGGTACTGTTTCTGGTGTAAATATCGCTATGAGACCGAGGAAATGGAGGGATGTCCAGGTGTGACCGAGGAAGACCATGATTAATGACTTATCTGTATTTTATAGTACTCCGGAAACCGCAATAGAATTTACTTGTATATATATAGATAGAGAACATCAACACGGATTTAATTATCATGTTTAGACACATCCCCAGTAAATATACATTGACTTTAACAAGGAAAGAAAAGAAAAATATACAACCAATAACTAAGGTATATGCACAGCCTTCTTGACGCGTCATAACATAAACAGATAGCAAGTCTTAACTTACAACAAAGACATAACAAGGTTAGCTTCGGAAAATCAACCCGAAAATATGTATAAGAAACGAAACTGCAATATTCACCATACTTCCAGGACAAAGGAAATTTAGAAGCTCATTAATGATGAATGTGCGACTACTTATGAGAAGGAATCGTCTTCATCAGCTGCGCCAGCGAGCGGTTTGGGCATTTCTGCAACGTCTGAAAACAACCGGCGCAAATGCGCAGGCAACAGAAAACGCATCGGTACCGCATTTCTCGGTCAAATTTCTGACAGGTCATACATGGAAGCGCATGCCAGACGTTATTAGCGATGGGCATCGCCCGATGTTCTTGATAGCAGGCATAATGCAATTTGCTTAGCGGCGCGGCGACAGGTTCATAATCTGGCGGCGTCCAAGGACCGCTGTTCTCTTCGCTTGAGACCGGTTCTAAAGATGCATCGATTTCGGGCTCTGGTTCAGGGATAAAGCTCTCTAGCGGGTCCTCCGACGCCTGAATGTGCTCCTGGTGGTGGATCGGGTACTGATCTTCACTGGACGGAGGAGTTACTTGTTGTACAGGAGCCGAAGCTGGGGGCTCCTCCCGCCTGGGAACTGGGACTCGAGGAAATCTGGGTAGTGGACGTTCTTCAGGTTTAGGGACAGTGTTGATGTGATGGTAGGGCGACTGGTTTAAGAACGAATCGGCTGGGGCAGAGGGGAATGGTGGGGGAGAAGGCAACGGATTCGGCGGCAAGTCTTTCTCTTGCGATTGAGAAGACCAGACCGGTACCGAGTCCGTTCGGACTGAAGCCGCGATTTCGTCGGAACTCGAATCTCTTCGTGGTGATTCGGCATTTTTCTTCCTGGATTTAATGGCAGAAAGTGATGGCATTCGGAGACCGCGGGAGCGGGTCTCCTTATCGAGGATAGCCATGATTTTTTCGGCTCTCTATTTTTTTTAGTCTTCTTCCTTCGTGGTAACTTTATCGATTGCAATCGCAATTGATCAATGGGTGATGCCAGCTGACGTCGGAGGGTATCTCAGCACGCTTTAGTTGGTAACAAAGAAACTGCACATATAACGTCAGTCAAGAAGTATATGTACTTGACAAGTCTGCGACGTCCCTGGGGTCGGACTATGTAGATAATATACTCAGAGCTCTAATGAATAAGAGGAAGAAAATTGGAGGAGGAACAGAGAGAGGAAAAAGAAAAACATTTTGAGTAATTTGGGTCGAGTTCAGAGACCAAGCTGAACCGTGGAATGGATCCATCCATTTACCGGATCGAACTACTTTTTAGTCTGGATGATAGTTCGTTACAGCATCAGCAAAAGAGAGAGAAGGAAAAAAAAGAAAGCCACCATGGGTATTACATGATGGGCTTAGTTAACTACTACTTATGCTATCATGGTAATAAATCTGGCTACCTACTGATTTTATTTCATTCCTTTTCTTCTTATTCTTTTCTTTTCTTTCTTTTGGCCCTGATTGTTAATCGATAACGGGTTGATTAGAGTACCAGTAATCAGGCTCAGGGTGTATTGGATGGAAAGAAAACAACTGGTTCGGAAATCACGATGAAAATCGATTGGATATCAGACCTCGATTGGGCCCACCAGCTAATTTGATTGACTGATGAGAGAGAAATTAGCAAGGAAGAGCAACGGCTGACCCATTACGAGCGATCCAATCCTGCTGATCCTTATAAGATCTGGCGTCATACGCTTATTACTTGGGTGTTAATCGTGCTCCGTGTTATCTTGCACAACAAATTAAATTACTCGGACCGCAAATCTCCCATTTAATGAATTTCCAGACTGTATTATTACAAAAGATTCCTAGTGTCTTGTCTCTCAACAAAATTGACTGTATCTTGAGATTATTACCAACATATATAATATACTATGTATATTACTAGTACCATTGGGGTGAAAGCATATAAACCAATGCTTGTATTATCTAACCCCAATTTCTTTCCTTTTCCTTTTTTTACCCTTCTTTCGTTTTTGTGGCGTTCGTGGTGAGGTCAAAAATTAAAGAAGGGGTCTACCAAGTGGATCAGTTAGTCGCGTTAGGGGAAAAGAAGTCTTGGAGACATCGTGATCTTTTGTAATTTAGTTCCAAGTATACTTATCTCACAGCTGCATTTATAGCGACTCCGATGTGGTGTAATGGCTAACATCGCTGTCTCTCACACAGCAGCTCGGGGTTCGATTCCCCGCATCGGAAGATATCTCTTTTTTGTGCCTATCTTTTTTCAGACCTTTCACATATTACGTGGGTACTGAGATCGGACACTGTGACAACCACTAATCAACGCCTTATCGCTCCCCCATGTAGAAACGATGATCCCACGATGAAACTGGTTGTATTTGACTAAACTTGACTTCGTTGATTGTATGTAGACTAGTTGGGGGTATGGATGGGAAGAAGACGAATGGAGGCGGTGTCAAGGGGTGGTCAATTTAATTGCCTAACAGTAGTAGTACTATGTATATGTATGGTGAAAGTACACTTTCACATCAGTTTGTTCCATATGTCTGTTGCGTGTATAGCAAGTCGGGCAATGTTCTTTTTGCATTGTCTCTTTTCTTGCTATGGCTTATTTATTTCCTAAATCGATTTAGCGATTACTCCATGGAACAAATCAATTTGTACCCTAATTGTAAACAGACTGTCCTGTTGTCTCCCCTACTACTGGCACGTACCTTGGGGATCATTGTCAATCACTATGTATGCAATCTGGCTGTTTGTCCACCTCGTTGGTACAGATGAACGAACGATTAATCGACACAAGATCTATGGCAATGTATGTATAAAAAAGAAAGAAACATCCGGCCCGGTCATGCGAACACCACAAACATCGTCAGGGCCAAGAGCAAGCTTAGAAGGGAAAAAGGAAAGAAAGTGAAGAAGAATGCAATACCGCTTTTCACTAAGCCTCCTGCGCCGACAGATTTAAACTACCTCTCATCCGTTCTCCTAGAGCGAAATGGCCGCACAACGAAATGAAAAACAAAACAGATGCAATGAAGTTGAAGGGAAGGGCGCACTTTTACAAGACGTGGAATCTTCAAGATGTGGTCTGTGCATTCCCTGTGGTGCCGGTGATTTCAACTGAGCGTGTTTCGAGCTCTTTCGGTATAAAATATTCCTGACTTTCTTCTAGCGTAATTTCCGGCTCCACAGCCGCCGTAGCATCGGCTTTGGGGACCGAAAGGTCACTATGCTCCAGAAGTTCAGACTGCGAGGCAGAGCCCTCGGCCTGTGGCTTGGACGACATATCTTCCACATGTTCTGCAGATTCATCCGCTTTGTCTTCATCGCCAATAACAGCAGCTAGACTCCGGAAATTGAACAGTGGTTCCGTAGACGAGCCATTTCCTTCCGTGGCACTAGTATGATCTCCGGACATGGACTCAACGAGCGAGGAGAATGATGAAGAGGCACTGGAGACGTGTCGCAAATGTGACGGCTTCGATGGTTCCCTGGGTGAAGGCTGGGTAATGGAAGACTGTATAGACTGATGTTGATCTGATAGACTCCCAGGCGGATATACAACGTTCACGCTAGCATATGCGGCGCCCGAACCGGTAGACGTAGCATCGGTGGGTGCATCAGGGGATACGCGATCCACTTCCTTCCCCTTACCAGCAGGAGTGGATTCCTCACCAGTGACAGAGGAAGAACTGCTAGCAACCCTTCCTAGACCGCTAGGAACGTCCAAGGCGGAGCCACTTGCATTAGTACTATATAGGCCGGTCTTCCGAGCAGCCTTTTCTGCTTTCTTAGCTTCTTTGTCTCTTTTCTTCGCTTCTTTCTTCGCTTCCTTTTCCTCCTTCTTACGCCGCTCTTCTTCGCTAGCCAAACTCAGCCTAATCGCTTCCATCATCATCATGTCTTCCAAATCATCAATGCGGTTTCGCCTGGAACTGTTGCGTGGCGGCGCCAAGTTTCCAGATCCTTCTTCAGTAGAGTCCATGTCATTTCTAGGTTCGCGCCGGTCAGTTAGAAACGCAAGAGCTTGTAGCGCCGGGGAGCCTGTGCGGCTGGAAGAACTGTGAGGTTCTGAACCGCCGGCTCTTCGCATGACACCTCTCCGTCCAAGGTTAAAGGTTCGTGAATCGCTGCCAGTAACATTCGAGTTCATCAAATACGCAGCGGTATGGAGAGCAGTTGCCGCTGCAGACCTCCTCGCAGCATGTGCCCGAGCATTGGCCAGCTTTTGAGCCCAATCTGGACGGACCTTATCAGTTGTTATTACCGTAGGATCACTTGCAGACAATGATGTAGCGCGCCTTCGACCTGTGACGTTTGTAGCATTTCCGGAAGAAAGGGAGGATGTAGATGATACAGGAGAGGCAAAGTTTGGGCGGGAGCTCGGGTCGGATGCATAGGTGAGTCCTCTACGGAATGGTGGCGGTGCGTAAGTCACTCCAAATTCAGGCTGCACACAGAAGGGGCAGGCTGCAGGTTCTGAGACGAGCTGGCATTCCTGGTTGTCGGTAGTATCACCCTCGGTGGCTGCAGCCGGGGTATTTTGATCAGCATCTCCATGCTCAGGGGGATGCGGGTCGGGACGTTTGATCTGTACAAAGCATTCCGAGCAGATGGGCTGGTCGCAACATCTCGTTCGATTAAGATATGGAGGATAGTAGAGGAAGCAGATAGGGCACTCAGCCGCGTCCTTGTAGAGGTAAGCCTCGATGGGTTGCCCGTTGACAAATGGGTCACGAGGGAGCTGCATCTCTCGAGGTGCCGGATCGGCTTGGGTACCATGCTTCGAAGTAGTGAGAGAAGCGAGCGTCTTTGCTCGTGTACGGAATAATGGCGAGCTCGAAGTGCCAGAGGCTAGAGGCGATGTGGGTAAGGGTAAGGAGTGAGCTGGGGTAGATGACTGGGACGCATCAGAACCGTACGATTGGGATCTTGAAGTTATCGGAACCGTCAAATGTTGGATCCCTTTCGAATCAGTTGACTCCTTTGCCCCTTCCGTAGCTTTCGGCGGGTTCTTATATTCCAGCTCCGGAGGAATTTCATCAGGAGGCGGAATAGGCAGACCGCGCGCTGCCGCCATGAGCTGATGTTCCGTCCAAGAGTCTGAAAAGTCATTAAGGCCCCTCCAGAAGGGCGCCAGTCGCCGTTCGATCTATACTAACATTAGTATTAACCGCATCAAATGGTTGGCGCGAATCTCATATTACCATTAGTTGCCGCACTATGGCTTTGTTGAAATCTTCCGTTCCCGTATAGACGCCTTGCGTAACTAGGTAGCCTCCATCGACATGCTCTTCCCTCATACTACGCTCCCGTTCCTTAACCCGAGACACCCGTTCCTTTTCTAAACGGCGAGCTTCTCGTTCCTGCTTCGTTTCTCGCCGATGCTCAAGAGTTGCGACATCCCGCTCTGAGCTTCCGCTGATTCCAAGTATTGAGAGATCAGGTCTGCTGCTTCGCGTTGATCTGGAGCCCTCTGAGTGATGTCGGTCGCCATACGGTGATCGTCCTTGTCCACCGCCATGGCTCCATTGGCTTCGGCGATTTGGCGTATGGGACGGTCGAGCCTCCTTTGTCTGTGAATTGCCCATCTCGACCGAGAATGGGAATTGGTATAGAGAAGATCAAAATGGAAAGGTATAATAGTTTAATACGGGAATATGGGGAGGCTGCGGAATGCCGGATAAGAAAGCGGAGACGACGTGAAGAGCCCGGAGAATAGCAAGAGAGGAGACTAGATTCGAAGGAACCTCAGGTGTCCCAAAGCCAACAAGAAGGGTCAAAGTGGAGCGTAGACTGTAAGACCCTCAGTTATTAGGGCGGGTGTAAAAATGGAACGGTGATAAGAAAGTCGCTGTGGCCATGTGAGCGACAAAGAAGCTAGCTGGCTGCTGGAAGCGGCGATGAGATCAGAATGCGGGCCAAGTTAACCGCGGGTGGATGGGGCCGAATCAGGGGGTGAAATATGGCGGGGAGAATGAAGAAGTAACTGGTATCGGGTACCAAGTGGCAAATAAGCCGTAGCAGTGGGAACTGTCAGTACATAAATATGTAGGAAGACAGGGTAAGATTACAAGAATCAAAAGATGGTCGGCAAGATGATGGTAGGACTTTATCGTGAGATCGATGACTTTTGAGTTCAATAGTACACCCTTGGTACAGGTTCTTGTATTGGTAATATGATACATTCCCTGCTAAAAAATGAGAGGTCCCGATGAAACGCCACGCCTTTGTATTACATCAACTCGTCGGATGCTTAATGGGTGGTAAGAGGGCCGAACCCCTTGGCTCTTGGAGCTCTATAAACTGAAGCAACCTCTTAGGAAAATAAAGAACAAACCTTTTTCCTGGAATGAAATGAAAAGTCTTCGAAGATTCTTGATATCGTATGGGCTATTTGCTTGCTATGGGAATGGACTCCCCTGTATTGTACAAATACCTACTTGTCCTCAGTACTTTTTGGGACAGACTTGGCATTGAATGTCTCTTGTGGCTAGACTGCTGCGCCACATGTCCATTTTGGGTTTGGGGTTGGCGGATGGAAAATCCATCTACTCCTAAATTATTTATCACTTCAACGGTTATACCAAGTTGATTTGATACCAGCACTCCTCCCCAGTTGAGGGTTGATTTTGCATCCTGCATTATTATAAGATGCAACTTAAGTTTGCAAACTCCCTCTAGCCGAAGATAGTCTGCTAAACAACTTGCTTTGAAGCAGTCGTGACCAGAATATTTTTTCGCTGGTTTTTTACGCCGTGCGGGTCGGCCTACCTCTCTATTATTTTCTATTCACTCTACACATCAATTTATGGTATCTTCCATTTCAACAAATGACGGCCGATCCTTCAGCAACTAAACGCCTTCACATTACCCCTTTTACCCCAGACCTGCTTCCCTCCGTGCTACCTTCCTCAGTTCGACCCTTAGCCACGGAAATATCCTTCCATTGTATTCCGACATTCCCGGAGAACAATTACGGCTACGTGACGTTACCAGGGATGGAGGCAGATAAAATCAAGAAGAAACTCAATGGCTCCATTCTGAAAGGCCGAAAGTTCAAGGTGGATGTAGCTCGGCCGCAGAAAAGACACAGGGACGAAGACGAATCCGAGCAGGCAACTTCCTATGTGGAAACAACGTCAAGCAAGAAGTCTAAGAAGTCTAAGAAGCAAAAGCCCAATGATAATACCTTAGAGGGATATGAGCTTCCGACAGATCGCCAGGTAAAGAGGGGATGGACTGAATCAACAGGCTCAATGAAAGAGAGGCGCAAAGAGGAGAAGAAACAGAAGAAGGGAAAGGATGACAAGAAAGGAAAATCACAGGCGAAGTCTAAGTATACCGAGAAGGCAGAATGTTTGTTCCGAACAAAAGTTCCTCCTAACCGAGCCTCGTCCGCCGAGGAGGAGCAAGACAAGCAGTCAAAGAAGAAAAAGAAGAGATCCTCAGAGGAGTCTGTTGTCCATGAGTTTTCTAAGACCGTCACACACCCGAGCTTCCTACGGACAGATAACGACGGAGCGGCACCTACTTCGACTTTCGAAGAGGGGAAGGGCTGGGTTGATAGTTCAGGAAAAATAAAAGAACAGGAGAGCGACCGAGTTAGAAGTGCCGAATACACACCAGGGAAAGTAGCGGGGGCAAAGGAGAAACCGAAGCGGTCCAAATCTTCGCTGAAGGCTAAGACAAGTTGTCAAATTTACGAAGAAGCAAAGGCCATTGAAGGAAAAGTGACCCGGGACGAATCGGATGATTGGACCTCATCCAGCGGGGCAACGTCGTCTGACTACAATGCTGCAGATTCGGAGAGCGAGGAAAGCATAAAGTCTAGTTCATTGGATGAGTCAGATGTCCCTAGTAATCAGGAGGAACAGGACACCCAGTCGACGCCTCGGAAAGTTGAAAAGCTCCCTGAACCCGAAGCAGAAGTAGATGAAAGTGAAGTTCAAGAGGGAAATGATGAGCCGGGCTCCGAGGAAGTTCACCCATTGGAAGCGCTATTCAAGAGGCCCGCACCAGGTACTAATGAAGGCAAGCTTGAATCAGATGCCAACGTGCAATTCAGTTTCTTTGGACAGGGAGACCTGGAGTCCGAAGAAGAAACTCAGGAAGTTGTAGAGCCACAAACTCCTTTCACGAAGACGGATCTGCAAAGCCGTGGACTGAGGAGTGCCGCTCCCACACCTGACACGGCGCTCGGTGGTCGAAACAAAAAGTGGAATGACCTAGACCAGGATGACCCCGTGGATGTGGGTGACGAACCATATACCGACACCCCTGTTCCAAAGTCTGGCACCGGATTGAAGGTTGAATCTGATTTTACAAAATGGTTTTGGGAGAACCGTGGAGATAACAATCGAGCCTGGAAGAAAAGACGGCGGGATGCTGCCAAAGAACAAAGGCAAAGGGAGAACAGGAGGAAAGGCATGAAAGGGAAGTCATAGGGTTAAAGCCCTTGGTTCTAGTATATATAGCATTTACATGGCTATGTCCTAGCCATGTTAATTGAGATATTCTCCGCAAGTATAGCATATGGATTGTTAGTCAAAAGATCTATGGATTCACTCCGGACTAGTGTATTAAATTAATTATAACCCCAGTAAATATATCACGTGATTCATGGGATCCGTGGTCTGGGCCAAGCTTTATCACCGCAACCGATAACATGTCCACTCGTCGCAGCTGAGGAAATGAATCTGTTTCCTCATCATATTGTCAACCATGCCTCCTCACCGAGACAGTTTCTCTCGTCTTTTTATACTTTTTGTCGCTTTCCTGTCAATGGCAACTTTCTCATTAGCATCCTGTGAGTGACGTTCGCGATTGATCCTCGATGCGAACCAAATGATTAACGAATGTCCAATCACCTAAGCTCCCGCCTCATTCTGCAAATGCACCTGCTTCTCCAACAGCACCATAATTCCTCTTGATCCTGCGAAACCAGGGACCACCGCCCTAGCCAGCGTCTTCCATATCGATCGTAGCGACCCCGGCGATGAATTTGACAATACAAATGAGAAAAGAGCCAGCAAATATCGCTCTTTAAGTTGCAACGATTGTAATCGAAAGTTCTGCCTTGATTATGACTTACCCACGTGTAAAAATGCAAAGGAGGAGGATGTCTTCACTACTTGCTTCCGTATGATATAACCTTACCTGTTCGCCACTCAAGCGAGAATATCTTTGTTTTGCGACATATACCGGCCCTATCCCAGTGTGCTGACTATATTTTGGCGGCTTTGCAGAGAGGGACTCCAGGAAAGATGAAGCTATAGTGTTCATCTTTATCATTGCCACAAGCGGACTGCTAGCGTGGGCTGTTTTCAAACCATGGGTAGAAAAGTATATCGAGGCATGTTTAAGCATCCTTGTCCTTGTCATCTCTGACGTTCTCAGCTTACACTAATGCTAACCCACCTATAGGCAGCAAGAGAACGGCGATCGTATATCCCTGTGTCGGAGAGTGCTGATCGATAATGTTGTCATACCTCTTTCCGATACCTATAACGAGTACTCGGTAGCTACCATCTACAGGACACTTCAAGTCTCACTGTATATTCTAACTCTTATTGTTACGAAGTTTATGTCTCTTATACCTATCAAAAACGCTGTATAGACTCGAAATAGCTATGCTAATGGCTTCTGCATTTATATTTCATGAAATAACAGCTTTTGTTAAATAAAGCCATGGCATTCGTTGGGTGTGGCCTATCATGGGCCATAACCCAAAGCTAGGCCTAGGGCTTGCGGTGCTAATTTATTAGGATTTTATGGTATTGGACTTGATAAACTAGTTTGGAAGAGGCCTGGTGTCGTAGAAGCTAAGGAAGTGACTGTACGTCGATGATTAGTTATGGTTGACAAAGCCAAAACCTTATCGATATGCTTCAATCCACGGACCAACCGGCTGTGCGCCAAAGCATACACGCGCCTTACTAGAACCAACGGGCAAGTATCCCTTGAGTAAACAAAGAATAGAGGAGACGGATATCCGATAGATCCGGTATATACCTGCAATTACCTGCAATCAATAAAGCGTGGGCCATGCACGCCGACACACTTCTCGTCATCGCCAAAAAGATTAATTCAAATACCGGGGGCGGGGGGCTTACTAGGTCACCACATTCAGGGTCTATGTGCGCTAGTAAATATATATCGAGACTTTATTTATGGCTGATCAAGAACGGGCCCAGTACCCACAATTGTAGGTAATCAAGTAATCTCTTTTAAATGTATGATAAATCGGTCATGTCCAAGCGCATAAAGTGAGGGTTCCAATGTTTAGGTTTCGAACTCCACTAGGTACTTCTGTAGAGAATGGCTCAGATAAACGCCGCCTGAATAATCTTTCCTTATGCAGCTGATCCATTCCTGCGCAAGCTGAAAGATATGTACATACAACAACGTAAGTACTGTATGACTATGTACCGTATCTCGGACAGCGCGGCACACGACTCGGAAAAAACTGTAGTCGGGGAAAATGTTACCTAAACGGAACCCGGTGTCCGCCACTTCTTGATCCTCCCATGTTACACAACAATATCTCTCGCTCGTAGTTAATGGTAATAGAAACAGAATATATAATAGTTAGTATCTTACGCACTTTTCTATCCACAGGTGACTAATCGGGACAGGCTTATAAGATATGTATATAGTTTCCAGATTCATCGCCTCGTAGTAGATAATTCTCATGCTCATATATGGGGAACTGGAATTTAAGAGATTCTTTCAAGTCAGTCTCAAACTTTAATCCCCATTAGACTAAAATCTTTTACTTTGGAGGGGCCGCAACCATTCCACTTCAGGGCTAGTGCGCTGTCACCAGATTGGGTCTCAAATAAATGTAACCGTTTAACTGGTCGTACCATGGATCGGCGTCGGCGTCCACATGAGACAACCCTAGAACCTTTCGCAGGGTTGCAGATAAGCCAGGTTATTTAGTACCTTCGTCTGCCTCTACCCGTTCAATCTCTTTCAACTCCCAAACACCCGACGGTGAGACCTACGCCACATTCCTTCTGCCCCCACCTGACCATATCAATCTCCTTCACATCTCAACGGATCTCACGCGATTGTCTCCTGTCGAAATTGAAACAAAAAATAAGGAAAAAAAGGGGAAGGGAAAGAAGAAGAAAGTAACGGAAGATCTTGATCACTCTCTGTACCGAAGTCTAAAAGGAATTAAAGAAAAGGACAGTCTCATTAGGAGAACTGCGGTTTTGTGGAGGGCTAGCCGTAAGAGTCTTGGATGTTTCCAAAGAAGATGGTATTAACACAACAGAGAAGACAAAATGCCTCGGACGATCAATTCCCAACTACCCAGTTGTTCCTTTTAGGTATGCATATCATCTCTTTTTCGTCTTCTTCTCGCCTACTCAACGAAATACTAATGTTGGTTTTACAATAGCAATATGTCGTGTTGCCGAGCCTATCGCTTTAACTTCCATCTTCCCATACTCATGGGTGATGGTCAAGGACTTCAATGTGGCGAACGGATCTGATGCCTCCTTCTTTGCTGGTATCCTCGTCTCAGCTTTCTCACTAGCCGAAGCGCTCACCGGCATGTTCTGGGGTAGCCTCTCAGATCGTATCGGCCGTAAACCTGTCCTACTCACCGGTTGTTTTGGCACCATGGCGTCCCTACTCCTTGTGGGCTTTGCGTCGAATTTTTGGGTAGCCCTCTTTGGGCGGGCCCTCGGAGGTATCTTAAATGGGAATATTGGTGTCATCCAGACCATGGTGGGTGAATTGGTTAAGAGACCTGAGCATGAACGTAAGACTTCATTTGTGTCCTTCCTTTTATGACTATGGATTTGGCTGACGATCAGTATGTATAGCTCGAGCGTATGCTGTAATGCCATTTGTCTGGTCAATTGGCACAATCATTGGGCCAGGTATGTATGAGGGGTGGCTTTCATCGAGACAAAATAGCGGAAAATGTTAACTTCGTATGCTATGGCAGCTATTGGAGGTTTGCTTGCAAAGCCTGCTGAAGGGTTCCCTTCCTTGTTTTGTGCCAACGGCCTCTTTGGAAGATTCCCTTACCTTCTCCCTAACCTTGTTTGTTCTGTCTTACTCCTTTTTAGTATTATCTTCAGCTGGCTCTTCCTGCGAGAGACTCACCCCGATATGCAACCATGGAACATTACCGAACACTTTGACAACAGATCCGCAGAACGCCCTCTTCTAGCGACTGCTGGAGCGACTGCCAATGCAGGAGCGGACCTACGAGCCGAATCATATGGGACTTTTAATCAGGTCCATCTTTACGACGATGAAGATTGGACTGTGCGCGCAGATGGTTCAAAGCCTGAGAAGAGTCCACAACATGAGACCATCTTTACAAAACGAGTCATGATGCTAATAATGGCACTGGCAATCTTCACCTACCACTCGATGACTTACGACCATTTATTACCTATTTTCCTGCAAGACAAGAACGCTTCGGACATTTCTGCCGTTGCAGACTCGATATTGAAATTCCCCGGCGGTGTCGGGCTTTCGACCAGAACAGTGGGTCTGATCATGTCTACCGACGGTATTATTGCACTCTTCATTCAAAGTATCATTTTCCCTGCTTTGGCACATTATCTAGGTGTGTGGAAACTCTTCGTGATTGTGACCATCCTTCATCCGGTGGCCTATTTCATGGTTCCATTCCTCATATTCCTACCTCGAAGTCTGTTATTCTTTGGTATCTATACATGTTTGATCGTTCGCAACATCCTTTCAATCATCGACTACCCGGTTTTGTTGATTCTGATCAAGCAAGCAAGTCCTTCCGACTCGGTTCTAGGGAAGATTAATGGCCTTGCTGCTTCTGCCGGTGCTGCTTCTCGCACCATAGCCCCTCCCGTCGCTGGTTATCTGTACAGCACCGGTGCGAAAATTGATTGCACTGCACTTGCGTGGTGGGGGAGTACGCTAGCTGCAATCGTCGGTGCCGTGCAACTGTGGTTCATGGAGCGAAAGAAACATTCGTCCGCTACAGTTCAACCGGCCGCCCCCTGCCACTATCTTCCAAATGAGACACAACCACGGAGAGGCACTGTCCATATAATAGTCACAGACGATCCAAGCAGAGTGGCGACTGTCTAATGATATGAGGCCAACGAACAAATTTTACAGGCAATAGCTAGATCCCTAGATCATTACACTGGAGAAGTGGAAGAAGTGGGCCTGGTTGATGGCATCTTAATCGATTGACTAACTTTCATGTAATTGGCGTTGGAATAGTTCTTATGCGTTTTTCTTTTTACGCCACGAATGTACATGATGAGCAAAAAGTTCCGAGGTTTGTGCATGAGCGATTGCACGGCATTCTAGTGCTGTACATAATAATACTATATATAGTATTTATATCTTAGCTTAGTTCCTCGTCTTTTCCTACATTACACCATAGATAAATCTTACCCTAGCCCCAAGGAACAACTCTGTATATATCCCACGAATATACTATATAAACTTCACCGATGAAGCTACTTCCAACCAGAACACTCGGGAAGCATGGGGTCCTTTGGCAACCGCTATTATAATTAATCAGTAGACTTGTGGCCTCCTCTCAACTGCTGAGTTCTTAACTCTAGGTTCTGTTTACTTTCGGATACATAAGCCTAATACAAGATCTTGCTGGTATGATGATGCAACTAACTGTGTTCGTGCTAAATCTGGCTGATTCTTATGCCAGCGGCCAGCACTGATACAAACTCCAACAGAGCAAAGGCGGTGTTCTATTTAGCAACTTTGAGCTTTGTCCTCATGGTATTGACCTGGTGAGTTACACCACCGTGACCTCAGGAGCAGGTCTTTGTGTGTATGCGCGCCGCGCTCAAGAACGGATGTACGTGAGCGTTCTTGCCACACCACCACCCCCAACACACGCACACTCATATGGAGTTGGCTATCAGTTAGAGGCTAACTCTTGTTATGGGAGGAACCTGTTGGAATGGTGGCAAATTTTACAGCGATAAGCAAATCCTTATATTTCAGCTAATGATAGTTTCATCCAAAACAAGCTACTCGTAACTCATGACGATAAAGCCAAATTCTTAGATCGCACCCTTGGCCGACATTTCTGAACCTAAGATGCAGTGAGTGGCAGACTCGCAGAGCACCTTTGTCATCGTTATACCCTTTCTGAATAGTTCGCTGTCCCTTGTCGGATATCTTACCTTGGGCCTTTTTCAAGGGTCGGATGGCCCTGGAACTGACAGAGACAAACCCTTATTCTGATCTTCATTATTGAGATATAAGTCAGTCACGGATCTTTTAAAAGGTTTAAGAAATAATATTTGGATAGAAGGAAGATATAGGAAGAGCTTGTTAATAAACATTCGGATAAGGTCCCAGGCGACGGTGATTCAGGAAGCGGTAAAATAGTGAAGCGAGCAAGATAATAACAGCAAATAAAGATGAAATCACAATAAGTTTCTTTTCTTGGGGTATTTCTGCTCCATGTTTCCCAACCTCAGTTTATATCTCTTTTTCATTCAACCTTCCATATACATGAAGCTACTCCAGCTGAGTTGATTGCTTCCCATGATTGCTCACCTAAATGAGCCACCGATTAAGGTGTTTCTCTCTCACTCATATTTCTGCGGCTTTAAATTTCACTATGGCCTCTCAACTCATGGTCTATGATCCTCGTGGTAACCTCGATGGGATTATTCAATCAATACTGGCAGCGCCAAGTGGCGGCCCCTTCTTTCTGCCAGTGGGAGCTATAATCCTCCGATAGAAGTCAACTATCACTATTGGCTAACTTTACTATTCTTAATCAGAGCGTGAATGAAGATATGCTGCGTCAAGATAAGGCCATCCCTGACGCGAAATGGATGTCCAGAAAATACCATCCAAGTAAACAATAAAAGGTGCTATCTAAGCGATTACCTTAGGGGGGGAGCGGACTAGAGCAATAGTAGTAGGTTGGGGATACTCCTCGACAGACTGACATGAATAAGTCTAAAGCTAAGGAAGCATAGATGCTTTTTGAAATCCTAGCTGGGCAACTTCGAAACTAACCTGCGGCTGGTCTAGCAAGCTGAGGAAATCGTCAAGAGGAGCAGCTTGGCCTCAACTAGACAAGACCATTATCGGCGTATTCAAGGATGCCAACTATAATCTCAATCTCCGGCACCACAATGAAAATAGCAAGTGGATCAACCTCACGGATGAAGACAGTCGGACTCTATCCTGGCCAAGGGCGTCCCGCGTCCATTCCCACGGACATGTAAGGTTGTGGGGTTACCTATAGCGCAGATACACTAGTAGACCTAAGCTGAGAGTGATAGCAAGGCAATTACATACTGTTTATTAGTAGGGCGGTGAGAGTGCTGTAAGGTTTCACCGCCCTGCAGAAAGAGCGACCATACCGTTATAGGACTGGCTTTGTTTACAAACATCCCGGCAACAGGCGAAAAGAATAAACTCGGGGTTGGACTTGCCTCGATCATACACTTAACTCTTTGCACATGTACCTGCTGCTCTTTTTTATTACGCTCTATCCTGTGTTATTTCCCAGAATATAAACATATTCCCTGTATACCACTGGCTTCTGTGATCCATTGACCCCTTTGTCATGTCCGCACCTCTCTCCCCCTTGAAATCCTCACGCCAGAATTCGCAACCTTGGTCACCAGTCGTCGCCGGTCTACTCGCGCAAGAGGATGCTGTTGAGAATACGGTCGCGGCAAAAGACAGCTTAGAAAATATATCTCCAAGTCCGAGAAAGATGGTGGACGGACTTATCGCAGATCCTGGAATGCCCCACAGCTATAATGCCTTGCCAAAAAAGAACGAGCAGGACTTGGATTATGACAACTCTGATCCTTTGATACCCCCCAGCTCACCGTTTCAATACGATGCGAGAGATGATACAGTTGATTTTCAGATGCTCCGGAGCCGAGAATTGTCCGCGACCCCCAGGAAACGTTCCTACGAACATTTACCTGAAGATGAAGATGAGATAGAAGCTTTGGACGATAGATACAAGCGAGGAGTGACTCAAAGAGATATTCCCAATATCAATGTCTACACCGACGAGGGTGCCCGCATCAATAGCGAGCGAAGTGTTCGAGAAACTGCCGGTCAAGAAATTGGAAATAGCCTAGTGGAGGAAAAGCAAAACGAAGGAATGAGCACTGTACTTCACGAGACCAATGATAATGAGGCTTTGGACGAAAAGGAGAATCCTAGCTTGCATGAAGAAGACGATATGATTGACGACACGAACGATTCCATGGATGACACTTGTCTCAGCACATTCTCCGCTGTTCCCAATGTGGACATGACATCATTTGAAAATTTACGGAGTGGCTCTCCGTTCAAGGCCGTGCAACATTCTCCGAGTAGCCCTGGTAAACTGCACAGTGAGCAGGATAGAGAGGCTGAACCGGGAACTCCCACCACTGCCAGATCACCCATGAAAGGCGGCTTAACTGACTTAAGCTCACCAATCGCCTCGGCGACACCTAGAAAGAGAGATGCTGGAGCTAGCATAAACCCAAGCGAGACTCCCAACCTGCTTGATTTGTCAGACCTGCACAGCTTCTCCCCGCGCAAACGCTACAATATGCAAAACGAGCGATACTCTCCGTCGCGACGCTCACCCCTGAGGACCGTTCGGGAATCGACCAGGTCTCCAGCAAAGGTGTCATTGCTAGACTTTGATATCCCTGCTGTTCCAACTCCTCGATCCATTCCCTCGGTGACACCTCGGGAGCTCGAATCCCTGAAGTCGGGCTTTCTCTCGGAAATTTCATCTCTCAAAGCAACGCTCAGTGGCAAAGAAGCAGAGGTTTCTAGCCTCAAACAGGCTGTTGCAGACGCCGAACGGCGGGTTGGAGAGGCATCGGAGGAGGTTCGAAATGAAGCTGCCCGGAGAGATGCCCTGGAAGTTGAACAAGCTGAGTGGCAACGAAGAGGCCAGGAAATGGAAGATGACTTGCAATCTATCAGGGCTGAAATGGTAGAAGGTGAACAGGAGAAAGAGCGGTTAATGAAAAGAGTGGAGGAAACCGAGAAGGGCAAGGAACAGTTAGAAGGCAGAGTGGTTGAACTAGAGGCACAACTAAGCTCGGCTCGCAAATCAGTCTCGACGAACGACAATGGCGCCGCTGAGAATGTACATCACGTTAAGGCTGCCGAGGAGACTGCGAAGGAAGTCCAAGACGCTGTTGAGAAGGTTGCCCGTGAGCTTCACACGTTGTACAAGAGCAAACATGAGACAAAAGTTGCCGCTTTGAAGAAAAGTTATGAGGCACGTTGGGAAAGACGGCTGCGAGAAGCTGATAACAAACTGAAAGCCGCGCTTGAAGACAACGAGCGACTCAAAGCCGAACGAGATGCAGCTATTTCAGAAACCTTACAACCTGACTTCAGTATGCTCGCGCGTGACAAGGACGAACACGAAGCAGAGAAGCGTGTCCTAGAGGCTCAAATCAAGGGCCTAGAGCGAGAACTGGGTGCACTCAGAGATGATAGTGAACGCTTGCGCAATGAGCTGAAGATCGAACGAGCCGAAAAAGGTGAGCTTGTTGCCGCCGTGGATGAATGGCTAGCTATCCAGCAAAGCCAGCCGCCATCTCAGGACGGCCCCCGGTCCCCAAAACCGCAAGCGGATAATACACCCGAGCCAGCACCAAGCGAGACAGCGTCGGGGGACTTTAATAAACGGAGCATTAGTCGCAGTAGCTCAAGCGGCATACGCCCCCCGAGCACCGGGTTTGGCAATGGCGAAAAGAGAATATCGAAAATTTCCGCATCAGGAAACCGTCATGCTCGTGGAAATAGTGGAGGAAAGTCTGGTATTGCCGTATTCACGCCAGGTCGCAGTGGTATCATGGGTTCAATAGAGCGAATGGGTCGTGGTGCTATATGAGCAGTTGGAGTGGTTGAGGTTTCTTTCTTTTCTGGATTTTGGCTTGATGATGACCACGTTTCTTTATTCCCGGAGGGCGGAGTACTGGCTGAACTGTTTTCTTGTTCGATGTATATGCGATTATTTATTTGTTTTATCTGTTCCTTCCCACCAGCATCATTGAGATGTTTTGAATGACCTGTTAGTGAAATTGATCGATTTCTGAAGAATCGCCCAGAAACCTGGAGTAATGGGCAGCCTCTCCCCACAGTACAGGGCACATCGACTCTCAGGCACTTCATATCTGTGTAAGTTGACTAACCATTATGGATGTATTGTATGTCTATTTCTACTCGCGACATATATATATATATATATATATATATACTCATATGTAAGTGCATACTATAAAGAGCATATAAAACAGAAACAGATATCATACAAAACCCGTTTATGGCCCGTCCGCAGGTACGAGAAAAATATCAATTCACCACAGAATCAGAGGTGTATGATCTCGCTCGAGTGTCGTACGAAAGCAAACTTACTTTCTACCTGGCATGGATCCCCTCTTCTACTTTAGATCCCCCGCAATACCAATGAACGTTATTATGTCTGTGGTGATCATAAGCAGCAATCCTCATCCTTATAGGTTGAGAAGCAGGAAGATCGGGTTACCGGGTGTCGGACCGCTTAGTCCCGAAGGTGTCCGAGGAACTCGATGGAATGAGGGATTTTGTATGATTGACTTCCAAGTTACTGTTGCCTATATTCCAGATTTTTAATCTGTTACGTACAGTCCTAATAACTTCGACTCTTGGCACTGTCTGGGGAATCGTGATCTTGCCCCGGGTCAAGAACTTTTAGTCAGTTTACGGGGCCGCGCCTGGGGGAGACTGGGGTAGTTGGAAAGTTCGAGGACAGTTCCACCTTTTTCTATTTCTAGCGACTTCGGAGCGGGAGGTGAAATCTCTTAGTATCCTTAGGGGAACGGGATAGAACCTCCATATGGGGGCCACACAATGTCATTAAAGGAGTAATAAATAATTTCCCCCCATTTACTCAGTATTCCAAACACCATGGGAGATTATTCGTTTTTTGGGACCCTATTCCCGAATAGTCGGTAGCCCACGTTTGGCTGGAACGAGGAAACCACGTTGATTGGTAGAGAATTGAGCCCACCTAGTCCCACATTGGTATCCGCTGGGGTAGTATCGATTGGCCTTGTGAAAAACCCTCGTGAAAGAAAAAAAGAAAAGAAGTAAAAAATTTGGAGTTTTAGCTCATAATGCTGGGAAATTGCCATTGTACTCCGTACATACATCGACGTTTACTTCCCTACGGTTGCTATAGATGGCAGTCACCAAACAGGTGAGCGCGTGATTCTTAGCAAAAGACACTCCCCAGTTGACGGCGGCATGTAATGCATTCAGCACTATGTATTTACATACTTACAGCCCAACTTGCCAGGGTTATTGGATGACGACACCGTGCGCACTTTCCTTGCTCGCGATTCCAGACCGTTGTTGATTCCTCCGAGTATCGCTACTAATGATTGATCTTGCGTTGAGCCTGAACTTTAAATCGTTGGCTCTCAAGCCTTCTAATTCCATACGTGGATGACAATCCATGTCAGCTGCTCTATTTCTGAATTGCTGGCGTCTTAGGTCCCTGGTACGTGATTGGGTCCTCTGAATCAACCTTACTTCACTAGCAGTAGACATCGAGGAACAAAGGCCTCCTTATTCTCCGAGTACCTGAAATAGTTCCGTTTGTCGGCACTACGGTTGACGTCGGCCACCTTTACCATTCACCAAAACGGTCAAGTCTCACGTGGAGGAGCTTGTTTTAGCTTTGGTGTTTGCAAGGGGTTTTGAATTCCATTCGATCCGACAGTCTTACTATCTACTACGCATCAAGCTTGATGAGATAGATCCCTGTATTTATTAAAACCAGAGAAAGAAAAGACAATGACAAAGACCAAGGCAAAGGCAAGAAAATAAATCGTCCGAGACGATGTCATTCTGCGAAAAGTGATACTACACCTAGTCCCATCTTTTCTAGTTGCACTTCTATGCCTTGAACTTGGGTTGAAAGCCCCTTTCAGTGGTTCTGCTCCGTATTGTTATTATTACTACTATTACTATTATTTTAGCATATTTCGAGAGCCCTAATGATACCTGTAAATCAGCGCGTGGGGCTACCTTTCCTTTTTGAGGGGGCACACAAAATCATCCCTGTACGAGCTAGAAATAATTTTCCATCGGGGGACCTGGATCGGGCTGCTGCCCATACTCGGAGCTGGCAAGGTGGATCATGACCATGGGGTACGTAAGGAACTTTTACTACCAGAATTAGTTCCACCAGTCCCGTGACAGCTAAATGTTATAATCGTTACTAACGAGACTAACAATAATCACAGGGACCGTGACACTGTTCCGAAGCATAGCAAATAAGGAGAGAAGATAATTTCCATGATCTTCATTGACCATTATTATAGTAGATGGTACTGGTCCACTTTCACGGCAAATTAATTTGGTCATCTAATGCGGATTTTTGCGGGATACTCAGTACAGTAGTAGATGATCATCCCCATTTATCATCACTGCCTGTCCAGACTCCAAGGTATCTCCACTACTACATAGGGTCCAATTTTATGAAAGCTGAATATTTAAATAATCATGTGGGTTGTACACACAGAAAGTCTATTATTCCGCACTTATAGGATCACCCTCATCAACCATATATCCTCCCGGTCTGGGTCAAGATTTCCAATTTGATGGAATAATCGTTGCGAACCTCGGTCCACTGGAGGATTTTTTTTTGATAATTAATTTTTACTTTACATGCCTGGTAAGTCACATTGTTGTTCAATTAATCCGAAGCCACAGTTGCCAAATGTACTCGGGGCTCAAACCACCATCTGCCTATCTTTGAAAGGTAAAACGAGAAAGAAACCCCAAAGGGAGCAAATTTCCTCATTGGGTAAGATGCTCCTACCGGAATGACAAAGAATTGAGAGTAGACGGAGAGCCAACTTGACTTCAAAACGTTATTTATTTCTAGGGAGGCCAGTTAGAAAAATTAAAATTAAAATTAAAAAATATAAAAAGTTGTTAATACTAATAATAATTGTAATATTAATCCTTTTTTTTTTAATTTTTTTATTCTTTGAGAGACACGGAATTTTTTCCGGGGACAAGTGCCAAAATGACGCACCTGTCTTCGAACTTTCATTTTGTTATCAAGTGGTTGTTGTTGGCCACTGCAAGGGACCGAATCGGCACCCCGGTTAGTCATGTACCATCCTCTTCGGGCATAGTCTTGTGAGGAAGGGATCCAATTTCAAGTAACGTGACCGGGCCGATGGACACTATTTCGGGTATGTACCTCTGGTTGGCGCTGCTGCAAGTCCTACGGTAGGCAAGTGGAGAATCCTCACTTTGCCAGAGCGTAGGTATCCAGAGGACTTACCTATTTATTATATATTTTTCAGGCTTCTAAGTCAATTGGGGAGTGGAAACGGCTGCGAGAAGTGGAGTAACCTCCGGACCGCCATTGGGTGGAGGTGGCGGGGATGGGTACAGTAGCCGGCCAGTGGCTCAACATCAAATCTTCAGCAGTAAAATTGACCATCCACCCCCGCCGAACTTAGGCCGCCCTAATCCTATTAGTTCAAGCGTGAGGTAAATACCTATCCACAATTGGGACTAGCGCCATTTCGGTGGAACTGGATGGATGACCGATTAGTATCGAAACCCTCTGAATTTATGGATATGGTCACGGTCCGGGGGAGGCAAGTTCTGTGATGGTGTGGATCTGGGGGGCTCATCGTCAACCCCAACGCCGACCGATGTTGGACGTATTGCATATGAATCCGAACTACTTAAACATTCCTTCTTCCCCGACCCCAGGTCTCGCCTCTTTTTTCGTCCCCTTGGACGAAAAAGGTTTGAATGTGGTCCTTTTTCTTTTCCCCAGTTTCCAAACTTATAGAAAAAAAATTTAAATTCTTATAAAACAAAAGAAAGAATAAAGGTCCTCTCCACTCATCCTTCTGTTTTGTGTTCCTTGATCCACCCACCCATTCCTCCTTATTGCCTTTTGCCTCGTGTCATAATATCTTTCGCCCTCTCACTCTCTCCGTCTCTTTGACAATATTACCCTATATGAACATTAAACCCATACGAACCTTTGCTTGAACCATTTAACGGATGACTGGGATCAATTGACATCGCATTCTTCAAAATGACTAATCTCGCTGCATCGTCGACGTCGAGTAATATGGCCGAGAACGAGGCCAAGGGGAAGCGAAAGGCTTCCACGGCGGATCTCCCTGCCAATGCCCGTCCTGTAAAACGGAGGGCATCCAAGGCATGTTGTTGCTGCCGCGCTCGGAAAGTTCGCTGTGATGTGGTTGAAAATGGCTCTCCCTGTACAAATTGTCGCCTTGATCAAGTAGACTGCGTTGTCACCGAGAGCAAAAGGAGAAAGTTCGTCCATACTGAAAACATGTCCCGTTTGCCTCACTTGTCGCAGAATCACGGGCTAACCTCGAGTGCGCTACTTTACCACTTTTCAGGAAATCACGTGTTGAAGTTGACAATGCCAACCATCAGCTTTCTCAGTCACCCGCTGAGGTCCCCGACGACGGTGGAAGTATTCTCAGGAGACTCAGTGAATGCCATGGGTTCTCTGACGTTGCCCCGGCATCTCCTTCCCAGCGCTCTGTAGATCTGGACCAGGGGCAACATATGCCACATCTTCTATGTTCGTATTCTACCTGGAGGTCATACTCTTTGGATACATGTGTGCTGATAGGAACACCATGTATAGATCAAAGTCAAGCTAGTCGAATTGGCGCCGGAGCTGAGCAATTTCGAAGAAGAATGGCGCCCAATCCTGCGGTGCCCGCCACCATGCCTTTGCATCATGTCACGTCGCAGATCCAACAACTGCTAGATCCTTCATTCGCGAACGCTAGATCTGGAGGCATTATTTTGCCCGATTATATCCGAGGATTGCCGCCCCGCTTGCAGAAGGAGGATATTGACTATTTGGCAATGAAAGGCGCATTGACGGTGCCTGATGTGCCACTGCGGAACGAGCTGCTCAAGGCCTACATTCATTACGTCCATACGTACATGCCCCTCCTAGATCTGGAGGACTTCCTGCAAACTATCGTGCAGAATGATGGGATTCGCCGTATGAGTCTTTTGCTGTTCCAGGCTGTGATGTTTGCAGGTACCGCCTTCGTCGACCTGAAGCACCTTCAAGCGGCCGGATACTCGAGTCGGAAGGTAGCTCGAAAAGCCTTCTTCCAACGCGCCAGGCTCTTGTACGATTTTGACTATGAGGTGGATCGAATTTCTCTCGTCCAGTCCCTGCTGTTGATGACCTACTGGTATGAGACCCCAGACGATCAAAAAGATACCTGGCACTGGATGGGTGTCAGCCTGTCTTTGGCACATACAATCGGTTTGCACCGCGACCCAGGTAATTCTCGAATGGATGTCCGACGCCAGCGAATGTGGAAGCGCATCTGGTGGAGCACCTACACTCGCGACCGCTTGATCGCCTTGGGAATGAGACGTCCCATGCGGGTCAAGGATGACGATTGTGATGTTCCTATGTTGACCCTCGATGACTTCGAATTCCACCCATTTTCCCCGGAGATTGTCAACATGGTCGGCAGCTCGGAGATCCTCCAGGATATGAACCACCAGAAAGAGCTTGCGCTCATGTTCATTGAGAAGGCGAAGCTTTGTCTCTGTGTTAGCCACGTCCTCTCGGCACAATACTCGGTGCTCAGCCATAAGTTCGGCGGTACGATGGAAACAACCATGATGTTGGTCCCGAAGAAGTCAGCAGCAGAGACATTCGAGGTTCGGCGATGCGATCAGGAACTGGAAGACTGGCTGGCCCATCTTCCGTCAGAAATTCAATACGCTTCGATGGCCCCCGCGAAACTGACCGAGGCACAAGAAGTCTTACATTCTCATCGGGCGCTCCTAAAGATGGTGTATTTGACAACGTCAAGCGCACTGCACCGGCCTCAGGTTCTTCCTGCCATGCCCTTCCCATCCACGGATGCGGAGCTGCAGGACATTTCTAGGAACAAGGTTCGGTTTGCTGCGGTCGAGATTACAAGCATTGCTCAGGACCTGCACGCTCTCGATTTAACTCGGTTTTTCCCTACGACCGGTGTGACAGTCCTCTTGCCCGCAGTTATTATACATCTTCTTGATATCAAGTCTAGCGATCCCAACGTCCGGATGGTCAGTCTTCAGCGATTTTACCAATGCATGCGCATTCTACAGCGCTTGAGGGAGATCTACGCGTCGGCCGACTTTGCAACATCATTCTTGGAGGCCGCGATCCGCAAGGCCGGCATTCAACTTACAGTTGCGCCGCAAGACGTACAAGCGCGAACTAGTAGCGTGTTCGATTCTGTTCGGCTAAATACATTGACACCGCCCCCAGATTCTTTGGCACAGAAGATTCCTGACCTGACTTACCCAAAGACCAGTAGCGCCGGACTAGCTGGCGAGGCCGGGGAGGCCTCAGGGTTCGCCTCGACCCCGCCACCGTCCGACGGCAGCGAAAACGGCAGTACCAACAACGTTAACCCACATTACCATCGGGACGCTTTCGCTATTCCAAATCTGGACTCTGATCTAAGCATTAGCGAACTCATGGACCTGGCGAATGACGCAGAGGTGACTCAGAACGATTTTGATGCTTTGATCAACTTTGATGACACTGGTGCGGACTTGTTCACAGCCGACGACGGTCTCCCCATCCATGGAAATCCGAATGGCAAGGAGTATGGTTTCAATATCGGCCCTATGGACAACGTTCCGGACCTGTTCGGACCGGAGAGCAAAGCAGTTGGCTTGGCCGGCCTAGGCGATGGGCACCTCCATGAGGATCGCACTTCGACGAATATGGGGACCAACGAGCCACCACGGCCCGAGGTTAACGGCATCCCCGATCTCGACGCCGAGCTTGGATTGAATCTATGACTATAACAAGCTATGTGTTATGATTTTTCCTTTTTCTTTTGTCGGATTATATATTTATGGGGCTAGGTGTAAATTCCTTTCCGTCAACTCATTTTAGTTGGATGCTTTCAAAAGCATGGGCTGGGGAGTTTCTTTTCTTTGCATCATGTGTAACGGCATTCTTGGATGTGATTTATGTCGGTTCCACGTCTCTGTGAGAACAACTGTGTTTATATTGTATAGAGATTATTCGAGGGAAAAAAAGTACATAATGAGGAATATGACAAACCTTCATACTGTTGGTACCTTTTCAATTGGCGGTGAATAAATTCTCCACCCGATATGCAACTTGTGACACAAGTCGGACCAAAAGCAGAGATATAGCATTCCGACCGAACCGATCGATCCGCGGGCCGCCACTCTGTGCCGCAACCCTCCTTGGGTTCTCACACGCATCCGGTCTCGTATCTCTTGCAATGCTGTTCGAGCCTTGGCTTCCGTGGACTCCGGAGGAAGGATCGACAGGCAGTTTTGTGGGACTCAGGGCGTCTGGGTCTATCTTCATCGACCTTCCCTTTCTATTGAGGGAGTAGAAGTAATCATGCTAACCGAAACCAGACCGATGTCGCCTTTTTATTACCCACTGTATCAGGAAGCTTGAGATACTCACTCCACATTCTCACTCTGGACGTGTAAAACAGCTGTTTCTCATTCCTGTCGATCACCTGTAAGGATGGGCTGGAAGGGAAGAGAGGGTTGGATGTGAGTGAGAGATATTGAGGGGAAATGATCCGAGTGATGTGATTTGAATTAATTCACATCAATGTTTTAATGATGTGAGATAGTAATAATACAGTAAGTAATTCAAGATGACACTATGATAAATAATAATAAGCACCGCCAAGCTTTGTTGAGTTTCAAAAACAAGTGATTTCTTAACGAGAAATATACAGTATGTAACCTAGACCTATCACTGACTGGCTTGAATCGTGCTTAATCTTCCGTCTCCGTCTTGTTTCATTGTCCCATTGATCCAGTTGGGCCCGATGAATTTTCTATTCTCCCACTTGACTACTTTACCGAGTAGTAAGTATATTTTATGGGGACCCATTACCAGTATGGCTAATCAAAGGTACATAGTTATGTACTCAGTTCTACAGGTATAATACCTACAAAGTACGAATGCATGCACCGTATTCCTGTGCGTTGTCTCTCCTTGGCCCCAACGCCGCTGTTAGCCTCGATGCGAGGTACCTCAGCAGAGAATTCCCTGCTCCAATCAATTATCCTAGATGATCACCGCTGGTTATTGCGGGGTATAAGAAGCAGCCATGTCAATAGATTCATTCGTGTCGATCCTCTCCGTTTCAGGCAACTCCATTTACATCCTGCGATAAGCGGCGGGATGCGGCTCTTTTAAGAAGTCCTGGGTGGAAATGAGCCGTGAAAAGCGATGCCGCACGCGGAATATTATGAAGTGATCTGCAAGGTTAGTTTTGCTCAGAATATTCCGTGCACCTCGTTCATGGTAAACAAGTCATACGGCATATGTCGGGAATACCACTAGTATTATACTAGTCAATCTAGCAATCCGATACTCGTACATTGCATCCAAGACCCCAATGGTTGCATATAGATTCCCCTCCCACCATGTGGGCCATGGTTCGGTTTTGGAATTCCGTTACACCTACATATAAAATCGGGGTATATTCCTCTGAACGTCAACCTACCGGTAGCTGAGGACACTGCGAGTGGGTCATCTGTAGGTTTGCTTATCGCTCCAAGCGGCTGTCCCTGTATACATATATACATAGCGCATACACCGAACAAAGAATCAACAGTGAACTGGGCTTAGCCTAGTAAATATGCGTGGCTACGTGTTTATTTCGCTACTACCTTTGGTTGCAGCTGGCCCGTCGTTTTTAGGGAGTACCCCAGCATCTGTCGGTAGACGACAGCTACCCAAGAATCCCACGGGGGTCAAGACCCTTACAACCGCAAACAATGTCACCATACGATACAAGGAACCTGGTGCAGAGGGCGTATGCGAGACTACACCGGGCGTCAAGTCCTACTCTGGATATGTCGATACCTCACCCGACTCTCATACGTTCTTCTGGTTCTTCGAGGCCCGCTATAACCCAGAGACTGCACCTATCACTTTGTGGCTGAATGGTGGTCCTGGAAGTGATTCCTTGATCGGTCTTTTCGATGGTTTGTTCGACACCCTTTGTTGACTGCTGTTTGAAACTTGAATTACTGACCCCTGTGGGTTAGAGCTGGGCCCTTGTCACGTTAATTCGACCTTTAATGATTACATCAACCCGCACTCGTGGAATGAGGTCTCCAATTTACTATTTTTGTCCCAGCCATTGGGCGTTGGTATGGATCTGAAACACCCTCTCCTGCTATGGCCTTCCCATGTTTTAACTATGTTCTGCCTTTAGGTTTTTCTTATAGCGACACGGTCGATGGTTCCATAAATCCCGTTACTGGGGTCGTTGAGAATTCGAGCTTCGCCGGAGTTCAGGGCCGGTACCCAAAGATTGACGCCACTCTGATTGGTACAGCTTTACTCCTACGTATCAGTTTGCACCAACTGACATGACGATAGATACTACCAACCTCGCTGCAGAGGCCGCTTGGGAGATCCTCCAAGGCTTCCTCGGTGGGCTACCGACATTGGACTCTAGGGTGAAGTCTAAAGACTTTAGTCTTTGGACGGAGAGCTATGGAGGGTAAGTGATGTCTTTCGGCAGGGGGGTTAACTGCTGTAGCGATTGCGCTGACAGGTCTCGCTTACCCTACAGACACTATGGGCCAGCAGTAAGTTTTATTGGGGGCAGTATCTTTAATAATTGCAAGCCTAATGTGTGTAGTTCTTCAGCTATTTCTACGAGCAGAACGAAAGAATTGCGAACGGCACTGTCGAGGGTATCCAGCTTAACTTCAACTCTCTGGGTATCATCAACGGCATCATCGACGAGGCGATCCAGGTATGCCATCGAAACCGCCGACAAAATATTCCCCAGGCAAAGCTTCTAACTCGTGCCCACAGGCCCCATACTACCCTGAATTTGCTGTGAACAACACCTATGGCATTAAAGCTGTGAGCTTCTCTTTTTTCTCGATATATTCCCACAGTTATTTATTGTCATGAACAGGTCAACGAGACCGTCTATAACTACATGAAGTTTGCGAACCAAATGCCAAGTGGCTGCCAGGATCTTATTTCTACATGCAAACGAACGAACCGCTCCGCGTTGGCTGATTACGCCCTCTGCGCGGAGGCCACTAACATGTGCCGGGATAATGTTGGTATGTACCCGCGTCAAAAACTCAATGCCTATTACTGTATGATAATATGGGCGTGAACCGCTAACGTAGGAGAGCCAGAGGGACCATACTATTCATTTAGCGGCCGGGGCGTGTACGACATCCGGCATCCTTACGAGGTGAGTCAGTCTCCAGTCTGTACATCGCATATCATGCTGTGCACGCATTGTACCTTTAACTAAGAATCTCAATAACAACTGGTGTAGGACCCCACTCCACCGAGCTATTACCCTAAGTTCCTAGCAAAGGACTCCGTGATGGATGCCATCGGCGTCAACATCAACTACACCCAGTCCAACAACGACGTCTACTACGCCTTCCAGCAAACGGGCGATTTTGTCTGGCCCAACTTCATCGAAGACCTCGAGGAGCTCCTCGCGCTCCCTGTGCGCGTCTCCCTCGTCTACGGCGACGCCGATTACATCTGCAACTGGTTCGGTGGCCAGGCTGTCTCCCTCGCCGCGAAGTACACCCACGCCGCCCAATTCCGAAGCGCAGGATACGTCCCCTTAAGAGTCAACGGCGTCGAGTACGGGGAAACTCGGGAGTATGGGAACTTTTCTTTCACCCGTGTCTACGAGGCAGGCCATGAAGTCCCTTACTATCAGCCCGTCGCTTCTCTCCAGTTGTTCAACCGGACCATCTTTGGCTGGGATATCGCGGAGGGTCAGAAGAAGATCTGGCCCGGCCATAAGACGAATGGAACGGCGACGGCTACCCATACCCAGTCGTCTGTGCCGCTATCTGCAGCGACTGGTACCTCCAGTGCTGGTCTCTGGTGATTTTACTATATGGCATGGTAGATGTCATAAATGGTCGCCATGGAGCAAAGGGTATGTATGATATGACATCATGATATCTGATGCATGTAAGAATGATGTTTTCCATGTACATACATGCACATGCAACGGAGTTTGATTGAACACTCAGTTGTCGGTAAAATGGGATAGGTTCCAGTCTAATTTTTCTTGTGCTGTTATAGGAGCCGGTCTGTACTGATATACTGCGTATACCCAGCTGTAGAATAACCACTTTGCGTTGGTCAGAACAGAAAGCCATCCTACACAACACACCAATTCCCCCAAACCAGCAGCTTTGCTAGGAGGCAGAAATAGAGTCGCATTCATATATTAACCATTAGTGAGCACTAGCATCATAAGTTACGTTTGGAAAGAAAAACAAATCCAACGGTTCATCAAAAAGTTAGAGCTGAGCGCCCGCCCCCCAACAACCACCACTGAAACTATCCAACACGTATCATAATTGAGATCAACTCCTATTGACCTTAAATGTAAAACACACGCACACACACAAGAAGACAAAACAGCGAACAGTAGGCGAAATCAAGCGACAGACGTCCGCTTCTCCTCTGCCTTCTTAGATGCCTGTTCTTCCATCGGAATGTTACCCATGACATCCTGAGCTGTCTCGTCGGAGAATTTGAGATCATCTTCAATGTCAATATGATCCTTGATCTTGAAGAATATGACAGGGGAGGCGATCAGAAGACTTGCAAGGAGAAGGCCCCAACAAGAGGCAAATTCAGTCATGAAAGGGGTTTTATCAAGGTCCAAGCTGTGCAAGGTAGTTGTTAGCAAGGTTTCACGACCGAGTCTGAACCTGAAAGATATGCTTTCTCGGTGACTTACGCCCACATTCCCGCTGCGCCAGCGGACTGGATTCCCTTATAGAAACCGGCAAAGTTTGCCAATTTACGAGCATTGTTGGTAAGAGATCCCATGAACCTGTGTCGCACGAATATTTTGTCAGCCTTTTCATATTAATAAGTTGGTAAGTTGGAGAGGGGGGTGCTGATAGATAAAGCCAGTCCGGGAGAGACTGGGTAAAGGCAAGAAACTAACCAATATGCGCAGGTTTGAAAGGCAGCATCGTAGAAACCATAGAACATGTAAAGAAACATAGGACCAACGTAGCCACTTTCGGACCAGTCCTTATCGAGCGGAGCTTCCGCACGGGTGTACTGCTTCTGAAAGGCATATCCACCACCCCAAATGCCCATTGTGAGGACGAAAAGTAAGAAAAAGTTGATTTTAGCGCGCATACTCCGAGAAAAGAACTTCATATCCAGAGTAAAACCAAATACGAAGGCGCCGACCATTTGCATGAGCCAGTAAAGACAACTGTTAAGAGACCTCGTACGGACATTGAAATAGGCACCATTGACGCTATTAAAATGGTAGCCATAAAACCAATTGCTCGACAGGAACAAGGGGAATAGAAGGATAATATAATAGTCAGTGCGTAGGGTGTCCAGAAGACCTCTGAATTCAGATTTCCAGGAGGGATTCTTCATGACAATGACGCGTGAACCATCCTCACGCAAAATATACTTTGAGTCCGACAGGCCCCAGCAAAGGATAAAACCGGCAGCCATAAGGACCATAAAGGCGATATAAGTACCGTCATTTACCCGACCAGCGGTAGAATGCAGGTTCTGACCCAGAGGGACCTGTGCGCACCGTTAGCACCTAGATGATGAGGCCAAGACGTAAGAATAAACACCCACCAGGCTACCAATCACACCACCGAGATTGAAGATGACCCAGAAGATCGAGATGTATTTGCCCTTTTCATGTTCGTGCGGATAGCTCATCATGACAGCACCCTGGGCACACCACAACAGCCCAGCACAGACACCGAGAAGCGCGCCAGAAAAGATCAGAAAGCCGGCATTCGAGTTATGGTTATATGAGAGAAGCGATGCCACATAGAGGAAATACCCAAAGCCGCCGAAGGACAGAGTTAAGCGGAGGCCAATGCGATTGGCAATGGAACCAGCGAAGAAGCCTACCACGGCAAACGTGCTGTATAGAGCGGTGTTGGCCTTGTTGACGTCGGTAGGGTCGACCTGGCCACCACCTCCCAGCCCACTAACAGCATTGAACATACCGGGGCAAAGGAAGCAAACAAAGGAGACCAGGATGAGTTGAGTCATCGGCGACGCAAACCAGGGCAGGGTCAAAGGACCAATCTTCAAGGGCTTGTACATCCATGGCTTCCCAACGACGGAGGAGTCCTGGCCAGCCTCAGGATCCGAGGTGGTGGCAGGAATCTCCTTCTCGGCGGGATGGTCATCTCCCGCTGTTGAGTTACCCATTGCTTGGGAGATTCGAAAAGGGGGGATCTCAAGGGGTTGTGAAAGAAGAAGCTGAATAAAGAGCTCGTTTGGAAGAGTAGGGGTACCTTCACAGGGGTCAGTACCTGGCAATGGAATGCTAATGCACAAGAGTGGATCAAAGGAAGGAATCAGAAGGGGCGATGAGGTGGTGGTGAAAAAAAGTAAGTAAGCTTTGCAGGAAGAATGTAGGAGAGGCAAGGGAAAAGGGGGTAAATAGATCTGCAAATGTAAACAGGGAAAGACTCAGAAAAAAGAAGAAACTAAAAGGGGAGAGAGAGAATAACAAGGGGAAAAAATAGGATATTACCGGCGACAAGTAAAGTGGTTGAATGGTGTCGAAACAAACAAATCAAGAAGTGGATGAGAACAAGTGAAGACAAGAAGGTCAGATGTCTTTACCTTTTGAGAAGAGGTATATATACAAGTCAAAGAAACTGGAGGCGAGTAGCACAAGATAACACCAGTGTTTGTTGTGGTGTGACTGGGTTGGGGAATCTCAATCTGGGGTAAGGGAGAAGAGGGAAATAGAGAAACAAATATGGGGGGGGATATTAATAGCCAAACCAGAACAGACCCCAGAGAGAGAATCTTGGGTTTGGACTCAAAGTCGTATCCAGCTGATACTTGTGAGGTTCAAGCCACCATATGGGCAGTTGTGTAGTGTAGAGAACCCGTGGATACCACCATAGATGATAATAATACCACATCCACGAACTGATAGTGGGGAAGGAGACAAAGCCATGATGTTCGATAGGAAAGCGAAGAAGACGTACCTTATTTTTATTTATTTTTGTTATCGTGGGGAATGTTGCGTTGACTTGGTATCAGTCAGGGTTTTTGTTTTGGTCCACTCACTCACTTATATCTGACCAGAATCAGGCGACTTGAGAGTACAAATCGTGAAAGAAAAAGAAAAAGAGAAAATAAATAAATAAATAAAAAAGAAAATAACAATAATAATAGAGAAGGTACAGCGGGAATCAACCAAGAGCTTTCTCTTTGTCTTTCCAAGTGCGAGCTCGAGTGGAAATTGCGGAGAAACTGCAACGAATCAACAGATTGCCGATCGGGGAAAATTAAGAGTCCCAGAGTTGGCAAAATGAATTCTGCAAATAACCCTAAACTAGGTCAGGTTGAATGGAAGTGATACCTTAATTGAAATTTTTTCTTTTGAAATAAAGATTTTTTGAAGAAAGAAAATAATCGAGGAAACGATAATTTAGGGTAAAAGAATCGTGTGTCAAGTCACTGAGTCGCGTGTTCCTCAAGTCTTTTTAGTACGATTTTAGTTTAATAGTCTAGTCGTTTCTATGTTTTGCTTCTGGAGTTGCTATCTACCTATAATAGGGAGAATAAATATCTATATCTATCTATCTATATCTACAAGACATATATAATTCATATCTAGAGATAGGTGGCGATAGCCGTAACAATAACAATTATTAGAATAATAGATAAAAGATAGGCCATGGCAAATAGGGAAGCTACCATTAGGATTGAATTGCAAATTGCCATCGTTATTCTAATTTTGATTGCTCCTCTTTTTACTTCTTTTTCACGATTAGGAAGCGAGCCCGTTCCACGGGAACGCAACGAAAAGTGCAAGGTGACGGTAACATCGGCTGTTTGCAACCTTCACCCGCCCAATCGATGCCGAATGCGGGGAGGCGAATTTGAGGTGTAGCGTCGTATTGACAGATCAGAATGAAACCATGGATACTCCGGTCGGTACGTTGTATGTACATACATCCATACAGTACATATGTGCACAGTCTCTCCTCTAAGGAGATAAAGGAAGAAAAGATTAATTTATATTTATATAATTGTAATTTTAAAAAGACATATAGGGGAAGGAGAGTAAGGGCGACTACATTTTCCACTGTAAATAAACTCATTTACCTAAACAAATCTAGTGTCTTACCGCAGCACCAGGCATCAAGGGTGCAATTACATATCTCTGTAAAATGTACCGGAGGTCCTGTATCCCTACACAGACACTGCCGGATATGGTGAACGCCTTAAGTGTATGGTCGGTCATGCTTGGTATGAAAGGTGTATGTATTGGTAACCGGAGCGGTACTGGTCTTGTATTAAGTTATGACAAAGGTACATGGAGTTGTATCTGCTGATGAGTAATCCACCCATTAACCTTTTTGTATGCATACTCACTATCAATGTATACTATTTACTACCTAGTGATAGGTAGCGAAAATATTGCAAGTGATGGATGACCAGAATCACGTTCATTCTATTTACCTTGAAACCTAAAGTTTGTGCCTGATGGTACATTCCAGTGGAAAGAACTCAACACCCTTGAGTCGGATCCAGATTCATTCCCCATCAGACCGTAAAATGTGACATCCGCTTCAAAGGAGGATTATCCTGTCGATGTCACATTCTGATTCTGTGGGACTATTGCCCCGTAAGTAGGTAGGTAAGTAGCAACGTCAGAAACAATAGACGCCTCATGGAGCCGTTGAATGCCGATCTTCTTCACACGTTTTCCCGGTGATTTCCCCTCTCTTCCATTTATTTACATTAGATGTTACTATCAATCTATGTGGTAGTAGCAGCAGCCTTTGGCCTGGGGTCTGAATCTACTCATATACATACTATACTCGCTGATGCTCCTATCCGTGAATTAATATTCCCCTTTATTTCTCTGGACCTCTTCCCTCCCTTCTTGTTTCCCGCCTACTTGTCAACTGCCAAGACACTTTGATCTTTTTGTTCCGTCGTCATGCCTGGCAAAACAGCTGCCCCGCCGCGCATAACAAAATTTACTAACTGCCGGATCGTCCGCGGTAATGAGCTCATCGAACAAGATGTCTGGATTGATTCCCTCTCCGGGAAGATTCTTCGCGATCAGGAAGCCTTCTATGAATTGCACATGTCGCCCGATGAGGTCATAGACCTGGGTGGTCGAATTCTCGCCCCAGGACTGATTGATGTACAGTTGAACGGCGCCCAAGGCTTTGACTTCTCTGTTCCCAAGGCGTCGAAGGAGGAATACGATGAAGGATTGCGCATGGTCAATAAGGGACTCGCCAGAACAGGCGTGACATCCTATCTCCCAACCGTTGTTAGTTCAACGCCGGAGGTTTATTGGAAGGTACGTTTGAGCACTGCCGGCGTTTCTAGTCCCTGTCGCCCTTCGATAATGATAACAGCAACCAATAAACCAAGAGTCTAATGTATCCCCTAGGTCCTTCCATCATTAGGTCCTTCTGGAGCCAAACATTGTGCAGAAGACGGTGCAGAGTCGCTGGGTGCCCACGTTGAGGGTCCATTCATTAGCCCCGGCCGCAATGGTATCCACAAAACTGAAGTTCTGCGTGCCGCGAAGAGCTTTGAGGATGTTGTCGACTGCTATGGCAAGGAAAATTTATCGGGAGAGACGAAAAGTGTAAAAATGATAACAGCTGCCCCCGAAGTTGGTAACATGGTCAACAACATCCCGAACCTGACTGGCCAGGGTATCATTTGTTCGATCGGACATTCAGACGCAACGTACGAGCAAGCCATGAACGCCACCAAGCAAGGTGCTATCATGATCACCCATCTTTTCAATGCCATGCGGCCCTTCTACCATCGGAATCCCGGCGTATTCGGTCTTCTGGGCCAAAATGAGTGCCGCCGACCTTTCTATGGTGTCATCGCCGATGGCATCCATCTCCATCCGACCTCAATCCGTATTGCTTACAACGCACATCCAGATGGGCTCATTCTCGTTACGGACGCTATGAAACTGTGCGGTCTCCCGGACGGTGTCTATGATTGGACGAACGGGGAACGCATCGTGAAGACTGGAGCTCGGTTGACTTTAGAAGGTTCCGATAAGATTGCAGGCAGCTCCGCCACCCTCATCGAGTGCGTAAACAACTTTCGCCGATGGTCGGATGCGTCGACTGCAGAAGCCCTAAATGCAGTTACTGCCACTCCCGCACGTCTTCTAGGGCTTGAAGGCGTCAAGGGAACACTGGATTGTGGTGCAGATGCGGATCTGATCGTTTTGACTGACGCACCTGACCCCTATTCCGGGCCAACCTTAACAGTCGATCAGGTTTGGAAGCGCGGCATCAAGATATATGATACTGAGAAAGGAACTACCAACGGAGAAGTATAGCATTGTGAGGGCTTTATTCGCGAGGTTATGCTATGTTGAATAATAGCGTTCGTGGTTTTGTAGTTTGTCCCCTTTTAGAGTATCGTGTTTATGGTCGCTTGCTTGGATTGATATTTAGTAGCTTGGTCTGGCCTGTGCTTTTCTGTTTCTGGCGCCCTTAACTCACATTCATGCCTAGTAGCTTTCATCCTTGTGTTTTGAAGAGCAATTCACCATAGAAAATCTTCATGTGATATAGACAAGTTAGAGTATTTTAATCATTTATATCATAAATAGACGGGAATCTCAATTGGACTCTTCTCTATTCTCTTGTGAAGATTTTGCGCTATATACAGGCGCTAAAAATATCATCGCTCTCAAAGCCACAGGAACTAGTACAGGAATGCAAAATATGGGAGGGGTATTATGATAACCCCAACGAGTTGAGCACGATCCTACACGCTGACAATTTGATTTTGTCGCTATGCAGACTTTTCTTTTCCTTTTTTTCTTTCTTTTTGTCTTCCTTCTTTTCAATTTGGTGTTGTGGACATAAATCATGAATCGTGCGGCATGTCAGGTGGTTTTCATGCCGCTCATATACAACCCCTACATGGTTTTCTTCACAAAACAACTAGGGGTTCTAGGGAAAGGACAGAGAAAAGTGTTTACAGACGAGGCTGTTCACGCTTCCATCCAGCCTCTTCGGCAATCAATTCTGCGGCACGCTCTCCGACAGCCAGCACAGTCAACATTGGATTGATGCTGGGCATTTCGGGGAAGACACCGGCATCCGCAATACGGACGTTCTTCAGACCACGGATCTTCAGCTGAGGGTCGACGACAGCCAGAGGGTCACGGTAGACATCGCCCATCTTGGTAGTTCCAGCAGGGTGATAGACGGTGTGGGCCGCACGACGGCCATATTCAGACAGCTCCTCATCAGTCTGGATCTTGGGGCCGGGGGCGACCTCACGCTTGATCCAATTCTTGAAGGGGGCTTCCTTGGCGATCTCACGGGCTGCCTTGAGACCAGCAACGATAGTGGCAGCATCATAACCCTCAGGGTCAGTGAAGTACCGGAAGTCCAACGCCGGCTTCACATTGGGGTCAGCCGAGGTCAGGTAGATGCGGCCACGGGAGCGGGGGCGAGGAATGTTGGGTGTCATGCAGAAAGCATTAACAGGAGTATCATATCCGAGGCGGCTGGTGTTATAGTCGAAGGGGATCTGGTAACAGTGCATCATAACATCCGCACAGCGGCCATCGGAGCCAGCGGCATTGGGAAGCTCGCGGCGTAAGAAGATGCCAGCATCGGAGTCCATGGTGGTCTGGTTAGGGGGCACGGGGCGGTTAAGCTCCCACATAATGATACTCTCGGGGTGATCAACGAGGTTTTCACCGACACCAGGGATGTCCTTGACCACCTGGATGCCCAGCGAGCTCAGTTGCTGTTGAGGACCCAATCCGGACAGTAGCAGCAGACGAGGAGTGTCCACGGCACCGGCACAAAGGATGGTTTCCCTTTTAGCTCGCAGGGTGTGCTTGGCGCCAGACTGCAGGGTTACATTGACACCAGTAACAGCATCGCCTTCAACGTTCACACGGGACACCCAAGCATTGGTTAGAATGGTCAAGTTAGGACGCTTCTCCTCACCACGCAGGATGGGGTGGATATAAGCGACACTGGCGCTGCTGCGACGGCCATCGTCCGGGTTGTAAGAGATGTTGAAAAAGCCAACACCCTCGGTCAATTCACCATTCAGACGGATCTCCTTGTTGAAGTCGGGAATGATGGGGATGTTCATGGCAGACGAGCAAGCCTGAACCCAGTCCTTGCAGAGCTGGTTGCGATGACGGGCGTGTACAGGTTGGACGGTATTGCGCAAGTTGTCCAAAACGCGAGTGAAGGTCCCAAAGGACCAGCCCTTGCAACCTTGCTGTTCCCACCTCTGGCAGTCATATTCGAAAGGACGGAAAGAGATCAGGGTGTTGTGGCTAGAGCAACCACCGAGGACCTTGGCGCGCGAGTGACGGATATGGCTATTACCTGTTGACCAATAAAGTTAGCAACTAGAACCTCTTCCCTCTGGGCTTTCCAAAACTTGCGCGTCCACTCCAATGTGTGTCACGATATTGCACATACCCATAGGTTGTTCGGTGGTGGGGTAGTCGTAGTCCAGCTCGCCTCCCAACAAGTTGAGCCACTCCCTCAGGTTGAGAACCCGGTCATCGTTGAAGTCGCTGGGACCACCCTCAATAACAAGGATACGCTTGTTGGGAAGGTACTCGGCCAGGCGGCTAGCAATGACACAGCCTGCCGTGCCACCTCCGACGATAATATAGTCATAGTTGTTGACATCGCTGCTGGGGAAATCGTTTGTGGTAGCCATGTTGCAAAGAAAGACGTAAAACTTCTACTAGATAAAGATACAAAAAGATGCAAGGAAAAGAGGGGAGAGACTCGAGGAAGTGTAATGTGGCTGAATGGGGGGGAAAGAAAAGAAGGGTGAAGGGAGAGACCTGCCCGAATTTTAAATGAGAAAACTAGAGATGCGGTGATGGAGGCCGTCGGCCGTCGGCCATCAGACCATACATCTCATCCTTTCTTCCTGACTTTTTTTTTTTTGAGTTCCAATCTTTACCTTCTTTTGGATCCCTTTGGGTGGGTCACCTGAAAAGACATGAAGTAGCCAATGATGGTGAATTTAAATCTTATAAGTGGAGCCGCCACTAGAGATTAGATAATACTAGTAGTACTCCGGAGATAGAACCATGCATGGAAAATCATCGATCAGTACCCACCTTGCTCAATTCTCCTACTATGATCAAGGGTTCTATATGAGAACTCTCGGTAAATTAGAGTAAGAACCTCATACCTAGCCCCTACTCTTTTACCCGCAAGAGTCGATTTCCCGTGAAGAGAAGCGATGCTGTCAGATTCATCCAGCTTAGAATGTCGTGAAACTACTATTCCTACTTAACGACGTCAAACCCCACACGACGTTTCGCGCTAAATTACGCCACGAACTATGCACAGACCAATCGTTAACCCAACAAGGCAGCTCAACGGAGAATCCACAGTTGAATACTGAGAAAAAGATGCCGCTCAGGATTGGATGAATAATGATCATCAAACAATTTCGAAATGCGTAGAAGAATCCTTTATAGTACCTCATTCTTTTGACTATGTTTGGTAATAACTTCCTGTATGTTGTCACCAAGTTTCCATCCGAGAGTGAAGAAGAATAAAAGAGTGAAACTAAAGGGTAAAAAAGATTGCCTAGTCCGCCGAAGATCGCCGCCGGATGGATTAGATAAGATGAGGGGCAGCAAATCAGAGCTTTGGCGGTCTGAAAATATGCAAAGCTTAAGGTCTTCCGTCACCATATATCCATTCTTTTCTTTCCTTGCCCCCTTCCTCTCTACTACCTACTTCCAGAGAACTACTAGATAGTAGTATATGAACTATAATAGCAATTGAAGATTTGGATACCGATCCTCCTTTATCCCCCTTGGAGAAGAAAACAACATCCTAATCTAAATTCGACGCAAATCATGTCCTCGCTTCCTCTTCCTCCACGGCAGCTTTTCTATGACGGCAAAGTTCAGTCTGCCTCTTCCGGTAAGACTTTTCAGTCCGTCAACCCGTCTGATGCCACCCCGCTTGCCGAAATCCAAGTCGCCTCTCATTCTGATGTTGATGCGGCCATCGCGGCTGCCGATCGAGCATTTCCCTCATGGTCACAAACCCCTCCCGTTGCCCGTGCACGAATTCTCCAGAAGGCATCTCTCATACTTCGTGAACGAAATGATGAAATTGCCCGGGTTGAATCTTTAGATTCCGGGAAAGCTTTTACAGAGACGAGCACAGTGGATGTTGTCACGGGTGCTGATGTTTTGGAGTATTATGCGAATCTTGTCGGGGGCGGGGGTCTGAACGGGGAGACCACCCAACTGAGAGAAGACGCCTGGGTGTACACTAAGAAGGCCCCCTTGGGGGTCTGTGCAGGAATTGGCGCATGGAATTATCCCATACAAATGTACGGTCCCCACCTAAGCATTGAGAGTACATGTCCCCACGCACTTCAACGTAAATTACTAAACGACTGAAATAGTGCCCTTTGGAAGTCTGCCCCTTGCCTCGCCGCCGGAAACACTATGATCTACAAGCCTAGCGAGTACACCCCGCTTCATGCACAGACTTTGGCAGAGGTCTACAAGGAGGCTGGGCTTCCTGATGGCGTGTTCAACGTTATATATGGCGCCGGCGATGTTGGTGCTTACTTGACCTCGCACCCAACGATTGCCAAGGTTTCCTTCACCGGCCAGGTGGCCACTGGAATGAAGGTCGCCGGTTCTGCCGCTGGCAACATGAAGTATGTGACTATGGAACTCGGAGGGAAAAGCCCCCTGGTCATTCTTCCCGACGCGGAACTAGAAAACGCCGTTGATGGAGCTATGATGGCCAACTTCTACAGCACCGGCCAGGTCTGTACCAATGGGACCCGAGTGTTTGTGCCCTTTAGCATGAAGTCAGCTTTTGAAAAGCGTCTGCTGGAGAAGATGCAATATATCCGCCCCGGACCCTTGTTTGATGAAGCTACCAACTTCGGCCCCTTGAGCTCTGCCGTCCACCTTGAGAAGGTAACTTCCTACATCCGCCATGGTATTGAGACGGACAAGGCCACCCTCTTATACGGTGGGCTCGGCAAGCCTCAAGTACCGAAGGAGTTGGAGAATGGATTCTGGGTCCGGCCCACAATCTTCACTGATTGCAAGGATGACATGCTCATTGTCAGGGAAGAGATCTTTGGTCCCGTAATGTCGATTTTGTACTATGAGAACATCGAGGATGCCGTCCGACGGGCCAATACTACCGAACTTGGGTTAGCGGCAGGCGTTTTCACCAAAGATCTTAACTTGGCCCATCGCATCATTGATCAGCTTCAGGCAGGTATCACATGGGTTAATACCTGGGGTGAAAGTCCGGCCGAGATGGCCGTCGGTGGATGGAAGAAGAGTGGCGTCGGTGTTGAGAATGGCCGCAAGGGTATTGAGGCCTGGGTGAAAAACAAGAGCACCCTCGTTGACATGAACGGGTCCGTCGCAACTGTTTTTGCTAAGTTGTAGGTATTGAGAATAGTCGGTTTTTCCGATGATTCTCTTTTTTCCGTTTTTGAAGCGCTCTAAAGTAAATAAGTACATATTTGAGATAGATGAGCATGGATGCAATATACACGCTACGGAAAGGAATAAATGAAAAACAACAGATATGAAAACGATTCAAAACAATCAATTCAATCACAAAAATTTAGTAACACATTTTCCTGTCATTATTATCGAGTCTATCTTTTATGAAGAAATTTAGTTAGGCAACCTGGGCAGCAACACTGAGTACCAAGCCGTCTATGGATATTGGTAAAAGCACAAAGTAAGTTTCTCAAGTAGCGGACCCATCCAAGCAACAAATCAAAAACTATGCCCTACTCCAATGCGAACGAAATGAATGACAAAGCCCTCTCCTGGAGAAATACTAATATAGGATCCTGGATACGTGTTGAGGAAAATTGCCAACTCAGAACTCGCTTGTCCAACCAACACTGTAAATTTGAAATCCTAATCCCCATGCTCGGCGTGGTTAATGAGGGATAACTCGATTGCTCATGCGGTCGAACATTAGGTCGCCCTTCAATGTCGAGTCTAGCCCGCTAATGGCTGAATCGACCATTCGGGAAGACATGCTATCAGGAGTCAACTCATCTTCATCTAACGTCTGGTTGAGCTGAGTATTTATTTTCAGGTCCTTTGGGACCCTCGGTGGTGTTGACGCTGGAGTGGGTTGCTGATTCGTTTTGCTCACCCCAATAAGAGCAGGGACATACGTCCTCGGTCGGTAAACAAGAGGCGGCCCTTGTGTACGTGCATCGGTACCGGATTGTTCAATTGCCTCAAAGTACCGGACTGTCTTAACTTTGAGCTCCAGGGTCGCATCGCGATCGCATACAATCAGTGGATGCTGATGTAGCTGCAGGGCCGAAAGGGTCCACATATGATTGACACCGCCTTCGAGGCCCTTCTCCACTGCCAGCGCCTTGTGGGCTCCAGTAGCCACAATAACAACTTCGCGGGCTTCCATAATTGTTTGAATACCAACGGTCAAGGCCATCCTAGGCACTTTGTCTAGGTTTCCTCCGAAAAACCGGGAGTTAGCTAGGATCGTATCATAGGCCAGTGTCTTGACTCGGGTACGGCTGCTCAGTGACGATCCTGGTTCGTTGAATGCGATGTGTCCGTCTGGGCCAACGCCGCCCAAGAAGAGCTCGATGCCACCGTAACGGGCGATCTTTGCCTCGAAAGAGGCACATTCGGCAGCGAGATCTAGAGCGTTTCCGTCGAGAATATTGATATTCTGAGGCGGGATGTCGACATGAGAGAAGAAATGTTTATACATGAAGCTGTGGTATGATTCAGGATGGTCGCGTGGTAGCCCGACATACTCATCCTGGGTCAGTCAGCACGCGCCTTGAATTCATTGGTAAAGAAAACTAGTTTTGGCAAGGACCTACCATATTGAAGGTGACGACATTTTTAAAGGAAATGTCGCCTTCTCTGTAGCGTTGTACAAGGGTCTTGTAGATTATCTCTGGCGTACTGCCAGTGGGAAGACCAAGAACAAATGGTTGATCTTGCGTAGGCTTGAATGCCTTGATGCGACCTAGCGTGAGTCAGCGACAGCCCAAGTATAGAATATGCTTAAATGAACATCCTAGTGGACATACTGATGATATAATCGGCTATGTACTCCGAGGCCTCCAGGGCAGTTTCTCTGATTATCACTCTCCTATACAAGTTAGAATAAAATTGTTAGGTCAGCTCGGAAGAAAAGGACAGTGCCATACATGATGAACGGTGGTACTACGTCACCGATAAGAGAGTGGGGGTAAAGCTTATGAGTTCTCAGGGAAACCTGAGGTGAAGGGGATTCTAGGCAGAGGAGTAACAGTATATATTGTATGCAAGACTGCCAAAGATGTATGTTCAAGGAAAGTAGAGAAATCTTTGGATGAGAGAAAAGATGAAGAGCAAAGGAGAAATGTAATTCTCGACAAAAGAGACGAGTGGCAGCAATATGAGGGAAAAACCAAGGTGGCTCTGCCCCATCCTTCCATGGATCTGTTACAGTTACCTGTCAAGCCAGGTTGAGATCGGCTGCGGAGTGTGACGGCATGATAATGCGACAGACTGGGTACTATACTAGAACAAGGGAATCGTATCATTATCATAGTCAGATTCTCACTGACACCCACCCCCCACATTGCAACCAGGAGTAATGAATATCACATATTCCTAGATCCTCTTTGTGGAAACCATAATCGAAGAGCAGTACCAAAAAGAGCAACACCTCTACAATACCTACCAATATATATATATAGAGAGAGAGAGAGAGAGTTGTATAGGTATACATATCGATATCATTCACACTTTGGCTTTCCTGCTCATTCGTATTGAAATATTCAATACTATTGTTGCTAAGGAAAAGAGTAGTATCTGCAGTGGACTGGTGACGCATACACTTTCCCACTGATATGGTAGAGTGCCCAATCAACAAAGGGAGTCCGCGTAAGGAAATGAATGGCCTTTGTCATGGAAGATAGTAGTAGTATAGTAGTAGATAGTGAAGATGACGGCTCACTTCGACGTAATGTTGCACGAGGAGGTGGCATACAGAGTTCCGGCAGGTGACTGGAACTGCAATGAAGACACTAAGTCGAAAGTGGCATAGTACATCAAAATTTCAATTGCTTGACAGTGCCGTTGCATTCGGTGGAATCGGAAAACCGGGGAAAAGGCTCATGCAACCCTCTCTTATCTGCTCTATGGCGTCGTATTTATTGGACATCTGTCTACACCGGAAGGTTGTATTAACTTGTACTGAAGTGATACCAATGACGGTTCTGTATGGTACTACCTGTGTATCTAAAGACTTTCGGTATGTATGCATGTATCGCAGTACAGTAAAGTATAATACGACTTAGGTAGTACTTCGTACTCTGTACTCTGTGCAACAAGCTGGAATTATCACGTGAGACTAACAGGTGACTCGACCCTGGCTTTGCTTCAAACCTCAACAGGTTGAGTTTGCCGGTGTTTGCAAAGAATATTGCTCCATTGATGCCTTTTCGCTCTCTCCCTCTCTCTTTTTTAATTATTCTTTTTGATTTTTTTTTTAAATATTTTTGTCTGTTTTGTTCTCTCCCATGACGGCTTTTTTGTCTTTCTCTTGGTGTTCTCATTGTTTGGGAAGGCAAACTTTTACCAAACCCAATTCCTGTATTATGAACCTCTTAGTATTGAACCTGAATTCATTCCATTTCTTTCCCCCACCACTCTATGCATTGTCATTTGTCAAAGCATTGTCCACCACTTTCTAAAGCTGTTAATAGCTTATGGGGCCAGCACAGTCCAGTCCTTGAGCCCCTGGTTTTGCTTGGATGAATCCGAACTAGTCTATTCCTAAGCTGCTTTGTAGTATCAACTGCCGGCTTTGGCCCCGGCCGTATTCCCCGACATCGTTTGCGGCGTGCATCCCAACCTAATCTTCTGCCCTCCCGACACCGATCCTGAGATTTGACCGTCGCTCTGTGGGTTAGCTTGCCCTCGCCGTTTGTTGTGTTAGGTTCTGCACTGGCATTCCTCATCTAGGGCCCTCATGGCCCCAAAAGAGGACATGCTACCCCCTAGCTGGGATAATCTAGACAGGTATGCAACAATTCCCACTGCCACGCCGACTGTGGACTGTGCATCACCACCACCGCTTGCGTGGTCACGGCCGATTGCAGCTATTTTACCTGTCGCCTCAGTAGCTTCTTAATTTTCTTTCTCTCTCTTCTATGTTTCATCGAGAATAAGCCTCGTATTGCTGTTACTGATTTTGGACTCCCTTTGGATGAGTGATCCTCGCTGACGATTTGGGTACCATGGCTTTTTCGACAGGCAGATGGGGCAGCTCTTTATGATGGGTTTTGATGGGACGTCCGTTGATCCTCAGATTCGCTCCCTCATTGAGAACTACCACCTGGGCTCGATTCTATTGACTGCGAAGAATTTGAAATGTACCGCCGCCTTCCTCTCTCACTATTGACCTTACGACCGTATCACATGTACGATAACCACTAATCTACTCCTAGCCGCAGAAGATGCGACGCGACTAGTCCTCGAACTACAGACGATCGCCCGAGAGGCCGGTCATCCGGTGCCATTACTTATCGCCTTAGATCAGGAAAATGGGGGCGTGAACAGTCTCTACGATGAAATATATATCCGACAGTTCCCCAGCGCAATGGGCATCGCTGCGACAGGCTCGAAAACACTCGCTCATGATGTTGCTATGGCTACTGCCCAGGAACTTAAAGCTGTAGGAGTAAACTGGATTCTGGGACCCGTCTTAGATGTGTTGACCAACATACGAAGCCAACCCTTGGGGGTTCGTACCACGGGCGATGACCCCCAAGAGGTGTCGCAATACGGCGTGGAGTATATGAAAGGGTATAAGGAAGCAGGGTTGGTGACATGCGGCAAACATTTCCCGTCATATGGTAACCTTGAATTTCTCGGGTCCCAGGCAGACGTCCCTATCATCACCGAGTCGCTAGAACAACTCAGCTTGAGTGCGCTGGTTCCATTTCGAAATGCCATACTCCATGGCATAGACTCTATGATGGTAGGAGGTGTTTCCATGTCATCTGCCGGGTTTAACGTGATGCACGCTTGCTTGAGTGAACAGGTTGTGGATGATCTGTTGCGCAAGGAAATGAAATTCAACGGCGTGGTTGTCTCAGAATGCTTGGAGATGGAAGCACTCACTCATAATATCGGTGTTGGTGGAGGGACAGTGATGGCAAAGAACGCGGGCTGCGACATCATTCTCCTATGCAGGTCATTCCCAGTGCAACAAGAGGCGATCACCGGATTGAAGCTTGGCGTGGAGAACGGTATGATTGGCAGAGCTCGTGTAGAACAGTCCTTGCGCAGAGTTCTGAACTTAAAGGCAAAGTGCACGTCCTGGGAGCAGGCTCTCAACCCTCCAGGACTTGCCTCTCTCACGCAGATGCAACCTTCACATACCACGCTTTCCACCAGAGCATACAACAGCTCAATCACTGTGGTGCGCGATAAAAAAGCCCTTTTACCCTTGTCCAACATTCTTGAGCCCAGTGAGGAGTTGTTACTTTTGACACCATTGGTCAAACCATTACCGGCTTCTGCAGTGTCTCGCTCGGTTACCGAGCACATGGACCTATCTATGGAGCCTACGACATGGGACCGGACTTCTTCTGTGTTGAGTGGCGAGAGTGTCTTTAAGGAGCTGGGAAGATCATTATCGCGACAAAGAAATGGCCGTGTTTTGCATACCTCCTACACAGCGAACGGCGTCCGCCCGATCCACGAAAACTTGGTAGATCGGGCCAGTGCGGTCATCGTAGTCACTGCTGATGCTAACAGGAATCAATACCAATACGGATTTACTAAGCACGTATCTATGATCTGTCGGTCGCAGTTCACACCGACTGGTGAATCTCGAGAGAAGCCCATGGTCGTTATCGCCGCTAGTTCACCGTATGATTTTGCGATGGATCCTTCAATCGGAACTTACATTTGCACCTATGATTTTACGGAGACAGCTCTAGAGGCACTAGTCAAAGTCCTTTACGGGGAGATAACCCCCATGGGCTCATTGCCAGGATCGATTAATCGCAGCCAAAAACTTCACCAAGCAAGACAGCATTGGCTGGTGGAAAATTGGAATGAAGAAAGGGACTCCCATGCTTTGGATTTTCTCCTGGATGCGGTGAGGGATGACTCTACCCAGGTGCAACGTTCAGAGTTGCTAGGCGTGACGTCTTGCAGCTTCCTCTTGCGGAGAGAAGAAATTGACGAGGCTCATTTTGTTGTACGAAACAGCAGCACACAAGCCCTCTATGGTTTTTGCTCGACATATTTCTTCCGGTCTACGGGCACCGGCGTCATTGGGGCCCTGATTGTCGACCCGGCAAGGCGGAAGTTATCAATTGGAGCTTCTCTCCACAACCGCGCAATTCGAACACTTGTCCAACGGAAAGGGGTGAAAAGGTTTCAGCTCGGTTCTCGCCTGCCCGGGATTTACCTTGGTATTCCGTCTGCTAATCCCGTGGAGCGGAAAAGGCTGCGGCAATGGTTTGCAAATTTAGGCTGGAACACAGCCCTCTCGCGGCCCGTTTGTAGTGTGGTGTTGCGTAACTTGATGTCTTGGAACCCACCAGATGGATTAATCCAAGGACTCCAGAATGCAGATGTGATTTACGACCTTGTATATGGCTGGGATTATGCTGACTCAATCCTTGACCATATCAAAACTAATTCTAGACAAGGTGTCATAGATATCTATAAGGTGGCCCTCGGGGGAGCGCCCAATTGCGGAATCATCAGGGCTACGCGACCCAGTGATGGGGCAATCCTGGGTAGCGTGGTCGTTTATAACGGACGAGCCACCTTGGCGGAGCATATGCCTGCTCTGAAAGCCACGCATTCGTCCACAGGGGGTATTTCTTCCCCTGTCATTTCACCTTCCGTTGGTGAGTATGCCACAATCATGCAGGGTCTAATCTTCCTGGGTATCAAGCAACATCGTAAACAGGGGGCCGATGCTGTGATTATGGATTGTGTGAGTATACCACCTGTTCCCACAATACTGTTTGGTGGCCTTTATATTGACGCTAAGGGAATAGGTCGACGGTGACAGCAACTTCGATAGTCTGTCTGGAATAATGGGCTTCAGTACGCTGCATAGCTTTGAGGAAGTTAACTGCGATGCTGCGACCTGGACAATGATGACGACGTCTTGAGGGATCCTCTTCCCAACCACCCCCCCTCCTTTTTTTTTTATGCCCAGTGTCTTTCTATTTCCATCTCTATTGTATTTTCTCTCTCTCTTTTTGGCACTTGGCAGTTCGAGGCCACATGATATCCACTACGTACTGGTTTCTGTTACTTAGAAGCTTTCTTAGGTATCCGCCATCCTGGAACCTTTTCCTCTTTCGCCTTGTTTATTTGATTAATTAACTTTGTATATTCTGAGAGTATCATGCTATTTGGAAATTTGCTTAATGATTAAAGGATGAAATGATGGATCCTGGCATCGGGCGTATGGCCAATGGAAGTTTCAGGCTCCGTTTTTGAGGTCTTGAGAACCCAAGGGAAATTCGCCAGTAATAAGTTCGATGGATGCCTAGGGGAGCGAAGCAGATCGGATTTCGGGTGATCCACGCGCTGTTTGGTATTGGCGCAGGAACACGAATGCGGGCCTGATTAGCAAGTGGAGACCAAGTTCCAGTCAGAGAGGGCCCTTTTTTTCTTTCCCTTTTTTTTTCGTTTTTAATTTGGCGAGGGGCTTTAGGTTTTCATTAGTTCAATTTCTCTTAGCAAAGCAGTCCTGATAACTCCAACCTCGGAGGAAGAAGACGCCAAGACCCGACCCTAGAAAATGGACCAATTGCTGAAAAGCCTGAGGCCGGGTTGACCGATTGACAGTTGTTCCCTTTGTGAAGATCCCGATAGCGATGGACGGATCTTGCCATACCTACTTACCTAGTATTAACTGTCAACGGAAACCCCGTACGAGACCGGACATCGTCACAATGGGGATAGGGGGACATTGCGCATGAGTAAAGGTTTGGTTCGGTTGAAACTGCGTAAATGAAGCAGGACGTTTCAAGGCTGTACGGTTTGCGACAAAATTTTATCACTTCGAAGAGTGAAGTGGTTCTGTCCTAAAACGATGAGCGAGCTTCTGTTACTGTTTTCAGGGCCCTCGGAGCCTAATTTAAGTCCGTCCAGTTCGAGTGGGTGCGAGTCTAGCCCAAGGATATACTTTCTACCGTGCAACTAATTCTACGGTGGGTTAGTTTAATTTAGTTGATGCGGAGTCAGGTCACTGCCCAGTCAAGTGCCCGTGAGCATGGACGTTTGCGGATTCGCGATAGTAAGTAGGTAGGGGACTTGAAAGTGGACCAGCATTCCTTTCTCCGTCATCTCTTTACTTCCCTCCCTCTGTTTTTCTTAGAAATCAAAAAGAGGGCGAAAAAAAATTATGTATTTCTTTTATTATTTTACTTTACTTTATTACTATATTAGTCTTTCCTTTTAAAATAAAATAAACTGGAATAAAATTAAGATTAAAAATAAAATAAAAAAAGGAGAGGAGGGAAGAGAGAGAGGGCCATGGATGTTAAAGTTTTCTCTCTTTGGTTGAAAATGCTCCAATGCTGCAATAAAGAGGGTCCAACAACAGTCCATGGCCCAATGCAGTGGTTGAATCACACAATGCAGGATATTCAGGAACCAGAATTCTTTTCCAAGAAGACAAAGCAGGCGGCAAACATTGTCCAAGATGACGACACAGCACGTTATACCAATGTCCCTTATGATCTTGTTGACAACGATGGATTCTCTTCCTCCTGCATAACTAGTAGTATCATTAGAAAACTTTCTTAGAGTACCTTGTACCCTGAGCTTCTGGTAATCCGCAGTCGAAAAGCTACTATACGGAGTAAGTGAAATGGAGTAGTTACGCAGTACAATACGATACAGAGGCGATGCATGATCGCTAGGGCATACCTACTGAACAAGACCATATATCCATCGAGAATTATACGAAGGATGGAGGCGTCGCCCCTCCCTGCTCATACCAGTCGTGCAGTATCCATCGAAGGTACTTTGTATAAGGCACTAAGTGCCCAGAGAATCCACCGTTCAACGGTGTGTTATTTACACTTAACGATTCTGCAAACATGCTCTGGGGCCTAACCCTGAAGTAGTGAATCCGGAACCTCGATCAATTTGTACACATCACCTAGAAGAAGGGTGCACTCTATCGATCTAATCATCATGGACATTCACCACTGAAATTCAGGATTCAAACTGCCCAAATCTGTCATATTGTGGGCGTGCGATAAAAGCTAATCCTGGGTTGAAATAGTATCGAGGATCGCCTAGTGTTTTAACTTGCCGCAGGATCTATAGATAGAAGGTTTTTCCATGTCACTTCGGACTACCTATTCGACAGAGAAAATTGGGCACGTATCATTGGTATACGCAGGTAGTTATGACAGATGGTCCCATACTTTCTCTCTCTCTATATCTCTTTTGAGGATGACAAAAAATTCAAATAAATAAATAGAAGACGAAGAAAGAGCGAAGGGAGGACCGATAGATCGCCACTTGGTTCCACGGACTCTGTCCCTCTCCTGTCCCTCTCCTGTCCCCATCATGAGATACCGATGCCAGGGGAGAACTGCAGCTACAGTGGTTTCACCAGTAATTCAGTGGCGGGAAGGGCGATCACATGGTAGGAAGAGAACCCTCTAGTTGAGCAGGCGTTCTAGAAACATGCTAGAAGGGGTAAACTTTATGGTGATCATGCACATACATACATATACCGTACATACGGTAATGGTATACAATATAGAGCTTGTACATGGATGGCGGTAAAATTGCTTGTCGTTTTTACTCTGTTCTGGATAGATTTATTCTAAGCCTTACCTATGAAAAGGGAGGCGCTCAAATAGTGCTATTTACCAACAGTAGCGCCCCCCCCCCCTTCCCCTCCCCTCAACCTTACCTATATAAAAGTCATAAGAGACAAGAAATAAGAATGGTGAGTAAAAAGGTAGCTATAGGCAAATCAACATGGTGGTCCCCTCGTTCACTAAGGCGGCCATGGCCGAATTAAGGGCGCGGCTGATCCGGCCTCGTCGGCTTGGTCTGAGACATACATCTTTAGCCTCATCCAATCACCGCCTCAAGGGAGCGGATTTGGCCCCCACCCTGGAGGGCTGTAGGACAGTCCTGGAAAAGGAAATACTTGAGTTGATGGGGCTAAACGGTTTCGGATCCTAGTGTCTTGAACCCTGGAAGCGATACTGGTCTCCGATAACCTGATAGGGTAGTGACATGTGCGTGCAATGTATTATGATATTATCGTTGAATGGAGTGGCTTCTCTTAGCCCCAAGTCCTGGGATCTCATGGCCAGCTCCGAACGATATGCCACTCAACTAGGATTGGAGCTAATGTATAAGCTACAGTAGTGTGGTGAGGCCATAGCCTACGCTTTCCAGCCATTCATTCCACCGACGGAGAGATCTTAACATGTGGGTAACGGATTTCTCGGATGATTCAATCTTTTAATAATAGGCCTATTATTCCTCATTGCCCTGTGCTTGCAGGCCAAGAAGTTTTCAAATTCAAAACTCTCATAAGGATCTTACCACCAAGTATTCCCGTACCCAATAGACAACGGCACTAAGTATGATTTTTTCCGTCCTTCTCTCAGGCATCGTGGAACCGAACTCGAAACACCGTTCTAGGTAGGTAAGCTTTGACTGTGAACCAATCGCAAATTCTTAGACTGGGCCACTCATCCAGGCATCGCCTCCTTGTACATGGATACCTACCATCCTGGTACTGCTTGTACGATGAGAATCTTTTTACCGTACAGAAAGAACAATGCGTAGTAAGGATTGATTATCAATCATGCCGGGGTTTCTTAACTTTTTCCCACCTCGCCTGGATCTCAAACGGAAATGATCGAGACAAGTGTATTTGAAGAACACAAGTGAGAAGGGAGGAGAGGGAGAAGGAGGGGGGGGGGGGGGGGAAGAGAAGAAAACCAAATAAAGGGTCTCAGCTGCATGTCAGACAGGCCAGTGTTGATCGATCTCCCCTAAAGCTTGGAATATTGTGAGAGAAACAGTCAAAGATCAGGCGGGGGCTAATAATCCCTGGTGAATCCAGGGCTGTTTCCGTTCTTTCCTTACTTTTATTTTATTTTATTTTATTTTTCTTTTGTCCTCTCTGTCGATATGCAGATCGCTACCAAAGCCACCTCAGGGGGAGAGGCAAGACTGTGGTCATCACTAATTTTTTTTTACTAAAACGTTGCAGGTTGTTATTACTAGGACCATTTCTATTGGTCTTGATGTTATTGACTGATGGGTAATAAAGTTGTATCATACTTACTTAGCATCATGCTGTCCTAGTGTGCCGCCTACGGTTATCCATGGAATGTTAGTTGGTTCCCACTGTGCTTTACCATTTATGTTAACTCGCAACATCTGCATTCATCACTGTCGGTTTTAAAGATCCTCTGGTTTACCTTGCAGGCGAGCAACCCTACCTTAGTTTGGCTCATGCTATGGAGCATTCAAAGGATGATCAGAATAGAGTAACAGGCTGACAGGGCTTATTATTCGCACTGTTGATTATCATCGCATCGTCCAATTACATTATCTCCCCTATCCTCTGACAAACATCTATCAATGTACAATAACTGTTGATATCGAAACCCCCCCCCCCCCCTCTTGGTTATCTAATTTACCAATAAAACCGAGGTTAGCCGCGAGACTTCCAGTCTAATGGAAAATAGAAATGGAAATTTCATTTCGTCTCTAGCCTCTTGGCCTAAGTAACTCAAAACTATTAATCTCCATGAGAGTTTCGAAAAGGCGAAAAAAACAGGAGGAGAAAAAAGAAAAGAAAGGGAGGAGAGAAAAATTAAGTGGCAGATATTCCCCGGGTTCCATCGGTGGAGTCATTCCTAAATCGGACTAGTAGTATGATTCCCAAAAGCAGCGTCTCCTAATCCGGCAGGTCCTTAACTGCCAAACTGGGGTAATCTTTCAACTAGTACCGGTCCTGCCATGTTTGGTTACCTCAGCTATCCTAGCACTACTATGATAATCAACACTTGCGGTTAAAAAAGGTTAGAAGATAACGGCTGTAAGGATTTGTCCATGAAGGGGAACAAAAATGAGCAATTGGGGGTGGGACAAAAAAGGACAAACAGAAAGAAGGAAAGAAGAACACATAAGATAGGTTATGTATGGAGTACAGGATGTATGTACAAACAGTTGAAACAGTAGGATAACGTACGGTACAATACATACATCTAACAAGCCAATCTCAGATGACCAACTTGGAGCACAACGGATAAGCCGCATAGACTAAAGCATATTTCTTCCCTGTGGACACAACAAGTTGTTGGTGAATTCCCCCTGTTCTAGAAAAATTAAAATCCATCAAAAACGCAGAAAAAGAGGCAGCGGGGATTAAATTACGGCTGCTGGAGCATGGAGGGAAAACGGTGGGTTCTACTCTCTTTCTCTTCCACGACGCCTTTTCTTGTCTTCCTTTGAAGTCAAGAGTCCGTCTCCGGTCGACTTCTCAGCTTGCCACAAGTAGTGTTCAAGATTCTGTTCGGGATATCATCTCCTTTCCCCTCCACCTCGTCTCTTCTTCCTCCACCTTCCTAGTGGTCTGCTAGTTTACTTTTGTGATCCACACCCGCCGAACCCATCAGTTTATTCTTCATTCGTTGGTACCTTAGTTTGACTTGTCCAGGTTTAAACTAGATCACTAACCTTGAACCAAGGAGAAGTGGATGTTAGTGAACCAAAGTCCTCAATCATCTTGCTTTTTTTTCCCTCTCTTCCGCCCCTCTTCGCCGGCTACTGCTGCCGCCCCGTCGCCGGGTCCGTCGTTAGTCTCTTGTTATCTATCTTCTTCAACTCTGGTTGACTAACTCCGGATTATTATTATTATTATTTTTATTATTTTTATATTTTTTTTTTTCTTTCTTTTTCCCAAGAAAGAAAAATTTCCAACTTAGAAAGAGACATTACTGCGAGCTCCACCGACTACTCCGTACTGACCTCGGGGCAATCTGATCCACTCACGACTCCTTCATAGTACCTATCATTACTTACTACAAGTGATTGCTTTCCCTCAGTCTCTCTTCTTCTACCCCTCCTCTCAGAGTTATCCTTTGTCTCCTCTCGTTCTCTCTTACCTAGCCTTACCACTGCTACTTCTTCCTGCTGTGTACTCCAATACATGGACCTCGAACCCTCATGATATCGTGTCCATAGCTTTCTCCGCAGCGATTCCACTCTTTCTTCCTTAGAATTGACTACTCCAACCACCCATCTATCTCTGCGTTCCTTTTCCCACCGTGGCTTACTTACCCTTTGATATTTTTGGAGGAAATTAGGCGTTATTTTCATCTGACTGGTCTTGCAAGTCTCAATTGATACTAACCCTTGCCATGGAGGGCTTTGATACCATGGCTATGCCCTACTTAGCCAGCCCGCTATCGCTCAGCAATATTCAGGGCGCCGACTACCTCAACTCTATGCCTGGTATAGATCTGCCTGACCAACGCTCCAATTTTGACTCGGAGACATTCGTCAGGTAAGTAGCTCGTTGTCCTACGGATGGTTGCCATTGTGGGCAGACCCCTAACAATACCTTTGAATCAGTGGAGATGATATAACCTTCCCCCAAGGTGGTCTACCTGCACCATTAAAACGATTTCCTTCGGGATATGAAGATCCTTTTTCTGATATGGTGGCACCGTTTGACCCTGCGCCTGCAGAACAGCAACACTCTGACTCGTCGATCGACCATAACAATAAGCTCCTGAGCTTTTCGATACCGGTATATAATTTTACACTTCTTGACTATTCACTACGGCGAACCTCACTATCTGTCTCCGCCCAGTTACATGGCATGTTTTTTCTTGCGGAGTCGCCTTGGACCACATCCCCCGCAGAGAATGCTCCGCCCCAACAAGGTGCGGAGCTAACGTGTTACCGTCGCAACTTGTTTCAGATCACGGGCTCGGTCACCCTCCCGCGGAGCTTGCGCTATATCATGACAGAACAAGGCGATCGTATACCGATTCTTGCACAGGAACTTACTGTTTCGGCCACTGAGTCCGTAGAAGGTAATTCAGTCAAGATCATATCGGTGCCCTGGAAAACTCCCGCTGCGAATGCGAATCCTTCTACCGAGGAAAGCAATCACTCCGCCACGACGAACAGCACCAATAACCCCAAGGTTGAAAAAGAACCTCCCCCAATTCCACTCGACATTATGGCCGGCCAGGATTTAGATACTGACTATGCCACATTTCCGATAGCATGGAAGCGGCTCCAGTTTCGTGTGGCGACTGCCAACAATGGGCGCAGGAAGGAGCTCCAACAACACTTTGTCGTTCGGCTTAAGGTCATCGCAACCTTGTCTACAGGCACGAAAATCCCCATCTGTGAGGTACACTCGGGACCTGTAATTGTCCGGGGCCGCAGTCCGCGCAACTTTCAATCCCGCAAGGACCTGCCTCTGAGTGGCAGTGCTGCGGCATCAAGGAAAAATGCGCAAGTTGCACACTCAGCCAATATCAACCGCACGCCCACCAGCGAGACTGCTCCGCGCTCTGGTCAGCCACCATCCAAGGCCAAGACTACAGCGAAGAGCAGCTCACCGGAGACCTCTGCTTCTCAGGCCGGTGTTGCTGCTCAACGAGCTTCCCCTGACTGGCCACAGATCGCCCAGTCTACAGGAGGTGCTCTTCCCGCTTCAGGTTTGCCTCGCTCGTCGATTTATTCACAGTCCAGTCCAGAATACTCGCGGCCGGCAGAAACTCAACAACGACGTGCAAGTGCCATCGCAGCCCCAATTAACTTATCACTTTTGGATGAAGATGACGGTGGTGATTCTTCCCGCTTAAATGACTCTGCCCGACCGCCAGCCTCGTACACCAATGATGTGCCACAGAAGAATATCAATATGGAGGGTTCTGCACCGCCAACGAAGATGCGAAAACTATCACATGGAATTTCCCAACCGCCTGCTAGGAGCACATCATCATCATTACCTTTACTTAACACTACTAATATGCAGCAACCTTTTGCGTCAACTCTACCTTTTCCTAACGAGAGTGCTGATTTGTTATACGAGTATTTTCCATTGGGGTTGGACGACTGGCAAGCACCCGTCGATGCAGTATACCGGCCGCATGTGGTACACCATACCAATATGCCTGAGATGAAGTTCGTTGCTGCACGAGGTAGAAGTAAGCGATATTTCGCTGCAGAAGATGTATTTTAGTATAGGAACAATTTGGTTCTATATATCTCTATAGCAGCGTGGGAGTCTATTCCCCCAGAGCTATGATACATCGGAAACAAGCCAGTCTTGAAGGTTGTCCGACTTTATTCAATTCTTCCTTTCTTCGGACCTTCCATCTAGATGGGATCTCGGGCATAAAAGGTACTAACGCCTTCTTTGTTACTTACATCTTTTTTTCTTTTTTTTTTTTTCTATCGTTCCTTCGAGATGTACAGATATGGAATGACCTCGAGTTGCGGGATTTTGTTGCGGCGTGACGGAGTCTAATATTGATATCCGGACCTCTTATCTTCATCGTCATTGAGATTTGGTTCTCGTTTACTCTTTTACTTCATTCATGTTTCTTGTAATACATATATACTTGCGTTATGATGTTACGTGGAGGGATTAGGGCCAAAGGACCAAAGGGAAAGTTGAAAATCGGCTGGCCGTTTGAAGTTTTTATTCTTTTTTACTCTTGCTACTATTTTGTTTTTTCTTTTGTCTTTATGTTTGTATGAGACCTCGTTGCCATTGGCTCAGCTAAGATCCTTAGCTCTCACTCGGAACCTATATCTACTATACACATGCTTTTGTATAGTGTTAAATATCGCAGCCTTGAGACAAGAAGTAATAAAAATATGATACACAGAATAGCCGTCACATCGCTGACCTCTTAAGCTTGCAGTAGGGGGCGGCATAGCTCAGCATTATTTTTCTTTCATACGTTTCTTTCGCTCAGCCTCCGTCCTAACCTCCAACCCTTGAAATAGCCTGGGCTATCTTGTAGGGGTCGTGGAAGTTAGGAGTAGTAACGTATTTCACCACCGAGTCGGCCACACCCCCGAGTCGGCCACATGTGTATCCCATAATAAATGGCACATTTTATAACCACAATATCTTAATAATAAGATAGAGGAGTAATACGAAATTGAGTATGTATATATATAAAGGTTACATAAAGGCATTATTTATATTAACAAAATTTTAAACCCCGTTTTTAAGGATTTTAATGCTGCAATATATAGATTACCAAAAATACATTGTAATTTATATTACCAGTTAAACTATTGAATCCAGTATCTCCTCTGTTTAATACATATATCTATAAGGGCATATTGGTTTAAATACTATATTTGAGATAGCTACCATCTCTAAGTATTGAGATGTTGTGATTATAAAATGTGCCATTTATTATGGGATACACAGGTGGCCGACTCGGGGGTGTGGCCGACTCGGTGGTGAAATACGTTAGTTACCAGGGTCGGTTACATAATAGAGATTTGAACGATTCGACATACAGTGGTACACCACATAACCATATCGTTAACAAAGACTTTTAGTAGTATGCCATTTATAAGAAAATCGATTCAGAAATTCCGAAAATCAGTATTTGTTGTGTTAGTGCCTATAATTCGATGTATTTCTAAGAGTTATGTATTTCTTTTATCTTTGTATTTACTTAAGAATATAACTATTTGGACTGACAAAGTATATTATTTTCAAATCAAGCACACTTGTTGGTCGCGAAATATCTTCAAAATTAAACTTATTAATCCTACATAGAGAAAAATGAAATTGTGACGAGCTATCGCTAAGCGATGTGATAGATTCTAACCATCATCGTCTTATTAAGTCTTTCATTTTCCTATTAATGGTTAATACAATATACAATAAGAAAGAGGAGCATCGGAGTACCACTGGATGAGTCTTGTCTCGCGCTAAGGCAATCCTCGAACACGCTAAAAAGATGTAGACATAACACGATTATAACCCCAGTGCAGGGTTCTTGCCTGAAATTAGGTTTCTGGCTTTGGTGCACTATGCCAGACGGTCTGAAGCCCTTCACATTCGAGATTGATGACCATTACAGGTACCCAAGTCCTGCACCGCTGACAGCCTCAAGATCAGCCTTGATTTCCCATTCATTTGCGCCAACCCGACCGGCTATTTCCATTCTACGTTGCTTGCCCATATCCATCCATTGGGAGAGAAGCTTTCCGTCAAGCATTCCCCTGCCTGCTGTACCGTCGCTTTCGACTGCCCGGAAAGCTCGAGGATTGAGACCACAGGGGTGTTCAATGGTATTTGTCAGCTGAGACTGTAAGGCGGACAGTCGACGGTAGGACTCTTCAGAAACGCATGTAACGAGACCAACAGATCCATTCTGAGAAGTGATGAGAACCTGGTGGCGCGGGACTTGGATGCCGACGTCCATCGTATCAACATCAGAGATAATTCGCTCGGAAGAGACCATAGTACGCGGCAACAGCGTTAACGTCGAGGTGAAATTGCCTGTATGGAACTTACTACGGCTTAGCAGCCTGTCACCATTGGATGATTTCGGATCTATTCCTGATCAGTGGATTACTTGCTAAGAGTTTTAGTCAAAGGTAACCAAACTCACCTTCAGGGTCATATTGGAGGACGTGGAGATTGCAGTCACTGTCCGCAGCGAGAATGAACAATTTGTTGTCATCGGGAAGGAAATCTGCCGCCAAGACTTCAAGGTAATCTAGGTCCTTTGCGAAGAGACTCATTTTATACGGCTCTTCCTGGAGACGCAAGGTTATTAGATATTGCCCCTTGGTCACGTTGTCTCGCGAATTAAGTGAGCAAAAACTTACTGAGTAGCCCGCAAACCAAAGTCCTTTCACAGCATCGGCGATGATGCACATTCCAGTGCCCTTTAGCTCCTTCACCACGCTGACATAGCATTGTACATCCATGAAAGCAACAGGGAGGAGGCTACCATCTTCCTTGAGACCTCTGACAATACATTTCTGTCCCTGTGCGACAATCAGAAAGCCCTGGCCACCGATTTCGGACAATGCGGTTACAGCGCCTTTTACCGGCTCTTTGCCTACAAGTCTCAATTTACGGCTTGTCTCCGGCTTTTCAGGATCCGGGACCACCTTGATGACTTCAAAGACGTACACACAACCGCGTGAAGCAACATCTTCACCCCTTGCAAATGCTGTTCCGACAACGATCATATCCTTACGCTCATGAGTGTTCTCAGAGACCTCAAGACTCATGTTTTTCACCGCCATCACATGCTCGGCAGGGCCCAATAGATAGCTTTCAGGTGGCCAAAGAAACGAACGTCAGACATTTGCTATTTAGGCGGTTCACAATGGCTTCATACCTATCAATAACAGACCATGTCCTTGGGTTCACGATTTTTAAAGAGCTTCGCTGAACTTCGGGGAAGAAGGTAGTCACTATGACATCATCAGCACGCTGCAGGAATATCTCCGGATGTTGGTCATACTTTCGTTACGCCATTCAGGATGTAACTCATCATCGTCAGGTAGTTTGAATTCTGTCCTATGACTAGTTCCCAGGACGTACATGCCAGATGACGAAGAGTAAGCTAGGTGATCGACTTGCTCTCCAATAGGTACTTGTTGTATTGTCCACGAATAGTGAAACTGGGTATCATGAGACACTCGACACAAACGTACAATATCCTGCACAAATATTTTAGTATATACATAGTGAATAGATGGATAAGTATGAAGTACCTTTGAATCTAGGAAGATAAGGCCTTGACCACCTTCAAAAGTGTCCAAGTTGCCAACATATTGCGTGAATCCTCCCCTCAGGCGCACAAAATGTGGTGAGCTTGTTGAAGTTTTGATTAGGTAGCCCGCTGAAGCACCTGCCATAAATACCGCGCTAAGTCCCAAAACATTGGATATTATACGTAGCGGCGTAGTCCTCCCTAACTCCTCGTTTGACGGCTGGCCGTCGGAGCTAGGTCTTATCTTTGGCAGAACAGAATTTGTTTCTTTAAGAAAGTTTAGGCTAGCGTGAGATCCCTTTTCTGACTTTGTAGTCGAGATGAAAGGTCTGTATACCGCAAGATCATCATGCCTGCTCCGTATCTACACCGATCCCGTTAGTCAGTAAGTCTAGAAAGATGCTTCATTTGGGAGTTGAGTCAAGATCGTACAATTAAATACGGAGAACTGCTCCAAGCGTCTCCGAGGTCAGCAACAACAGCTTCTGTCAAAGTCTCACGCGCAGTTGACCGCTTCGGAAGCTCGCTCGATAAAATGGGCGGCAAACAATCGACACCTTCAAGTATTGTTAACAGTTTCTGGTCGGGAAGTCGATAAATCTAGCAGGCTGTTAGTATCAAGGGTGATCAAGTTCGACGCTGGCGCAAAAAGCACAGCTCAATTGACTTGAGTCTGTTGAGTGACTCACAAACAAACGGCAATCTTGGCTCATTAGAAATAGGGTCATGCCTCTTAGTGTCGCTTCACCCGAGGTTTCACTGGTGGATGAGAAAATTCCGGTTTTGTCGAAATACAAGCAGCACGATAACCAATTGGATGTTGCAATATGCTTATTCAATTCGACTTCATCGAGGTCTCCGCTATCATCTGCTTGGAGAAGCAGCAATGTTGAATCATCTCGTAGTATTGCTAGGTAAGGATCCGCAAGACTAGTAGTGACGGCCATCCGTTCATCGCTAGTATCTTCGTCCCATACAGGATAGATCTGAGACAAGCCCAGGCCTGATTCATTAGATTCCTTCCGTCGTAAACGCGCCATTCAGAAGGCAAGACTTACCAGCATCGTAGCTTCGGACTTCATTTCCCAAAATCTGGACCACTCGATTTTTGCTTGTTAATACCCCAATATCAATCGTTAAGTCTTCGTTTGGATTGAATTCAGGGGCTTTGAAGCGCCTCAATTCTTGCCCCTCCACCCGAAAGACTTCAGATTGTTCTTTATCAGCACTCGTTTTTGACACGATAACATAATGATGGCATTCTTGCTCTTCCGATTGTGCGGCGGTCTTGGGTACGGTTTCTCCCCTATAAGCTACAGATGCTGTCCAGGCACAGCGAACCGAACCTATTTTCATAGAAGCAAGCACTTGAGGCTCGAGCTCGCGCTTCATCACAACCAGCCCGCCGCTTCCATCCGAGCCCTGTGAAGCTACCAGTTCCAACTCGGGGGAGCCATTTCCGGTAAGGTCCTCCCCCCCATGGCTTACAGAAGACCTGCCGAAAGTAATGTCCTTTAGAGGTCCGATATTCAAAAGTCTATCGTCTTTCCGAAAATTGTACAGACCGAAGCCAGATGACTCTGCGGATGAGCGGCGGCCATCTACAACAAGGTCCGACGCCGTAGTATAAAGGTCATCTTCGTAAGCATCATCTTCACTCTGTTCTTCATCCGAAAATTCTCCAGAATCTTCCTCAATATGTCTTGCCTGAGGTCGAAGCTTCTTATTGCCTGAGGATGGGATGGACCAGCCCAAAAGTATTGAATCGGCATCCTCACTCCCCAGAAAGACTCTCCTATCACCAAGGAAAGCCGACGACGACGCAGCAGATTTCATGATGTCTCCCCCAGCATGAGAAGGCACAGGGTGAATGGAGATGCCCGACACTGACCTGCCGTCTAGCTTAAATCTCACAAGGACCATGTCGCCTGCGGAGGTAACCAAAAGTAGGTCTCCATTGCTTTCAGAAAGGCGCTCAACAACACAACCTTCAAGACGAAGTGCTAGGTCCGATTGGTCTGTCATTGAAAACGACGAAACTTGCCTAGAGAACTCATTGACGCCCACTGCGTTGGTTTTGCCTGCCTGGTCAACGTGAACAAGTTCATTAGAGCCGATAAGAAGAGCACCTCCAACAGGAGGCGGAAGGGCTACCACTTTAAACAAGTCACTGGGCAGTCTAGACACCGAAAGCAAAGTCGTCGATGCTCGTTGTTCTAGATCCAGTGTGAAAACAGTATAAAAAACAACATCTTTCCTCTCATGAAGAAGCGCATTTGACGTAGCAACCTGCGAGTACAAGATACCAAATGTGGGCTCCCTGTATTCATATAGAAAAGCGAGACTTATGGGGTGCAGTATTGATGGATCTAACGCAGCCAACGGTAGGACAAAAGAAGAAGCATACGGCGTTTGATGAACTATGCCTTCTTTGGACATATCGGGATTGGCACCATTTTCCAGTCCATGACAGGCAAGTCTCTCCTCGTCCAGTTCGGAGCTATAATCATCCATGACCAGGTCATCACCTGGCTGATGGAACGGAAGGATAGCGAGGTTTCGGATCCCGAAATTGAAAACCGCACATCTACTGCTGGGGTCCACACTAAGAATGCTGCCACAACTGCTCAAATCAGGCACCCACGGACTACTGGTCGAATCATCCCGCTCATAATAATGAATAGAAACTGTAGAGATGCCATAACGCTCCGGGTCCCATTCGATCAAACTAAGCTTCGCATTCCGGAAGGCAAGCAAAATGGCTTCCCCGCCACTCTTGGTGTTTAAGAGTTTGACTCGACAGAGATCTGTTACCGTCCCTGGAAGGATATATTCCCTCTCCAAGATCAATTTGGTAGCTCCCTGTTCTTCAGTCCCTTCAGGTCGAGGAACAACATTAAGTAGAGAAAATATCTGAAGAAGAGATGTTCTAGCAACCACCAAATTGTTCGCTGATTCGGAAATAAAAGGAAGTGCCAATGACTGAGTAACCCCACTAGGGGGCAGCAGTTCAGTATAGCATTGCATTTGGGTATGAGAATAGAATGAAGAACGTTCAAATATCCTGATTTGATTTGATTCTCCCTGTTTATGCACAAACTGTACCTGGATTTTAGCTGGCTTAAGAAAGAGTGAGCATTGTTTAAGTGAATAGAAAGGTTAAGATAACAAAAGTTGAGAATGTCAAGTTTATTCGCTGCTTGATGATCTTATTCCAAAAATTTTCTTTTTGAATAACAAGCGAAGCTGCTTGGTGCAGCAGTTCCTTTACATAATTTGGACTCTCCGCAGAACAAAACGGGAGCTAAGGGAGTGCATCACGTGACCAGGACAAGCTCCATGATTCGATGACGTAATACGTGTTTGGAATTTCGACACGATGCCATCAATAGGTCTATTCTCTAGCTTTGATGCGAGATTAGCATGATCCTGTCATCTTCTCTGGTATGTTACTGCAATTTTTCAGTATCCCTTAAGTTTTTGCATGTCCCTCGTCTGGTACTCATGATTCGTCAGCAGGTCATTGTAATCCCTTAGCTTCAATCATCCAACAGAGCTTCGTCCCATGTGAGGTTTAATCTCTCAACAGCATGGCGCTTCTGCAAACCTCCCTTATTTGGGTCATGTATGCAATTGTGATAGCAATTCTGGTTGCAGTGGCCTCTGTATTCGTATATGTTTATCAAACTCCTCGGGATCGCTCTCAGTCTGTGACTTTGACTTGTATCGTTGCTATCACCACCCTTCTGGCGACTGCTCTCCTGGTACCAGTTGATGTTGCTCTAGTCTCCTCTACGACTTCTCCGGCTTTGGGCAGGCGAAAGGACTGGGCTACTCAAAATGAAATAGATAGGATACTGTACTCCCTGAAAATCGTGTATTACTTCCTATACTCTATGGACGCCCTTTTCTGCTTACTTGTGATACCCTTTATCTATTTTTGGTATGAAGAGTATGACGAAGTCGCTTCCGAAACAGGAGAACAGACGCTCGGGCAGAGGCTCTGGGCTGCCTTCAAATACACCATCTCTTTCATTGCGATAGTGGTGGTGTTGTTTCTCGTTGGGTTCTTCGTGCCTGTTGCGAAAGATGCGAAAGATGGCGGTCTGGATTTCTTCAAAAACCTACTGACCGAAAACCGTAAGCTTTAAAGCCCCTGTTTACTGTCCCTCCAGCAACTACCTCGCGCCACGGTATGTTGGTGCTAATTAATTTCTTCACAGGTGGCGAGCGCGCCCTTACATTTGCGCTTGGGTTGCTGATAGCCATTGGCCTGTGCTTATACGTCTTGTATACTTCTACGGGCCTAGCTCTCCTCCCTATTAGCTTAGTCAAGGCGGGCCCGTCGGTTTCAAGCCCGACATTAAAAGCGACTACAGCTGTGCAACTTGATTCTAACCGAGAGCGACAGCGCCAGCTAGAGGGCCGCTGTGGAGGAAATCCAGGGCTTTTATCTTCTAAAGACCGTAGAGAGTTGGATACTCTTGTCAGGGAAGAACGAACGCTTATTCGTCGACAACGCTTAGCAGATGAAGCGCGGTGTGAAGGTCAGAGCCGGTTGATGAGAGCATGGCTAAAAGTGGATGCTATATTCCGTCCACTTCAGTTCATATTCGGGATCACTCTTTCCGTAGTCGCTCTTATCATATGGATATCTATGCTGTTGACCGCGATTGACAAGGCAAGCAACTCACTATGCAAACACCGGTGCGGATACATCCTTGGACATATCAATGTCTTCAACCCCATCAATTGGGTCCTTGTTCAATCCGCGAAAGTATTTCCAGTTGACTATGCCATTTTCACTATTCTTGTCTTGCTTCTTTTCAGCAGCTCTGTCATTGGTATTACTGCAGTTGGTATTCGATTTCTCTGGATCAGAATCTTCCAAATCCGAAAAGGCCATACGTCGCCGCAAGCTCTCCTATTAGCCACGGCCATATTGATGTTGATCATACTAGCCTTGAACTACTCGACGACGATGATGATTGCTCCTCAATATGCGACTTATGGACGACAGACATTCTGTGATCGAAAGCTTGGTTTTTCTGAACAACAACCGGATTGTTCGAATGCTCAACACCTTGTTAAGCCATGCTCTGAGCTAGCAGATAATTTGGTTGCGCAGCAAGTCTGCACACCAAGTGTTGCCAGTACATTCCTCAACCGTGTCGCGATAAATTTTCCCTTTTTCGGTGCCATTTTCTTCTGGGGGCAGTTCGCCTTTTTAGGTAGGAGCCCTTTATCCCTCCCATATATCTTAACTAGAGACCCTAACCATCCACACGCGATTAAGGGATCTATGTACTTGTGCTGGTTACTGCCCTTCTGCGCTCTCCAAAATTAGACGAGCGACAACTTGACGAAGATGTTGAAGAGGCCGAAGAAGAAAGCTTACTAGCAAGCGCTAGAGGGCAGATTGAAACAACCTAGAAGAGCATTTCTGTTTAGTCCAGAAGGCAAAATGAGGCTGGGTGTGCCTAAACTTGACATTGCTCGGTTTTCTTTTTCTTTCTATCCCACTTTTCGTCGGCCGTGTGTGTGTGTGTGTGTGTTATGGTTGGGCTTTGCTGTATGTCATCATGTATGGCGTTGGGTTATAACATCAGGGATTATGAGATGAACTCTAGGTATTGTTTTTATCATTCATTGGCTGGTACAGACCCTGTAATGTGGAGAAGAAGAATAGAAAGGAAGTTAACACAGGTAGCCACTGCATTCAAGCTTTTATGCGGTCATTAAGGAGCGCAAGAGCACTTTCGAATGCCTTTACAACGTCATTGTCTGCAGGAATAGTTAGATAATTACGTGCATCAACTCGCTGGAAGACATTGGTGACGTACAGTGTTTCCGCTTTTTCTCCAACTCCTCCTCTGAATTTTGTACGTGCTGCATTTGCGTTTTGAATCTACCAGATTGTATAAGCCCATCAAATCATACTATGATCGCATACTTTCAAACCTCTTTAGCGCTCTGGTTTCATCACGGACAACAGTAGTCTGAGACCACGCCATGAAAACCTATGAGATGCTGGTCAGATATTGTCCTTTCGAGTTGAAAAATAAGGTAAAAAGCACCTCGAGAAGTTTCGAGATCTGAGCTCGCAAACCCTCTTCAACTGTCCCATGTTTCTCCATCGTGTTGGTGTAATTTTCTTGAAGATGCTCCCAATCATAATCTTGGAGATCCTCTGATGACGGGCACAAACTCCGCGGAGCTTCATACACACTGATGCTCTCTTTTATCCGAAACAGCTGTGGAGAGCATTGAGTAGAATCGATTTTGCCCGTAGGGTCCATTTTTATTGGAACCCGGTAGGATTTGCTTCACAATGCTGGTGGGCTAGAAATTATGGCCTTAATTCCTAAAAGTGAGTGCATTACCTAGGGATTGTTCTACTACGTATTAGTCAACTTCGTGTCTAGCCATCGATAATAGAGCGATTTTAGGAGCAAGACGTTACCAAGCGCAGGTAAATATCCGGCGGTAATCCATATGATTACTCCCAAGGTAAAGGTTGAAGAGGGCGAATATCAGTCCAAGGGTACGGAGCTACCATGAGTGGGAGCTGCGGTCATTCAACCAATCAAATGACTAAGTCAGAGTATTATCCCCTTCTACTAGTAGTACGTAGTACTAGCCCTGGCAGTAGAACCACATTGCATAGAAAGCAACTAAAGAGTGAGTTCCTTATAACTCTAACCTATGTATTCATTTTTAGTCATCGTTGCTATTCCTATTCTTTGGTATTGTTTATATTAAATTATATGGCTTTTACCGTAAGGCATACGTACCCGTAGTCCGTAGTCCCTTGTTAATTTTATAAACAGCAAATGACGTTGCGTCACAATCTGCCGCATCTGCCCGCCTCACCGATAGCTTCCAACGTCGCCCTTTAGTTTCATGTTTATCACACCCCGCATTTAAAAACATAGCTTAAATCTTTTGGGATGAGCTGTCACGTATGTTCTCGTGCTCCAACATCGCGACTTAGATACCTTTGCCCTACTTGTGCCCGCAACCAGCTCTATCAGCTCCGGATCGAAACTGCCAGGGTCCTTCTAGAGAAAGAGTCCTTAGAACACCAGATCGATAATGCAGTATCCTCTATAAATACTTTCGAGGTTCCTTTTGACCAGTCTGGTGCTGGGAATTCCAGGATCCAAGATGAGGACCACAGAGTCTGGGTCATGCAGACCATCGCCAATGAAAAAGCCAAATCCTCTACAAGGACAAAGACACTTGCAAGTCAGATCGAGACCTTACAGCTTGAGATCAGGGACAAACAACGCCACATTTCTGAGCGCAAGCTGACGCTCGCGCGACGCCGTTCCGATGCTGAATCTGCGAAGTATCAGTTGGTGGACCGTGAAGCAGCCACCTTATCTAGCATACAAAACAATGCCAAAAGGACGGATCACCTCTGGAACTCACTGCACAGTAAGACAGCTGAGGCTCGGATATTCCTATGTCGGGAAGCCGCCTACCTTTATAACCTACGGCAAAGACTCAGAAAGAAAGACGATGATGTTAAAGAGGTATATACAATTGGCGCTATACCTATACTAGATCTTAGGGACATGAATGGAAAGTTACGACTTTTCTATGTACATCCTAAACAAGTATTAATAAATGAACAGGTGCTACACCATCACAGATCTCGACATCCTTCGCCTACATTGCTCACCTTCTAGTGCTTGTGTCACATTACTTGTCCCTAAGGCTTCCTGCGGAGATAACCCTTCCTCATCGGAACTATCCTGCACCTACCATATACGCACCCTCCGGATCCTACGTTCCCCGCGAGATGTCACCAGCATCAAGTATGTCGCAACCCTCACCTTCCAGTCCAACTTCATCGCGAACAGCGGAAGTGCGATCATACTTACCTCGACCTCGACCACTTTCTATTGACAGAAGTCTCCCAAAACTTGCCAAGGAGGATCCAGGGACGTATGCCCTGTTCATAGAGGGGGCGACACTACTGGCTTGGAATGTGTCCTGGCTTTGCCGGACTCAAGGGCTCAATTTAGCATCGGATTCTTGGGAGGAAGTCTGTAGCATTGGCAAGCATATGTGGTATCTCCTTGTTGCACCTCCTACACAAACATCGGCACTCATCAGAGCGTTCGCTGGGCGAGACGTACAATCAAAGGTGAAGATCACGAAGGATTCCCCCAGAACAATTATACAAAGGACAAAATCGTTCCCAATGCTAGGTCATTACTCCCATGGTACTGTGCATTCTTTCCTCGCCGCCTCGGAGGGGACGGAATTCACGCGCACATGGAAGCTTCCAACTCCAACGAAGGTTGCAGACAAACTGAAGTCAAGCTTGTTAGGTGAAATGGCCAGTGCTGAATGGGAAGTGCTAGAGAAGAAGGAATGGGATGACATACCTCAGACTTCAGTACAGCCCATTCATGAGTCCTCATTCAATCGGGACGGTGGGAAGGGTCATATCAATATGCCAAGCACGGAAATGTCGGGGAACAATAGTACTGGTCTAGAGACCTCAAATGAACCAATGAGCTCTAATCGGCTCAGAGGTACTAGTGGTTGGACTAAACTGAGAAATAGGTAGTAGTAATGTCACCTCTTTGTATCAAAACTATTACTGAAGGATGCTATTCAACTTTTTGTAATGTAGATCTTCATATAGTCTCCTGTCTTTTCTCTTTTCTTTATTTTCTATTTTTTATTTTTATATTTTCAAATTTATTCATTTCTTCCTCTAGTTTCTTATCGAGTACCTAAATATCATATGGTAATCTTAAGTGCATATAGGCAAATAGGATTAATTGTTGTGTTGTTAGATATTTACTAAGCAATAAAACCCGATCGATAAGATAATCTGTACATTAACGTGTGCGTGTTCGGTTTACGACACTTCCGGAGTTGCAACATGTCCACTCTCCCCAATGTGGGAGCCCGGTCAACGTCACGAAGCCCAAGGTTATCAGACCTGAGAGTGATAAATTATATTCAGATATTTCTATCATTTGCCCATTTAAGCACATAATATTACAGCTATCTTTGTCAGCTAGATATCAACAAATCCCCTAAAAGTTGTTTCGGCGATCTGGGAATTTAAGACTTGTCCGACGGTTGGTTTCTAGGTCATGGATTTGGTTGCAATCCAAGATTACATAAAGTCTAGACGAAAATGAAGCAATCCACAGGATGGCAACGAGATGACCTGAAGATGCCTGGTGAGTGTTCAGAAAACTTAATAACTAAACGACGGGGTGTGTTTGCTTCAATGAGATGCCTCTCGCCATGGTTGCTGAGCTCATATGAAGATTCTTTTCGCTGATTCGGGACTCCGTCAGGCCGCGAAAGCGCCGTCGAATTAATTGCAGATATACCTGACACAATTCTACGAGCGGAACTCTACCGAAGAGGTGGGATCAAAGGGCCCGATAATGATAAGCCATCATGCGGCTCAAAGGATGGAGGGGCCTACAACACCCCGGCACATGTAATGGCATTGTTCCTCATTCTATTGCTGAGTACCTTGGGTAAGTTGGCCCGATAACTCGAGTTTTGGCTGGACATTCACTTACTTACCCAAAGCATGTTCATTTCCTGTGCTCGCCCGTCGGTTCCCACGTCTACCAATACCACGGCGCTTTCTCTTCCTTTCTAGACATTTTGGAACAGGGGTATTGATTGCTACGGCTTTTGTCCATTTACTCCCTACAGCGTTTATGTCACTTACAGACCCATGTCTTCCTCGGTTTTGGAGTGAGTCATACCGTGCAATGGCTGGGTTTGTCGCCATGGTTTCAGTCTTCGTTGTTGTGCTGGTAGAAATGTTCTTTGCCATGAAAGGAGCAGGCCATGTTCATGGAAGTGAATATGACCACTTGATTAGTGATGTCGGGGGGGATACTGCAAGTGACTATCAGAATGAGGAAACTGGATATCCACAAGAGTCGGTAGAGAACATTCACCTTGGTGTGCGAGACGAAAGCGGCACACGTACTTTGCTGCCGTTCTCTGCTTACATGCCTGGAGACTCTACCGACGATAGTGGTCAGTCACCGTCCAGGAACTCAATCGCGCGCAAGGAGGACGTGAACAGTGGCCTTGAGGGGTCAGACCCCTATAATGTCTCACATGCGAATAGGCCTCAAAATCAGTATTCACACTGTGAAGTTCATCGTCCTTCAGGTATGCCACATGAACAAATAGATACCGAGTTGTCTATGCAAAATCCGCAACGTCAGTTGCTTCAGTGTCTTCTCCTGGAGGCTGGCATCCTCTTCCATAGTATTTTTATTGGGATGGCACTTAGCGTCGCAACAGGGACGTCGTTTGTTGTCCTACTCGTGGCCATCTGTTTCCACCAGACTTTCGAGGGCTTCGCTCTTGGCTCACGTATCGCATCTCTTATTCCGGACCTCTTTGCTCCAACCTCCATGAAGCCCTGGCTCATGTCACTTGCATATGGGACTACAACTCCAATTGGTCAAGCGATCGGTCTCATTCTACATAACCTCTATGATCCAACAAGCACGGCTGGTCTGCTCATGGTTGGCATCACGAATGCGATAAGTAGTGGACTTTTACTGTTCGCTGGGTTGGTGGAGCTTTTGGCCGAAGACTTTCTGAGTGAGTCGAGCTATGCGACTCTACATGGTCGAAGGCGCGTTGAAGCATGTATAGCAGTTGCCTGCGGGGCTTTGTTGATGGCATTGGTTGGTGCATTTGCTTAAGAATTACATGTTCGTAGTTTATACTTCTGTATCCTTTATTGATGTAGACTTTGAGACTGTATCTCTAATACTTTCGTAAATATCACACTTCTTAGTTCAGCCTCCTTGCACCCTACATAACCCCGGGCATGTGCACATCATATCATAAACATTGCACATTATTGCGTTAATTAATCCTTGCTCGCCATGAATGCGGGGAAAGCATTGGAAGATTGTGTGACCCCGTGACTGTAAGGGCCTGTCTGATAGATAAGATATTCTTCTAGCTGGAGAACATATGTATAGGTAGTTATGGCATTGTTTCAATGTCGAACCAGGCTGCCATTGGCACGTTTCCTCAAAGACAAGACAATATGTTGTACTTGTCTACTTAGTAGTAAGTAGGGTGCAGAATATGTTTTATCATGGAAATTGTCTATACAACTTTGGACGCCATTCCTAACCTTTAATTGTAGAATCGAGTAATCAATTCCCTCCCCTATTCGTTAGAAACATTAAAATAGGTGCTATGTATATCTGACATAGAGTTATCTGAAATACCTTTACGGCGTTTTAGGTTGCTATGCTTGGTTACATTATTTTCACCAAGCGTGTACGAACTCCCGTATGGTGACAGTGATATGATATTTCATAATTACCATGGCAATCGGGAAGGAACTGGGCAAACTCGGCAAGGCGTAAACCTGAATTGTACGTAGGATTTGAAGAGTCCTTTATATAAATGCCCCCGAGCTTATTATGATGAAAACGTACTCCATATTCATTTACCTATGAGGTTGTACTGCTGAATTAATCGGAGGGAGTGCGTTGATTTCCTCAAGAAACTTCTGGCATTGTAGGGACGGTGCCATAAGGAGCATTAACCTTAAGTTTATACCGCAGCTCATAGGAACGAGAACAATTCTATGCAATCCAGGGTCTGTCTTTAGTATTCTGCTGGTTCAAAGTATTTCTGCGCTGTGACGACAATTAGGGGCAATTCCCTTTAACTCAAACGAGAGATTCGACAACAATAGCGCTGGCGCCACCTCCACCGTTGCAAATTCCAGCGCAACCAATCTTACCCTTTTTCGCCTTCAAGACACCAAGCAGCGTAGTCAAAATACGAGCACCGCTGGCGCCGATAGGATGGCCAATTGCCACTGCACCACCATGAATATTGACTTTGTCTTCTGTTAGCCCCAGAAGCTTCATGTTGGCTAGAGAAACCACGCTGAATGCTTCGTTAATTTCGAAGGCATCAACAGCGTCTTGAGTCACACCAGCATGGCTGAGAGCCTTGGGAATTGCTAGCGTTGGGGCAGTCGTGAACTTGCTCGGTTGCTGGGCGGCATCTCCCCAGCCAAGGATCTTCGCGACAGGTTTCAAGTTAAGCTCTCTCAGTTTAGCCTCCGAAACCAGGACCACAGCAGCAGCACCATCATTGAGGGGCGAGGAATTGGGGGCTGTCACTGTGCCGGAGCCGGGGATAAATGCAGGCTTGATAGCTCGGAGCTTATCGGGATTGAGCTACGACATGAATATATCAGCTAAAGACCAACGGTAGAAAGTCGAGAGGACATCTTCCTTACATTCTTGGGCTCTTCATCTTGTGCCACAGTCACACCTGGCTTGCCCCTGAACCCAGGAAGTTCAATAGGCGCAATTTCATCGTCGAAAAGACCAGCCTTCTGGGCCGCCTGTGCTTTTTCGTAAGTACGAATAGCATATTCGTCCTGCTGTTCCCTGGTAAAACCATGATCTTGAGCACATTCCTCGGCTTGTAGGCCCATAAGCTCCTGCTTGCCTGCATCTGTCAAGCCATCCTTCATTATACCATCCACTAGACTCTGGTGGCCATATTTCGCACCAGTGCGGAGATTTGGAAGATAATGAGGAGCATTCGACATAGATTCCGTACCGCCCGCTACGACGATATCCGCATTGCCAGTCATAATAGTCTGGGCACCGAGAATAACCGCCTTCAAGCCAGACGCGCAAACCTTGTTGACCGTGGTACACACAGTCGACTCTCCGAGTCCAGCGTTGAGAGCACATTGTCTGGCAGGGTTTTGTCCAACGCTGATTTATAGAATACGAATGTAAGTATGACAATAGAGTTGGTTGAGGTACAGAGGGAGATAGGAACTCACTTTGCGGAAATGACATTACCAAAGAAAACCTCCTGAACATCCGACGGCTTAACTCCCTCCGCCTTGTTGAGAGCAGCTGAATCATTGAATTATTAGACAATCAAAACCAACCACCGCACGAGATCTGTCATACCTTTGATGGCATGGGCACCGAGCTGTGGGGCAGTTAGGCTTGAAAGAGAGCTAGAGTGGAAGATCAGAGTCAGTTGGAGTTACAGGAGTATATGAAGTATAAATAGTCTCACCCCAAGAAAGAACCCACAGGGGTACGGGCAGAAGACACAATGTAGACTGGCGGAAGAGAAGACATATTGAACCTTGAGAGCTAATAGAAATACTCCTAGAGCCAAAGCTTTTGTAAGGTGAACCTAAGTTTGCAGCACTGTAAAGGGAGAATCCCAGTAGTTGAGCAGAGCTTTCCAAAAGCAAAATTATCTGAGAGAATATTTCGGTATCTTTTACACGAGAGCAATATGAGGAATCAGGTCCTTTAAAGAACCCCTCCCTGTACGCGGCGACCAAAAGAGTTGGGTTGGTGCACGGACCATTCGGTCAGTCCATTGGACGGACCTCAGCAGCTCTGGGGGGGAAAAGAAATGCGCGCGGGCTCACGAGGAACAAGTTTCTGACAGCTTAACCCGTCTTCCACACAACACGATGGATGATCTTTACGATGAGTATGCTGCGATATATCTAATACTATAATTGAGTGCATTATAGCTAATAGCACTTAGATTCGGCAATTACATCGGAGAGGCTGCAGATTCAGATGAAGAGGCTCAGCACGAGGAAGTGAAGCCGCAAGCTTTTGCCTTCGATGAAGCCTTTGGAGAGGGGGAAGATGAGGAATTAGATGAGCAGCAGTCTATGGAGGTGGACGGTGGGCACTCATCTGGAGCTTTTGTACTAGGTCAGTACTGATACAACATTACAGAAGGTCCATCAAATGCCGTGATCCTACACGAAGACAAACAATACTACCCTAGTGCACAGCAAGTCTACGGAACAGAAGTGGAGACTTTAGTCCAGGAAGAAGATACACAACCTCTCTCTGAGCCTATCGTTGCTCCAGTACAACAAAGGAAGTTCGCGATTGAAGAGGCTGAGCTCCCTCCAGTTCACTTCTCGCGGGAGTTTATGACAGATCTCCTAAATTTTCCTGATCAAATAAGAAACGTCGCGATTGTCGGTCATTTACACCATGGAAAAACAGCGTTCATGGATATGCTTGTAATGCAGACGCATGACTTGACAAAACGGCTAGAGAAACGAGCAGGCAGAAAAAAGGAAGAACAGCTTCGCTACACCGATGTCCATTTCTTAGAAAGAGAGAGAGGACTCTCTATCAAATCAGCTCCCATGAGTTTAGTCCTTCAGGGCACTAAAGAGAAGTCTCATTTATTCAACATTATTGATACCCCGGGGCATGTGAACTTCGTGGATGAAGTGGCTGCAGCATCACGTCTTGTTGACGGCGTGGTGGTAGTTGTTGATGTTGTGGAAGGTGTACAATCAAATACCGAGCAAATAATCAAACACGCAGTGCTAGAGGGCCTTCCTCTAACCATGGTTGTGAACAAAATGGATCGGCTGGTACTTGAGCTGAAAATACCACCCAACGACGCGTATTTCAAGCTGAAGCATGTGATCGAAGAGGTCAACACGGTTATTGAGAATGTATTGCCTGGCCAGGGTGAAAGTCGGCGACTCAGCCCGGAAAAGGGCAATGTTGCATTCGCGTGTGCTTCTATGGGATGGTGTTTCACCCTCCAATCATTTGCCAAAATGTATGCCGAAACCTATCCTCAAATCGAGACATCAGATTTTGCGCGGCGCCTTTGGGGTGATATCTTTTTCAATCCAAAAAGCCGAAAGTTCACACGAAAAGGAGTTGAGGAAAATTCTAAGAGAACTTTCGTCAAATTTGTTCTAGAGCCAATCTACAAGCTCTATTCCCACACTATAAGTGAGAGCCCGGAAGACTTGAAGCAAACACTGGCGAGCGTCGGCATCTATTTGAAACCATCTCAACTGAAGTCAGACGCAAATGAGCTGCTCAAGCTAGTTTGCGAACAGTTCTTCGGCCCGGCTACAGGATTTGTAGACATGATAGTACAGCATGTGCCTTCTCCAGCCGATGGTGCGCGGATGAAGCTGGAACGGTACTACACTGGACCCCTCGATTCGAAAATGGCCACTGCTATGACTGCGTGTAACGCAGATGGCCCACTCGTTGTCCATATCACGAAACTTTTTACTAGTACAGATGCATCAAGTTTTAACGCGTTTGGAAGAATAATGAGTGGGACTGCTCAACCTGGTCAACAAGTCCGAGTGTTAGGTGAGGGTTATACTCCTGAAGACGAAGAAGACATGGTGACCGCGACTATTTCCGACACGTGGATTGCCGAAACTGCCTATAACATCACAACCAGCGGTGTTCCCGCCGGAAACTTGGTTCTCCTGGGCGGTGTGGACAATTCGATCGTGAAGACAGCGACTATTGTGCCTTTAAAACTTGATGATGACGAAGAAGCGTACATATTCAAACCAATTCGGCATATGACGGAGTCTGTTTTTAAGGTCGCCGTTGAGCCGGTCAACCCATCTGAACTACCTAAAATGCTTGATGGTCTCCGTAAAGTCAACAAGAGCTACCCCCTGATTTCAACCAAAGTCGAGGAGTCTGGGGAGCATGTCGTCTTAGGAACCGGTGAGCTTTATATGGATTGCGTACTCCATGACTTGCGACGTCTTTTTTCAGAGATGGAGATTAAGGTCTCGGACCCTGTCACCCGCTTTTGCGAGACAGTTGTTGAGACATCGGCTATTATGTGCTATTCCATCACTCCAAACAAAAAGAACAAGATAACCATGATTGCGGAGCCCTTGGATGACGGGATCGCAGAGGACATTGAAAGTGGTAAAGTCAACATCAAAGACCCGATTCGCAAGGTGGCGCGGTTTTTTGAAGACAAGTACGATTGGGATAAACTAGCAGCGAGGAGCATTTGGGCCTTTGGCCCAGATGAGATGGGACCTAACATATTACAAGATGATACTTTACCATCCCAGGTTGATAAGAGGCTTCTCGGAGGCGTCAGGGACTCTATTACGCAAGGCTTTAGCTGGGGTACAAGGGAAGGTCCACTTTGTGAAGAGCGTGAGTTGATTAATTCTAAAGCCCCTTGCAACCCAAAACGCCACATCACCAATCGAGCGTGGACTATTCACACCCATTCCAGGTAACTTTTAAGCTAATTAATCATAGCAATTAGAAACACAAAATTCAGGCTCACGGACGTCTCCCTTGCCGACCAGGCTATCTATAGGGGCGGTGGTCAAATCATTCCCACTGCCCGACGCGCGATTTACTCGTCGTTCCTCATGGCATCTCCTCGCTTGATGGAACCCATCTATTCTTGCACGATGACAGGGCCTGCGGATGCCGTCGCTTCGGTGTATACTGTCCTTGCACGCAGGAGAGGCCATGTCCTCTCTGATGGGCCGATCGCCGGTACACCACTTTATTCAGTCCGCGGTCTAATTCCAGTGATAGACTCGTTCGGATTCGAGACAGACCTTCGAATCCATACACAAGGCCAAGCTGCAGTTAATCTTGTCTTCGATAAATGGAGCGTCGTTCCAGGAGATCCGTTGGACCGTGATATCAAGGTAAAGCCACTGGAGATGGCACCTGCAATGGCCACCGCTCGGGACTTCGTACTGAAGACTAGGAAACGGAAAGGCTTGGGGGAGGATGTCACCGTAAGCAAGTTTCTCGAACCGGAGCTCTGGAGAGGCCTGAAGGAGAGTGGTGTTTTGGATTCATGATTTGTTAATTTCTGGGCTTCGATGGAACATCATAATTTCCATATAGTTATATTGTTCGTATAGAATAAAAGAAAATAGCCGGGCCCGGTTATCCTTGTGATGACAACGTCAAATAATATATCGCTGCCAGCGCGATGAGGACGCTAGTTGTTGGCATGTCAGGAAGGTCGGGTTCACTGGCACGTCTCTAGCATCTTCGCAATGACACCCATTAGTGTGCCATTTTCTAGTGCAGCAGCCACCCGTTCTTTGTCCGCCAACTGCTTGTTCACTTCGTCAGCAGTGCTATGCGTCCCTTCTTTAATCCGGACATCCACGCGAAACCGAGATGGGAGAGATTGCTCCAGCCGAACGCGTACACCGAGACCTATGACAGTGGCTAGGCTACAGTGCGTGATAGTGGGGGTAATTAGAACAGTCACCGTTCGAAGGGGCGAAGCTGGTACATATGGGAGAGTTGGTGCAATAGAGATGTCAGGAAGTGAGACAACCGCTAGCGCTCCCAACGATATTGGGTGCTCCGGATCAGATATGGACGACACAAGATCTAATAATTAATCAGGGACTGTTCAAAAATGTTCCTCTCGCGAGTGGCCACGACTTTACCATATATTTCTTGTTCATCAATTGGCTCTTCCATCAATTTATCATCATCACTGTCTGACTCTGTAGATGAGTAAAAACCCTCTGGGGAAAGTTCAATAGTGTCCACAGAAGGGAGAGTTGATGAAAAGAGACCGTTTCTAAAGGCACCGGGCTTGTGAGACGATGCAGGTCGCAAGCGTGTTGGAAGATCAGCAACATTCAGGATTGTGGGATTCGAATTCTGCATCTCGGAAGTCATTTTGTGAATATGCAAGAAGCAGACGATAATCTCCGGTTGACAAGAGGGATGAGTAGGATACCCAGTATACGAATGAACTCTTTTTTACTTTTGAGGGGCAAATTTACTAGGCGATACATAGGAGGACATAATGCGCCTGCAGTGAACGGCCATGGAATAATTATTTTCCCCTAGACTAATCCGCACGAATTAAGATGGGCTGATAATGATCGAACACACCCCCTTCCGCCCCGTCATTATTCCCACGATAAAGATCATGATTGATCGGATGTAGCGACGGGGACGTATGTATGTTCATAGTCTTGGCCACTAAGTACTCAGTGCTTATTCAGAAGACAACCCCACTTTTTTAGTTGCACCGACTCATGTACGGAGCAGTATGTATGTACTACTTGGCAGATAGCAAGTGACTATCATGCATTAATTGCTTGGATCGACAATGCTGAGTAATGAATGTACAGAGTACGGAATATGCATATGCAGACTTACAATGTACCAATCAAATAGTTAGATTGGAGCTAATAAAATCCTTTATTCTTAACCCGAGGGAGAGGCTAGCTTCTAGATGTATAAGCTATTCAGGGCCGCCAGCAATCATAACCCTATTTAGAGATATCGCAGGGCCTAAGAGAATAAGTACTCAATCCACACCAGTTTGTTGCAAAGTTACTCTGCCTTAACATAAGATAATGGGCCGTTCACCACAGAGTTATACATATTCCGTCGCCAGACCTGAAGTTCGGCTCTTCCCCTTCAACCCAAGACCTTTCAATTAGTCACGCACTTTTTTATTTATTTGAGCTAGGGATTTGTTGGCTGGGCGGAACAAATTAACCCGGGAGCTATGTGCTGTGCCCGAAAGCGAGATAATAGCATCAATAGTTTCAACCCTGAGATATGTACATACTCTCTCTCTGTCGGTCACCGTCATCCTAAAATCTACACATATGCCCTATATATGTGCAGGAGTTCATTGGTTTATGTATTCTTATGTCAGTAATGTATGTATGGACTGTATTTGTATATGTGCAGTAATTATTGGGCATCAAAATTGTAGGACTACCTATAGTCTAGGGATGATAAGTGGACTATAGGTCCTAGTAGTTGTAGTTTCCGCATGGAACTAACGAGTCATGGCAAGGCCTTCATGGTTCTTGGCACTTCCTCCGATTGAGAGCGGCAATCATGCGGCCCCTCAGCATCCGAGGCGATCCTCTCCTCACCTGCGCCTAGGCTGGTTGACTCTTTTGCTACTCGCACCCACTTCTTCGAGGGCCGATCGTGTTTATCCACTCTTATATCATTGTGGTTGGTTTCTCCGTCCACCCTTTTCATAATTGCTCGATCTATTTGGTCCCTGTATGCCGTACTACCTGGCTACTATGAGACGCCAGGCGTCAATCGGTTAACTAGGGACATACCGTGGTGGTTATCTGTTTCCACATGCGAAATACATTGTATTGGTGGGCTCCTGATTTCCCTGGTACTGGATTGTATCGCGTCCTTTCGGTGTCAACTTCTGGATCGCTAGGTTCTGGTAGCCCCTGCGGCTTTTCTGCGTTCTTCCATCGCAGTGTTTCACCCACACTGCAGCCCGAGGTCCGCACATTTCATTCAAATGCTGACTGTCAATCGGGGTGTGATGCGCCGACTCAGTTCACTTTTCTACGTCAGATACCAGCAGAGAGTCTCAATTCGCTGACGGTGTCAAGCCACGATGCAGGCTGGTTAAGTACCCAGTCTTCTTTCTATCGTAAGGTATTATTTATTATCTACAGACAGTCGTCCCCTTTCCCCCGTCTTTTTCGCTATCACGTTTGTTGTCACTGTTATCCCACAGATTCGTTGCTAAGGAAATGCTGTACACAATGCTTCGAAATCCATACCGTCGCTCTCTATAACATGCTTAGCATTGGCTCCCTGTCTGATAACGCCATCATAGATCGCCTCTCCTCCCTATCCCCGCACCACTACTTCAAGACATGACTGACAGTTCGCTGTGTAAAGCTAGGTTCTATTCTTAGTGCTTTACTTTTCGCAAATAGGGCGTCATTGCTCAATTAGTTCCACCTAGAATCATTCGTCATCAGCCTCATCTAATTGAAGACGCAGAGATTCTAACCGCAATTAACACACCGAGGGTTAGGAAAACCTTGAATTCTTTCACAGGTTGCTTTTTGGCTGCTTTGTATACGTTAGCAAACCGAAAGAAGAACAGCCATTGTTACCACGAGGCACTGTCGTATCCATTGAGGTCGATTGTCAAGTCAAGACTTCCCATCGAAACATTCCTTTAGGGCTTCTCTACCACCTTATAGCACCCGCCTTGCTTTGCGGCACTGCTTGCCTCGGTCACACTGGTTTGCGCCCCGAGGGAGCAGCAAAGGCGCATTAGCAGTGACGACAGATCGGAGACAGAGCCACCATATTCGGTGAGCTATTCTCGCATCCTCTCTTGCCCGAGGCTCTTCCGTCAATCTATTTTTTCGTTCTCTTCCGATTTTTATCTCGCATTCTGGTTTATCTAGACAAGGCAGGCCTCGCAGATAAATCTTCAAGCAATATAGTTACCTACATCGAGTCTCCTGGACTTATTTTGTTAAGGATTATTCTTTGTTCCTATAATCCTTCTTTGGATATGCAGGGCTATACATTCACGCCGCCGACAGGGCCACCTAGGGAAGGCCACAAAAGTAAGGCATCAGCACAGCTTCATGTCTAAAGAGCGGTCGGCAAATATTATGGTTGGAACCAGTCACTGACAAGCTCTTGATAACAGACTATGTCTTTGTTGATGAGCACAACAGACATAAAAGACTCAAGGGTATGTCACTCTCCTGTGCCCGACATTGAAGCTTCTATTCGCTAAGATGCTTGGCTTAGTGATGCGAGCTTGTAATGGCTGCCGAAAGCGTAAAATCAAGTGCGATGCTGCTACAACGAATACATGGCCTTGCTCAGCATGCACGCGCCTCAAGTTAGTATGTGTACCTCCTACCGTTGGGCAGGACGGCGATTTTTCCGCGGGGCAAAGTGTTGAGGCCAATGCGGCGGAATCCATTGGCGCATCCAATTCATCAGAATCGTTCTCATCTTTTTCCTTGCCCCAAAGTTACAGTGAAAGTGGCCAGACTGCAGTGAGCAGCATGCCTCCCTACAGCGATGGAATGGGAATGTTCCCCCAGTTCACCACTCATCCTGCTACCCACCAGCCGAGCATGTATGAAGTAGGGTCACCTGCCATACCTGTCTCGCATCATTCCTATCAACAACAACAAATCTTCCCTACCTCTCAAGCTCAGAGCTTGGGGACTATAGAGAGCGGTGTCTATGGAGATCATGAACAGTCTACCGCTGAGGATCTTAGCGAAGTTCTTGGTGAGCTTAAAATAGATGAGACTGGTATCGGTATGATTCAATGCTAGATAAAGTCAGTGAAGGGTCCGCTGATATGTTGAATAGCGCCCTATATCAGGCAGCAAAGGAAAGAGAAGGGCGAACCGGAAATCCCTGTACAAGATGAAGCAGAAGAACCGCTACCTCCTCTTCGCACTGGGGCAGGCTCTACGATTCGCATTCCTCCGGAGCTTATGCCATCCGATGAAGAGGTTACAGATTACCTTAAGATCTATTTTGATGATATACATCCTTATGTCCCTGTGGTGCACCGGTCGCATATGTACTATCAGTGGCAATATGATCGGAATTCGATCTCCCCTCTTCTTCTGGAAGCCTTGTTTGCATGCGCAGGAAGGCAGTCGGATGATCCGGCCCAGGGAGCACAGTGGCTTGCGTTAGCGAATAGTAGGTCTCGTCGCGCTCGCGCTTTCTTTCTCTTTTATTATTTCCCCCCTGTATCCTTCAGTGCTGCTGCGATACTGATCTAACCTTTTTGCTACATCCAGGGCACGAGTCTAGTTTTATGGATATACCGCGTCTGAGCACAATTCAAGCGCTGCTTCTACTTCTTAAAGCTCGAGAATCGGTACCGAAAAAAGGTTATTATTACCGCTCGTGGCAGACTGTGAAAACAATCGTCTCGATGGCCAAGGATTTGGAAATTGACGAACACTACAACACACATGCAGAGAACAGGCTCTGCGATCTAAGCCCAATAGAATGTTTGGTGCAGACGAGAGTATGGCAAGCCCTCTTGGTTATTGAAGTAATGATCGGGGCGCCACAAGGTATGTCTCTGGGATTCTCCTTGTTCTCTGTACTAACATTCAAAGGTCGATCGGACTACGGTGTAAACCCCGACACCGTTTGTATGAGTCCTACACTGAACATTAAGGGGCTTGACAAGTTCGAAATCGATCGATCTAGGCAATACGCCTACTTTGTCCAGAATGCTCATCACATTCGTATAATCACTGATATATACCACAAAATTAAGAGACAAAAGGATTGGGGTGCCAATCCTAAGTTTGTTGAGAAGAACCCTCTTTTTACTGATTGGCTCCAAAGCCTGCCCCCAGACTTACAGATCAGTTATCCTCCTGACGGCTCACCTCCGTGGATACCTTCTCACTTTGTGGCTAATATGCATTCTCATTGCCACCTAGGTATCATTTTGTTACATCGGCCTCAGTTGCTTGCATCCAAATCCTTTGCCGCAGGCGGGGGGTGGAAAATGCATATGGCCTTATGTTACTCTTCGGCTAAATATCTCTGCAGACTTCAAGAAGCTATCTTAGAGCGATTCGGTCTAGCAGGTCTACTCTCCATGCAGAGAGGGATAAATTTCGCGATTTACTGCATTATGACTTGCACAATGTTGCATTTGGTACGTTCGTGCACTTCCTCTTCTAGCTACAAGTTGCTAAACGTTACCGTCAGGTCGCAATAACCTCTCCTGATCCCAACTTCCATACAGACGCGCGCGATTATTTTGCCCGACACATGCGTATTCTCGAGCGATGCTCATCTGCCTGGCCTATGCCAGAAACGCAAGCCCAGATCGATTCCTTGCGGCTGGCATTCTCCGCAGATGTGAATCGACCCTTCGAGCTTAAGCCCACTTTTCCTTATGGAAGTCCTTCAGAACCATACCATCCGAGCCCCTCGCCGCTTGACTCACAATATCAACCTCATGTAAGTCAGGTTACTGGTCCCGTCCAGAGCCGAGTTGGTTACAAATTCTATCCGAGCTCCCCGCCAATATCAGCTGGTACTGAAGATTCAAAGTCCGATTCCTCACAGCTCCATTCTTTGGCAATGATGCCGCCCCAGCCAGTCTCAAGTCAATCAATGAATGCCCCACTGGTTGACGAGAACAGCTGGGATCCGACCCGTATCATCAAGTAAGGAAACTACTCAAGAGTGCACATGTATTCTTTTGGGCTCTTACTAATATTTGGTTTAAATATTAGTCAGTGGGACATGGCATTCTCTATGGCGCCATCTACTGTGAACACGAACTCTCCGCCAATGGCTATAAATAATTCTGTGCAGGGAGTTCAGGCTCCTCTAGCAGCCCAATATCCTATCCAGTATGGACAGGCGTCAAAGATCACCCCAGTGTCACCGCCTCAAGCTCTCTCGCAGCCCCAATTCAGTGGACAGCAGGTTATCTTTACGGCACGCGACTGGCAACAGAGTGTTGCCAGCGTTTACGATCCCAATGGTTTGAAGCGGCGCTGGAACTACTCTGTCGACATGGGTACTGAACATGCCCAGAAGAGGCCACGTTGAATGTTGGTGGTATAAGCAGAGTTAGTTGCTGGGACCCAACTAGGTGGTTGTCTACTTGGACAAAAAAGTGGATGTGCAATGAATACACCTGTGATATAGATCTCTTTTTCTTCTTCAAATACCCCTCATTAGTATCTTTATCCCTTCGGCTTATGAACGGGGGATTCAACGCCTACAATATAGGTCTGTGGATGTATCTCCATTTGGCATCATGAGTGGAGAATTCATGAATAGATTTATTCCTGTATTTGGCATTCAGCTACTGAAATATCTAAACAAATAGACCGAGTCGACAAAACAAGTCAACACAACAAAGTACTTCACTACGAAAGAAACTGTAAATTGAAGCAGCGGTAGGAATATTTGATACTTTCTTGTATTTGGACATCAATGTGTTGAGGATTACAGTAGGTATCAAGATAACCCAAGATAACAATAAAAACCAACGATATTAGGGACGTTTTAGCGGCAGTAACAGTTGATGCCATGAATGTCATGTATATGCTTGCTGACACTATTGCTCAATAGCAAAATTTCTCAATTTCATAAATAATAGTTCATGCACATCTTATCGAGAAACATCAGTACTGGCACCGAATAATAAAGTACTCGGAAACATGCGCTAAGCGTCCCCACGAAGAGCAAATAGCATCCAAGCACTTCAGTCAAGTTTGAAGCAGCAAAATTGGTGCGAAGAGGATAGATCGACGATTCATGCCAGCATAGAAACCTTCGTTGGGGTATATAACAACTGATATTAACCTGCCATCTCAGGTGTGTCGGCGCATTCCTATCTCTCTTCCCGGGATCGGACGATTCTGGCCTTATCTCCCGGTAAAGGCTTCAGCTCATCACTGGGATCGAAACTGGCATTGAAATTGTTTCTGCTGCGATCGTGGCCGTTGTTTTCGTTGGCTAATTTGCGAAGTCGCGCATCCTCAAACGCCGCGAGGTCTTCCGCTGTTATTGCAATAGCTGTGGGCTTTCGGCGAAGCATCTTCGGATTAGACACGTACACTGCCTGGACGACTCAAAAGGTAATGGAACCTGCACACCGTTGTATAGAAAGCTTGAATCCTAGAGCCCCGCGGATTCGAATCTGCATTATGGACGAGGTTTTCACGTGACCTGCACGGCAGTTCGGGAAGACTACTGGTGTAGCGAAAATGTTTGTCCTAACATCAGCCCAACGTTCATACGACCTGTTGGCGTTGAAAATGTTTCAACTTCGAACCATTCTTTCACGCCACGAGCGTGCAAGGCTAGCAGACGGGGGCTTTTACCCAATTCGCCAGTTTTCGATCAACCAAGGGAAAGCAAAAGACCTCAGTCAGCCTGGTGCGTCCTCAAAACCATTCCATCTATTTCTATCTCCACCTGACTCTAATAGGCACCAATGCCCCTAAAAATCGGTCTATTCCCTCAGTGGCCTCAAGCTCTCGCGCTCCTCCAAGAAAAGCCAACTTTCCGCCGGCAAATTTGAATTCTAAACGTCCTGACTCTGACAAACCTCGTCCTCGACGCATTTTTGACGCAAGGTCGCTCGCAGCCCCTTCAGCTAGTGGACAACATACGAACATTCTCAGGAGCACCTCGTTGCGAAATCCTCGTACTGGACCACCAGTTCGTGCTCGGAGGTCAAGAACACCTGCGAAATCGTCGGCATCTAAAACTCGAAAAGGGGGTCGCCCTCAGCGTCAAAAGAACTCGGAAATTGAAGAAGAAGACAAGATCCTGAAATCTCAGATTGAAAATGTATATCGCCAACTCGCCGAGAAAACAAAGCCAACGCCTAGTTCCTACAATCCTCAGACACCTGATTTCTCTAATCTGAAGGAGACTTGGCCGTCCTTTCCAACGGATACAACTGCCAGTACCTCTGAGGTTGTTGAAAAACTATCCTTACTAAGTGACCGCTTCCCCAATGGTTATGTCCCACCTTATGAACTAGGCACGCGGCTCTTTAAGGGACAATTTGTTCGGTTCCTCGACGAGAAGGAGAAAACAGAGGCTATAGCAGAGGCGAAGAAACTTTCGCAGCAGAGGGCAGACAGCTATTCACAGCGGAAAGGTGATCTAATAGAACCGGAGGATGTTAGCTTCACCCCAATGAGTGCAGAGCGCAGGAAGTCTTTGATCCAATCCTTTGTGCAGGGAACTTATCCTAAACTTAACACCGAACAAGCCGGTAAATCGCCTATTCTCAGTGAAGTATCAAGGAATCTCAGGAATAACGTCTCTTATCAAGAGACCAGGAAGAGCTCTCAATTCCTTGCCAAGGTGGAATCACTTCTAGCTTCAGGTCGCCCTGTGAAACGTGTCTAAACCCCTTCGAGAAGGGTAGCCATTGTACATTAGCATTTAGTCTCTTCTTCATTTATATACTAGTTACTTATGTCGACAAATTCCAAACTTGTAGACCGGATCTCGGTATCACTTCAAACAACGAAGCTGATATGAACAGACTCACATTTCGTGGCCATATATTTTATCACCATTTACAAGCACATTCCTATGGCCACTTCGGGTCATGCCCTCTCCATTGCCTTCTTTGCAGTATCGAACAGATCTCTAACCTCCCTTTGCCCTTTCTCTGTTAACTTCTCCATCTGCTCTTGTGCTTTTCGAACGTCATCCGGCCGAGCTATCTTCTTTTTCTGCATATCCTGAAGACGTTTATGTACGGAACCCCTTGCGTCGCGGACTGCTGCTGTAGCCTTTTCCATAGCCGATTTCGCAGCACTGACTGTCTGATCCCGAAATTCTTTTGTCGGTGGTGGAATTGGTATATTTAGCTGCAGAGCATTATGCGCGTCTGGCTGGGGTGATAAAGACAGGCCGGAAGACACGATCGCCGAGATGATGGGCTTAATATGCTGGTCACTATGTTAGAAAGAGGATGAGGTAAATTGAAGGGTGAAGGATCCGATTTACAGCTTGGAAGGGGTAAGGAGGGAAGAAAGCCTTACATCTTCTTCTGAAGCCAGTACAGTTACCATACGGCCTCCCTTAGGAACCACTTGAGCCAGTTCTCCTAACTTCACCGTTTCTTTGCTTGATTTGCTTAACTGGACACGAAGAGCTTCGATAGCTTCAGTGTTAAGCCTTCCTCCCACGCGCAGCTTGGAAAGATCATCTTTTAGGCGGGACACAGCATCCGCAATGCCATCATGTAGCTGAGTAAAATCATATGGGTCCTCAGAAACAACACCAGACTTAAAGAGTCTCTCTTCAAGACTTGAAGTAGAACTGCTCTTTGACTTATCCTTTTTCTTGTAAAACAGAGGAGATGTGGAGAAATTTGTCCTTCCACTTGCAGCTGCTAGGCTGCGCTGCTGAAGTGGACGGTGCAGCCGCTGTTGAAGACTAAATAAGGAATTGACATTTGTGAATGATAAAGGTAGAAATTGGGTCAGACCAGATGATACTAGAACGCGCTGCATCCTTTCCGCTGCAGCATAAGATAGGAAGGTCTATTGACCAACTATTATCGAAGATTATTGAAAGCAGGAAGTGTGGCTCGGATCTATCAGATAGCGCCGCGTCGGGGCTGGCCTCTCATAGCTTTTTGATCAAGACCCACTCACCAAGTCAGAGAAGACCTACAACTTAGACCAATACCACATTAATTTACTTCACACGGCATAGCACAATAGCCAAACAAATGTAACGACACACAGTTATCGTTTTTTCTGGAACCCCTGTGCTTCAACCAAGCACACACGATTTGATTTATATTAAAAGGGACAGGTACACAAGGCTATAAAGCAAAGCATATGAATTCACCGGCCAAACTGGCTCATCAAAGTCATTAATCTGCAGAACAATCTTCTCTCTAAAAAACTATGAAATACTTTTGAAGATCTGTGCTGAATCATAAATACACGCCTAGCCCAGAGTCCACATGTACACGAAAGTCATGTCATAATTGCCCATAGGTAGTAGACAAACCGGCCTCTATTCGTAAAAGTAACAGCCCAAGTAGATAACGCATTCAGTTCATTTTCCTATTACTTTTTTACTTGAAATGACGGCCCGAAGTCCAGGCAAGTCTCATTTACCGAGTGGCCATAGCCTTGGTGATGAGTCTCTTAAGGGCAAGCTCCTTCTTCTTGAGATCCTCGGGAGTGGAATCTTCGATCTCGAGCTGGGCCATGGCATCGCTGAGGGCGGATTCAATCTTCTCCTTGTTACCACGCTTCAACTTCATCGACATGGTGGGGTCGGAGATGATCTCCTCAACGCGGGAGATGTAAGATTCCAGCTGTTGGCGGGACTCAAATTTCTTTGTGAATGCTTCATCGCTTGACTTGAACTTGGCCGCATCTAGATAATATTATCAGTCATAACACACCTTGAAAAGCTGGACAAAAAAGGCACTAACCGTCGATCATTTGCTCAATCTCCGTGGTAGAGAGCTTACCAACGGCATTCGAGATAGTGATGTTTGCAGTACGACCGGAAGACTTCTCAGTTGCGGTGACCTTAAGGATACCGTTGACATCAACTTCGAAGACACACTCAAGGGCAGCTTCGCCAGCTCTCATGGGGGGAATAGGAGCCAAGGTGAACTCTCCAAGAGAAGTGTTGTCTGCACAGTTAGTGCGTTCACCCTGGTATACGGGGAACTGGACAGTAGTCTGGTTGTCCACGACAGTGGTGAAAGTACGCTTCTTGATGGTAGGGACAGTCTGTCCACGAGGCACCACAGGGGCAAAGATGTTACCCTCCATAGCAACACCAAGAGAGAGAGGAACAACGTCAAGCAACAGAAGGTCCTGAGTCTCAGCAGAAGTAGCCTTTCCAGAGAGAATACCAGCCTGGACGGCAGCACCGTAGGCAACAGCTTCATCAGGGTTGATGCTCTATAAATCTTGATCAGCCGATGCCTTTCATGCAGGAGTCAACCAAGTTGGAAAAAAGAAGAAAAACTCACCTTCTCAAGCTTCTTTCCGTCGAAGAAGTCACTAAGAAGCTTCTGGATGCGTGGGATACGAGTAGAACCACCAACAAGCACGATCTCATCAACCTTGCTCTTCTCAAGACCAGAGTCTTTGAGAACCTGCTGCACTGGCTCAAGGGTACCAGAGAAAGACTTGGCATTCAGATCCTCGAAACGAGCACGGGTGATGGAGGAGTTGAAATCCTCTCCATCAAACAGAGAATCAATCTCGACAGTCGTCTGAGTGGCATTGGACAGGGTGCGCTTCGCACGCTCACAAGCTGTTCTCAGGCGACGCAAGGCTCTAGGGTCACCCGAGAGGTCCTTTCCAGACTTACGCTGAAATTCCTTCTTGAAGTGTTCAAGCAAGTTGGTATCAAAATCTTGTCCACCAAGGTGAGTATCACCAGCGGTAGCCTTGACAGTGAAGACACCTCCCTGAATGTTCAACAGGGACACATCGAAGGTACCACCACCGAGGTCATAGATAAGGACATTGCGTTCCTTGTCGGACTTTCCGGAGCCAAGACCGTAGGCAATGGCAGCAGCAGTGGGTTCGTTGATGATACGAAGGACGTTAAGGCCCGAGATGGCACCGGCATCCTTGGTCGCCTGACGCTGGTTGTCGTTGAAGTAGGCTGGCACAGTGATGACTGCCTTTTCAACCTTCTTTCCGAGCTTTGTCTCGGCAACTTCTTTCATCTATAATATACGATTAACTAACTGGTAGTTGATCAAGCTAGTATTTCCACTTACCTTCAGCAGAACCATGGAGGAAATCTCCTGGGGAGTGAAAGTCTTCGTCTCCCCAAGGTATTCAACCTCAACGGCGGGGTTTCCACCTTGATCAACAACCTTGAAGGGCCACGATTCGACATCCTTCTTGACAATAGGATCCTCATACCGACGGCCGATAAGACGCCTAAGTTATGTTTACATTAGAATGCGAGCGGAAGTTTGTGAATCTCATAACTCACTTGATATCGAAGATAGTGTTCCTCGGGTTCATAGCCGCCTGGTTCTTTGCGGCCTCACCAATCAAGCGCTCCTTCTCGGTGAAAGAAACGAAGGATGGAGTTGTGTAGCTACCCTGCTCGTTGGCAACTAAATGGGGCAAAATCATTAACAATGCTGATATTCGGAAGTTTCCCTGCGGACATACTGATTTCAACGTTGGTGCCTTCATAGTTGGCAACGCAGGAGTAGGTTGTGCCTGGATAGTTGTGTCAGCTTATTTCCATCAAAATACCAGACAAAATAATTGTTGAATATAAGAAGGGAATAGTGTCTTTTACAGACAGAAGGGTAGAGTTTTACAAAAGCAATTGGGGCGGGTAACTCACCAAGGTCAATACCAATGGCGCCTTCGTAAACTTCGTCAGACATAGTGATAAAAGAAGGAGAATGTAGAAGAAAAAAGGCGATGAAAAATGGAGATGAAAGAAACAAAAATTTTGAGAGAAGGAGAGAATTATAAGATTCACTCCAGGTGTTGAGGTGGAAGCGGTAGAAGAAGAAAAAAAAATTGGAGTGTTCTGAGGGGAGGGCAAAAAAAGAAACCCACTTTTGGGCTTTTTTCCCTTTTCTTTTTTTTTTTTGCGGCCTTCAACCTTTCCCTCCCTCGGCTGGGGAGCAAATGAACACAGGAAACGCCCAGTGCTAACCCACGGTTGGTGTGAGCTAATTAGCTAAGCCAACAGCCAACAACCATCTTCTACTACAGTACCCTATGTGCTCAGTAAGTAAACGCTACTTATACCATTATAAAGACCATTCTGCTGTTCCTACCCAGCCGTCATTACCTGGAAATTTCAAAGTTATCGTACATTGGTCATTTGTGCTGCTATACGATATGGATACAACAATCGAATATTGCTATTATGACTTAGTATTCATTTTCTTATATATTCCCGATTTCCAATAGTAGCGCTAGGTTGGGAAAGAATGGCCGATATGAAAGATGCAAAATGGAGGTATCGATATATCATATCTCACCGTAACTTGTAGTTCATTGCTCACTCAATAGTTTAAAACAGCGATGATAAACCCACTGTATCTATATCTGTCATTTACACTCATCTATAAGACAGCTGTAACCCAACGCTAAGGTTTACCAGCACGGAAGGATATCGAATCACCTATCCTCTTCTCTGCCGCTAGGGGAAAAGAGAAGAAATAGAAGAAGTAAAGAAAGAGATCAAAAAAGAAAGGAATATGAGATGTGAGAACATTGTACAGAGCATCACTACTCCGTAGAAGTTATTATAGCAATGAATTCGGACAGTCTAATCAGCCAGTCAGTTGCCACCCACGAGATATTATTCATAAATAATTACAACTATGCCGGCAGGATAGTAACCACTCTGTTGACGAAAAGCTGCTCCAGAGTACGGACACAGGTGAATGGATTTTTTGGTCGCCTTAGGCATGAAAGCGGGTAGTCACCTCCACCAAAAAGTCAATGTGGGTATCTTCATTGGATATTTCTGTCTTTTCTTGCGGCTCTGATCCAATCTGCTCCCTAGTTGTACTTGCTCCCAAGACTGGTGAAATTGAACCGACACCACTCGCGACTCAAGCTGCACACCAAACCGCGAACAATTCAAAATTCGAGTATCCTTCACTTTCCATCAAGAACACTCTGTCTAAGAGTGTCGCTTCCCTAGTGAGTATAGGCCGAAAACACATAAATTCTTACCTAGTAGCACATCCAATCTCTGTGTTCAGATCACTCACAGCTAAAGGGATAGTTGGCAGCGATTTACTTTGCATCGCTGCACACATTCCACCCTTCCAGATGGACATCGACATGAGCAGGAGGAATAAGAAACCCCGCCTTTTGCTGGAATCCGAACGAGAAAGGCTAGAGGAATTTATCGACTCCATCCATTACTCTGCAAGGTACATAGACTCGCATCATGTAGCCTTGAACCCCTACTGATCGCTCCCAGATATTCTGATGACCAGTTTGAATACCGCCATGTCCAACTTCCCAAAAACATGCTCAAAAAGATCCCAGCCGACTACTTTGACAGCTCGAAAGGAACCCTTAAACTGCTCTGGGAAGAAGAGTGGAGAGCCCTGGGTATCACGCAGGTGTGTACAGCCCGATAATTGCATTCAACTACCCAAGTCACCGGTAACCTAATCTCAATGGGATCAGAGCTTGGGCTGGGAACACTACGAAGTTCATGAGCCGGAACCGCACATTCTTCTATTCAAGTGAGCATCTCCATTCTTGCACCCCATTCGCCTTTCTGCTGCTAAGGGTTATTCAAGGCGTCCTCTCAACTACCAGCCACCAATGTCTCAGTAAATATACCTTGAATTCGATGATCATTATTTAGCCTTTCTCTTCTTTTCATCTTTTCCGTTGCTTGAACGAAGAAACGGCCACGAATTAGGGTGCGCAGTATGCATAAATAAGATTGTTTTAAGACAATCGGGTGCTTCTTGCATGAGGTTTCGACATGGAATATAATTCAATGCTGCTAGAAGATACCTCGTTTGTCGGCTAAGCCACCACCACCACCATAACGGCCGCCCCACCCCCTCTCCCAAACCCCTGTCTCTCACACCCCCATGTCCCGTTCGCAGGATTCTTTGCCTAAAGGTGTTTCACATCACATTCTTGGCCAACCATTGCTCCCACTGGGCAGTTGTGAAACTGCTACTGATCGCTGATTCTTCGATACCCTACATGATGGTGTCAGTACATCGGAATGTCTTTTTTTCATCCATGCAATGACGGTGGACATACGTTGAAGTATACTGTCGGGGAAACATGGACACCTACAACACGATCTGCCTGAAATGTGGTGTTAGATTCGAAATATCGCCAGAGTCCTCATTTCTTACTTTGACCATTAACTTGATATCATTGGTGACACGGTTACCAATATTCAGGTGCCCGTCGTGGCTAGCTTGGTCGCTAACGGTCAATAGGTCGAGCACCTCCTGCTCTTCCACTCCAACGCTTCCGGCAATCCTTGCCAGTCTTTCATATGTCTTGTTACGTGTTTCGTTGACCACATTAACATCAAAGAAGTCTTTCTGTTGTTTGAACAAAGCAGCACTGAATTCCCAGAATTTCCCGGGTGCTACCCTTAGAACGGCTGCACCTGCCTCATGAACCAACGTTGACGATGGATGCCAAGGCTGAATATGCTGACGAAAAATAACCTGCAGTTTTGTTTGGTATTGGCTTGCAAGTATAGGCACGACCGAGGTGTAGAACGTATTGAACAGCTTTGCGGAGAACTATATATAAGGTTTAGCATGCGCACGACAGTATAGTAGGTTCCATAACGCTGGCTCACAGGACACACATAGTCCAGATCTCGATTTGTACTCTCGTCAGCTACAACGTATGGGCCAACTCGGTGTCTGACATACAAAGTTCAAGTGTGTGCTGTGGCTGTTGGCTAGTAACTGCCAATAACTTCTGGCCCGCAAATTTTGGGTGGAGAGCCATTGGTGGTGAGAGTTCCAAGGAGCTTACTTCACTGGCTTTCTCAAAATTCAGCTTGCCTTGCAAATATAGAGTGAGAAGATCGTGTCCAGATGATGGGGAATATTTAAGTGCTAGGTAGTAGCCCAGTACTAAGCAAGCTTTATGCACAAATTGCGTAATATGCCCTTACGGCGGGGAACAATGACTGTACTACCTGGACACCTTGATAGAATATTAACATGTATCTGAACTTGCTTAACAGATTGAGAGCCACTGCTCTAGACGCGCAAGAGATCAATGTACCAAGATACTCACACGGCCCATCCGTAGGCAAAATATTGTCCGGTTAGTAGTAGTACTTACTCGCCTGGGCTTTCATCTCAATACAGAGTGAGGGGGTCCTATAGCTTATGTCATCCGATCGTGATTGTACCGGTCTTGGCCAGAGGGCCAGTACCATGTAAGTACCAAGTAGGTGAATATTTACTAGGCATACGTACACAATATCCTGTCGGGTAGAGTGAATGGTTATTGCAAAGGACGGTATCGGTCGACGTTTTAGACATCTTGAATCTTCGCGTTACGAGGGGCTATTGTGGGGAGGGGAAGGCTCTCAGTTAATCAAAGCCTGCTTGGTCAGAAAGTTGATAGACAGTCCCTAGGTCAACATACAAGGAGTATAGGTCTCCGTATCTTACGCATTGTTAATATTAGGTACATCAGAGCGCGCCATGTGCAATATAAAGAAGATGTGGCCGGATGTTAAGGGCCGCCAAGCGCTTTTTGATTGAATATGCTCACATCTTTGAGTTGCATCGAAACTAAAGACCAAGTGGCTGTTGCTGGATCGTATTCACCTCTCACTTCAACCCTGCAAAAACCTTTGGGGCCCTTAAGGCCGACGGGGCCAACAAAGTAGAAGGCACCACGTTGAGGACGATGACGATCTCGAGTCCAGGAGTCGTTCAGTCGCATCCTAAACGCCAGTGATGCGGCGTACAGGTCAGAACCGGGCCCTAGCTTAGGTAAAGGCAAACATTGCAGTGTCGAAATAATTATAGATGGATGAAGACGAGCAACGTTTTTCTCTGGCGGAGTACTTTCTCGATGGCTAGCAGACGAAGTCACTTGTTCTTCAGAACGAGGCACGGGGTGCAACCCGTCCAAAGTTTGAAGGTCGGACGATAGTGCTTTACGCGACGGTAGGCTTGGAGTATCCGGGGCTCGTTCTTGCTCCAAGACTGTAATGTTAAGCCGAGAGAGCTGCTTTTTCACTAAAATCATATAGGCATCCTTTACAGCAAGTGCAACATATAGAGGCTGTATGCATCTCTGAAGACGGTCGCCATCCTCCAAAGACATCGGCTTCGACACCCATGAGATTCCGCTATCAGCGAATTCTAGCCTACGCATAGTGAGCAAAGGCTAAGACTTGTTCTAACACGGACGCACATACCCTGAGCGCCTATAGTCAGGGGGGGCGCGAGATGGAAAATGATGGACTAGCCAAAACCCTGTCACAGTGAGGGGGCCTCCTAGGACACGGGAGAGTATTTTTGACTGGGAAGCATCTTTCTGAACAATGGACGCCAACTCATCTGCGCATACAAACTTAGCCAAGAATCGAAACGTAGCCAAACGCCGTACCTCTAAGAAGTTGGAGTTTTTCTCGATCCCGGGAGACCTTGACAAATTCCTGCCACTCTGGGTCCGATGCTGCATACAATTCACCTTTACGTAACCGTGGCAAGCCCAATGGAATGAAAACTGTATCAGAATCTACCGTTTCGTTTGCACGGTTATCCACGCTCTCCTCATCGCTTCCTTGGTCACACCCAGGAGGTGGCTCCTGTGCAGTATCGACATCATCTTGCGTGTCATCAAACTGAAGAAGAATAAAGGAACTCCACAAGTGAAATGCAGCACCATAAAGGAAAAATGTAGCAAAAAATTTCCTACAGACTATGTTAGTGGAACGAAAACTTACAGTCCGAAGCAAATTCTTTGCCTACCTAATCCACGGTCGTTTGAACTTTACATGGCGCACATTAGTGGTATTCGAGGTCTGAGATAACGGTGGGCTAATCCGGAAAAATATTTTAGAAACTGGAAGTAATTGCCTGAGCCGAAACATTGAGAGATCGCATACGTGGGCGTAGCTGCTCAACTATCAGGCATATCTTTTTATTTGTTCTTCACAGTCCTAGGATCGACATGCGCTCCCAAAGTACGGAGTGTCTCAAGGCAAATAGGGGATGGTAAGAGGCTCCAGTAGAGTTATTGTCGTGCCAGAGGTAAATTCATAAGCCAAAATGAGAAGGGTAAATAATCTTTAAAAATCCAGACGTATGTACACTCTATTGTCACAATTAATTACATATAGTCCCTTAATTGCAACCTGGAATTTAGTTAGGCAGTGAGTGCTTAGTCAACTGGGACTGTCCCAACCTTGACACGTGATGAGTGGTTTTAGTCATTAGGGATGCTAGCTAACTAGTTTTTTCTGGGACTAGTGAAGTCTTAGCGCCTTCCAAGAAAGGTTGCCTATCTACCCTTACATAGTACGGTTTCTTGGGTATCTATGATTAAATGTCAGTTCGTGACCACAACACCTACGGTGAAAGGTCACGGAGGTTCTCAATAATCTATGCTTCCAAGGCTTTCGCCACCACCAGAAGCAAGTTCGTTCTTAGTCCTATTCGTTCAGGATGCGCCAGGTACTTAGTTTCTTGAGTCTGTCACTGGCAATCATACCCAGAACCAGGGCTTTGGATGCTTCCATATTCACCTTTAGCCCATCACCATGGCAAAATTCAAAGGCGCCCGTTATAAATGATGATGCGGCTCAACATCTGTTGGAACTCCGAATGAACCTACCTACCGCATCAGCTCTTGGGGGGTGGGATCAAGACACAGTGGAGCTTTTGGACAGATATGGCGGAGCACCAAGCTCATTGTTCGGTTATGATGTCGACCGTAAGGTCATCACGAGAAATCTTATGATTTTTGAAGGCATAGATATTGGAGCTGGTATGTCAAAAACAACCATGGTTGTTCTATATTACTGACGAAACAAAAGGAGGGTCATCTATTCAAGAAAATTATCAAGGTGACCTAATGGTTACTAGTCTCTCTGCCGATTTTCTGAATGATCTCCTTCTCAGGCTTTCTTCAGAAACGAAATTCAACGGCTCCGTAGTGGCCACAGAAAAGTATTGCAAATTCGATAGCGAAGTCGAAATCAACCCCAATATTCTCCAGGTAAAAGGGATATTGACATGAGTGTCAGGGTTTATATCGCAGCTAACTTTACATAGACCATTGAAACTTGTATGCCCAAGGGCTCTGCGTTCGAAACGTTGACCCATATGTTTGGCAAAGAGCTACTGGGTCTAGTTAAGGTGGCGGAGACGTGGGTGGACGAGCAAAGCTTGACAGCAGTCTTAAGGATCTCCTTTCAGGTACGTGCTTACCCTTCCTAATTAACCATCGATGTAATATTAACTCATGATAGCCCCCCAAAGTATTGATGAACTCTGGATTTGCAGCCGACTTTCTGACGCCTATACTCCGTAGTCTACGCGCTCTTTCTTCGGAAGGCGAACAGGTAACTGCGGTCCTCCTGGGTCAGTCCAGCAAAGTCCAAGGATTAAAACGTAAGGTAAATCCTCGAGGAGCCTTTGAAGAAGAAGCAATGTCCAAGTCGACCAGCGCAGCAGTTATGGCGACGCTTCAGAAACAAGAATTTCCGGTTTGTTTTACCTCCAATTCTTCATGCGATGCGGCAACAAGTAGCTGCTCTGGACATGGGTTTTGCTATAAAAAGTCCGGAGCAGCAAACGACGAGGCCGCTAGCGACTGCTATGCATGCAAATGCAAGTCAACAATCGTTGCTAAGGAAGATGGCACTGTCCAAAAAGTCCGATGGGGAGGACCTGCGTGTCAGAAAAGGGATATTAGCTCGCCGTTTTTCTTAATTGTCGGTATCAGTATACTGGTAGTCATGGCGACTGGTACTGCTGTCGTGATGTTATTTCACATTGGTCAAGATGAGTTACCGGGTGTTATAAGCGCTGGAGTCGGCCCCGCAAGAGCGCAAAAGTGATGCAATACCCCGTGCCTACCTCCTTTTATCGAGGGCGACTACTTTCAGAAATATAAGCTCTACAGTTTTATCTTTGACACAAAGCTTGATTCTCTCGGCAGCATTGGGGAGAAGGCGTCAATTTGGTGTAGGATTACTGGGATGGATTAACGTAGATTGACAGATTCATAGTATTCACAAAATCACAGTGTACATGAACATGAGACAAGAATCCACAATGAAAAGTATACCATTAAACGGGAGGAGGAAAAAAAGCAGGCATTCTGAAGTGTAGAAAAGTCATGACCTGCTAGCTACGCTACCCCCTGAAATACCCAGGACTTGCTTTGAAACCCGAAAGCCCGAAAGAACCTCTGCGCCATCAAATCATGAAACCTGCACGATGAAACTTGACAGCTTCGACTAAATGTAGGAGTTTAGGCGATAACTCCATTCATCGTTATGCAAGACAAATGCTGTCTTGCAATAGTCAAATATCTCGATGTATTGTACAGAATGGTATGTATATTTATGCGTGGCTATGCGTGGCTTGCACGCTGTAAATAACCGTGCAGTTGCCAGATGGCATTCCAGATGCCATGAAGCTAAGGGGAAAGACGATTGTTTAGGAATTGAAGAGATGAGCTACGATACATATTTCTTGATGCACGTTAATTGGTGGACTGGGCTTCAAGCTGGCTCGGTGTCCGGTTGCCGGCGGAACGTGGGGTGCTCGTAGATTGCTGCACGCTCTCCCTTGAAAATTGATTTCGAGTAGGAAAAGGCAAAAAGGAAAGATTCAAAGTCCGAAGAGGAGTAAGTCTAGTCCGCCAAGTCCGCTGTTCGGGATGTTCTAAAGTAGCATCTGACTGGTTATTACCAAGCCGGGAGCGGTGACCCTGCGCTCGCCACAAGCGCGGTGGCGGTAGACGTGAGGACTGGGCTCTACTCCCCGGTAGGGCCTGTCCTTCTGTGGACAAAACCAAGGGATTCCGAAACGGGTTAACACGTCTTCCTATGAAAACAGACTGTGGCTGGGCCGGAACGGGCAATCGCATTGTATTGCGGCGGCCTGAACGTTCTAGATTAGCTATTTGCTCAGAGGGATCAGAGCGAGGCTTTGGAATGTAATAATCAGCCTTGCATAAGGGACAACAGGCCCTTCGGCTCGTTAGCCAGGGGTCGACACAGGAAGCATGGAAAGCATGTCCACAAGTAAGCCCACGTATGTCATCGTCATCTTCAATTATATCGAGACAAATTGCACACGAATCGCCTGGGTTGGGTAAAAGTTCCGCTGGTACTGCGGTGCGAATTTGGTTATCGATATCACTGTCATCCCCTTGGGAGATGTCATTCTGTAACTGTTTCGTGTCTGAGCCATGGGGTCCATCAGGATCAGCCATTACGGTCAACGCATGGTCAGTGCATGGCTTCTCTTCCGGTTGCGATAAGGTCGTTTGCGCATGGTCAAGTGGTATATACGGCTGTGATGCAATCGAGTCACATCGGCGGTGGTTCTTTATTAATGAATTTGTTGTGGAAGAGGGCGCCCCAATAGCGGAGGACAGAACGCCGTTTTCATCTTTTAAGCTCTGGGACCTGCTATTCGGCGCCGATATTCCACCGGCAGTTGGAAGACCTTCATTCGCTCGCGAAGATCTCCACACTTTGTACTTGACAAGTGGAAACCGTTCATTTACCTCATCCATAGTCATCAACTTTTTCTCTCTTCTTCTCCTGTGCGTCCGAGGTATGGTCACTAGGTCTATTGGTTCGCCTGTTTCCTCATTACGCAACTGGCGGTTCCGTTGGTTATACCGAAAGCAATACTTGACTCCAACAATAATCCTAAAAGCAACCGATAGCATTAGCACACGTTTCAAGGGCAACTTAAGCTTTGACATACCAAAGGTTCGTGAATACAACACCGAAACCAAGAGCGACAAAAAACAACAAGGGCGAATTTGTGGGGCTTGAACTACTATCGTCTCCGTTATGATCAGCATTGGTGGTAGTTGGCTGTGAGCCTGCTGTAGTAGAGGCCATCTTAACTAACGAAGATGTGATGACACGGGAGAGGTTAAGTGGAATGGCCAGTGTCGGCCGTATGGATAATCAGGCAGGAAGTCCGATATATCTTTAATTTCTGAGAAGGTTGACATGAGACGTCGTCGAGAAAGCAATAATTTAAAGTAGATTTGACTTTGCAGCAGCGAAAGGAATTTAGGGCCCTAGCACGCAAAAGCGAAGGAAGCAACCCGAGTCATCTAAGTCAGAACAGCGACACAAGGCACATATCAAGATGTGCACGCGGTAGATCATCACTGACAGCAGCTGCGGCCGGAGCTGCTGGAAGAGCGATTCCTGCTGTTAACTTGGGGGTGTATATCGCATTTGAGTCTAGAATGCTGTTGATGGAGACAACAGTACTCCACCTTTGGTTGAGCGCCGTCAGAAGCAAGTCACGGGGTAGCTTATCATTACGGAGCACAAACCACTCAATTCCGTCCGTGCATTACCGTACAATTTTAAGGGCACTATAATGACTGGTACTTCCTGTTAACCTTACCCTATGTACATATGTACTTCGTGTATATGTATATATATATACCGAATTTCCGAAATACCATGTACAAGCTGGTAATTTTTTGCTTTACCATAGACTCACTACCCCGTAAGTCCATTACCTGCCATACACTCCGTATCATAAAATACCATCACATGACCACTTGTACTAGATGCACTTCAAAAACCACTCATTACCATTTAGTTAGCTCATAGAGAATATATCCAAATATACTGTGAAAGTAGTTGTTGTTGTATTCTACTATCTAGCTGGGTCTATATGGAAAATTATTTGCAATCTAAAATAGAACCAGAGTCTTTAATGAGATCTGGTCTATCGAATGCTCTAATCAGGGTGTGTGAAGGCAGGTGGGCGGTCACCTGATAAAGCAATGTAAAGAAACTGTTTTTGGATGTCATGTGACAGACCAAATGCTGATCTAATATCGCGGCTATCACAAACATCCGTACTCTCCGTACTCCGTGTATGTGTATCGGACTGAGATATTCTAGGTGGATTTCTTCGTGACTTACTGGGTTCAATACTACCTCAATAAAAGGAAATTATTTTCCGTATGATAATAGTGGAGAGATCCGTGTATATTATGGAATGCATGTCTGGATATATGTTCATATTCTCAAGTCAAATCAAAGCTGGTTTTTTAAAGTGGAGTCCCATGAAGTCTATACTCCATAGGTTTTCCTCCAGCCTTCCCTTTTTCTTTACGATTAGATACTCCTACTGTTGGTAGAAAAGTCAAGATATTTTTTTCCTCCTCACTCTACTTGGAGTACTACAATTGCCAATTTTGTCACATATCCTTGTTGAAAGTAGTGAACACGAGCAGATTTTGCTTTCAGCTTGCGCAAATTCGAAAAATGAATAGCCAACCTGAGAACCCCAACCCTGTTGTCTTTTTCGACATCACTCTAGGTGGTAAGTGCCGGATATTATATTGGAGCAGATGAGGAACTCGATATAAATGACAGAAATTGTGGTTCACGTTGAGTCCAACAGAACTCAATTGCAACCATTTGAATATATAAGATATGGATCTGAGGATTCGGCATCAAACCAAAAAAAAGAAAAAAGAAAAAAGAAATACAGGCTGAGCATGTACTATTTCATAGGAGAGTCTCTGGGCCGTATTAAGATGGAACTCTTTGCCAGTATCACCCCACGAACAGCAGAAAACTTTCGCCAATTTTGTACTGGGGAAAGCAAAAGCCCCCAAGGACGACCTCAAGGATACAAGAATAGCAAATTCCATCGAATAGTATGTGCGGTACATGATCTCCGTGGCTATACTTTTTGGGGCTAATCGATCCGCCAAAGATCAAGGATTTTATGATACAAGGTGGTGACTTTGTCAACGGAGATGGCACAGGTTCTTGTTCCATCTATGGCACCGCACGGTTTCCAGATGAGAATTTCATTCTAAAGCATGACCGTCCAGGGCTATTAAGCATGGCAGTAAGTCGTATTACTGAAAATAGAGAAAGGAAACCCAGGGTAGTAACAGGGCTGACTTGTGCAGAACTCGGGGCCAAACACAAATGGTTGCCAATTCTTCATTACAACTACTGCAACCCCCTTCCTAAATAATAAACACGTAGTGTTTGGACAAGTAGTGGAGGGAATGGATATCGTGCGAATGGTTGAAAATACTCGTACAACTAGGGATAAACCTAATCAAGATGTGGTCATCGTTCAGTGTGGGGAGATGTGAACGATACTTCATCATTCCATAACGTTTTGAACCCTACTATATAAAGAACTGCCGAATTGTTATGTATTCACGAACCCAAAAATGTCGTCACCCGCAATCATCGTGCTTGTCTACCACCAAAAATAGCGCCTAGTTTCACTTTTTTGTCCTTATCTTTCCCTAGCAAGCCAGTAGTAGAGTCGCCAGCTACGGCGGCATCTCTAAGGGTTTAAAGCTTGAACTTGCTAAGGTAATCTGAGGCCAGAGCAATAGCTTCGTCGGTTTTGTCCGGGTTAGTACCATTGCCGATAGATGTAGGGCCTTTGCCACCAGCCTTTCCACCAACTACGGTAGAAACAATAGCTGCCCACTCGCTAGCAGAAGCTCCTTGATCGCTTATTTCCTGAACATAACGATTGTTATTAATGGGAGAGCGATACTGGGCTAGCGTGGATCTTACCTTTGACACATAGCAGCCGTGAGCGACACGACCCTGCTCGGAGTCCGCGGCCAGAACATAAACCGTTTTGTTTTGCAGCTTCGACTTGACGTGGTTTAAAGATTCACTAACAGCTTTTGCATTCGCCGAGATTGGAAGCTTGGCAACAAGCCATGATTTATCTTGGTTTTCCGGGTCCTGGAAGTAGGAAGTTATTGCCTCGAGAGCCTTCTTCGATTCAAGCTTCTGTTGCGCCTTTTGTGCATCGATAATTTGCTTATTGATACTAGCAAAACGTTCCCGGAACTTAGATTTTTGAACGGCAGAGATTAACAACTGGCTAAGCTCGACTTGTATATGCTTAGCGTCCTTTTCTTTCTCTGGGCCCAGAGCCATTGCTTCAAGGCGATCCAAGCGCTTCTCGAATCCTAGAGCTACACGCTGCACTTCGTGAGCATCCTCCCCAGTAACCGCAATTATTCTGCGAATGCCTTTGGCGATGCCGCCTTCTTCTAGGATGACAAGGTCCTTGATGTCACCTGTTTTCTGCACATGAGTTCCGCCGCAGAACTCGATGCTGACCTTTTCCCAGCGTGGATCCTTAATGTTCTTAAGGATCTCCTCCAACTCCACACCCACAGACACAACACGAACAGGATCCGGATATGTCTCCCCGAAAACAGCCCTAACTCCGGAGATCTGTCGAGCCGTTGCGAGGGGAATCTCTTGAGAGTAGACGGCGCAATTTTGACGAATGTACTCGGTCGATATTTCCTCAATCTTTTCCAGCTCTTTATCTGTGACTGGAGACTTGTGAGAGAAATCAAACCTGAGCTTCTCGGCAGCAACAAGGGATCCTTTCTGCTCTACACCATCTCCCAAGACCTCTTTGAGGGCAAAGTTGAGAATGTGCGTCCCTGTGTGGTTATTCCTGATAGGCCACCGGCGAAGTTCATCATATTCACAAATCACCTCGTCGCCAACGGAGAGAGAGCCATACTTGATGAAACCCGTATGAAGGACATACCCCGCATAAAGTTGAACATCACCAACTTCAAGCTCAGCCTGCCCATCAATGACAATCCTACCGGTATCATTTTCCTGACCGCCTTGTTCAGCGTAGAAATTCGTACGGTCAAGAATAAGCCCAAGCTGGTCCCCATCAGGTATCTGCTCAGTGGAAGAGTGGAAGGATTTTCCATAGTAGATCGCCTTAACCTGAGCAGATATATTCCCCATACTAAACTTGGCAATGTCATTCGTCTTAGGAACGTCATTCATCTTCTCCAGTTTTCCAAGATCATGGACATCCAGTTTAACGGTGTCGGCGGCAGCTTTCTTCTGTCCTTTGCTTGCCTCTTTAGCTCTTGATCGAGCTTCTTCGAACTCAAGGTCATCAATTCGCAACCCACGTTCCTCTGCCATAAGGCGGGTTAAGTCGACAGGGAAGCCAAATGTGTCATACAGTCTCCAAACGTCAGCACCATGGAGTCTGTCATCTCCCTTCATTTTAGCTTGCTGGGCATAATACTCAAATTGCCGTTCACCACGATCAAGGGTTTTCGCAAATGAGACTTCTTCCTCATCAAGTATTTCCATGACATCGCGCTGTTTACGTTTCAGTTCAGGAAACATGTCGCCCATCTGATCCACAAGGGTCGGAACAATTTTAGAGAAGAAGTTGCCAATATCAACCCCAAAGTATTTCCTGGCATATCGGACACCCCTCCGAAGCACCCGACGAACCACATAACCGCGACCTTCGCTATTCGGTGTGACGCCGTCTGAGATGGCAAATGTCAGGGTTCGGACATGATCTGCCACGACCCGATAAGCCGTGTCGATGCCGTCCGAGTCATCGGTACCAAATCGTCCCTGATACTGCCGTGCTCCGGTGATGTTCTTGATGGTTTGGAATAACGGAGAGAACACATCGGTGTCATAATTTGATGACTTGTTTTGGAGCACGGAGACCAAGCGCTCAAAGCCCATGCCGGTGTCGACATGCTTGTTTGGAAGAGGCTTTAAGGACCGATCCGACTCACGGTTATACTGAATAAAGACGTTGTTCCAGATCTCAAGAACATTGGGGTCGTCCTGGTTGACAAGGTAGGAAGCATTGCGCCCACCAATTCTGTCATAATGAACTTCGCTACAAGGTCCACAGGGGCCCTGATCACCCATTTCCCAGAAATTATCTTTCATATTCCCGGGAAGAATATGATCCTCTGGAACACCCACTGCTTTCCATAGCTCCTTTGCCTCTAAGTCAGGTTCAAGGCCACCGTCTCTATTCCCTTCAAAATAGGTAACATAGAGACGCTGGGGATCCAACCCATATATCTTTGTCAGAAGCTCCCAGGTGTAAGTAATCGCTTCTTCCTTGAAATAGTCACCAAAACTCCAGTTACCAAGCATCTCAAAGAAGGTCTGTTTTATGTCCCCTACTATCAGCAAGTCCATGAATAACAGGGAAATTTATTTAACTCACATGATGATAACTGTCTTTTCCCACATCGTCCAAATCCTATAATCGCTATCATCAGTATCATGCTTCGAAATTTTTTTAAGAGAGAAAAAAAGCCCCCACCCAATGCCACTCACATTATGCTTACCACCGGCACGAATGCACTGCATACATAAGTTAGTCCTGTGACTTTCAAAGGGTAATAATTCTCATGTACGCACCTTTTGCGAGTTGACTGCGCTCTTCAAGTTGGCAAAGTCAGAATGTGGATCCACAGTGCCTAGAAAAATCGACTTGAACTGGTTCATTCCAGCATTTGTAAAGAGCAATGTTGGGTCCGAAAGAGGAGCCACAGGAGATGAGGGGACTGGTCGTACGGTCCAATGTTAGCTGCTTGCATCGCTAGAAATACAATACCTAGTATATGCTGTACCAAAAGTATGTCCATTTTTCTGGAAATATTGAATAAATGTATCCCGCACAAATTTTGCAGTCCACTCTGGACTGCCTCGTAAATTTGAACTCATTCTGAAAAGTGGTGGGATGGTGGTTGCAGGTAAGGCACTTCGATGTGGGGGAGGAGAAGTGTGACGATGGTAGAATGTTCTGGGTTTTGACCTAAAGGGCGACAGTAGATGAGTCAAAGCCAGTTCCCCATCCCTCAAGAGTTTTGGGGCTCGCATCAAGCAACCCACTCAATAATGCATCTAGTTGCACTTGGCTCTGTTCGCAACCAGGATAGCGAATGGTAGATTATAAACTCTCCTTTTACTTTGCCCAAAAGTGCTCTGGTTGATTACCTGACTGGTGGTGGATTGGATGGCGCAACATCCTGGTGTGGGAGTTTATCACGGAACAAAGCGTCCCGCGGAGAGCGACCCTGATGGAGATCAGCCTCTAGCTAAAAAGTTTGGTCGTCTACACATAGGTACGTCTCGACATGGCTGTAATTTTTTTTTGCTTCTTTTTTTGTCGCTATATTTTTATTTCATCCGGTTTTTTTATCTACCTTCCCCCCTCTTTGTACCTCATCCTCTAACGAACAGCATACCTTAGACCCTGTAACTACGAGTCATGCTCCTGGAGAAGCAAACAAAAATCTCGACTCTGCTCCTCGACCTAGTCCATCGACTTTAACTGACATGATGATGCTGGACGATACGAAACATACGGTTTACATTCATGACCTTGAACGTGAGATAGCAGAGGCTGAGCTTCCCAGTGATCCTATCACATTTCTACCCGAGGTCGGGGGGAGCCTACGAGCAATTCCAAGATTCATCATCGCAGACACCAAGCCTGTATGCAATGAGCTGGTTCTTTATAGAGAACCTACGTCTTTGACGGTACCTAAGGAACGTGATTCTGTGTGTAAGGCTCTAGTTGAGACAAGAGAGCGGGCTAGAACAAGCCAATGTGAGCGCCATCCCCGCGCATATAGCACTCCCTTTTCGGAGACCGTCGCAGATGCCGGTAATTCAATCAATACTCGTCATTCTGGAGATGCAATGGAGATAGATGCTAGCGTGTAGAAATAATTGATTCTTAGCTATCCTAAATTGCTGTTTTCTGCTCTTTCTACTTGTAGGTGCTTCAATGTGGCTGCCATGCTATAAATTAACCCAGTACGGCTAGCATTATCTGCCACCAGTGTGAAAATTCGCCCATTCTTCAGATCAACATATCGCCGACAGGGATGACCATGCATAGGGCGTCGAAAGTCTGACCAGGCGCAAAAATTTTAGAAAGTTAGACTTGAAAGCTCTATATCTCATTTACTTTAACTAATTAATTCTTTTATAGAATCAGGTTATCTTATTATATTTTAGTAAGTTTATTACTAGACTTTATTTATAAACTTGATTAAAGAACAGCAGACTGCTAAGCAGGAAATTTAATAGTAGAACTAATAAAAAAGGTAGATGTCTATTACATCTACTGCAAGAAATAATAAGAAACCTGTTGAACTGGAGATCATGTGATCCAACATCATGTGATGATGTATCATGCAATCTTGACTATTCTATACATTTCTATACATTTCTATCTCATTGGTGTGATGCTATTTTTATTATATGCTGCATACCTAAGGTCTACACCTATTCAGCATAAATAGGCCTACATTTCCATCCATTCTACAGACCAGATTGATTTAGATTCATTCAGGTTGATCAGATTGAAGCAGTTTAATCAATCTCATTCTATCATTCTATAGTCATGTCTATCTAGTCAATTCATTCTTATGGGTTTTACCTGATATCTCTTTATCATTCATCTTATCTCTTGATCAATAATCCCCTAATCACATGCCTAAGGATATCTAGGCTATCAATACCCTAGATTTCCATCAAAACCTAATAATCAAGCACCGAAGCAGATAAAGATTATTAACTATAGTAAGATTACTTATTTTAATTATAAATAGCTTAATTATTTTATAAGTAAATATTTTCTGAAAAAGAAGTCAGATCTAAAAACTATTAAGTTAAATTCTGTTGAACCGGAGATCACGTGATCCAACTTCCTGTGATGATATATCATGCAATCTTGATCATTCTATACATGATCTATACATTTCTATCTTATTGTTGTGATGCTATTTTTATCATATGTTGCAGGTAGGCTGACTTGGGACGGGATAATCCCAGGGATTTCGGGATGGGATGGGATTTTGGGATTTTGGGATGGGAAATAGGAATCCTGTTTTCAAGGTTCATCCGGATGGGAATCCCATTCCATTTTAAAATTGGGGTTGGGATTCCTGTTCTAGCCCTATATTTAGGATGGGAAACAGGATAGGAAATAGGATACCAAGAATAGAATAGAATAGAATAGAATAGGAAACTTCTATAATTCCTAATTAATAAAATACTATATATACTGTTATAAAAGATTATTATAGTGTGGTTCCTAGTATAAGATAGGACCACCTTATATATATACCACCTAACAGGTTGACTATTTGAAAAGTAGTCAATTGCTGAACTTTTAGCCTAGTGGTTAGGTGGCTGGCTAATGGAATCACAATAGTGTTACAGACCCTTGTCTAGTGCACTTATCGGACGCGGAATCAGGCGGCAAAATCAGTGACACGACAGTCAAGAAACTAGGCACTAGTGCCAGGAAAGAAAAAGTACCAAGGGACACCCACTTATATGAGTAACTATTATATATATATAATAGACAAGTCACGTGACTATAAACATGTTATTAACAAGCTATATCATGGCAGCACTATAATCAGAATATATCAGTAATATAATATAATATACTGGCAATATAATATATTATAGCAGTAATATAAGAAATAAAAATATATAAAAATATTTATTTATATATTTAGTTTAATTCTTTATAGTTAATCTAAATTATTACTTAGAATATATCTTTAGTATTAAGTTAGTAATTAACTTATTTATACTTTCTTAACTATTAAGTATATATACTTAGTAGGCCTAGTCTCTTAGACTTAAGCTACTTATAGAATATTATTATATTCTTATTAAATCTCAGATTAGGTTATACTGTTAAATCCTGGATAGGATTATTCTAAGAATCACTTCAGCTTTACCACTTAGGTAAGTAGTACTGTAATACAAGATAGCTAATACTTATAGAGCTCTTGTTTAAATATCTAGATATAATATATTAATTACTAGTCTATATAAGTCAAGTCTTATATTGACTTAAAATACTATAGCATTTATTAATAAAGTAAATACCAGAAGCCTAGCAGCTAGCTAGACAGGTAATACTCTAACTATTAAAAAAATAATAGAGATAGTATTATAGCTTTAAAAATAGATAAACTAACTAAAGAGTTACTTAATAGCTAAGACTATTAAGATCAGACTATCTAAGTCTTTTAATAGATAATAAAATAAGCTTAGGGCCTTCTTGATATAACTAGATATATACTTTAATATTAATAGAAGTAAGATTTCTAGTAATATAGATAAGATCTACTTTATATCTATATATTTAAAGAAACAGGCCTTTAATTAGTTTAAATCCTATATTAGAGACTATTAAGAGAATACTATAGATAATTAAGATAGTATTAGACTTGTTAGGCCCGCGGGTTGGGCCGGGTTTTTCAGGTTTTGCAACCCAGCCCGTTGGGTTTGGGCCGGGTCAAGATAGTATGCAAACCACCCATGGGTCAATATATATATATGTGAACCACCCGCGGGGGCCCACAGCTGTAGATCCTTTCCTAGTAGAGCAATGATTTACATTCTTGATAGAATACAGTCTCTTAATACTGTAATTTATTTATATTACTGTAGGTAAATAATATATTTACTGTATTTTATATCTTGGCAACCTGCGGGTTAACCTGTTGATCCATGGGCTGGGATAGTCAATAACCCGGCCCGGTATGGACTTTCGTATACACAAACCCAGCCCATTACTTGGCGGGTTGGGCCGGGTTGGGCCGGGTTTCGTGGGCCGGGCCTAACAAGTCTAGATAGTATTACTAAATAAATTTTTACTAGCTTTAATCAGTTTAAAAAGTAACTTAAGAATACTTTTAGAGATATTAATATAGTATAAAATATAGAATAATAGTTTAGTTAAATAAAGTAAACTAAATTAGTTAGTAAACTAGTATTAGAATTTATATAGATTATTATATATCTTAATTAAAGTTATAAAGTATATATCTACTAATTTAAAGAAATATTAAAACCTAAAATCTAAGAGAAAAGTATCTAGATAGAGAGAGCTAAGACTCTTAATAGATTTATTAAATAAGTAGTTAAGATTAATAATAAGTTATATAACTTTAATATTAAAAGATAAGAATAATAAAACTGGAATATAGTAATTCTATAACAAGATAATAATTACTGTATAAGTAATTAAAAAATATATAATTATAAAGCCAAGAATATAGTAATTCTTATAGTTTATAGTCTATAGAACTAGATATTAATAAAAAGTAATAACAGTATAATAATATCTCTTAGAAAAAAAAAGATATAGAAAAGAATAACTGTATTATAGATATAGAAAACCAGGATATTTTATAGAAAACTGCTTACAGAAGAGACAGTAGTAATAAAGTAGGAAGCTATAGTAATTAAGAGTAGTATATTTTAAAAAGCTAGCTTAGCTTAATATAATTTTAGAAAGAGATATATATAATATTACTAGAGTACTTAAGAACAGAAAAGAGTCTATATATCTTAGTACTATAAGAATAGCCAGTCCTAAAAATACTAAGCAACAGTCCCTAGATAAGAAAAATAAATCTGATAATAAAGTTTATTATAATAAGCTAGTTTTAAGATAAGGAATTATAAATTAAGCTTTATAAGAAATTAACTCTTTAGATAAAGAATATAGTACTTAATAGATAGAATCTCTTATAGAGAAATTTTTTAAAATATCTAAGATATCTAAAAGACTTATAAAAATAAAAGAATATTAAAGAACAGTACTGAAGAGCTGTAAAGCTTATAAAAAGATTATAAGTAACTATATAATAGTAAGTATAATAGATATAGAGAACTATATTAATATTACTATAAAGATATAATAATCTTATATATTAAATAGATAATCTAGTAAAAGAAATTATTAAAAAATTCTTAAGATTCTTATAGCTATTAAAAAGATTATTTAAATAA